CAGACACCCGACTCCCACTGGAAGAGGACGCGTACCGGCGACCCCACATGGGTCGACCGAAGAGGTGCGACGCTGGCGCGGTACTGAGTCGGAGCATCCTCGCAGGAGCTCGGATTCCCGCCCAGAGGCATGTTAGAGGCACGACAGCCTGCGTGATAGATACGCCACTTTGCGTATGCGTATCACGGCACACATGCTGATTCGCCCTCTCTTGTACGTACGTGAGTGGCTGCACTGCACTCTCCGCCTATGCGGATACACCGCGGGCGCACTCACTGAGCATACTTGCTCTCTCGCTCCTCTCTCTCGCTGTATGACTCAGCGTATATTCGCTCGCGTTGGATACGAGTCCAGTCTGCGCACTCACATTCCATGTGTCTGGACAGCGTGACGCCGTTGCCGCCAGCACATTTCTTTCGCTACATTTCATTACGCTCTAGAACTAGCTCGCAGCAACTTGACTGCTCACTTTTCTGCCAGACATTGGCTTTGTTGTGTTTTTCCCCGCATTCACGCGGCATTTTGCTCCACTTTATTTGTACAATAAAGTCACCTGTGAGCTCTCTGTGCTTGCCTGTCACACAGTTAACATCATCTTAAAAAATGATTTGGGATGTATTAAAAGTTCAAAAAATTAATTAAATATCCATTTTGTAAATGTTTGAGAAAACATTGTCGACTCAGATAATTTCCAATATGTGCTTGCGGGCCCCGGTTGTAACCTAGTCGTTGCCTGGAGACTACGGTAACTTTAAAAGTCAGACAGACTCAGATGCAATTGATGATTCTCGCCGGGATGGTACCCTGTGGCGGTTGGCAGCCGTGCGCCTAACGTGCGCTGGAAGTCATCGTAGGCCCATAACAACAAGTGCTGAGCCCGGCACGTTTAATACCGCGCGTTCGCAAACTATGCTGTTTGGTAATTGGGCAGATACATAAAAATTCACAGAAAACCATCCTTTGCAAACGAAGAAAAAACGTGTGATAAAAATGTTTTCAGTATTCTTAAATCAAGCGCTAGTGCTATGGCCACGGTATTACACCACCGCCCGTATGACAGCACACGAACAGAAACAGAGCGAATGCATAATTCTCCTGTTGGCGCACTGTAATATCCCTGTTTGTTAGTGACGTCAAAATGACACACTGCCAGTCTGCAGTCTCGGCGAGAATCACGAATTCTTAGTGAATACCCGACTGCCTAAACAACGGTCCTAGCAGACTAATATTAGCTCATTTTTTGGAATCTCGTGAAGTTGCAAAAGGACAGTTCCACGTAGGTCCTGTTCACTTAAGCAGAAGATTTTTACTGAAATATCATTGGATGAAACCTGTTGCAGTATATCGATCTTTTATCTGGAATATATTGCCATATATGCGCTGCATATCCAAATGATAAAAAAAGGCTGCCATGTACCAAGTTTTCTAGTGTACAAATGAAATACTAACCTCTTCAAACCAAACATAAAACCCAGCATTCAGACCAAGAAATTTAATACATTAAAAAATGTTATTTCGACAAGTAAAATCAGAATAATCGAGAAATCATTGGCTTTACGTACTTAAAAGTTTCGGCCAGCTTCGTTTCTATCGTAATTGGAGACCTGAGAAATAATCCAATTGCTACACGGCAAACCTTGAACACATAAATGGCCAAGAATGTAAATATTTATTGGTTAGATTTTTGAGATATAGTTGTTTGATTTAAAAATTCGAAAATGATTAAAAGTATTTAGGACAATGAAGTCTCTTTTAACATCCAAAGATACAACAAAGATGTTCAATTAAATGTAAAAAAATTTCGACATATTTATAGATGTTTCATCGTAATATTTAAAAACGTTTTAACATACTTTAACGTATTAAAAATGTTTTCGATGATAATTTTGATTTTTGTTACCGTTCAGGATAGTTTCGAAATGTTTTGAAACATTCAAAATTCTTCTGAAATACTTTAAAAAAATTTACTTCTAAATTTAGATTGGGCTAAGTTTCCGAACTGTTTTTAAATCCCGTAAGTATAAGAAAGATGAAAACTTTGGATTGAAAAGCGACCCAACGTTTACGATCGCCCAGTCTTAAGACCAGTTTTAAATTTCGGGAACGTAAAGGGCAGATGGTCACACGGCGACCTAAAGGTCAGGGTCGCCGTGTCTTAGAACCGCAGTTTCGGGGTGTCGGGAACCTTAAGGTCACAAAGGTCACTAAAGGTCATACGGCGACCTAAAGGTCAGGGTCGCCGTGTCTTAGAACCGCAGTCTCGGGGTGTGAGGAACCAGAAGGTCAAGGTCGCCGTGTCTTAAAACCTCAAAGTGCTTATATTGAAAAAAACGCGGGCTCGCTTCGCTCGCCCGCTCGATTATCAGCTACATTTAAGTTATATAAAGCCAGAGGCCCCCTAAAAAAGTCTCCACCCCTGGGGGCAGTACCTCTGAACCATGAACACCTCTGAACCCTGAACAAGAAACTGCGTACCGAGGGTGTTCAGGGTCGGGAGGTTCCACTGTAGTATACTCTGTATTGTACCACTGTATTACTAGTACCTCTAAAGCTAGATCCAACTGTGATCCAGATACGGCGACCTAAACGGAATAGATCCCGTGGAGCGAGCAATGCGATATGTATTGCGAGCTATGCGGAAACACAAAACGTCGCACCGCTAATTGCTAACTTTTAATAATCTTGAAAAGTCTCGAGACCAGAATTCAACAAGTGATCGGCGCAGCTCGATCGTAAAGCGTAGAGCCCATTCAACAGTGTGTAACGCAGTGCAGCACGTGCTAAGCCGCGCCCACTAACACAACTCAAGCCAATCAAAAGAGACACAACACAGACACGTAATCCGGTGGCGTAGCGTTGCGGACGTGAACGCTAGTGAACCCCCGCTCACATGCCTCTGGGGGGATGCCGAGCTCCTGTGAGGCTGGACACACTCTCGAATCCACGAAAAACGACGGTCGCCAGTGTCTGTGCGTGCTCAAAAACATCAAATTCTCTTATTCCATTTTATCACATCAATTCCATAAAGGCACAATTCCATTTAATACGATGTGAATAAAGAGATCCAATTATAAAAATACTATCATAAAACAGATCAACAGTTAAACAGATCAACAAAAGTATTAATCAAAATGTAGACTAGGATCCTCCATTTCTGACTCGTAAAGGTCACAGGTCCTGTCCACCGTTTTCCGCACTTGAGTCCATTCCGCTCTGTTGAGCAACTTCGCGCATCCGTAATGCGACTTGTAATCACAATCCGCTTGAGAATCAGGTGCGTATCAAGTACGACTTAGGAATACTGCTTCATCTTTGGAATAAGGTGCGTATCAATTGTACGACTTCAAAATGAGATCCAGTAAAGGTCATGGAGGGACGTCATGTAGACAAGCGTAGTTCGCTTCCTCCCTGGTAAAGGTCATCCTTTGTTGAGATGATCCGTTGAGATGTGCGACTCTATGGGTTAATGGTCCCAAAAGGTCATGCGACTTAAACTCCGGTACGGTGACTCTATTGGGCAATAATGATCCCAAAGGTCATCCAACTTCTTTACAACTTCTGTCAAAGGTCATGGAGGGACTTAGCCGATTTTTTGCCGACTTTCAAGCACTTCTTCGCTTGCCTCCCTGGTAAAACTTTTAAAGTGACCTTTCCGTCGCACATCCAACTCCAATATGCCTCGAGCAGCCAGAGTGCCGGCAGAGTTTACCGTAACATCTCTGATGGGGCCGGCTAACTACCGCATTAAATTTACCCCATGACGCTTCCACATTAAATCTTTAACTCTTGTTCGCCGCTTGTGGCCCCGCTTCCGTACGAGAGATCCGGCTTGATTACCGTTATTTCTCTCGTTAAGTTTTGACACTGAATCGTATGGAGAGATGGCCGGCATAGTTTACCGTGGCATCTCCGATGGGGCCGGCTAATAGACCGAATCAAATTCAACCCCATTAATATTTCCACCTGTTGTCTTTCTCTTTTTCGCCGCTTGTGGCCCACTTTCGTATTCAAGAGATCCGGCTTGATTACCGTAGTTTCTCTTGCCAATTTATAACACTGAATCGCTTAAGGAGGAGAGCCGGCTGACTGCCGTAACTGCTCCCTTGGGGCCGGCTTAATAGGCCGAATCAATTTCAACCCCAATCGATGCTCCACATGATTTCTTTATCCTTTGCGGTTTTGTGCTATAAACGCTGAAAACAACAGATACACAAATACAGTTTATGTGAACAAGTCATATCGCCCTCATATACAACACCATTTTTCATTTTTGTGACGTACCGACAATGATGCCGTAGACGTCCATTTAATAGTGTGATCCTAACGACCAACACTATTCCATTTCATTTGATTCGTCTTCGCCGTCTCTTGGCGGACGTTTCTTAGTGCTTTCCGGTTGATTACGGTCAGATGTTCGATCGACTGGTTCCGTTGAATCAACCGCCATGACCTTCTCCGGATCAACATCTCGCTGACCGCGACCTTTCCCTTGGCGGCTTCTCTTAATTGCCTCAACTTTATGGCGTGCATCATTCGCTTCCAACCGCAGTCTTCGGTTATCAGGGTCATCCGCCAATCGGCGTTGTACATCAGCGAGATTGTCGCGAAGCTGCTGGTTTCGCAGGCCACGTCGTCCTATCTGATTAGGAGCACGGTCTGGGCGTCGGTCGCCTTTATTCACCAGGAATTCGTTAATGTAAACGTCTACTCCGTCTACCGGTTCGACATAATCGCTTCGCATAGTATCTTTGATCTTATTAATCCTCTCTTCAACTTGGGAGGCATGTCGTTGTGTGAGATTGCCCTTTTCCATTCGTATCTTGCACTTTTTTAGTGCCTTTCTAGCTGTGTGAGCTATTCCGACATGTTCCATGGGTTCGCCCAATTTCGCCACGTAAGGTCGGAAGAACGGTGGAATATCGTCCTTCATGGTATTGGACACCAACTGATTCTGAGTCTTATAATGTGCCAGTCTCGCTGCAAAGACCTTTTGCCCCATCCTACCTTGCGGCATAATCTTTCGGGTCCACCTGTAATCCGATCGATGCTCGTGCTGCTAACAACTTGAAAGCTGGATTCACATATCGTAAGACGAACTGGGCCACATATTCTTGTCTTTCCGGATAATCACGATAGTAAAATTGGGTCATCCCGATTGGGTCTGTTGTATCCAGTGGTACATCCAATAGGTTCAAATCCACCAGGCTGTGTAATCCGTTCCTTCGGATAGGGAGATAACAATCTCTTATTGAGTCACGGGGTATATATAACCGACGGAAGGTTCCTTGTTCCACTCCCTCCTTAATTTCTTTCGCATATCCCGAGTCAAATAAAAACTGACGCAACTGATTCAGTGCGGTATGAATTTTATTCGCCTCTGCCGAGTCGCCTTCGATCCCGAAGTATCGGCAAATTTCCACCTTTTGTTCGTCAGTGTCGTTCATGTTATATTCCATATCGACAGACTCAGGATGTCGGTTATTAAATCTGGAAGTTTTGCGTTGCTCATTTACACGCCGGTCATCCGCTTCACGCTGAGCTTCTTGCTCACGTCGTTCATCGAGTTCCCGCTGCGGCGGTTCATTACTCGCCGATAAAGCCGGTTGCAGGTCACTATCCAGAATCACATTTCGTCGATGGGTCACGTTTTCTTGAGACGCTTCCGCAATCGAGCTAGTCCCTTCCATCAAGTCGTCTTCTTGAACGGTGCTTATAATTGGATCCACCACATGGACTGTTGACTCCATTCGCTGATGCTTTGGTGGTGTATCTTCTCGTTCCGCGCTCGATGACCTTTTGCTCGCACCAGATTCAAAGCCTGCATAGTACTTATCTCTCTCTTGCCATCTTTTATCCCGTGGGTCTGGTGTTCGATTTCGGGTACGTTCGCGTCGCTTGTCCCATGACCTTTCAGGTGTTGACATTCGGACATTGCGATTACGGAATGGAACTTCCAACGGCACCTGATGACCTTCTTTTTCAGGCTCTGTGCGGAACGTCTCCGCACGCCGTTGTTCTTCGCGTCCTCTTGTCGCGGCCAAAATCTTTGCCGTGTCGATTTTTCGCTGAATACTAGTTTCGGTGATCTCGTTTCCATGGCGTACCCATCCTCTTCCGCCACGGTAATCCTGGTCGCGAGAACGCTCGCGTGACCTTTCGCTACGGTAATCGCGTGTCCTTTCGCGAGAGTGTTCGCGTGACCTTTCGTTTCGTCTTCCAGAGGTCCGCTCGTGTTCGCGTGAATGTCCGCGTGACCTTTCTCTATGCGGAGGCGATCGAGGTCGTATAAAGCCTTCATCCCGTTTGAAACTTCTGAGCGCTTGCAGGACGTTACTTTCAGTTTGACGGGATCTGCGCAGCTCTTCCATACGCTCTTCGACTGCCTTCTTGATGTATGGCGCTGGAGCGAAACCTTTCTGTAGTCTCAATTTTTCTCGTAATAACATGTCAAATAAGTCCTGTGGCATAGCCGCGGGGTCTTTCGTCAACGTATCAATCTGAATGATGAGGGACTGACGTATTAACTGTGCTTCATCGTCGTTGAGACTGGCTGTAGGTACAGCTGAACTTGACGAACTGGTCGACGTCTCCCGTGCAGCTTGTTCACTTAAACGCTTATTTTCCGCGTTAATTTTCGCGCGAAGTTCGTCTTCCATTTTCTGTACTCGCATTTTCTCTCTATCCTCTTCGAACTTCTTGCGGTAAGCGTCCGTTTGCGGACATTTCAATGATTCCAAAGTCTCGTCCCAGCCACTCTCATTGTTCTGGATCGCTTCCCGGTAACGGTCCTCAAGTAACATTCGTTCTTCTACTGGGATGCTGCCGTAGTTCCTTGCGCTGATTAGATTTCGGAAGACATCTAGGTTACCACGTTTAGCTTCCATAATCCCGACAAGTGAGACGATATGTGGATCTCCCAACTTGTGGATACATGTGTAGCACGGGAATTTCTTATCAACCTTCTTGTTATTCCGTAGACAGTCCGGACACTTTGGGTTATAGCCCGTAGATCTGTCTATCTCCGACGCTGAGCTTTTAGAAGAGGCTTGACCTTTTTGTGCCATTTCCTCCGTTTTAAATCTGTAATCAGAAAACAATCCATCATAGTAAACTTTCCACGTTAATCTTTTCCATTCCTATCCGTTATCAAGGCTTTCTATCATTTTTACGCCTATTCCGTTACGGAGCTGAGGCTTTCCTAGCTCCTGTATCTCTCTCTATCGCTATAACGTGGTGACCTTTCTCACGTTATTCGCGCTTTCTGACTACTGTGACCTTTTCTATTAGTCTTATCGCCGCTACATCTCGAGATGACGTTTTTCGCGTTCAATTTCGTCGATGGAACTTTTCTCATTCGTTTTTAACTGTTTATGCTTTTTCTGTAATATGCAGGGTTCATTACTCGCTGCATATTACACGCATCCTATTCATTCTGACTCCTTCGCCGGCGGTTGATATGGCTTAAAGTCAACTCGGCCGTCCTGTTTAATATGGAGCACTTCATCTGAAATCAGTGCCTCCACGGCATTCTTGATCCATTCTTTATCGTTTTCGATATTCAATTCTCCCAATTCGTAATGGACGGCCATGAAATTCGAAAGGTCACCCCATGACGCTCCGTTGGTACCTCCAATGGCGTCTAAAGCAACATCTGTAATGGCAATCTTCCAGGCCTCCAGTTCCATTTTTAGTCTGGGCGTTCGTTCCTGACCCTGTTTCGGAAGGTAGTAGATAATTTTGTTGTCTTTGTTGTATTTGCATCCCAACTTTCCTTCCTTATATGCTCGTTTCAAAACCCGTTCGGTCATGTTGAGTGACGATCTTCCGTTCGAGTTTACTGCGACTTGTCTTTTAAGATCGGTGCCGAGCATTTCTTTTTCTCGAATAATCTGAAGCGCCGCTTGGACTTCGTTCCATGTCCGATTATTCACGTCTAACGGTGCTCCGAGCGAGTAATCTGTCGCCTCTTTGATTTCCGTTTTCTGGGGGGATTGTGCCGAGTCCGTTGAGTCCGTTTCTTGGCTCCGTTTGTCATCGATTGTCAACTTTGCCAATGATCCGGATGATGACTGGGCGGATTTCGGTTCAGCCGTTTTCTCTTCCTGCGGTAGAGTCTCATGACCTCCCAGTTCGCCCGCCGACTTTGATCGTTCTTTCTCAAAAACGTCCTTTAATGGGGCGAATAATGACCTCTGAAACACCTGGCGCGCGGCAGCTGCTGCTGCTTCCGCTTCCGCCGCCGCTTTCTCCATTGGGAGCATGATCTTTTCTTTCGCTCCTTTTTGAGAAGTCTCATGACCTTTCGTTTGAGCTTCCGTCACAGTTCCGGATGTTCCTTGACCTTTAGGCTGGTCATCCTTTTCTGCCGGTTCAAGGGGCGTCTGTGTCGTAGTGTCGTCGTCACTTTCTTCTGATTCCTCATCCATTGGTCCTCTCGCTTTCGACCTTCTCGAGGTCTGTGATTTGACCCCTGCTGCTGCTTCTTCAGCGGTCTTTTGTGCAATCAAATTCAGTATTGGAGTGGAAGGGTCGCCGCTCGATGGAGCTTTTTCCATCTCCTGGCTGTCAGACATGTGACAATGGGTTTGTTTTTCCGGCGGTATCAGGCCTACTCTCGTGTATCGGATCGGATATCCTCTATGTGCATTCGTTGTGGCAAGAACGTTCTGTTTTATCATCCTCGGCAATACACGTTCAGTGGCCGTGTCAATTTCCTTTATCATTCCTTTTCCGTCATTCCAAACAGCGTTGATATATTGGCTGATCCGGTGACTCGTTGACCCCAGCGGGCTTGTCATTCCTGCAATTGCCCTCTCGATTCGCATTGCGGTATCTTCATTGGGAGTCGTCAGCGCCTTATCTGAACTTGACGGTCTGAATAACTTAGCGTTATACGCAAAGTTAGGGTGCTTCTGAATGAGTTTTCCCGCGTTCAGCGCGAATTCCAAAACCACATCGAACTTTTGTTTGGTGAAACTGCGATGCTTTTCTTTTCTCAAATATTTCTTCAGGCCCGTTCTGAATTTCGATGTTACTGATGTCGTTCTTATCCGCGTGAAATTCTTCTCGGCTCCATCAAACGCATCAATAATTTCATCAATCGTAGTCATGTTATCACTGTCTGGATCTTCGAATTCCGCTTCATCTCCGGAGTAATCAAGTTCACTTTCTCCGTCCGGTTCAATGTAATTTGCTATCGCCAATGCGTCAATCTTCATAGGTGCCTTGCCCTTTCTCTTAGTTTTAACGGGTTCGCTCTTTGCTTTCTTCCCTTTTTCCAGAACTTCTGCCAGGCTTCTTGGTTCTGTGGTTCTTGATCGAGTCGGTTTCGAGTCTGTATGTGACCTAGTACTAACCGTCGAAGTACTTGGTAGGCTCACTTCCGACGCTTCCGATTCGCGAGACGTCTCTCGTTTAGGCTTCTCGCGCTTTCCTTTCTCTTTGCGTTCTTTTAACGTAGATGCCGAGATGATAACCGGGACAACTTGTTTGATAGCTATGGTCTTTCCCTTATGTTTAGGCGGCTCGTCCTCGGTGACCTTTGACTTTGATGTAGCCGACTCGATAATGAGTTTCTTTGAAGTTGTGGGTGTCGATGACCTTTCACCAACTTCTGTGACAGACTCGTTCAGGATTTCGACATCAGGGGAAGACGGTTTATCCTTTTTCTTTCTCTCTTCTCTCTTTTTCCCGGTGCTTTTGCTTTCGCTTTCGTCACCGCTCTTTTTCTTCTTCTCCTCTTCTTCCCTTCGTTTCTTTAGGAAGTCACCTTTCTTAACCTTTTCGCGGTTCATGGCTTGTTCCAGTTTTGGTGCGACTTTTGGACGACGAGCTTTGGAAGGTTTAACGACAACTTTTGGAGGGGCATCGTCCTCTTCAACTGCTTCGTTGTCTTCTTCTTCGTCGGTCGATTCTTCCGCCGAGTCATCTTCATCTTTTTCTTCCTCTGAGTCATCTCCTTTTGATGGTCGTTGGGTACTCTCCGTTCCTGCTACTTCGGCTACGGAGGCCTCTGCCATCTCTCCGGCTCCACCTTCTTGTGCCGGGTTTATTTCCAGATGAGCCGTCGCTACATTCGGTGCTTGCGTCATTACTTCCCACAAAGGATTGAGTTTCTCATCATAGAACACCGTTTTGTACGATCCATCGTTCATTGTCTTTGTGATCCGTAGGTGGGCTCCGTCCATTTCTGCTCGATGGCGCATCATGCTGGTCATCGTATTCTTATGAGCGTTAGCGTCCTGGCGATCGCTTGGTGGAATTAGGTTCCACAATTCGTCGCGAGCCTTTTGATCAGCGTTACGAGCGCTTTCATCTGATGTGTCCCATGGTGCGAATGGAATCGGGTCTCCCGTTATCTGATCAACGATCACCGCCGTTATGATCTCCGTTGGATCAGCCTCGTATTCCAATTTCAATGTCATTTTCCTGCATGTCGCATCGGTATATTTCAAAATTGACTCGTAGTCATCCTTTGTTCGTTTCTTTGGGTCAGGATCTGCAGTCGATTTTGGACGAATTCTTTCGGCTGTCAGAAGCCTGCCTTCCGCGGTGTATGTGTACGCTAAGTGGTCGTCATTGGTGCCCACTTTTATCCGGATCCATGCGTTTTCTTCGGTCGCCACCTTCGACACAACATGTTTCATCATCTGAACAAGAACTCTTGGATTATGACGCTCTTCTGGGGGAATGAACTGTAGCGCCTCGTAGACTTCTTTCTTTGATTTCTCCCCAATCTCGTTTTTGACTGATCTATCCGCTAGAGGATTGTACGAGTCAATCTCATCATTCGTTCCTTTATCCACTATCCTCGCGGTGACCTTTCGTTCATTGTGGTCTGTCCCAGTGTATTTGCACGTAAAGGTTCTCGGTTTCGGAAATCGAAGCGCTTTCGGTCTCGTATTCGACGACGTAGGCGGCACACTCTGTCTACCCACTGGAATCGGTGTCTGTGGTTTGGCCGGTGGTTCTTTACTCGCTGTGACCTTTTTGGTCCGCTGTCCTTTCTTCTCAGCTTCTGGTGGGCTGTTTGTCGGTGACCTTGCTCTTTTTCCACTTTTTGTGGTCCCGCTGGACGGCTCTGTAACCGAACTGGTACGTCCGCGTACTGATCCTGCAGTCGAACTGGCTCGTGACCTTTCAGCTCGTTTGTTTAGTTCGGTCTCAATCTTTCTCTTCGTTGTCAAAAGGTCACTATCAGACATCTGATCTACTGATGCTGCTTTTTCGGTTAACGGTCCGGATGGTCCCGCACTGCTGGTTGTTGGGATCATTTTCCCTTCTGGGAACACCTTAAGGTATCTCAGGACCTTCTCAATTATCCAAGGCCATTGTCTGCCATTTACTGTCGGGTGGTACTGCCACATCGATGCGATCTTTATCGCTAATTCTTTGCGCATTGCTTCGATTAGCTTCGTTTTATCCTTCAGTGCAATATGGCATGGTCTGATGACTGCCTCCAGGCTTATCAACTTCCCGTACCATCCATGTTCATCTTCAACTCTCATATGAATTCTGTAAAGGTCACGGCACATCCTATTAAAGTCCTGGATTGCCTCTCTGTCCGTCTCTGTCAATTTTTCCGCTTTGTCCACAATCACGTTTAAACGCGCGTCATCTTCTCTAAGATCCAATGGGAGTTTTGGTGCGTACTCATGCACTGGGGGCGTTGCCCGCACTGGGGGCGTTGCCCGTGCGTTCGCCTGGGGGCGTTGCCCGTAATCCATCTGGTTCGATCTCGTCTAAGTTGGGGCCCAGCGATGGTAACATGCCTCGCGGTCGTGGCGAATCATATCGGTTTCCTCCTCGCCTCCCTCCTTTTTGTGGCGAGTGTCGGTGAAGTCGTTGCGCACCTAATTGTTGCGGTGATCTCAAACGAGGTGCTCCAATGTCCGACAGTGACAAACCTCCTGTTGATGGGAAAGGTGGCAATAGCGGGGATCCCCTTTGAGACTGTACTGGAGTCGATACCATTCCGCTAAATCCGCTATGTCCCATGAATCTGCTCGGTGTGGTCTGTTGCGGTGGCGGCATTAACGTTGTTGCCGATCCCATCATCACCTGCGATGGTCCCATTGGTGGGGTGTACGCTCCTGGATAGGGCTGATAAGGGACATTGTACGTCGGTTGTTCTGTGTACTGGGTTCCGGCAGTCGAGCCGTGGTGCACCCAGTTAACCGTATCCTGATAACTTGTCGGCTGTCCTGGATATCCGTAATACACTGTTCCAGGCTCGTTCTGTGCCGTTCCTGCTGACGACATCGACCCTTCCCCGTATGAGGTGTCGTAACCGTATTCACCTTCCATTCTTTTAGGAGTCGATGCTTTTAACGGATTTCCGATGCTTTCCGAATCAGAGTTGTCTGAGTTTTGTCGTTCCAATCTATCCATTAACTGTGCTTACCTTCTGTAATAACGAAACAATATCGATTAGCTTTATAACGGTGATGACCTTTTACACCTTCCCAACTCCTATTTTTAGTGTAGTCAACCCCTTATTTATATTTATGTGGTTTATTTGTCTTTGCGTCCTCTAGTTATCCGATCAAGGAGTTCTTTGTCGGCAGCATCTTCAACTTCACCTTTCTGGGTTAACAACTCTGTGGGGGTAAGTTTCTTTTTCTTCGGTTTGATCTTTCTCTCATCGATTGCCTTCGCTATTTCGCGGCCCAGCTGTTCAGCTTTCGATTTGACCGCTTCTATTTCCTCCTTTCTCTTTTGTATGAGGTCGCTCTCATTATTGGTAGCAGCGCGTGGTTCGAAAAAGGATTGTTGTGAGTCCTTTTTGGAAGTGCGCTCTGGTACTTCCTCATTGCTCGGGCGATTCTCAGCGCCATCTCGTTTTTTCGGATGGTGATCCCCGTCTCTGGTAGCAGTGCGTTGTTGCGCAAGTGTACAGCGCAAGCGTGTTCTGTGGGTCATGAGCTGCATGCATCATGAATTACATACATATTTATCATCATAACGGGCGTGCTTAAAATGGATACAGTTGCGGATGCGGTTGAATGCGGTTGGTTGTCGTGGTTGAGTGCAGGATAGTTGCTGTTGTGAGCAAGTCAAAGGTTGTGGTTTGACGATAACAAGCAAATGATTGAGCGTGAAGAAAGGAATGAATCATTGTGTAAACCAATAGTGTGTCTTTGTTGTCTGCAATGTTTTATCTCTCGTAACATGTATTAAGTGCCTGGCTAAAAAAGTAGTGTGCGATGAAGTTGTCAAATGATTTAGTACATCTCCATCCAGCCTCGGAACAACTTCTCTTGGAATCTTGCAACTTCTCTTGCCTTTATCTTTGCATGCCCTTTTGTTAGCATTCGAGTGTTGTCTGCTAATCGGCATTAAAGGTCATTGGGTCGGATCAGTTGTGGCCGCTTTCACGTTGTAGCAAGTAGCAATAGATAAAGGTCATAACCACCGAGTCACAGCTAACCTTTAGTTACGCGACATGGAGGGCATGTGTGCGTAGCAAGTAAAGGTAGCTGAAGGTGTGGAGCTGCGATGGAAGGTCAAGTTATTTCAGTAGTGGTGAGGTTATAACCACTGCAAGTGTTTCAGAGTGAGTTGATGTGCTGTTAGCAGCAGTGAGTGTACTGCTGCAAGTGACAATGTATTAGTAGTGGTGGGTGCATTACCACTACGCGTGTTAATCGTGAGACATCAGTGCGAGTGATTTGCTGTTATAATTGTTAATGGATAGTGTGTCATTGTGGACCCTGTGAGACGAGCGACGAGTGTGGATTGTGAAAAGTCACAAGTGTCGCTTACAGCAAACCACGCGTTGTATGAGCGAGTGTGGGAGCGGTATCTAGTAAGAATACTTGGCACTGCTTCCAAACGACGTCGGTGAATGTTTCAAGGCTCGTTAGTGCATAAGTTGGTGCCGGCGTTCTGCGGTTCTTTTCTCGGAGCGTACAACGATAGGTGTGTTGGAGCGGAAGCGGGTGCAGGTGGTCGACAACTAGCGGGAGCAGCATAACGGCATTCCTCTGTAAGTCGTATGGCAAGTTATCATTTTTGCTTTCTCTTCGTGGGTCCTTTTGTTCATGAGATAGTTTAAACAGGATAAGTTAATAACGATGTGCATTTGCTTTCAGTTTGTTTTTTTAAAATAAAGTTTGTGTCAAAAATAGTCATTTGGTTGACTTCGGACGAATGTTTGTTATTAACTGGTTATTCATGAAAATTGATCTTATGATTAAGTTGACCTTAGAAGATAGTCCTAATATTAATAGAATCGTAAATCATCAGCTTACTTTGAGGGATTTCGATCATTTTAACAGTGTGTGCTCTAGATTGTTCGCGGATTTTCCCTGTATTCTTTCGATTTCTTTTGCATGTAAAAAATACGGCGTATATGGTGAGACCCGCTTGGAAGGAAATATTTATAAGCAGTACCAGCAGAGTAGAAACAGTAATACTTAAGTACGTATTTAGGTATATTTCGATGCCGTCTTTTCATGCCATTAATTTTCGAAAAAAATTGAATTAACTCTTAAATATCTCGATTTGTAGAATAATTAAGTTTTTTATCTGCGCAAGTCAAAAGTCCTGCTGACGTACCAGAAAGAGCGAATCTGTAAATCGTCGTAACCGATCGTTTTAACATGCCCCTTTAAAATGCGATTCTTGAATTTTTTGTTGCCGATGATAAGAAAATCTCTGATTGCATAAATTTAAGTTTAAAAAGTGCTTGTACGTAAGATGGCAGGAATTCGCCTTAGAGATTTACCAGTATTTGGTGGACAGTCCACTGAATCTGCAGAATATTTTATGGACAGGTTTAACAGAATTAAGAACTATTTGTCGTGGAGCGATGAACAGTCTTTGGTGCATTTCGGTTTGTGCTTGACAAATGCTGCCTTAAAATGGTTCAAGAACAACGAATCCAAACTGAAAAAATTTTGCGACGCAGAGCAGGAATTTTTAAAAATCTTCGGTAGAAATCTGTTAGATTTAGATATCAGTAAATTCATGTCAAAAAATTTCGCTGTTGACGAACCCTTGACGTACGTATACGGTGTGTTGGATTACATTGCTGCAACCCATGTCATCGCTGGAGAAGAAGAAAAGGTCAGAATTCTTTTCGAACATTTGCCGATGCAGTTCAAAGCAGATATGATACAAAATCGTCCCAAAACAGTCGAGTTATTTACTGAAAGGCTGCAGGAAATTCGTAAGAAGTGTCAATATCTAAAAGCTGATGGGGAAGTGCCCGACGATTGTAAAATTTTCCCGCTTTCTTAGATGTTTTGACGTGCTACTGGAAGTTCCAGCTAGTTGGTCACTTAAAAAAATAAATCAAAAAAACAGCAATAATTCTTAGCTCAGTTAGCTAATAATTCATAGACACTAGTTTAAGTATGAATCAATTAAATTGTAATTATGCAAGTAATGTTCTTTTGGAGGTGGCGCAATTATCGGTACACCAATAAAGCAAGAGAGCAAACCCGTTATGTACTTTAGCGCTGTGAGTGATTCAGTCGCTTTGCTTAATTCTAACAATTTTGCTGATTTGTGCCTAAGTGTTTTCTTCGTAGACGTTTAAGGGTGCATTTTCATAAATATTTAGTTGTGGTTTATCAACAGCGTTTGTCAAAATTAAATTTAAAAAAACTAATTTTCTTAATAAAAATTTTGAAATTCGGGTCTAATAATTGATTTGCACCGTACAATCGCCGTAGGTAAAATCTTTGACAGCGTATAAGCCGTTAGTGATGATTTTTTTTTACAATTTTGTTTTTGGAATCGCTGATTTCTGTTTGGAATTTAGGTGAATGTTTTAAAGTTGTGCAACAAAGCTGAAAAGAGAAATAAATGAGGATGTTGTGAGAGAAAGATGAGTAAATGAAATGGGTCAATATTTTGAGCACACCTTTATTGTTGTTCCAGCTTGCGCAAGCACTGTCGCCTGAATAACAACATATCAGAAAATTCGAGAACATCTTCACATCGTTTTCTTTTAAGATATCATCATGTTTTGGTACCTTTTGTCTGCTCAGGTAAAAAATCCACCATGCGTTATGTTTTACACTAGAACGCTTTAATAACATGAATGGCAATTACTTATGCACTGGGACGCCTCTGCATATGTTCGGGTTATTCATGAAAAAATCGGCAGACAATTTTCCACAACAAATATTCTTGTGTGCAAGCTTGCCGCCAGCCCACTCAAGAAAATTGTTTCATAGCGGCAGTAGAAAAATTTAAAAAAAAAGAAGAGAAGAATTTGGTGCTCAGGGTTCAGATTACAGTACATTAGTATATAAATTCCAAAATATTGTCGCTCATTCGGCTAAAAGATCCTGTCTTATTACGCAGTAAAAAAAAGCGATTCAAAATCAGCGTATGGGTTATTTCTAAATTCTGTATGAAAACACCAGTTCGCAAATTTGGTGCACTGCAATCAAAAAAGCGCAGGGTAATTAGCGGAAATTGGAAATTGAAAAAATCATGTTCATTAAATTGCACGTAGTCGGGACCACGATTTGTTTTCTTCTAATCGGATAATTGTCTGATAAAATGCGGCATTTCTTTGTACGTTTACGTTGGTTGCGTTGTGCTAATTTATTTAGGCTTTTGCTATTAAGGTAAAATATTGTTGCATAATTTTCTGACCATCGAAACGTTTAAAACAGAGAAGCTTAAGATATTAATAGCTACCTTTCATTGTTGCCATCACCCATTAAAGCTCAATGCACTAGTTGCATATGATTCCTCATGTATGCTTGATTTCTATTGTCGCACCCGAACCACACCCCATTGTTAAGTACGCTCTAAATCATATCATATTGCTCTGCGCTTATTAACGTAAAATACTGGCCTCAATATTCAGTACATCGTCAGCACTTGACTTTCCATTTTCACTTTCTTCGTGTTACTTGCTGGTCAAGATGCAATAAAATTCAAAATAAAATTTACTTTCCGCCGTAATACTTTTGTATGCTTTCATAAGCTTTACACTGCATTAAATATATTATATTTTTATATAATCAGTGTTTGAATAACTGTCTACCTCAGCTGTACAGTTGTTGGCAATGGGCATTATCGGGATCTGTATTATTACTAAATTTTGTAGAGTACAACGTGCCATATTCACTACGTAAACTCGTATCTTTATATTCATACAATCCTACCGTCCAAAACGTAATCAATTTTGTTTTTTTATGGATTCGTCAAAGTGTGGTCATTTTAAGTCAAACTTGGTCTTAAAAAAATCAATATTTTCCTGACCAACTTATCCTGAATTTTGATTTTTTCAAAAAACGTTCTGGTCAGAAAATTATAGAAGTCCGTTTTAAGTATGGCGAAACGCAAGTGCAGTACCAAGAATACTTTACTATTGTGAAGCACAGTATGTATAAAGTACATACGGTACTGTAACCATGGATATGGATCTGTAAGTACACTTTGGTCAGTACAGCAGCTAGGGAAATGTGGATTTTTACGTAGTTCAAATTCTAAACAGCCGGACGACTGCCGGAACAGTCTATAAATTCAAACCTGACCTTTCCAATACAAACGTGCCGAGCGTGAAAGCGCGAGGCTTGTCTCTATACTAACAATCATTATGCTTATGATACTCGTACAGATTGCGCAATGTGCAAATGATACTCGTACCAATAATAAGTCTTGGAGATGTTAGTTCTCAGTGTATGGGTCTAGTAATGGCGTAATCATTATGTGAGTAGGTGAATGTTATGCTTGGGTGTGAAGTACTTTGTAGAAGAACTTGTCAGCGGAACAGCCTTCGCCAACGGGAAAGCCGGCTAACAAGATTCTGCATAGTCCGCGGTTTAAACGTTTCATTCAGCAGCGCCCTAGCCGGAAGAAGCTGCACAGCTGTTTTGTCGCACCAGAGCACAGCCAACTAGCGAGACCAGACGGAAGGAGTATCTACAGGCGGTGCCAGCGGAAGTAGTGCTGCTGCGGTGTCCACGTCTAATGCGAATTGCAGCACTAAAGAGACGTGAGACAGAGCAAGTAACAGCAAGCGCGGGATATTGAGTGCCGTAATTGGTTCGAGTAAGAGCGCTGATAAAACTTGACTTGTGCGAGTGCTGGTGCAGGTGCGATATCCTTTAAAATTGTGTGAGTGGTGACGTTGGAGCATGCAATGCAGGTGACAGCATTGCGAGTGCTTGTGCGAGTGTTGGCATGAGCGAGCGTGAATTCAGTGCAAGTGTTAGCACTGAGAGTGTCCGTGCGAGTTGTGGTATGGGCAAGGTGAAGTCCTGTGCGAGTCTGTGCACAGTAGCGTGTGTGTCCGGCGTGAGTCATGGCGCGGGCAAGTTGGTTAATGGTGATAGTTGTGACACTGGAAAGTCGATATCCAGTGTGAGCGGTGGTTTTGCGGAGATGATGCCGGTCAGTACGAGTGCCAACACTAGCGAGTGCAGTGTTAGTGTGAGTGGCAGTACTGGCGAGGATGGCATCGGAGTGAACGGCGCAAGTGGTCAGTGTGGTGTCAATGTGATGGTGACATTGGCGAGTGTGGTGCCAATGTGAGTGGTGACATTGGCGAGAGTGGTGCCAATGTGAGTGGTGACATTGGCGAGTGCGGTGTCAATGCGAGTGGTGGTATTGGCAGCAGAGTGGTCAGTGCGAGTAGTGGCATTGGCGAGTGTGTGTGCGTGGGGAATACAGATACAGAGAACATCAGCAAACATGACGATATGTTGCGGACGTGTCAGGAGTTGTTAACCGGATACGTAGACCGGATGGAAGACTCATTACCATTTCCGGCGGAGTTTACATGGATGGCGGATGAGTTGGCCCGGATTCGCGTGCAGTTAAGAGCATTAGTCCCACATGGAGCGCAAGTTGCAGCGGATGCGGCGCCAGACTATAGTGGCATAATGGAAACGCTGGACTTTGCGGATCTGCTAGTGCGAGGAGGGAGCGCGCCGGAAGTTGTGAGCGAACTAGACGAAGAAGACGCCGGTTACCACGAGACGCCGGCAGAGTCCAGTGCTGATGCGGTGCCAGTGCGGTCCACACTGATAGAGGAGATGGATACAGATTCGGTGGATGCCGTACCGGAAGGAGGCGAGTGCCATCCGAGTTGAGGGATGGTGGTCACCTTCTGGGACGGTCGGACTCGAGTGTCTGGACGGATTGCGGAGCGTGTGCGAGCGGTAAAGCGACCCATGACGAGGACGTCATGATCCATAGGAGAGGCGTGTTGCGCAAGTGTACAGCGCAAGCGTGTTCTGTGGGTCATGAGCTGCATGCATCATGAATTACATACATATTTATCATCATAACGGGCGTGCTTAAAATGGATACAGTTGCGGATGCGGTTGAATGCGGTTGGTTGTCGTGGTTGAGTGCAGGATAGTTGCTGTTGTGAGCAAGTCAAAGGTTGTGGTTTGACGATAACAAGCAAATGATTGAGCGTGAAGAAAGGAATGAATCATTGTGTAAACCAATAGTGTGTCTTTGTTGTCTGCAATGTTTTATCTCTCGTAACATGTATTAAGTGCCTGGCTAAAAAAGTAGTGTGCGATGAAGTTGTCAAATGATTTAGTACATCTCCATCCAGCCTCGGAACAACTTCTCTTGGAATCTTGCAACTTCTCTTGCCTTTATCTTTGCATGCCCTTTTGTTAGCATTCGAGTGTTGTCTGCTAATCGGCATTAAAGGTCATTGGGTCGGATCAGTTGTGGCCGCTTTCACGTTGTAGCAAGTAGCAATAGATAAAGGTCATAACCACCGAGTCACAGCTAACCTTTAGTCGCGTATCATGAATTACGTCATGCAGGATAGTTGCTGTTGTGAGCAAGTCAAAGGTTGTGGTTTGACGATAACAAGCAAATGATTGAGCGTGAAGAAAGGAATGAATCATTGTGTAAACCAATAGTGTGTCTTTGTTGTCTGCAATGTTTTATCTCTCGTAACATGTATTAAGTGCCTGGCTAAAAAAGTAGTGTGCGATGAAGTTGTCAAATGATTTAGTACATCTCCATCCAGCCTCGGAACAACTTCTCTTGGAATCTTGCAACTTCTCTTGCCTTTATCTTTGCATGCCCTTTTGTTAGCATTCGAGTGTTGTCTGCTAATCGGCATTAAAGGTCATTGGGTCGGATCAGTTGTGGCCGCTTTCACGTTGTAGCAAGTAGCAATAGATAAAGGTCATAACCACCGAGTCACAGCTAACCTTTAGTTACGCGAGTCACAGCTAACCTTTAGTCGCGCATCATGAATTACATACATATTTATCATCATAACGGGCGTGCTTAAAATGGATACAGTTGCGGATGCGGTTGAATGCGGTTGGTTGTCGTGGTTGAGTGCAGGATAGTTGCTGTTGTGAGCAAGTCAAAGGTTGTGGTTTGACGATAACAAGCAAATGATTGAGCGTGAAGAAAGGAATGAATCATTGTGTAAACCAATAGTGTGTCTTTGTTGTCTGCAATGTTTTATCTCTCGTAACATGTATTAAGTGCCTGGCTAAAAAAGTAGTGTGCGATGAAGTTGTCAAATGATTTAGTACATCTCCATCCAGCCTCGGAACAACTTCTCTTGGAATCTTGCAACTTCTCTTGCCTTTATCTTTGCATGCCCTTTTGTTAGCATTCGAGTGTTGTCTGCTAATCGGCATTAAAGGTCATTGGGTCGGATCAGTTGTGGCCGCTTTCACGTTGTAGCAAGTAGCAATAGATAAAGGTCATAACCACCGAGTCACAGCTAACCTTTAGTTACGCGACAGCGTGGTTCGAAAAAAGGCTTTTGATTCGGTTCAAAATGCTTTTGCGAAGCGCGTTCTGCTACTTCGATTTCTTCTCCGATAGCTGGTGACCTTTCTGCCAAATTTCCAGCTTCTGCGTTCAGCTTGATTGTGACTGCTGTTTCAAAATCCTTATCTTCTTTTCGCTTTCTTCCTCTATTCTTTTTAGGTTTATCTCCGTTTGACCCGTTCGTTTGACCTTTTCCCATTTCTGGTAGCAGGGGTAGTTCGGAGGAAGACTTCTCTAAATTATTTTGAGTGCGCTCTGCGCATTCATCCGTTTTATCCGTTTCAGGTAGCGGAGGCGGTTCGAAAAAATTCGAAGTACGCTCTGGTGCTTCCTGCGAGTCTTTTATTTCGGGTAGTGGCGGATGCCACGGCTTTAATCGATCGATCGAGACCACCTTTAAGTCTGCTTCTTTCTTCGGGTTCTGCTCGATGACTTCGGCTTCGTTTGGTCGCGGGAAACTGAGAATCTTCCACACTTTGTCGTATTTCGACTTGAAGTCCGATTGGTTTTCTTTCTTCCCTTGTTTCGTATCCTTTGGTAATCGTATCAATACGAAATCCCCCACTTTGAAGTTCGGTTCCGACTTCTTCTTATTGTAAATTTCCGCATTCTTCTCATAAGCATCTTTAATGTTGCATTTCGCCACTTCTTCGGCAAAGGTCAAGTTCTTTTTCATGGTCTCTACCCATTCATCTGGAGTCCCATAGTCGTCGGGTATATTCGTTTTTGTGACCACGTCTTCCGGCATTGTCATTTCTCTGGCGTGCAACATATAATATGCCGAATATCCGGTTGTAGCGTGTACGACTCGGTTCATTGCTGAGATGACATATGGGAGATACTTATTGAACTTCCTTTCGTTTCCCGCTTTCAGATACTGCGCCAGCCCGTCCGCAATAGTTTGCATCTGTCTTTCGACTTGGCCTTGACCTTCTGGGTGATACGCCGTTCCAAACGTGTGTTTAATCTTGAACACGTTGGTGACCTTTGTCAGTACTTCGGCTGTGAAATGCCGTCCACGATCCGTATGTAAGATATGCGGTGCTCCGTGTACTAATATCACGTGCTTGACAAACACTTTCGCGAATTCTTTGGCCGTTGCTGTCTTCATTGGTACCGCAATCACATATTTCGTCAGTTGATCGATGAACACTGCTATGTACTTATATCCGCGTTTCTTCGTTGGTAACAGCGGTCCTTTCAGATCAGCGTACACTCGGAAGAACGGATGTCCGACCTTTATCTCTTGCAATTTACCGGGTGGGCATTTCCTCGGTGTTTTTCGGAACTGGCATCCTTGGCAGGCGAGTATGTAATTCTTTACGTCAGTACTCATTCTGTCCCAGTAATATCGTAGTCGGATTGCAGATAATGTCTTTTCAAATCCTAGATGTCCTGCCGCTTTCTCGTCGTGCAATGCGTGGATTATTGCTCTTCGCATTGACAACGGTACGACGTATGACCTTTCAAGTTTTCCATTTTTATCCTTTACTCGGTACAATATGCCGTTCCACAACTGATAATGTACTTCAAATTTCGATCTTGTTTCCGCGTCTGGTAGATGTTCCAATTCATCTATTATCATTGCCAGATGGGGATCTTTCAACTGTTTGTTTCGCAACTGCAAGTTCGAGTCGTCTTCTTCTTCCTCATCTCCTTGCAGGTTGACGATGCGGACTGTCGCCGTACTGAGTTCATTCCAGTCTTTAATGACCTTACAGCGTGGTAATGGCTTATATCTCTTTTTCCTCTGTTTCGGGAATCGCAACAGCTTTATCGGACATTCGTTTGATGCTTGTGCCGCTTTGTCCGTTTCCCAAAGGTCATCTCTATTATCCACTGCTTCATTGAGTCCGGTGACCTTTCCATTTTGAGTTTCTGATCCTGCTTCAAGTCCGGTGACCTTTAAGTCACTAACCTTTGGCAACCAGCTTTTTACACGGTTCACCTTCATTTCTGATTCAGCCGACTCCTTCGCCGTAGCTGAGGTGACCTTTAGGCGTTTTTCGCGTTGTTCCACCATCTGTAGGAACAGCTGTCCAATTTCAATTGCTGGCTCTTTAGTGTCGAATTCCTTCTTATAATCCTCAAAATTCGGAATCTCGTCAAATTCTTCCTCTTGACATGTCGGGCCTTCAATTGGTGCTCTTGATAGCGCATCTGCATTGTCACAGTACTTTCCCGGTTTATATTCAATTTTAAACTGATGGCCTTCCAATGCCATCGCCCATCTCGTCAAACGCGGGTTCATCCCAACTTTATTCGTTTCTGACCTCAACAAGTTGGTCAGTGCCTGGTGGTCCGTTCGTACGGTGAATTCTGCATAATCGATGAATGGCTTGAATTTTCTGACAGCAAACACCACTGCCAGACATTCCCATTCCGTTACGCCGTAATTTTTTTCTGCTCCGTGTAAGACCCGGCTTGCGTACGCGATCGGATGTCCATCTTGTGACAACACCGCTCCAATCCCTTCTTTACTTGCGTCGCATTCGATTACCGTCGGTTTTGCAGGATCAAATTTTGCCAATACTGGACCTTCGCATAACAGCTGTTTCAAACTGTTGAACTCGTCTTCGTGTAGTTTCGTCCAGTCTTTTTTGACTTGTTTATCTTGTCTCAACAGTTCATACAAATGGCACGTCTTCTGGGCATATCCCATTATGAATTTGCGATAGTAATTTGCCAATCCAAGGAATGACCTTAACTGTCTTTCTGTTTGAGGCCGTTTGAATTCGGAGACCGCGGTGACCTTTTCCGGATCCATTCTGATTCCATCTTCACTGAGTATGTGACCCAGGAATCCCATTTGTCTCATTCCGAATTCACACTTCGTTGGCTTTATTGTAAATCCCGCTTCAACCAGGCTCATTAGGACGTTTCTCAAATTCTGCATGAAAATCGCCCAAGTCTTTCCGGCGAAGATAACATCATCTATGTACCCGAAAACGCAACCTTTTCTTTTCGCTTTCGACAGTACTTTATCCATGCACAGTTGGAATGTTGCTGGCCCATTGCAAACTCCAAACGGCATCCTTTTAAACCGGTACATTCCATCTTGCGTGACAAAGGTCGTCTTATTGATTGACGCTGGATCCATTGGGATCTGCCAGAATCCGCTTTGCAAGTCCATCTTTCCATAGTATTTGTTGCCTGCGCACGCGTCGAGCAACTCATCCGGGTTTGGTAACGGGTAATTATTCTTTCTCGTTAGCTTATTCAGCATAATGTAATTGACACAAAATCTCGTTCCCATTGTTCCGTCGCCGTTTTTCTTAACTGCCAACACGACTGGAAAACTCCACTCGGCGTCTGACGGTTCAATTACATCTTGTGCTAACATCTCTTCGAAATGCTCCGTTATGAACTCGCGGCCTGTCCAACTCGTTCTGGCCGGGTTACACTTGACTGGCTTTGCATCTCCCGTGTCGATTATGTGAGTGACCCCTTTTACATCTCCATACGGTTTCTTTGATGTCGGTAGGACTTTCCAAAATTCCCAAAACGCGTTATACACGTCATTTTTCTGTTCTTCAGTTGGGTCAGGTCCTAGTTTCAAATTCCCAATTATCTTTGTCAGCTCCGCTTTCGTTGTGTCATCCACCTCGGGATCTTCAAGTACATTCTTTACTGTCCCAACGTTGACCTTTACATTTTCCATATGTTCGTACGGTTCAACGTATCCGAGAAGTTGGTTTTTCTTCACGACTCGGTATTTGCTACTGTGATTCGCGATGACGATTTCGAAGTATTTTCCTCTGTGGTCCGTCACTCCTGCCAACGGTTGCACCTCAGTTTCCGCTTGTGGGACCGGTGTAAACATCAACTTGTTTTGAGCCGGCGCATATTTTCCCATCTTGACCTTTACACGTGTGCAGTTTGACGGTTTCAATTTGATTCGTTGATCACTGTAGACTTTAATCACATCTTTTGACATTCTGGCTTTTTCTACTTTCAATCTTCTGACTTTTATTTCTTTTTTTTTTCCTCATCCACTTCGTCATCTTCATCCAAATCCAGTAAGTCGTCCTGTTCTGAAAGGTCACTTACACCTGAATCTTCCGAAGTTGTTGAGTTATCGCTTGAGCTCGTCCACTCCGAGTCTGAGTTACTGCTCTCATATTCTTGTGCAGTGGATTGACCTTTGTCAGCCTTTTCGAGTGGGCGCTCATCAACTCCTTCGTCTTCTGATGAAAGGTCACTTTCATTTTCCCGCGAATCGCTAAGTTTTTTCGTTTTTGGACTTTTGAGCAGAGGTTTGTCCGCTTCCTTTACCTTTCTTCCATTTCGTACAGCGATTCTGGGGTGACTCCTTGCTACTCGTATTCTTGTTGATGACTTTCCTTGATGATCAGAGTTTGAACTCTGTTCCTCTTGGTTTGACTTTTCCAGTTCAATTTCTTCAGGGGTCATTAACGGCTTTTCGGTCGACTCGACCGGCGGACATTCCTCACCGTTATCGAGTGACCTTTCCCCGTTTTTTGCCTCAGTTACTGGGTTGTGCTGTTCCTTCGATATCCTTTCCACTTCCTCTTTAAATTTTCTCCACATCTCCCCTCTATCTGTTAACATCTGTGCGATGTTGAGGGCTGATGCGTGTGATTCTTCTGTTTCATTCGACCCCCTTTCAACCGTTTCCTTTCCCTCTGCTTCTTTTTCAGTCTCTTTATCCGTTTCCTCCTGTTGGACCGTTTCGTAACCTTTGGGTCGTTTGGGACCAACGAAGACGCAATTTGCCATCAATTCTTCGGTGACCCAATCATCGCTTGGAATTGTTTCGTACATGCACCACGTATCTCCTCCTCGTTCTGGATAATCCACTCCATCTGGGTCCGGTGCAAATGTCGCCTTTTTCTTTTCCATCCACCCCGGTAACCTTCTTTTCCGGGATACTTGTAATTCTCGTATCTCTTTTGTATCAAATATGGGGATGTCCGCTTCAAATTTCATCCAATATTTGTCAAATATGTCCCAATTATCTTCTTTTAGTGCTTTGCAAAACACCACGACGGATTCGTATACCGGTGTACCAAGTCCTGTCGGGAATGTGACTGTTCTTCCTTGACCTTTATACATATGGTTTATGCGAAGTCCCAGAACAGTTCTATCCTCGCTTCTTCCCATAACTGCACCTCTTCATTCATTTCGTCCATTTCTCTTTCAAGTTTTCGTTCCGTTTTTACTGGATCAAGGGGATCTTGGTATCCATTATCCACACGTTGCTGCCAATGGTTTAGCCATTTTCCTCTCCCCATTATGAAGTTCTTCACACTTGATAACCATGCCCGATATCTATTCCAATGATATCGTTCAATGTGTGGTTTCCACATTACGTTTGTCCGTATTATGCTTTTCAGTTCTTTTTGGACATGACCTTTAAGATCTGCTATTGCAGCGTTGCATTTCGGCCATTCCGAAAGGTCATCTTGGGAGGCATTGTCACGACATTCGGCACATTCCCATTGAGGCTGTACCCTGCACGGATCTTCATAGTAACCGTGGTGACAACTCCCAGCTCGTTCTTCTGGAGTTAATGTCCTTTGGCTTATTTGCGGGTTATTAACTTTCTGTGCGGTGACATCTTGTTCGCGTTCAATTTGGATTACGCTTGCGTCATCAGAGGATAATTCGATAACTTCCCGTTCTTTATCCACTTGATGACCTTTCAATTGTTCAATCGCCTTGTCGCGGATTTCACTTGTAAACATCTGTTCTTCTTCGGCTATTCGTTTCAACACCCGTAACCTTTCACTCTTTTTATCCTTCCACACTTTAGCCGTTTTTATTCCCAGTGCCTCTGGTACTGGGATAGGCTTTGCCCACTCCATGCCAGGCACAAGCGACTGTTTCGCTGCAGCTGTCGCTTCCTTCTGTGTGGCAGCTATCTCCTCAAGTGTTGGTGACCTTTCGTCATTGATAGCGGAGTGTGGTTCGAAAAAGGGTTTCTTTTGAGGATCATGTTCTGTTACTTTTTCTGTGGCTTTATCTGGTGAACTTTCATTTTGGGTAGCAGATCGTGGTTCGAAAAGATTCGAAGTACGCTCTGGTACTCTTATCGCCGGTGACCTTTCACCTTTCTTTCCCAGTGCCTCTGGTACTGGGATAACACATTCTTTTTCTGTGGCTCCTTGCTCGCAGTCATCTGCGATCATACTTCTCTCGTCCGAGAGAAATATGATCGCCTCCTCCATGTCTGGCGCAAGCAGTTCCTTTTTCCTTTCGTTGACTTTTTTGACATTTCCACTTTCACTTTTCTTCTCCGGTGCCTCTGGTACCGGGATTGTCCGTTGGCTGATCTCGTTCTGCTGCACTCTCGTCATTCCCGGTGCCTCTGGTACTGGGATGACCTTTTCTCTTCCCTTTTGTGTCAGCATTGTCCGGTTTAATGTATTTTCAATCTCCTGCTGGATCACTTTCAACTGCTCAAATGTTGACAATTCTTTTTGCGCCATCTTTTTCTTTTCGTTTCCCGGTGCCTCTGGTACTGGGATTAGCGTTTTATTAGCGGTTTGAGCGTTTCCCGTCTGTTTTACAAGTTCGGTGACTTTTCCGACTTGAACTTTGGCGACTGGTTTGGGGTCATCTTCTTTTTCTTCTTCGCCTTCATTATCCATCAGTACGAACTTCTTCTCTAAGAAGTCGAATCCCAGTAACACCTGTACGTCGTCACACTTCGGTCGGACGTAGAATGAATGTTCACTTGTCTTTTCTCTCAAGGTCACTGGTGCAACGCAGTAGTGTGTCACCATGAATCCCGACGTTCCACTAATTCCATTTATCTTCACCAGTCTGTCTGGTGGCAATGGGTGCATATGAAGTCCATTCTTCTCACAAAACGGTTTGCTGATCAGCGACGTCTCAGCGCCGGTGTCCAACATTGCGTTGACCTTTATATCTCCCACCTTCACTTCATGTGTGTAAGCTTCAATTCTCTTGGGCAGTTTTCCGTTTTGAATCTTCAGTGTGTGAACCTTACATTTCACAGGGATGAGCGATACTGGTCCCGGATCCATATCGGGAAGCGCTTGTCCTTTCGTCTGAGTGCAGTTACCTTTGAGTATTTCGCTCAACTTATCGATCCTGTGTGGAACGTCAGTTCGAACATCGTAATATTTTCGCGGTTTTGTCTTGTCAACTTGCTTCTCTATAGCCGCTTTACCAGTGGTGACCTTTTCAGCCTTCTGCACTTGCTCGTTAGCTTTTGTGCTATCCGCGTGACCTTTAGTCACTTCATTTATCGTTTGATGAATCAGTTCCTCTTTACGGTTTTCATTTCGTTTATCTCGCAACTTCTCAATGACTTCACTTGTTATTTGGTCAGCTTTCTTCAAATCATCTTCTTCGCTATCTCTCATCTCGTCCGGTGACCTTTCATATGTAACCATGTCGTATCCCTTCTCGGTCATCCATTCGATCACCTTTACAGACACTTCATTGTTCGTTTTCGTCGGGTCGATTTGTGAAGACATTCCGTCTGTTCGGGCTGGTGACTTGTCATTGGCATCCTTTTGCAGTGCTTGTGATAAGTCCCGTGACCTTTCAATTGCGCTACTCTGTTGTGTTTGCGCCGTCTCATTTAACCGTCCTTTTTGTTCATTTTGCGCTAAGTCCTGTGACCTTTCGTTGCGCTTTATAACAAATCCGCCGCCTGACAACTTTTGTATGGGAACTTTTTCTCCATAATTCAACGGTTTATCTTTTGGCGGTGCATTTCGCGGGTTATTCATGTCAGCTTGTTTATTCTTGTATTCAGTCGCGTTGAATACTGGGGCAGGGTTCGGTGACCTTTGCGTTAGTTTCCCGGTAACTAACTCTTCTAATCGCTTTCTTTCACATTGCGTTCGCAACTGTTGCATGTCCCAGTAATCTTCTTGTGACATTCCCGCTTTCTGCTTTGCTTTCGGGGTCACGGGTATCCACATTCCGTGATTCCCATTCGGCCTGTAGGCCACTTTTTGCCACATTTCCTTCTGTTGCAGTGTTACTGCGTCAACGAGTGAGTCATCGGAGTTCTGTTGTGCCGTTTCGCTATCCTTTTGCTGCGCTGTTCGCAGTGTCAAGTCTGTCTCTTGACCTTTTAACACGACGCTGTCGCCGTGACCTTTTGCGTTCGCACTTGTTCCTTGACCTTTCACTCGGACTTTTCCAACGGGAGGTGACCTTTCATTTTTACTGTTGTATCCAGGTATGTTTTGCTCCATCCATTTTTGCCTTGACAATTTCTCATCTTCGTCTTCTGAACAATCCCAAAATTTTGGCTTTGTCTCTCCGTAAGAGTTACAACATGACTCATTCGTTTCATCATTTTCCGCCAAATATTTCCGGAATTTCGCATGTTGTTCGTTTTCCTCTTGCGCAGTATCGTTCTGCGGTTTCTTCTGATTCAGCAGCGCCTGTTTAATCTTCGCATTCCGTTGTGCGCGTCGTTGCGCTAGCACTTCTTCGCTGCAGTACGGTGACCTTTCGTTTTGCTGCGCTGTTCGCAGTGTCGCGCTACCGTCACGACATTTTCCACTCGCAGTACCATTCTGCGGTGACCTTTGGTCCCGTTGCGCGTTTCCACTCGCAGTACCATTCTGCGGTGACCTTTGATTCTGCTGTTGTGACGGCATCCTTATAGCCGCTTCGATTTTCTTTTGCAGCGACGACATCCATATAGCCGTCTCATTTTGCTGTGGCGGCATCCATATAGCCGTTTGCTGTGGTTGCGGCATCCATATAGCCGGTCCACTTCCTTTTTGCGCTGACGGCATCCATATAGCCGTCGCAGTGGTCACGTTCACTGCAGTACCATTCTGCAGTGGTGACCTTTCCGTTCCCTTTTTATCCGGTGGTTTAGGGTCGGGGCGATCAGTAGGCTCACCGGCGCCTACTGATCTTGCCCGTTTCCCTGAACCGGCGCACCTCCTTGTTGCGCGCCTTGCACATTTCCTTGCAAATTTCCTTGTTGTTGTCCAATACCATTTGCCGGGTTGGGGTTCTGTCCGCCGCCATTATTGCATTGGCCACCACCCTGTTGGTAGTTTCCTTGGCCACCTCCGTTTCCGCCGCTTTGAGTATTGCCGTAATTTCCGCGGCCAAAGCCTCTGTTTCTTCCTCTGAAGCCGCCGCGGCCGTAGCCACCACGGCCGTAGCCACCATTTTGGCCGCCGCCATTGCCGTTTCCGTAGTTCCCGTTGCCTTGTTGGTTTGGGAAGCTGGCTTTGTGCTGATACCATTGGGTGATAATGTCGTATCCATTTGCCACCGCTTGGCGCCAACCGCCCAGTCCGCGCAATCGTTGCCATTCTCTGAAGGCAAACAGATTCGGGTTCTGTTCCGGAGGTGTGTTCGCGAACTTGCATCCTTGCGTCTGGTGGTTGCCATACATACAGTACTGGCACATTTGCACATTGTTCGCCACCCATCCATCAATTAGTTGAAACTTGAATTCAGTTCGTGACCCTTGATTCTGTTGGTTTCCTCTGAAATTTCTTTGAGCTTGACCTTGTCCCTGATTCTGGAAGTTCCCTTGACCTCCATTCCAGTTTCCATTTCCATAACCATTTCCACCGAGGTTTCCGTTACCCACTCCTTGTTGTGGTAATCCTACATTCATAGGAGCTACATTCTGGGCTACTGGCCTCACTTGAGCTGCTGCCTGTATCGCCGCCACCATTGCGTATGTTATCGGTTGCCCCGTCTGACTGTCGATAAAGGTCACCTTTTCTGTGACCTCTCTGACTGGAGTCTCCATGCGGTATTCCACTGGCTGTTGAACTGGTGCAACCGCCATCCTCTGTTGCGGTACGCTTTCAACCTGGCCTTGGCGGATGGTGACGTAATCTTGGTTACGTTGACCTTTAGGCGCTTTATATTTTTCTTCTCCCGTTGCCCAATGTCTGAAGAAGTCCTTTACATCCGTTGGCGTTCTACACTTTTGTGTACGCAGTGCCTTGTAGAGTTCATTATCCACTCTGCATCCTTCGATTAGGAAGCCCACTGCTTGCTTTTCCGTGATGATCCTTTTTGCTTTGAAACGCATCATCGCCTGGTAGTATTGGTCAAGAGATTCCTTCCCGAGTTCGAATTTTCTCGCATAGGCCTCGCGTAAGCCTAAGACTTCTTCGTCTCGGTCACCATATTCGTCTTTAAATTTATCCATCCACTCTGTTACTGAATATTCGATTCCGTCCTCTGATGCAATATCCTTCTCGCTTTCAAACCAAGTTTTGGCAGGACCTTTCACCGCGCTGGCTATTTCGATCATGATCTGATCGTCGGTGAGCTGGTAAGTTCTCTGAGTATCTTTTACCAGTCTTGTCCAACCATTTACAGTATCGCGACTGCCGTCAAAGGTCACGAGTGGTGTTTTCCGAGCCATGGAGTTAAGTGCTTTTGCTAACGCAAAGCCTCCTCTCGGGTCTTCTTCTTCTTCGCTATTTTCATCGTCATTTGTATTTCGCCTTGGCTTTGCATAACGGGATCGTCTTGGGCGCTCCTGACGACTAGAGGGTCTGTCTCGCCGCCCTTCATCAATGAACGCATTCACTTCAATATGTGGGGGAAATTGTGAAGGTTCACGTCGGCTCGAGTGTGAATAGCCTGATGGTGGTTCTTTTTCTTTATCGTCTTTGGCCTTTTCTCCGTCCTGTTCCACTTTGATATTTCCCCTGCCGGTGCCGGTCCGTAGTGGCATCTCGAAGTGGAAGCTTTTGCCCGTGCCCGTTTCCTGTGCCTTACTGTAACTGGGCGGGGGCGATTCCACTGTTGCTGTCTTGGCTCCGTATTGCAGAAGCTGTTCGTCTTTGTGTTTGTTTGACATATTAAGCGCTTTGTTCTCGTCTTCCAATCGTTTAGTTCTCAAATGGAGTTCCTCTCTTTCTCTTTTTAAATCGGAATTTTCCAAGTTGACCTTTCGCAGGTGTTCGTGCAACTTAAAAGTCTCCTGCTGCGTGACCTTTTCGTTTTCTTGTTCCATCCTTTTAATCTGCTCTACCAATTTGGTCACATCTCCTTCGAGTTTCTGATACTCTCCAGCAGCTGATCTCAGCTGATTCTTGGTTGCAATCAACTCATCATCTTTCGCCAGTGCTGTAGTGGTCATCTCCAGCAGTTCAGTATTCAGCTTTGTGATTTCTTGGCTCTTTTGAGCGACTTGTTGGTGCCACTCTTTGTCCTTCAGCTCCAATGCTGTGACCATTGTATCCAATCGTCGGGCTTCTTTTTGCCATTTGAGCCCTTCCTTGGTAACCTTCTGAATGTCTGCAGTGACCTTTTCGTTTTCGTCGTTGACCTTTTTAATTTCTTCTTTCAGGCGTTCTCCTTCAGAGGCTGTAGTGTCTCTTGCCTCGCGCATCGTCTTGATTGCGTCATTGCGTAGCTTTTCCGCTTCATCCGCACGTTTCTGGTGACCTTTCGATTCACGTTGTAGAGTGCTGATATCTTCCTCTCGCAGCTTCAGGTCGTTCCTGAGCTTAAACGTTTCCGTTGCCAGCCTTGTTAGCCGTTGTGTGACCTCTGCAAGGTTGGCGGCGTATTCATCCCGTTTGGCTTCCGCTTCAGTGACCTTTTGACGCAACTGGTCACATTCATCCTTCAATTGTGCCAAGTGCCGTGACCTTTCAGCTGACTCCTCTGACATACTCTCGTTGAGGTCACTGACTGCAAGATGACCTTCCATTTCTCTGTCATCTACCATTTTCAAATATTCCTCCGCGAGTTCCCTTTGGCGTTCATATTTGATTTTCCATTCATCCGCCGCGCTCTCCAGGTCAACTTGTTGTTGTTCCAATTCGTATATTCGAGTTTCCAGCGACGACAATTTTTCTCGGTTTTCTTTTGTCCGCTTCATTGCCTGACTTTCCTTGGCCTCGAGTTCATTTTCCAATTCCCTCACACGAGTCCTCAAAGTCGTTGTGGGGCTGTTTGGTGATGGTGGTCGAACATTAATGACCTTTCCCGCTTGTGTCCGTTCGATAAGGCGTTCCGGTATGTCTTTAAACGGCGTCATACCTTCGGCGCGATCAGCCTCTTTCATTGCAGTTTGGAAGGACATATTCATCGTTGCTTCATCGTCTGTGAAGTACGATTCGTTCGATTCGTCTGAGACCATTGGAGTTGCCCAAAGGTCATCGCCTACAGTCTTATCGTTCACTGAAAGGTCATCCAGTCCAAGCTCAGCTAATTCCTCTTTGGTGACCTTTGTGTTTTCCATTTTCAGTTGAGTCAGGTTCACATTTTTATCCTGCTCGTTCGTTCCGGTTGTAGGAACATCCAACTGTAATGCTCCGATTGCTTCCGCTTCCTTTTTTGTGGTTCCATCCTCCCCAGTGACCTTTGTCTGGTTCATCGGTTCACTTCCCGCTACAGACGCGGGAGTGTGTTTCTGGTCGTCACTGGAGCTTTCCTGGTTAGCGACCGCCTCGAGCGCCTTCTGGTAGGTGCTATCGGAGCCTCGCGAATCTTTTTCTCGAATGCCTTGGGCGCTCGAGTGTTCCGCTCATGTCCGACTGGACGTGAGTATGTGTGCAAGTCCTTTTTGTACGGGTTTGGTGCGCTTTGCTGTGAGCTGCGGGAGCTTGTGCTTCCCTGGCTGCTGGTAGATGTGGGTTGCTCCTTGTCTTTGTCCATGTTGATCGGATAACTTGGACGCTCCTGCCAATTGTTCTCGCACACACGTTATTGTATGGTTTATTCAAGTGTCCTAAAGGTCACTTTACACCTCGAAATTTTTCTAAGTCCCTGTTAAAGGTCACTTTTTCGATAAAAAGTTCGAGAGGTTTGCCCTAAAGGTCACTCTTCAGACAAAAACTTGAAATCGTTTTTACGATTCGAACACGTTTACGGACAAATTCCTACAGCTGTTGATATCGCTGTACTATTACGCAATTCAATCTCGCTTCGTTAAGGTCACTGTCAGTCACTTTTAAGTCATAAGGTCACTTCTAACTCAACTCAGCTAAAAAGGTCACTTTCCAGCTTAAGTGAAGTTAACGGTTTCTTTCAAGCTCAAATCAGTCAAAGGTCACTTTCCAGCTCGATTTCAAGTTCAGAATCGCTTTCAACTTAATTTCTGTTAAAAGGTCACTTTCAGTTCAACTCAACTCAAAAGGTCACTTCCCTTCTCATTCCGATTCAAATTTCTCATTACAACTCAAGTTCAACGGAAAATCCCCATTCGGGTTGTTTACTCCTTTCCTATTGGTCAGCTAGATCAAATTATTCGGTTCAATTTTCAACCAATCGGAGCTCAGATAACTGACCAATCACGTTCCTCCGTTTAAAATTTATATCTGCCTGACGTCACGGTCAACGGCCAGACATGCGCGCCGTGTGCAAAACTCCGCCTACGTCTATGCTCAGCTCAGAACGGACCAATAGAAATTGCCAATTTTATCAATTAGCCTATCCCGTAATTAATAACGGTTTTCTACCTGTTGACCGTCCGTTCCACGGGGAAGATGATCCAGATGATCCAGTTCTTCTCCAAATCCGTTCCCGCGTTGCCGCTGTTCCGTAGCGTGCCTCGCGCTATCAGTCTGCTACTGTGCCGGCTGTGCCGTAGCAACAGTAGTGATGCTCTACTGCCAATTTGGAGGAGTCTGATCTGTCTTTTCCCGTGCGCCCCTTTCGGCGCTTCGGCTCTTGTGCCCCACGGCTTAGGCTTCGCTGAAGCCTTGCCGAGTACCAGTGACACCAGTGTAGGTCTTCGCTGAAGACTCTACACCGAGGAACACTGGCGACTGAACTCTTGAACTCTTTCACAGCTAAGGAAACAGCACGGTTCTTCGCTGAAGATACCGTACCGAAAACCGAAGCTGGGTATCCGCGTCCGATGGGGAATTGCACCGCTTGTGGTGTGCGCTTTGCTGTCCGTACAGACCTGTGCCTTACTGGTCACACGGATAACAGATAACAGGCCAATTTTGCCTGACACAAATCAATTAAAATCAGAGAACCGCTGTCGGCTCTGCTACCATCTAAAGCTAGATCCAACTGTGATCCAGATACGGCGACCTAAACGGAATAGATCCCGTGGAGCGAGCAATGCGATATGTATTGCGAGCTATGCGGAAACACAAAACGTCGCACCGCTAATTGCTAACTTTTAATAATCTTGAAAAGTCTGGAGACCAGAATTCAACAAGTGATCGGCGCAGCTCGATCGTAAAGCGTAGAGCCCATTCAACAGTGTGTAACGCAGTGCAGCACGTGCTAAGCCGCGCCCACTAACACAACTCAAGCCAATCAAAAGAGACACAACACAGACACGTAATCCGGTGGCGTAGCGTTGCGGACGTGAACGCTAGTGAACCCCCGCTCACATACCGTAAGCTGTAATCATAATGACTTATTTTTTTGTGATTTTGGAACATTTCTGGTAGTATTTGAGTCAAATCGTCAAATAATTTGACTATTTGTAGTTTGTTTTAACTTGTTTGCCGCTTAATGGTGCATTAAATTAGTAACTGGTATCTCCAATATGCAAACTTTTCTAATTTTTTAAGTTGGCAGTTCTGGATCTCTGCTGCTTCGGGAAGACAAAATGTTTCGGTGTTATCTGTTGGAAAAACTGATTTATGTGCATCCGAATTTCTTGAAGTTGTGGTATAATTTTGAAAATCCGGAAAAATCAGAGCCATTTCGTTTGTCTCGGCACCTTCTACAGTGTCAGCTAGTAAATCATGTGAGTAGCTCAGTAGCAAATAAGTTCTCTTTTTAGTCGAAGTTGGAAGAAGAGTGTACGGTACGTTTGGTTTCTTCACTTTCTTGTAAAACGTTTATTCCAGTAAGTCCAGTATATTATTCCTGGTGTCTGATTACAGATTACATGAATTGTGAACAGATGTTTGGTTTTAGGTATTGCAAGGAATTGGTTTAGTGGTCATCGTTACAGATATATGGGACATAAAAGACGAGTATTTTGATCCCGTAGATGGTGGCATTTTCGTGCGGGTTCGCTTCCGCTGCAAAGTGTACTCGCCAGGTAAATACTAAAAACACTGTGCTTTCCGTAACTTCCGTGACGGTGATATGGCTACCGTCTACCTCTTGTTTACTACAGTATACGAGTAAATAGGTATTTTTATATCCATGTGGTATGAATACATATTTCTTTCATACACATAACTAAGTACGTTCATCCCGGACACTGCTTTAATGGAAAACTAAAAAAATTGTAATTATGTAACTAATCAAAAGAGCACGTTGTGTTGTACTACTTGCTATGTGTTGACATATCTCATATCTGTAACCTGTATGTACTGTGCAGCATTGATTTACAGTAATAAAAATAAGTATATTAATTTTCCAGTGCCGCGCTCCATTATGCAAGCTACCGTGGAAAAGATCGAGCCGGATGCAGTAATCGTTAGGCATTTGGGATTGCCTTCCGTGCGGTTTCCCCTCTCCTCTCTGCATCCGGAAACGCTCTTCAATGCCGAACAGAAATCGTTGGTGTGGAAGAAGACTCAAGTCGCACAGGCCGACGGCTCTGCCAAATATTTCGAGACCAAAGTGGGCGATAAAGTGAAGTACCAAGTGGACAAGGTGGAATACGATGAACACAAGCGCATTTCACCGGCAGATTCCGACGCGTGGACCGTGCATGCCAACATGAAGACGGTGCCACTTGGACCCGTTCACTGGTACAGCACCTTCCACAAACACACTCCCGCTCCAGCCCATGACCTCCTGAAAGAAGCTCTAAACAAACTTGATCCTGACCAATCGGATAGGTTGCGGTTTTTGCGAAGTGTATTGCCCAACCGGAAATGAAATTTGTTTTAATACGGATTCGTTGTTTTATGATTATGTTATTTTCGGCTTGCGCTGGCGATATGGCGTTGCAATGGTTGCTCTAGTTTTATTGTTGAATTCCTTTTGCACAGAAATGTTTGTAGTTCAATTTTGTACACGGCTACAGTGGTAAAAGTGCAGATCCACCAACAGTTCTACTAAATCAACAAGCAAATAGAATTTTGTATAGAAGTACAAATAAAGAATTAAAGAAAAACCAATTTTCACGAAACAAACAATAAACGAGCAAAAACAGCCCACCAATATTTAATAAGTACAGCAAATACTTTGACCAGTGACTATCATGGTCAAGTTTATTTTTAAATGCTTGGTTAGGTAGGTTTTTAACCGCTGGGTGTTGTCGGCTGACGCCGGCGGGCGCTGCGCTGCTGATCAAAACGCAGTTCTATTTCTTCGAGAAGTTTCGGACTGTATCGCACAACAAGTTTAACACTTCCGGTGGCCGATTTCAATAACTCTACGGCCTTTTCGTGGTTTTCTCCCTCCACATTCTATAAAAAATAAGGAGACGTGTCTGTAACTTAATTTTAAAAAGACATTACCATGACCAAAACTCATTTTGCAACATCAAAAACGTCATGAGAACTGTCACATACAATGCCGTTCACTGATAACAGCTGATCGCCGCGTTTTAAACCGCCATGTCGATCGGCTAAGCCGTCCGGAATAATACGTGAAATATATATGGGAGAATTCTGCTCCTTTCCGCCCATAATGTTAAATCCTAGTCCTTCGTCGGTTTTCGGCAGCTCCACTACTCTCGGATGCGAGTGGCCTTCGCTGGCAGCGAAAGCAGCCACAGTAGCCTATTTTCAGGGGAAATCAGATAATTATGCAGTGCCATTAGACATACCGATAATATTGCACATCTGCTCGATATAAACATATATAACTTCATTTTTTTCAGTCTAACGACACCTCAGTAAATTCAGAAGATAGAGATTTCAATAAAAGCAAGCTAGCAGAAAATAGCGTCCAACGTTGATAAGAAATTTCACCGTTTCTGTTCCAAAAAGCATTCACTTACTTTGGCTGTCGCATTTGCACGAACTTCCGGACTGCCAGTGTCCTGCACAGTCTGATAAACATATTCATACACTTCACGCACGGATGTGCAGAATTCACTCTGAAGAACACGCTGAAGAGCTGTTAGTTTTTGCACCGGAAGATTTCCGTCTGCAAGGACAAATATTTAAATAAATACAACATTAATAATATATACATTAATAATAAAGCTGAATCGCCCTGCGCAAACCGAGCCACACGCTATCAAACAAAATTCACGACACTACAAAACTCAGCAGATCAGCGTTCCAAACCGTACTTCGTTTCAGTCGTTCCAGCAGTTCGATAGCCCGTTGAACATCTATTTAAAAAGGAAAGGCAACATTACGTTAGGGACTGCATGATAAAGCCGTTAGGCTTTTAGCAATCACACTAAAAAAACTGCCATATGTTGCCAGTTGTTACGCTAAGAATGCATAGTTTCGCCTTTGAATGAGAACGGTAAGCCCATAAACATACCTCGAGAAAGATTTAAAGAGTCGCCGTTGTTGATAGTAGTCGATGCCGTCATCATGTTTATTTAACAGATGAGTTTGTGGTGAATCAAATGCGTCTTGTGTCTAACAGTACTACAACAAAACAACCACTGCAATACACAAGGCGTCATTAGCGGTGCTGTGCAGGGTCGTAATCATTTTGCACATCCGCAGTAAGACTGCACCATACGTAAAAAATAAGGATCTGTGCAGAGCTTCGAACTACGACGACACCCCTTTAGGTAATCAAAATTCAAAAGTGATCAAACAAGAAAAGAATCAGCTTCGTAAGTAAACTAAAAAATCAATAAGTTTCGCGCGTTCAAAAATGCAAAACATCAACAGCTGCGGGCTTCGCTCTTATTACGCAGAAGTTCAACTTCATACAACATAAGAAGAACAAATACTCATATCACGCACGATTCACGAGCTACAGTAAGTACGCATTACGGATATGTTCAAATAATTTAAATGCCTTCAATCGTGTGCTGGCTTACGAATCACGAATTTACGATTGCAGTATTAATTAAATCTACATTTATACGGAGTATTCTCCTGCTTCTCGCTTGACATAGTTTTATTGTGACAAAAAATATAAATCGCTAACCTGTTTGTAAATAAGTACTTATTCATATACCAGTGAGAAGAAACAGTATACTGTATAAACATAAGATGGCGTCGGTTACGTCATAAACTGGAGTTGGGAGCTGGACTTTCTAGTTACAATTCCCGGTTGTACTTTGTACTTGCAGCTCCCAACTGCAGCATATGATTCAGCACAACTGCAGCATATGATTACTGCATATGTACACTGTATAGAAGTACACTAACTAATTTACTCACTTACTGATAATCACACACACACGCGCTGGTGCATCTGCTGTGCATACCTCAAGGATGCTCGCAGCCCAGATGCAGCTACCTGTGCAGCCGTGTTGCACGCTTGCAAGTGGTTGTTTACATTCTTTTACCGCATGGAGCGGCATTGGCACATTAGCGCAACTGGCTCGTCAGCGATGTTGCTGCATACCATGCGCGTCTCTTATTGATTGAAAACACTTATAGTAATGCTGCGCACTTATAATATACAAATTATTTGTCAACTTATCGAGTAGTTTAATTGCTTAACTGGATTGTGCACGGCTTATATATAATTGTGAAACTTGACATGCGCCCAATGGTTGGAGTACTGTACGGATGGATGGATGGTACTGTACTATATGGATACTACTGTACACTGTACAGTTATATTGGTTTACTTTCACTGCTTGATTCAACAAGTTGTTTACATTCTTTTACACTATGGAGGAGCACTTTAACGCATCTGGCTCGTCAAAGCCTTTCAACGCATAGTAAGTGAAATATAATTACTTTTCAGTGGATATTACTAGCTGCTCTATTCTCAACTTATTTATACATATATAATCATGGAAACTAACAGGTACGATGGAATATTATCTTCTTTATTACTGTACATTATGCCTGTAGTGTGTAATCAATTTTGACAATTATTTGCAGTCTACTGCGTGCATGCTTATGCGTGCGTGCAGATCAACTGGAAAAAGTCCGCCAGGGTCGCTGCAAAATTTTTTCCACTGGAGCCAAAGCCACATTTCTGTTAACGATTACTCCGCTAATTGCAGAATTTATGAATTTCTTGTACACGAAGTAAGTGAAGCAAGTGTTTTTAGTTTATATTACGTTGTAACCCATGCTGTATTTGTCATGTGTACATAGTTTCGGGGCTGCTATAAACAACGAGGGTTTGAGTGGAAAAAGTTGGCCTGAACTTCTCAAAGAATTTTTCCACCTTGTCAACGGTATGGCGTAATTTGCTGATTCCGCAGTTTCCTGATTACAAAAATTATTATTATATGCTTGTATGTTTGCTCAATGCTTTTATAACAAAAAAATACATTTCGTAATAAAATCTTATTATCATAATTAATGAGTAATGTATTGTACAGTATTGCATTGTATATGTAGTATGTACCAGATACTTTTAAGGGTAAACGTTCTTTACATTTCTCAATAAATTTAGCACTAATGCTTTGTAATGCCAGGTAACAGAAATATGCAACGATAGCTTTTTTTGTAATTTTATTTACTGCTGCATTTAGGTTCCTAATAACAGGCGCAATTCGTTTTCAGCAGTATGAAGAGTATCAGCATCTTTTGCACCTAATAAATTAATTTTTCCAGAATGGAAAATCATCGCCATACAACCTTGAAGCCGGACTCGCATGGCCGGAAATATTTCAGGTTCAAACATGGCATCAGCTTTTGCTCTTATTGAGTTGTATAATTTCTCTAAACTAAGAAATTTCCCAAAATTGAAAGTGGCGACAATGTTAACAATTCTTGGATTCTTTAACGATGCTTTTTGATAGCCGTATTTTTGCAGTTTCCGGTAATAGTGATCCAATAACGCGAGAGCATCACTGATGGACTTTGCACCATTGACTGTGATCTTGCCGTTGCGGTACACTTGGCAGTGCGATTTGTAAGGACGAATGGAACGGAGAAGAAGCCCGGAAAATTTATGTGGTGCATAATGAGAAAGCGGAGCGCGTTCGGATAAGCTGGGTAAGTCAATTGCGCAGCCAAGGTCAGCAGTTGCAACAACGTTAGTTATTTTCGCCATTCAGCCAATTTGCAAATGTCTCCGCTTTTGAAAGCGTTGTTTGTGGTAATGAAGTAAGCTCCTTAAACTTCGGGCACCCAATGTCTTCAAGATTAAACACTTCAGGCAAATAATTTTCCAAAATCTTTTGCTTTTCCAATCCTTTGGCAAAAAACGTCAAACGCGCAGGTCGTTCACCAATAAGCTCCAGCATATCCTGAAGACAATCTCCACGATTATCCGCTTTGAAGTCTCCATTCTGTTATCGGTACGCTAGCAATGAAGCACTCCGTACCTAGCAATAGCTGGAAATGGATTCCTTAAATAGGTATCCGCGCACAACAGCTGATTTGAGATTCCGACTACCCGCTTCAGTCCTTGTTGTGGGGCCAACGACTTCGGGAAAACGACATATGTGTCAAAATTAATTATGGAGCGCGATAAATTATTTGACCAACCATTTGGACGAATTATTTTGGTGTACGGAGAAATGCAGCCAGCCTACGAAGTGCTTCAGCGCAAAGTCCCTTGGATTGAACTGACAAAAAATATTCAACAAATTGTGGAGGATGAAAATTATTTTGATGGTAAACAAAATATTTTGTTGATACTGGATGACGTGGCAAGTGGTTTGGTGAAAAATGAGCATTTGGCTAAACTCTTCACTCAAAAGTACACCATAAACGGCTTTGTGTATTTCTATTATTCAATAACCTATATAAACAAGGGTCTGCTATGCGAGACGTGCATCTTAATGCACAATATCTTATACTGTTCAAAAATAATCGTGATGTGAACCAAATCAAGATTCTAGAAAGGCAGACTGGTTTAAAACATCTCAGCGGAGCTTACGAGGAAGTCGGCCAGGAACCATTTCAACCTCTCATTTTGGATATGAAACCGGACACACCTGCCTATTTAAGGATTCGTTCAGCAATATTACCGGGAGAGTTGACTAAAATTTACATTAATCCACATACGACAAACTTGCCCAAGAATGTGTGATCAGATTTTAAAAGACTTTGCACCGTTTCTCCTTACCCTGCGATCGCTGAAACCCAAGCAGCGTCGTTTTCTTTTGGAAAATATTTCGAAACGACAACTTCGCTGTTTTGAAGAAATTTGTTTGAATTTGGTAAAGAATTCAGTGCCTCTTACCACCGATCAGCTAAAGGTGTGTCAGCGTTGGCGTCGACCATTAAAGCTGATTGCCCTCAAAAAATATCCTTTACGAAGCAAGAGGAAATTTTATTACAGCGCGGAGGATTCTTACCTGCGGTTCTACCTGTATTGGCAGCTGTTTTGGGAACTGCCTTACTGAAATGAAACCGGAAGTGCATTATATTGTTCCCGCGAGCGAAATGAAAAGACTTGCAAGTGACACGGTTGGTCGTATTGTAACGGATGTCCAATTACAACAGCAGCCTACTGAAGTTGTGGATATTGTAAAACTGGACGATTTGATGAGAGATATAATTTCACGGAATACGCTAAGCGAATGGGAGAAAGCGGAACTGTTATCAAGAAACTTGGCTCGCTTTTGGCGCTGAAAGAGTCGGCGTTCGGCCCTGACCAAATGGTTATTCCGCCTCCAGCATCTGTGCCCCCATTCCAGTACAACTATTAAAGAAGCCGTGGGTACCCCTAATATGCCTGATCGTATGTTAGATGCTTTCCCTCCTATTCCACCTGCACCCCCGACAAAACGCAAGCGTGCAAAGCGAGAAGTATTTGATGAAAACACTTTACAAATCGAAGGTCCCATCGGTTCAAGAACCAAATCCCAGTTCAACTGGATGACTATTAATAACAAATGAGTGGTGGTGGATGCGTTCCCTTTTCTTTGTCTTTGGGTGAAGGTATGACATGGAACTGCACATCTAGCTGTTGCGATGGATCAAGCAGTAGCGACGACGAATACGATGGCCAATCTACTGCTACGACAAGCGTATCTGAACCCTCAGCACCCGGGCAGCTTAACAGGGATTCAAAAGTTTCGCAGCCACTTTCCACAAGCACCAAACTATCAACAAACGCGGGAACAGCTGGAGCATCTGGATCCATATACAGTCCACAAATTTCGACGCAAAAGGTTCAAAAGAAACCCCGTAGTTGTCTCAAACCTAGCAGAGCAATATCAAGCCGATCTGGCAGACATGTCAAAATATGCGAAGCAGAACAAAGGATACCGTTGGATATTGTTTGTGATCGACGTCTTCAGCAAGAAAGTGAGCTGTCAACTACTAAAGAATAAAAGCGGTCTAGAAGTAAAACTTGGGTTGGAAAAGGTGTTTGCAGAACTCGGAGCTCCCATTAAATTGCAAACGGACAAAGGTCTTGAATTTTACAATAAGGATGTTAAGAGTTTTTTGACAGCCCAAAAGGTTTTTTGTTCTCTTCTGAAAATAAAGCAATCAAAGCATCCTTAGCTGAAAATGGCATACGCAATCTCAAGAAACGAATATGGAAATTATTTCGACACCGACAGTCTAAAGTGTACTGGGACGTTCTGGGAGATTTGGTAAACAGTTACAACAACGCAATTCATTCTTCGCATAAAGTCACGCCTAATGAGGTTAGCCAGTCCAATTCTCTGCAAATATTCAATCGACTATATGCAGAATTATTATTGGGAAAGCAGAAAAAGCCAAAGTACAGCGTAGGTGACACAGTACGAGTAGCCATCGACAAAACACTTTTTGAAAAAGGATATGAGTCAACATTTAAGGAGGAAATTTACAAGATACACCAAGTATTACCACAACAGCCCGAGCCCCTCTACGTATTACTGGATGAAAACGGGGACTTAATTCGCGGGAAATATTACGAAGCCGAACTCAGTCGTGTCAGAAATGGCTCATAATAGCTTTTATGTCACGCTTCCATCTGATGCCTGTATGCAACAGTTCCCAAAGAATAATGCAGCTGAATGGACCACAAAGTTAAAGAGCGTGATATCGCTACCGGGACAATGGGAAATGGCATTGGTGGAAATACAGTATCCTAATTCAATGTACAATTTACCCAGTCCCCAAACGTTGCACGTTGACCAAGTTACTTCTATGGATAGCAACGGTGTTTTCGCTATGGAGAGGGACACAATTACGGTACCTGCAGGGATCTATGAGAAAAGTGACATCATTAATTTTATCAACAGTAAAGTACCACGGTTAAAGCCATTTCGCGATTCTACAGCGAAAGAACAGGCGGCTTTCGAACTAGAATTATTTGCAACCGAGCCCAAGCTCAAAGTGAAATTTCCCAGCGTACGTGTTTTTCTGGATTTTCCTCCCTCATCTTTGCATCTATCCCGTATGCTTGGATTTAAAGAACGACGATTTTCTGCTGCACAGTCTGAACAATATGAAAATTTTTTAATGGAAAAAACGAATTTTGCTTCCGCAGCTACAACACTGTCCGACCAGCTGAAAGCCCTGGCAGAGTTGCAACTGTTGGAGACGTCTATAACAATGACAGCAGATAAGCCCGTAAATATGCACATTGGGAACCAGTCAATTTTTGTCTACTGCAACAAGTGCGACTACAATATTGTGGGCGATGAAACTATGCAGCTTTTGCGCGCTTTCCCCATTAAAGCAAGTGTTCCTCGCTTCGAAATTGTTTCCGAAAGGTTTGAGGATCCACATTATTTACCTGTTTTATACGATCGACTGGACACTATTGATATCAACATTGCAACTGATCTCGGAGAAGCGGCAATTTTTCAGACTGGAAAGTCAATGGTAAAGCTGCATTTCCGCCCCATTCAGTATTACTATCGCTAAAAAAATGCCCGTAATCCTCTTTGAGCCGTCACCATCGTTCTATCTGGATTTATTTGCGGGGGGCCGCCACGGGCGCTAATAGCCAGCACGGCTATGGAGCCGTCATGACACGCTATCGCGGGAGTTTAATGCAAAATGGCAGCGGATTTATGCTACCTAATTTCCTGCGCGCAATGTTTAGTAAATTAGCGCATTTTGCTGCCCCGGTTATTAAAGCAGCGGCACCACATGCCAGAGCAGCAATCGAAGCAGCAAAGCCCCACTTACGCGACGCAGCGACAACAGTTTTAAGTGAAACATCCAAGAAGGTAGGAGAGAAAATTTCGGAAGCGTTAACTGCGCAACCTCAACAGCAAGGAGGCATCAAACGGCTCAAGCAGCAGCACAAGAGGACAAAAGATAAAGAAACCTTCCTTCCGACTTAAACGGCTTAAACGGATTCCCCAAGAGAATTTGAGGACGCATTTTAAAATGGCTTTTATTTTGGAAGGAAGCGTGCCAGCTATGCAGGTCGAGTCGGATTTATTCTCCGTTCCGGCCACTCTAGCGGATTTTGTGCGGACAGAAGAAGAACGCATTCTACCAACATCAGGGCAAACAGAAGAAATTAGTTCTGGAGAAATTTCCTTTTACATTCCCCCTTCAACGTCGGCGCTGCTAGTGCTACCGGAAATTACGCTAGAAATGGATATTGCAATCAAAAAGCAAATTGCAGGACTTGGTGCGGCTACGCATATTGAAAACACGGATCTGGTAGCACCAGTGAACTTGATTGCGCATTCTATATTCAGCTCGGTAGAGGTAACAATGGCCAACCGCCTGATAACTAATTCCACCCCATTATATGCCTACCGAGCGTACTTGGAAAATTTGTTGGGGTACACACCGGCTGCCCTAAAAGCCAGGCAACAAGTGCTGGATTTTATATAGACACTCCGGGTACCTAGAAGATCATGCCAATAACGCTGGAGAAGTAACGCGAAAAGCTATGTTTGTGACCAACGAGTACGTCCCGTTCAGCGCCAAATTATGTACGGACATTTTTCAGCAGGGAAAAAATTTGATCACCGGTGTACCGCTACATGTGCGCCTCATTTTGAATAAGCCGGAATTCTACCTGCGTTCATATGCCAATCTTCCAGTGGATACCTTTAAAGCATACATTCGCAATCCGCGGTTGTACGTCAAACGCTTTGTGCTAATCCGGCATATTTGTCTGCGCTTACTGCCCAATTATCGACAAAGACTGTGAAATACCCTATTGAGCGAGTGTGTATGCGTGTTAATGATATTGGTATGATTCAGAGCACAGTGCTGGCTAATTTACATATTGGAGCAGTACCCAAATGTGTTTTTGTGGGATTTGTAAAAAGCTCGAGTTTTCACGGGCTGCGCCGAGGTAATCCGTTTAACTTTGAACATTTCAATCTCAACTATATAAGTGTCGAAGTCGACGGACAGTCGTATCCCGCACAAGCCTACCGACCAAATTTCGCCACGGGTGATTATTTGCAATCATATGACGGTCTGTTGGAGACGCTCGGCCGCTTGCACGCACCGGACGGGGCGCTGCCTTTCGACCGTAAAGCATTTGCGGAAGGATTTGCTATTTGGGGATTCGATCTGACACCTTCACGGACAGGCCGGGGACCGATGAGCACCGTGCGCCAAGGAAATCTATCAATCCGCCTGCAGTTCGCCGCCCAATTAACTGAACCAATTATGGCTATTACGATGATGGTGTGGGATAATATTATTGAAGTCAATTCACATCGCCAGCTAATTGCGGATTTTACAGCGTAAAAACCTAACGTAAGTGTTGTAAGACTTAAAAATGCCGTGTTGTTGCCTGCGCGGTAAGCTTCAGGGTCGCCAGCGGGGGTGGGCGCGCCGTCGGCCCCTTTTGACGCTGAAGAGAATCGTGACGGATGTGGTAAACAATGGGCGACCGGAGCGCTTCGCGCTCTCGGTCGCCCGTTGTTTACAGGACAAAGTGTAAAAAAAAAAAATTCAGATTTTATTTTGAATGCAGATTGGCACTAAAATGGACACTGCTGAAATCGACCACGTGCTACGTTCAAGTACCGTGACGAAAGACGCTTTTATTGGTGTATTTGCTGCGGACATGTTACCACCGTCCCTGCCAATGAAGCTGCCATGGGCATGCGTTGTCAATACTGACGAAGCTGCAAAGCCAGGCTCGCATTGGTTGGCGTTCTACCAGGACGTCCCGGGAAAATTGGAATATTTTGACTCTTATGGTCACGAACCGAGATTTTACGGCATCCATATTGAAAGTTTTTGCAAGAACGCCGAGTTAGTTATTTCGCAAGCGCATCGTTTACAAATGGAATGGAGTACCGTGTGCGGACAGTACTGCTGCTTTTTTATTCTAAAACGATGCTCCGGCGAGTCATTTACCTCTCTTATTCATTTGTTCACCAATAGCAAATCGTCGAATGATCGAATGGTTTGTGCTTATATTAATCATTATTTTGATTTGAACACTGTAATTCGTGATCGCTCTATGATAATTCAGTCTGTTTTCCGTCAAATAATGCAATAAAATCTGGCCATCCAAACCCTTACGTATGAGTGTAGGTGTAGTTACTTTGTACCGCAACAAATTGCAGTGCAACAAAATATTACACTACAGCAACATTGCGCTGCCATGTGGATGTTTTGTTTCGAAATATAAACAGGACATCGCATTTTGTACTCGTGGTCTTGCCAAAAACATGTGCTTCATAGCAGTTTTTCCTTACTGCATCTATTTCTATTTGGCGAAGCAGAATGGTTTTTCGAATTGTTGTGGACATCAAATGGTATAATCGTAATGAGAAGTCAATTATAACGGAACTGGCAATTAGTTCTGTTGATTTCCATTGTCTATATTACACCCGATTTTTGCTTCCTCCGGATAATTACATTGTTAGCAAGTACGGCATCAGTTCCACGAATGTCGATGAAATATTTGTTAAAGCTTTCTCGGACCTGGAGATTCAGATAAATCGAGCGTTCAGAAACTATCTGCAAAACGTTAAAGACCCCCTAAGCGTTGTTTTCTATGCGAAAGGTTCAGAAAAGTGCGGTATTATCCAGGATTTATTAAAATCTGATTGCATCAACTTGGACTCGTTAGGCTGCCCGCGCTTTTCCGATTTATGCAATGACAGATGCTACAGTCCCAACAAAGCACAGGCTTACTCAAACTGGATGCTGACTCAGTATCTAAAAAGTTCCAAAAAATGCTTGCTTTGCCGCATGCCGATCCCCGACACTGGCGTTCGTCATCATCGACGATGGCGCAGTCGAATTTCAAGACCAGATCTAAATTACTATTCGGGTACGTGCTCAAATTTTGATGTTCTTTTTTAAAACATTTCTGACAAGGTTTACGAAATTGCAGATGAACAGGGTAACAGGTGCTGCATCCGTTGTGGAGCTGTATTCATTTCCGGTGAGGACCGCACTGAACAAAAAAGGATCGCGGATATTAACATGCCTGACATTTTTAGCGCATGAATCATTGAGCGATCTGTTTGGAAATTCAGATGATAACAAAAATGCTGTAGCGGAATTTATTCATATATAATCTGAGTATCTTGGGTGCATCTTTGAGACTAGTAAAATCACGTTGCCAGAGCTCGTCTTTACGATGACGCAAGTACCTGATCGTGTACAGGGCAACTCTAACGCCTGTACTAGTAACCCACAGTTTGCTGATACCGCACTTTTTAATCATGATTATGCTCTTCTTGATCATAATTATACTGTACCACGAGCTGATCTGCCAGCTTTGAATATCGCTGACGAAGTCGATCCAGACTTGAATGACATTAAAGATTATTATGTGCTCGAAAATATCGGAGCAAAATATTCCCAGAAATTTTCAGTTTCGTTCGAAACTTACAAATGTACAGTGACGGGGCTGGATAATCTATCGTTCAAGTATGCTGTTAAAACGATAACACTCGTTTTGAAAGATATTCTGGAGAGTGTGATTGCTGCGATTCCAGCGCATAACCTGGTGCGAATCCGCATGTATCAAAATGCTCTGCAGTATCCAATTTGGATGCCACCTATTCGGCGGGACCAAATAACAATTGAACGGTGGATGACGACAATAAGGCGGATTCTAAACTCTAATCAGGCTTTTCTGCTAGACGAATCATTTGAACTGTCAGTCCAGCACACTGATTTGCCATCCGGATCATGCAGAAAAAATGTATCAAAATTGTTGCAGCGGATTTTAGACAACAAAAGATGTATTACCCAGATTCGAAATACGGACTGTTTGTGTATGGCCAGGGCTATAGTTGTGGCACAAGCGCATGCAGATGGCGACAAAGAGCTGTACACAAAGCTTTACCGAACCAAAAGTTGCAAGACCAGAAGACAAAAGAATTATTGTTGACTGCCAACCTGCCAAACAGAGAATTCAACGTGCAAGATATTCCCCGCTTTGAAGAAGTTTTACCGAATTATCAGTTTATTGTGGTATCTGTGGATCATGGAAATTCTATCGTCTACTGCGGCGCCTACTGCGAAAAGCGAATTATGCTGCTGCATCACGATCAACATTTTGATGTTTTAACATCTTTACCGGCCTATTTTGAGCACCACTATTACTGTTACCGTTGCATGAAAGGCTACGATCAAAGACAGTATCACCGCTGCGAGTTCAAGTGCCACCAGTGTTTGTCTGCAACTTGCAAAATGAATAAGCAAGAAACCATACACTGTCTGGACTGTAACCGCGATTTCTATGGGCAAGATTGTTTTGACAGACACCAAGCTGGGAGCAGCACCATCTGCGCAAATTTTTCATTTGCCGTGAGTGTAAAACCTTTGTCTCTATGGTAAATCGCCGTATGAAGACCAATTACGATACAATTCATGGTGAGGACAATGACCAGGACCACGATATTGCTGAGGAAATCGAACTAGATGTTGACGATCAGCAACATCGATGTGGTGAGTTTTTTGTGCGACTTGCTCGTTATTCTATATGCCGGAGGAAAACCATGTGTGTTATATGAAACCCGTGGAATTTACGGATAAGGAAAAGGCCAAGCACCATAACGACAAGCTGGCATACTTTGACCTGGAAACATATCAAGACGAGAGTGGAGAATTTAAAGTCAACCTAGCGGTGATCGCGACAAAAAATGAAAAATTTATTCTTCCAGAAAACGGTAATATTAACGGCGACATTTCACAAGAACTTGGCGATTTCATTTTCAGTGAGCGTTTCCGTGGCTACACATTTATGGCGCACAATTTGAAGGTAGCGAAAGTCAACACGTTAAGTAACTTCTTTATTAAATAAATTGATAATTCATTTTTCAGGGATTTGATGGATACTTCATTTTGAATTATCTCGTGAAAAACGGCGTTATTCCACGTCCGCTTATTTTCAACGGGAGCAAGGTTATGCAGATGGACGTGCCCAAACTCAAAATAAAATTTCGTGACTCTATGAACTATGTACCATCATCGTTAAAAAATTTTGCGAAAGCATTTGGTTTGCAAGAAACCAAAGGAGATTTCCCACACAAACTTAATAAGCCTGAAAACTGGAATAAAATAATTGCTTGGCCCGATCGTCATGACTATGGCTATCAGTCTATGAAAAAGAAAGAACGAAAGCGCTTCATGAAATGGTACCGCAAAGAGCGACGCCGTCACAGGAACAAATTCGACTTTAATGCACACTTTATCAAGTAAGCTAAACCCTTATGCTATTTACAGAATCGAACTTATCCGATTCGTTTTAGGTATTGCTCACAAGATGTCCTTATTTTGCAACAAGCGTGCGAAAAATTTCGAGCGCTTTTCCAACAGGTAACCGATGGATTATGCCCATTTGCGTCTGGACTAACCACACCCGGCATGTGCAATTACTTTTGGAGAGCGCGAATGCTGAAGGAAAACCAAATTGCGTTGATCGGCCCTCCTGGTCAGGGCAAAAAGTCATCTGTCAAAGGAGAGCGTTGGCTACGCTGGATTGAAATGGAAAATGATGTAAAATTGCAAAAGAGCATCGAATCGGTCACTGGACTGTGGATGGTTTTGATCGGGATACAAAAACCGCTTACGAGTTTTAGGTTAGTCAGCTCGATATAAATGTTATCGATCACATTCAAAACGCAATTCACCTTCAATGTTTTTGTGCAGGATGTATGTGGCACGGCTGCAGCGAATGCACAACAAAAAGCACGCTGCATCCCTTTCTGAAACGGCCAATGGAGGAAGTCAACAAAGCAACTGCCTTACGCCTTGAAGCTATCAAAACTATGGGCTATTCCGTAGTTTCGATCTGGGAACACGACTATGATAGCCGGCTCACTACTGACCTGGAATTTCAGAAAATAATTCAGTTGACCGGTATTGAAGAACCTATGCACCCCCGAGACGCATTTACTGGTGGCAGGACAAACGCTATCAAGTTGTACCACAAGTGCGATCCTGGAGAAAAAATCTATTCGCTCGACGTTATCAGCGAATACCCTTATATTAACAAAAATCTACCTTATCCGGTGGGACCGCCTGTTATCATTACTAAAGATTTTCCGCCTGTGAAGAGTATTTTTGGAATAATTAAATGTCGCGTCATTCCTCCACCGTCGTTGTTTTTACCGGTGCTACCTTACAAAACTGATAAACTGACTTTTCCTTTATGCGCTAAATGCGTGACGGAACGCGTAAACGAACCATGTTCTCACGATGATGAGGACAGGGCTCTGGAAGGAACTTGGTGCACTCCAGAAATTCATCGAGCATTAGAAGTTGGCTATCGTATCGATAAAATATACTCGGCTTGGCACTATCCAGAACAAATGCAGTATTTATTCAGAGAATACATTGACCTGTTTTGAAGCTGAAAACGGAAGCTTCTGGATATCCACCACAGTGTCAAACGGAAGATGAAAAAGACAGATATATTCAAGAATTCCTTGCTAAAGAAAATATTCTACTGGATAAAAGAATATTGCGAAAAACGACGCATTGAGAGCTCTTTGCAAGCTTATGCTAAATAGTTTTGGTACACATGTGAACTTATTTAATTTGTGCATGTTCATTATTTTTACGCTCATTGCAGGGAAAATTTGGTCAACAGGAAGACCGATCCAACACGGATATGGTGGAAAAGAAAGAGGTATTCCATGATTACTTGTTTTCTAACAAGTACGAAGTCGCCGGGTTCGATTTGGTCACCGATGAAGTGATGGCAGTTCAATACCGCTCCAAGAAGGACTACATTGCGACGAGCAAAAAGACCAATGTTGTTATCGCAGCTTTTACGACTGCGTACGCACGGCTACACTTATTAAAATTCATGGAAATGGTTGGAGACCGTTTGTTATACCACGATACAGGTGAACGCGCGAAACAGTATTATCGGCAAATTGCTCATCCACTTCTTTATTTTGCAGACAGCATTTTCTACATCCATAGAGACGATTTGCCCGATCCACCAACGGGAACGTGCTTGGGTGATTTGTCCTCGTCTTTACAGCCTGACGAGTACATTGACGAATTTGTAGCGCTTGGTAAAAGAATAATTATCTAGATAATAATATGCGAGCAACTTAAAATGTTAATTCTTTGTTGTCCCAGGACCAAAAAGCTATGCTTACCGGACAAATACTGGATGTGAAACGATAAAAGTCAAGGGATTTACGTTGACTCGGCAAGCGAAAAAACAGCTAAACCTGGAAAGCCTGAAAGAGATGCTACTGGAAAGCCTGGCATCACCGGACCAGCCAAGCGGAATTACCGTGAATTATCCGTTCAACATAACACGCAATAAGCGCAAGCTGGAAGTTTCGTCGGCGGAAATTAACAAACGATTTAAACTTACTTACTCAAAACGTAGAATTGTTGACTCTGATTTTAACACTCGCCCATGGGGTGATGTTTCGATTGAGTAAATCATCAACTTCCAGTGCGGTGCAATTGTTAATAAAAGTCCTGACACTGTGGCTTGCTCCGAAAAATGCTTCCAGCAGTATTATAAGAATTAACATAACAATAATGCAAGTCCCCACCACGGCTTCGCAAAAGTTTTTTTTTACACACAATGCGCGCCATTGTAACAAAAGTCACTTGTTTTTTTTTTCTAGATTTTATGCGTTCCGTGGTGCCTTTAATACTTACTTCCTCCCGAAAGACTGTAATTAGTTAACTATTGTATAAAATTTTAACTACATATATATATATATATATAGTATTATAGTATGCACTATGGACATACACTATACAATTGTGATGACTCATATTCTGGAGTTGGGAGCTGTAGTCATAAAGTCCAACCGGGAATTGCAGCTGGAAAGTGCAGCTCCCAACTCCAGTTTATGACGTAACCGACGCCATTTTATGTTTATACAATATACTGTTTCTTCTCCAGTGCTATAAAAGATTAATGCCATCTAAATTCGAATTACGAGTATTTACCTGCAGGATTACCGGTGCTTAATAGTTAATATTATATCGATAGTATGGAAACTATGGATGGACCGATCCAGTTGCGACTTTAAACTTTGCGACTCTTTTGAGTCTTTTCAGCAGGGTGTGCAACAAATTAACACATCTTTCCATCAAATTGACACATCTTTTCTAAGGACGAGGGAGTAATATTCAAGTAAGTAATTTTATTCACAGTACTTTTTACTTAACTATGGTAAAACTGCCTTAATGTCATAACAGGTGCACCATCTACAGAAAGTAAAGTACACTGGAACGAATTATACTGAGAGAACACTACCAAATGGCTCCTAAAACTAGGAAGAGTGCATTTACGTGCTTTACGCATAAGTATAGATATACGCGACATTACGGGTACATCCAAGGATGCGTGCGCATTGCAGTGTGCTTATTTATAGCTAAGCGAGCATTGTACTTCCGATCCAGAAAAATCGATCGCACTTTAAAAGCAGCTTTTCAAAAGGATGTGGTGCCAAAAGCTGCGCATCCATAACCAGTTATCAGTTTAATCGCGGTCGATTCATTGGGTTAAGTGTGGCGAGTTGACGCTTCCAGCATTTGTAGTAACTTATATCTATAGAAGTATGCTCACTATATATACTGTATTTTGTGGATAGAACTCATATAAATTTCTTTGCGTTTTTGGAACCCTTTTCTTTGTGTACCTTACAGATTACAACAGAAACACGTACAACAAAGGCAAGATCTAGAAGCATCGAATCTCCTTTGCTGTCGATCACAAAACACCGCAGTAACTTCGCAAACTTAAATAATACGAAACACAACACTTTGAGCGACAGTGCTCGTATTTAACCACCACAAAGCCCGACAAAGGCTACCTACGCGGCGGCGTTGCCGGTACCGGCGGTACGTAACGTTAGCACAATGCCCGCACATAGCAGTAAATAAAAACATGTTCTAAAAATAAATAAAAAACATATTCATTTTCTATACAATACATAAAAACAAATCCACCTCGCAGCTAAGCCGGCAACAGACAGTCAGAACTTGTTGTACACATCACGCTCCGCCTCACATGCGTAATATTACAGAAAACATCCGCATTGAACGAACACGCATTTGCACTATTATAATCATGCATGTAGTCGTAAATCGTAATCACAAAAAAGTAAACACATTAAAACTGTGTTACATCTATGAAATAGCTGCAATGCCCGCTGGAAGCTCCGTACTGTTATCACCTTCGTCGGGGCCTTCTTTTTCTAGATCTTCGTCAGAAAGAATCGTAGGGCACAACGAGAAGGATCCCTTAGGTATGAACGTAGCTGACATGACGCACACAGCAATTATCGTGAAATGCACGCCGCCCACATAAATAATTGCTTCGTGAACGTCTCCGCCGTTCGCACCGCCTGTTCGCGCGTAAACTTGGTCCAAGTAAGTCCCCAACAACGGTGAAATTATGGCATATATAATTATGTACGTTGAGTACAGGAACGCCATGACCGCGCCCAGTGGGGATACCGCCGACTTGGATCCTTTGCCCAGTCGGGTCAGTGCTCCCTGGATGTACGCCGATATGGAAACATCGCCAGCGGCCCATCCAAATGAAATCGGAATAAAAGTTGCTGTAAAAAAACAGAGTGATATAAATTTTCTGCTTGCGTAGTGGCACAGTATATGCGCACGCTGAAAGCTTGCAGTTTACTAGAAAATAACTGTTTTCTAGTAAACTGTGACTAGTTTCTAGTAAACTAAAGATCTTACTGTTGCTACGTAAGATGTTACTGCAGGAATCGTCTGGTAAGCGGTTACTTGAAAATAACTGATCAAACATTTAGCAATTTAGAAACTAGATGTACTAATTAACTAACTAGATTGCACTTGTTCAAAGCGCATAATAAATTTTAATACTGTCTTTAAATTTCTATATATCTGTATCTATTTTTATGCAGCAATATTTCATAGCTTCACCAACAGAAATATTATTTACCAGCAACCATCCAAGCGTATCTCACATCACCAGCGGGAGGATACCAGAATGGTAGGTACCAAACAATCAATACAGTGAGTGAATCTATCCGTAGCCATGGAATGGGTGTCTTTACGTAATTTGCCAATATAAACACTGTCGCAGCACCGCATAATTCGCCAAAATTAGACCCACCGACCATAACTTGCGACCATGCCGACTCTCCTAAATATCGCTTGGCAATGACAGGTGCTAAAGCATTCTCCAAAAACCGGTGACCGTACAAAGCAACCGCATAACCATTAAACAGCCATATAAATTTCCGGCTGGTGAATATTATTTTTGCTCCGGTCCATATGGACGCAGCAAACAGATAAAATCCACCTACAATGGCTTTAATGTAACTAGGCTGTTGTTCGAGTTTGCCCAGTTTTTTCTTCTGGAATCCTAAATCGGATATAAACCACCAGGTGATTGCTGCAGCGGTGTACAAAAGTGGTGTGATAATGAAGGACATGTTGTTCCCCAGAGCTGGAATTAAAGCCAGCGCGGTGGCAAATGCGCCTAATGTACCGCTAACTTCGTAGCAAATGTGGACCAGTGAATCCATCCGGATGAGCTTCTTCACATCCCCACCGACAATGTCTTTGGGAATAACGCGCCTAATTAACTCCACCATGCCGTACGCGATGCCGGTTACGCAGTAAATCGGAATAATGCCATCCGTATAATATGTTCCGTAATACGAATAATCCCCTTTCTTGTGCTTTGCCTCCCAATCTGCCGGCTTAATGTAACCACCTGTTGCTGCGTCAACAATTAACAAAATTGCTGTAAACAGTCCGAAAACGAATACAGCCGCGGTGAGGACGGTTTTCGTGGGAAACCGTTGTATTAGCGGAGCAATTAGGATGGATCCGACACACTGCAGCGCCTGGTTGAGACCAACCAACAGGCCGACTCTTTCGAATGTTTTTGCAGTGGTATTGGTGCGAATGGCATCGTAATCGTACCGATTGGTAGCTAATGCAATGATGGATCCATTGAACGCTTCCAAACCAAACTTATACAAAGTAATTCCCAAGATGTATATAGCAATATTACGCTTTTCCAGCGGCGAGAATGACCGCCAGGTTTCGCGAATGGACGCTCTGACGTCAGGCATCTTGTTTTCGTGTCGTTAACGTTGTAACGGCGAACGGATTTCTCAACTACCTACAGAGTACAAGCAAATTTTTCGGGCTTATACTATTTTTTCAGAGTCGGATAACTGCAGATAATTAAGCAAAAACTAATAATTTACCAGCTATACATATTGTGCAATACAATAATACGGTTCGAGAGACCACGCGCACTTGAATCAGCGGGGCCACCTTATACACGTGGAAGTTATTAAAAAACAAGATTATTTCAATACTTTTATTGGCAGAATTTTATGGAATAATTATCTCATGCAGTGATCCAAATCCTCTATTAGCCAGTAAATTACTTAAGAAACTCCAAAATTAATCACGGTTCATGAGTAAAAATATCTGGACAATCAAAATGCGTGCGCCGGTGCACGGAGGATTTCCCCAATTCACTCTGTAAAAGTACATCACGCAATGGTATGCTACATGTAAGAACTTATGGTAATTAAAAATTTATAAGCATACCAGAATCACGACGACCGTCAGAAAAGATGAGAAAAACGTTTAGACGGTATTTGTAACTTTTCTTGTTATGCTAGCGCTACTATGCAGACTGCAGCTGACTGCCCATCTGCGATACAGAAGAAACCTTGAAAAAACAATTTCGCTATGGGTGCTAAAATGGTTTCTACAGTAAACATAAACATTCGCTTCGATTGCACCCAGATGTACGTTTAATCTGTTCCGCTTCACAAAAAAACAGAAGCAGACAACTGCACCGTGACAATGACTAATATTTCCCATACTTCTATAGATACCGAACTGCACTTCTCGGTAAACTGCCGCTAGTGTGGTTAAATGTCTACGAAAAAAAGGTAAACAAAAATTTAATGCCATCGAAAGGATCGTGCCTACAATTTTACCTCGTAAGTGCAACAGAGGCGTTATGTAGGTATAGGCAATAGCAGAGATCGTAAACTCTGTTTTTACATGTGTTTTCGAACACCGACATATACAATATTCATATGCAGTTCTATACTCCGTTAAAAACGATATTTATGAAAAAGTACCGCAAATTGTAAACAAAAAACCCAGTAAATTCAAAAAAATCTACGGCTAATAATTACCTGTGCCGACATGGAAATTACAAACCGGCATTTAACACGCTTTTAATTTGTCAATTTGACAGCGGCAGAATGTCATGCACAAAAAAATTTAAGGATTTTTTCAAGTGCTTGTACTTATTAGCACACTAGAACCACAATTTCATGAAACGATTTTTAAACGAAGCGCATTCAAAGGTTGCACCATCTAATTTATTAGATACATATTACAGTAAATTCAGTTAAGTTCACAATAATCATAACCGGTTATAATGATAATATCTTGTGGTATTTTATAGCTGTTATATTCGCAAAACTGTTATTATAAACCGAATTCTGGTTCGCTAAAATAAAAAGAAAAAGGACATAACGGCCTCACCTGACATCTTTAAAATAAACTAGCAAAATCGAAGGCGTCCTGATAATAATATACGCGGCGCGCGCAAGCCTTGATCCAGCATGTATCTGTATTTATAATATCATGATTATCACAAACGCATAGCGTAAATAAGAAATTTTGCACTAGCAGTTATGAGAATGAGAAACGGAAACTCTACTGGAAACCAGACGTGTGAAAATCAAAGCCTGAAAGCAGATTTGGAATGGATTATACGGTAGGAATAGGCGTACCAAGCGCCAACAAAAGAGTTTTGTGAACGATGATATCGTCTAACAAACAACTGCCAGAAGTATCGGCGATTTTTCACTGGCGTTGTAGATGCCAATACTTTTACATCGCCGATTACCGTGAATGGTATCGCATTGTTGCGCTACAGAATGCTGTTGAGATCCGCTTGAGAGAACGTGTCAGTGTGTATTGTTTTGAACGCTAGAGGCATTAAGCGTTGACAAAAAAAAACAGTAGCCAGGTATGAACAAAATCATGACAACTTTGACATACGACGCAAACAACTTGAAACAAGCCTCTTCCAAATTTTTTTTGCGCAAAGCAGCAATCCACAATAGGTTACGGCATAATCATTACCCGTGCGGTCTTTGTTATCACTTTCTTCGGCTTCTTCGAAGAGCGCATCGAATTCTTTAGCTCAAGCTTTCTCCCTATACAACATGTACAATGGCAGCTGTTAATTAAGTTTAATTTCTATCTTTTTATAATGCATGGCGTGGCGGCGGTGTGGTTTCAGTCACTTATTACTACCGAACACTGATGATCCACAACCGGAAGGGAGGGATTTATAAACATTCACAATTTTAACTGAATTGTTAAAACAATTCACTTCCGGCTGCAATGCTAAAGAAAACAAATTTTTAGAGAAAAGTAGAATATAAATTGCAAGGTTTACGCACGGATCATTTGGCACGACATTTTTGAGGAACAAAAAAAGTTCCCTCGTATTTGTTTTGTAGCGCTCTCTACCCGATAGGGCGGCTCAAGTGCCAAGCATCCGTCCGAGTGGACGGTTACGTATATATTTTGCCTTGTGGATGCTATGTACTGAAGTTTGCCCGTAATTCGCACTAGCCAGCCAGTTAGTTGTTTCCTCGCTCCTAAACTTTGGGTCTTTGAAATTTTTAATGATGCATTTTATTCGCATTTTTCGCTGTCTTTAAAAAATGGAGGTGGATACGAGAAGAGTCAGTCATGCGCCGCGGGAAGTGGCATTCGGCGTACATTCTGCCGAAGAAGTTCGAGCCATCTCCGTGCTAGAAATCAAGAATCCTGTTAGCTTTGATCAGCTGGGTACTCCGGTTACGGCGGGGCCTCACGATCCAGCTCTAGGTTCGTTTCCTATACAGGCTGTACTGTCTCTAGCCTCGTTGCTGGAAATAAACCGGACTAGCAGAATTTATTCTGCTTTTCTTAGGCGCGGTGGAACGCGGCGAAGTGTGTCCTACTTGTTACCAGATGAGCAAAAGCTGTCCAGGACACATTGGGCATGTTGCGCTACCGGTGCCTGTTTTCAACCCAATGCTCTTCAAGACTTTGTTAAGGGTAAGTAAATTGGAATGAGGCTTTTTTTGAATTTATTTTCCAAATTTTAGTTTTCGACCGTTTAAAATAAGATTCAGTTTTGTTTCATAGTAGTAAATTTCACGAAAGTGTGCGATATGTCCGATATCGTAATTTTATCAATAATTCTGGGGTTTATTCGTTTTGCTGGTAAAATTCAGAGTCTGTTTGCGTTTTCGCTAAATTTGTTTGTTGTACCGCTTATACGTACTAATAATATTATAATCTGGGAATTTTTTGGTCGGGTACGCTTCCAGATTCTGAAAGGCAGTTGCTATTCATGCAAGTTGCTTTTGTGCGAAGGGAGAACAGCCACAAACTTCGCCTGCCAGATCAGGTTAATTGAAGCGGGACTTACCAATGTAGCACTGGATTTTCCTCTGCTGGCGAAGGGCTATTTGCTCAACAATCCCTGTCGTGCTGAAGAAGTTGCGGAGCATTTAAATGCTTATGTGGATCAGCTCATTGAAGGTAGGCCAACTGTTTCGAAAATTAAAATCTCTCGTCATAAGCACCAGCTCCTACAAGATTTGGTCCGGCTCTAGGAAATTCAACGAATGATCAGAATACAATTGATTCTGCAACTGTTTTGAAAGACAAACAGAGTGTGGTGAAAGAATTCCTGCACCGGTCTTTGGGCGCGAATAAAAAATGCTATTTCTGCCTTGGCAAGAAATGGACTATCAGGTCGTATTTCGATCGGAAAATCACTTACGTGGTGGGCGGAAGAGGTGCTCGCCCGGAAGGAAGCAAATCGAAACCGAGACCTAATAAGAAAAACGTGGATTTGGCATTAGCAGCCGAACAGCAACAGTATGACTTCCCTTTTTGGTATTTATTTTATTTTTGAGATGAAGAATACGTTATAGGGAAGAAGAAACAGTCCCTGAACCCGAGCCTATTCCGCAACCAGAAATTCCTGCAGACAATAGAGCGGTAAAAATGTTTTGCATGATTGCTGATTAATTTTTGCAGCAGCTATTTTTGATTTCAGCACGCGTTGTCACCAACCGAAGCAAGGGAATACTTACGAGAAGTCTGGAGAAAGAACAGCGAAATTTTAGCAGATTTATTCGGAATTTTCGATAAATCACTAGAAAATCCAACTGATATTCTTTTTATTGATGCTCTCATGGTCTCGCCACCTAAATTTCGTCCGGTAAGAATTGTTTTACAATTTTGAAATTGCGTTTTCTTAAGCACACTCGCGCTTTCAACGCCGGCGTGATTTTCGGTGAGCGTTTTAGTACTAATCCTTCATTTCAGATTCGTGTCGTTGATGGATTTCGTTATGCTCACGCGGAAAGCAAAAATCTAGAGCGGATTATTCAATGTTGCAATAATATTCGGATTTTAAGGAGTTTTGTAAAACAAGGCGCCAGTCCAAAAATTGCATTGGTAAATTTATGATTGAATTTACTGTGACTTGTCGCACTACTGTCCGGTTTACATTTTTGGATTGTTAACTGCTCTTGTTCGTTTTACTATTGTTGATTGTTTTTCAGCCAGAAATTCAGCAAATTCCCGGTAACACGATGGAAGCTAAACTGCTGGAAGCATGCGACAGATTACAGGTCTACGTGAGCAGCATTGCCGATGGTGATGCCGATAAGATGAACCCGGAATTTTCTAATGGAGTCAAACAGGTGATGGTGGTGTTTTTAGCACGCTGTGGATAATGTTCTGGTCGTCTAGTCCGGATAATAATGCGCCCATTTACACATGTAGATCTTGGAAAAGAAGGAGGGTTTATTTCGCATGCACATGATGGGAAAACGAGTGAATTACTCAGCGCGTTCTGTCATTTCCCCTGATCCTTACCTCAAACTTAACGAAATCGGAATTCCGGAGTACATTGCCTTGAGATGGACGTATCCGGCGGTTGTGACCACCAACAACATTGATCAACTTCGAAAGGCCGTAATCAATGGACCTGCTGTGCATCCCGGGTGCGTCCTGTTGAAGCTGTATTTTGAAGTTATTAAGTTGTATGTAGATTCCGCTGAACTTGAGTTTTCGTCAGATATTTCTCAATTTTTATCTACTTTTTTTAGTGCTGATAAGGTGATAAATGATGACGGAACGGTAACAATATTGAAAGCCGACAATCCCAAACAGCGAATGGCTATTGCCAAGGGACTTCTAGCGGGATTAAAAGCGGGAGTGACGAAGAAGGTTCATCGTCATCTTATTAACGGTGACATTATGCTGTTAAACCGTCAACCAACCCTGCACAAACCCAGTATTATGGCACACAAGGTATTCATTATTTCATTCCGTTAGAATAGTCTTTGGAATATCGTTATCATTTCTCTTCCTCGCAGAACATTTCTTGAAATATTTCGCATAGGCCCGTATCCTGAAAGGAGAAAAAACCTTGCGTTTGCATTATGCCAACTGCAAGTCTTACAATGCCGATTTTGATGGGGATGAAATGAACGCCCATCTTCCGCAAGACGAAGTCGCACGATCGGAAGCTCATTCGATACGTGAGTAACAAAATGGAAAATAAATACATTAAAAACAAAATAATACTGGTAAGAACAACCACCAATAGGATTGTTTGGCGTTTGTAGTGAACGCTAGTTATCAGTATCTTGTACCGAAGGATGGTACGCCTCTCAGTGGTCTCATTCAGGATCATATCGTTGCTGGAGTTCATTTCACCATTCGGGGACGTTTCTTCAACAAAGCAGATTATGAGCAACTTGTGTTTTCGGCTTTGGGGGATTTGCATACTTCTGTCCGGTTTCTTCCCCCTGCGATCTGGAAACCTGCGCCTTTATGGTCAGGAAAACAGGTACAGTAAGCATTCCATGAAAATTAGACAGTGTAAATACTTAATAATTATAATAAGAAACCCAGCCAGCAAAGTAAGTGCTTTTACGCTTGACAACGCATTCAGTTGCGAGTAACGGATTAATATCACTTCGTAGGTAATTTCAACTATAGTGATAAATCTCGTGCCAGAAGGAATGCAACCTTTGTCCCTCCGAACCGCTAGCAAAGTCCCACTGAAAGTACGTTATGGATATTCTGCTGCTATTTGATTTTCTTTTTCGTGTCAAAAAGCTGGAAAATTGCGGCGCTATAATTTACTGAAGTGTTTTCGTGCAGAGTTGGCAGACTAATCAAGGAAGAAACCGGAAAAGGCCAAATTTTAGTATAGCCTTGAGCGACGACAAGGATATGACGGAAAGCGACGTCATATTTCGGCAAGGAGAACTGGTCTGTGGAGTTTTAGACAAGGCGCAGTATGGTCCGTCATCTTTCGGACTTGTGCACGCTTGTTTCGAGGTAGACAATTGTTTGAATTATTTTATTGTTAAATTCCGTGTTCAGTTGAAAAATGAGAAAATGGATATTGCAGCTGTATGGCGGAGAGACTTCAGCTCAGCTACTCAGCAGCTTTGCCCGATTGTTCACGTTCTTCCTTCAACTGCAAGGTTTTAGTTTGGGAGTGGAGGACATCTTGGTTGCCCATGGTGTAAGCTGTGAAATCTACTTTTCACCTACTGCAAACGACAAACCTTAATGCTCATCGCTTGCAGCAAACAGCACTCTCTTATTTTTGTTATTAATATTTGATTAATTCGTTTCTTTGAAAATTGCAGGCTGATTTTCAGCGGCGTCGAATTATGGCGACAGTGGATCAGTGTGGACCGGAAGCTGTGGCGCAAGCGCTGCAACTGGATGCTAATTCTACATCGCCGGAAATGCTAAGAAATCACTTCGAAAGGGCACACCGTGCCGCAGATCAGAGCGACATGAAGGTTATTGATGGGACAGTGAAAGGCATGGTTGATAAGTTGAATAACGATATTACACGGTATTCAAACAGACTTCAAGATACAATTTCGTCTACCTTGAGTATCCTGTTAATTTTTCTGCTTTTAGCGCTTGTATGCCTGGTGGTTTGGTTAAAGAATTCCCGCAAAATCAGCTGCAGACTATGGTTATGTCCGGTGCAAAGGGTGCAACGGTAGGTTGAATATTAAATTCTTAGTCTTGCTTTTCGATGCTTCCGGCAGAGACTGCTGTAAATACGTCGTAATAATAACGGATTTGGTAGGTTTAACAATCTATTCCAAGAATGTTGAGTTCTCCATTTTCATTGATGATTAGGGAGAAATGATCTCTTGGTAAAGTGAAGGAAAGCTTTCCGATTTTAATGAGTAGTATGCGTACTGTTGTCGAATATTATTTTCGTCGGAAAGTTTGCAGACAATGAATTCTTTTTTCGTTCGTTAGGTGAACTGCATTCAGATGTCGTGTCTTCTTGGGCAAATTGAGCTTGAAGGCGCTCGCCCGCCCTTAATGTTAAGCGGTCGAACGCATCCGTCATTCCGGCCGTACGAGTCGTCGCCGCGATCTGGAGGATTTGTAGTGCAAAGATTCGCCACTGGTTTGAGGCCGCAGGAATATTTTTTCCATTGCATGGCTGGTCGCGAAGTATGTTTGCTAATAAATCACTTGTTAATTTTGATTATTATGAAGATGAAAGATGAAGATTCTCTTAGATAAAAGAGACTCTTGATAAAGATTTCTCCGTACTGCGACTTTTTGTTTCGCACTACTTCATATTTAACTTTCTGTCCACATAATGCTGTAATACACTACTTTCTAGGGTCTTATCGATACTGCAGTCAAAACTAGTCGAAGTGGCTACCTTCAGAGATGCCTTATCAAACATTTGGAGGGGGTTGTGGTTAATTATGATCTGACAGTGCGTAACAGTGACGGTGGTATCATCCAGGTAAGCGAATACCGAAGTATATGGTACAGCGTTTTTGACGCATCCAGTTCTAACAGCGCTTTACGTAGTGCCTACAGAGTATGTCAATAACATCGTTTCACGTGTTTCAGTTTTTGTATGGAGAAGATGGACTGGATATTGGCAAAACTCCGTTCTTTTCGGAGAAACAAATGCCATTCCTGATCTCAAACGTTAATCATTCCACCAGATCTGAAATAAAAAGGCTGTCGAAAACTATCGATGTCAAAACAGCCGCTGTCCATGATCGCTCGGTATGTTTAATAGTGGTGCTAAATAGTATCAGCTGTAGATACTTATAATTTTGTTTTTCTGAAATTTCTGTGTGACAGTACCGCTTTTGCGGTGGAATGTGACAACATTTCAACTTCGTTAACTTTTTTTACGCAGACGCGAACGTACAATACGTGTATATTTTCGTTAAAACATTACTGGTTGGTAAGGAATATAAAATTGCTAATTTTTTTGAGTTGTTCGATGGTGTAATATGACAAATGCTGAATGTCAGAGCAGCAAAAATTTAAAATCAACAATCTGCTCTGTATAAGATGATTTATTTCATGCCTAACGTTTAGGTGAAAGCATGGAAGGAGGAAACAGTTAGACTGTCGGCAAAAGCCAGAAAAAAGCAGAAACTATTGCAAAAGGCACCAGATGAAAATATTGCCTTGCTACAGCTGCCACGGTATGTGGCAGATCTTTCTTTGAATTCCGGATATTTGTGCACTGGCAGTCCATTTTAGGATCAGTCGGATGTCGGATACAGGAAGACAGAATGACACTGTCGAACCTACGTTGTCGGCTTGTCGACCGGATATCCATTTTGGGTCTATATCCGAGCGACTGCATTCAATTATGGAAAAGTACATGAAGAACCCGCCCATTTCGGGGAAGATGTGCCAGACACAGTCGGGCTTCAAGTCTCCAGAAGCACTGGTTCAGAATGTGGTAAATTTGAAGTATATGAAGTCTCTGTGTCAACCTGGAGAGGCGGTGGGGGCACTTGTGGGTCAGTCCATTGGGGAGCCTTCGACGCAGATGACCTTGAATACGTTCCATTTTGCCGGTCGCGGAGAAATGAACGTAACGCTTGGTATACCTCGACTCCGAGAAATCTTGATGACTGGGAGTAAGACCATTAAAACTCCCACTATGGAGGTTCCGGTTAAAAAGGGAATGGAAAACGAGGCGGAGTTGTTAAGGATTCGTCTGACCAGATTGATGTTTTCGGAGGTTAGTGGGTCGCTTTTATCAATCCAGGCTCGTTATTATGGATCGCATTATTGTGTATTGTGGTACACTGATACCAATGGGATAATTAGTACTATTATGTACTGACGCTGTTTGCGATCAATTTTTATGATGAGATAAAATTGATGAAACTTCTTTAACTTTTAAGTTTTAGTTCTTCCGTATATTTGCTGAGTTTCATGAGTCTTATTCGCACACAAATAATTTATTTGCGGTTTATTTCAGATGGTGGATTATATGGAAATGAATAAATACAACGAAGCTCAAGAAAATGATAAGTAAGCTAATGTTTCGGAAGTTTTGATACTTGTAACGCGCTTAACGTGTATGGCTTATCTTTATGAAACAGCATGGAAACGATTCTGGAATTGTATATAAAATTTATTTCTCCGGAGGAAATTGTGTCGAAAACATGCATAACCTCCCGCAAAGTTCTCATGTACTTCGAAAAAGTGGTCGTAAGGCAGCTCGTTAAACGGATTCGCCAGAAAGGGGCTTCAGTGAAAAAGCAGACCAAGTAAGCAGGTTTTGTTTTTACAATTTTTAAAATGTTTACTAAATTTTAATCTTGGATGATGGAATAGGAAGGGCCATGGAAATGAAATGGACGAGGCAGTGGAGGCGCGAGGTCAGGCCAGTGGTGAAGGTGGTGAGGATGGCGGGGAGGAGGCAGCACATAACGAAGGAGACGACGAAGCGGAATCTCTGTATTCGGACGATGAAGCAGCGGATCCCGAGGGTGGTAAAGCGCAGAGGGCAGCGGATGCTGAGTACAGGGGCGACGAAGATGATGAGATTGTTCGCGAGTGGGAGGATGGAGAAGAAGCCAGAATGGAAGACGAAGACGGTCCAGATGAACACGACAAAGGTGAGTGCGTTTCAGCTGTATAATTTTTTTTAAATGTTCAGTGGAATAAAAATCACACGATTGTTAGAATCAGTTTTTACGCGTATATCTTCACATAATTCCATGCAGTTTAGATAAATGCATCTTTTACTATTTAAATGCAGCGACAGAAATGACAGCAGTTTGAGTTGAGAAATTTACTAATTGTGATTACGATTTCACAGAAAATTCCCTGCGAAGCGATTCTGATGGGGACGCCGATATAAGTGCGGACTTGTTAGCAAGTTTGATTCCGCCAACTCCTCATGAAGGAAAAAAATCTAAGAAGAGGATGAACGCCATTCGTACCGAAGTACGTTGCTGTGGTTGTTGTTTTGTTTGATGGTGATTTTATTATTATAATCAACGTGGTATGTAGGGAGTAATGGGTGTGGATTCGTGGGTGAAAAATTATCGTTATGATCCGGAAGAGAATAACTGGTGTCGGCTTACGTTGGCCATTCCCATGTCCAGTGCGGCTGCCGATCCTCAGTCGCTAATTGAATCCGAACTGAAGAAATGCGTTGTGCATCAGGTGGCCAACATCCGTAAAGCCTTTCTGGCCAAGGAGAAGAATGGTGTTGTGATGCTGCGAACGGAAGGTGTCAATTTCGATTACATGATGCAGTTTGATGAAATTGTGGACCTGAATCGACTCATGTCCAATGATATCCAAGCAGTGGCGGAGCGCTTCGGGATAGAAGCGGCAGCCAAGACCATAATCCGGGTGAGTGAGTGTGTGTGTGTGTGTGCATGGGTAATGCGATAGCGCAGTCGATAGTTTTTGTCTGGAGCTTAAGGGAAAAAAGTGCCTGGTGTTTCATCTGCTTGACAATTGCTAGGAGTGCAATAGCGTATTCGGCGCATACGGGATCGATGTCAATTATCGGCATTTGTCTTTGGTGGCTGATTATATGAGTCGGGATGGCGTGGTTAAAGCGTTTAATCGATTGGCCATTGCCAGTAATGCGTCACCGTTCCAGAAAATGAGTTTTGAAACATCCATGAATTTTTACCGGGATGCTGTTGTCAACGGTAAGTTCTTTCGTTACTTTGCGAGACAAGAGAGGAGATTCATTGCTTTTGCAGTTACCGGAAATGTTTGCTTTGCGTCGGTTTTTCTCATTTTTATATTGAAACATTCGAGCGAAGTTAGCATTTTTGAAGTATTAAAAGAAACAACAAATTTTTTTAATGGACAATGGTTTTCAGATATTCGAAAGATATAATAATTTTTTTTGTTAATGGAAATTGTGTTTTTCTTTTTCAGGAGCCCGGGATACCCTTCAAAGTCCATCTGCTCAGCTGGTTATCGGAGAACGCGTTCGCGTCGGTACCGGTTTATTTTCGCTGCGAGCGCCCGTACGGTTGGATAACTAAAACAGTGGTGGAAAATAATTACCGCTTATTGCGGACTTAGACTTTCCAGTGCCTGGCCAGATGTGTTGTGCCTTGTGTTATTCTGTGATGAAAAGTTTCTCTTTACGAAGGCTGAATCGTATAAATTTGTACTGGTTGAAGATGCGTCTGTTGAAAATATCCTAGCGCAAAGAAAAATACAATATCGTTGAACATTGTTGCAATATTTTATGCCAATAAAAATTTTACTGTTTATGGATTGCGACACGGCTCTTTTGTGTCTCGTTAGGAATTCGAAAGTATAATGAGTCGCGCGTGCATAACAGGAAGCATCTGCGCGGCGAGTATCAAAGCGTGCCGCAGTTTTTGCTCTGATGAGAATAATAACGGTGAAATGAATAAATTGTCAGCAGTGCCTGCTGTGCGACCACGTCGTGTCCCTGCGAAGAGGGTACAAAGGTTTTGTATATCGCAGTCACATTTTCTCACAAGGTGTGCCATACGTGACCTTTTCTTACTACAGTTGAAAAGGGATAAGATAATTTCGAAACTCCGTTGAGTAGACGGTGTTTAGCGACGCTTTTCTTTCACACAAGACAAATTATAAGCGATCGCGTCGAATGGACAGTGCGGCAAAGAAACACCGTTCTACCACAAAAAAATTAAAAACACAGACGAACGCTTATGCACTCACTCCGTTAAATGCAAATTGTTTGCTCTTGCTGTTTTAAAGCATTACCGTGCTGCATATGCATACTTGCGATTGCATAACAACCCGCTGAAATGTGAATGTACTTTTGATTAGATTAATCGGCGCATTAAAATATCACGTAAACAACAAGTCTTGGGTGTAATACAAATGTACGGGTAAGAGATCTTTCGGCCATTTGTCTTGTCCCTATTCAGCTGCCAGTTGGGGAGAAATTATAGTCATTTCCTCACGGGACTGGTGATTGGCAGTGCTTGCCGCGTGACCTTAAACAGGTGAAATAAATGCGAATATCGGCGATGGATGCTCTTATATACAACCGGCACCACATCGCACGGCACAGACGTCGGTTACCTACGCATGCACTATCATCCACCGGCATACCAATTTTCCGTAGAAATACCAATACATCGGTCTGCTGGAATTCCTTTGAAAACCCTACGGGACAGTGTGAGTAATCAAATGCGTGGGAAAGACCGGGGACGCGGCTAACCATCAATATACCGCGGCGGCTTCTACAACAGTAGCGTATATCACCATTTTGGAAAGTATTCTTCGCCAGCTGGTTAACGCAGCTCTACCGGTATAGGACACCATAAATCGATATAATATACTTAATATATCAGGTAATGCGGGTCGAAATGGTTTTACGCTGCATGGTGCGCGTACTGTATTTTGGTATGCATACCTATAGATACAGAACTATTTTGCAGTATATACGTACGTATCTACTCGGTAAATATCAGCGTTCATCAAGGGAAAATCAATAATACATTCCCTTGTTTTCCAAGGCCGGCAGCCATCAAGCCGAGATGCATATATATTCCCGGTGATGCGTGCTGTAAGTGACCTGCACAGGTGCTGTGCGTGTGCATGTGTGTTGTATGTATCACTTCTACTTGTGTCGGCAATGAAGCATTGCTGCTGTGGCGAATATCTGGCCGGGATCAGCCAGTGAAGGATCTTCCTGACTCAACCCGGAGTCACACCAACAGCACTGACAGTTATTAGTGTATGCATGTGCGCGCGCTTGACTGATTCAATAAAGTGTCTGTTTGCTGAAAGTATGATTTTCTCGGTTCGAGTTACACTGCGTAAACCCCAGGAAATGCGATCGTTGGGCAGGCACCAGCGAATGTGCACTTTTCAGGATCATCCATAATACCATCAACACCGCCTAACTCCTCCATTGTCACCTTCACAATTCAAGTGTATGGGAAGTTAGCGGGACAAAGTTTTTGGTGTTCTTTTCCCATTTTTAAATGACTTTTCTGACAAGCCTGCTGAGGAAAGGTTCTCCCTGTTTTTGACACGATAGGTCACTTTATCGCATATATACGGATGTTGTTGTTAGCGATGGATTATGCTGCGCTTATATAGTTGACGTCATTTGGGAGATTAAGGACTATGCGAAACGTTATCGATGTGGTACTGTGCATGTTAATTGATGAGCTGTGGAAATGAGGTTGTCCAATCGATCATACCGCAAAGCACAGCGTAACCAATGGCCAGAAAAGTATCATTCACTGTTACGCCAACGGTATCAACTGTGGCACCCACACAGGCAGCTGGCGCTGTCGCCAACGGACACGGAATTCCCAAAGTCGAGCCAAAAATCGACCTCAAAGATCCTATGCAGATTTTCTGGTTTTTCAAGTGAGATATGATCTGTGCTGCAAAAAATTTTATACAAATTCTCATACTTCATTTTTATTTGAAATTCATAACAGTACAAGATTGAAGCAGTGTGTATTATAATTATAGCAGAAAAGGCGGATTTAAATGTAATAAGCTAAATTAACCCTAAGAAAACTTATCGGAAGGCGCTGTATACTGCTTGTGTTTAACCTCCAAGCATTGAGCTATTGATAAGAGATTGTATAGTTTCTTTAGTTGGGAAGTGTTATTCTTTGGTCTTTGTCGGTTTGAAGTGGTCGTCAGTGTGCATTGTTGTACGTGCGTGAAAGAGTGTCCATCGATTAGGCAGCAGACTTCCTTACTTGTCAAACACGAGCATAATCCGAGAGATGCTACGTTTTCTTTTCTGACTGTCATTGTTGAATGATCCAAAAAGCGGAGTCGCATATAGAGAAGTTTTATTGATTCGTAAATGTCGCTGTCGCACACTTTTTGACCAATCATCAATCAATAAGCATGCCGGAAAAACGGCTGGTAACCTTGAGCGGAAGCATGGTTACGTATTGCACAGGATATCAATAGGGTGTTGTTACGGTAGTTGTGACGACCTTAAGAGGCTGCGATGTCGTAATTACTAATTACAAGTGCGAGAAAATAGTCGATACTGCTCTTTTGCACCACCGGTAATTTCACGCTTTGTGGACGCTTTTAAAATTACTAACTATTCTAAACTAATTATATAATTAGAACAGCACACGGTGGTACATGCAGACTGATGCAGTACATCTAATCATACAGTATACTATATACAGAGTATAATTATAAAAAACGTTTGTATGGGCATTTATATGCAGGTGGCATTTGGATGCTCGTACGCTGAGTTGTGTTTAAATGTACGGCATGGAATTCGTACACTGCAATCAACTTCACTTCCGACCCCGACAATAATTGCACGTCGCGCCCCATATATTAATACTGCGTCAGTTTTTGTAAAAGACTTTGTAGAGCTGTCGGCCGTACGCGTATAGCTAAAATTACTACAATTACCCTTTTCAAAATATTGTGTAGATAAAAAATCCCAAAAGGGTCTTTCGCGAGTTACTTGCAAATTAATCAAAATTTCTCTGCCTCCGCACTGTTAATTAATCTCTTTTACATATCTGCAGTTGCAAAATTTTTTATTACTTCCAAGTTCGTACCCGCTGCAGTATTTGCTTTCCTCGTACCTGTATAAAAGACGCGAGTGGCACAAACGGTAACCCGAGCACAAAATATCGTAATCTAAAAATTTCGAAGGATTGGCATCCCGGCGCTACCCACAACACACTCGAGCTCGGACAGTCAGAGCACCGTAAAGTTCACTGCCAAACTTGCGCTATGGTCTTAGACGGACCGATTCTTGGAAATGCAGTTTTTCTTTACAGTGTCAATATTTTTAGTCTTTCACTAAAAATGTGACTGTCTGTAGCCGTATAAGATTAAAGCACATAATTAATATACCTACCGCATAGGTACACGCGAGACTGTGATGATACCCAAATCCGCAAAACCGAAGTATCCTTTTAATGACGCGTTTTGCATATACAAAGTACTTAATGTAGGCATTGGTTGGCCGTCTCGAATTCTCGATACATAATTATAAGGTGAACGTTTTAAAGCACTAATAATTCACAGTGTCTACGCGAGTAGCCTAGTAGAGATCGGTCAGTGTTAATAAGCAAACATGACACTCTACAGAAGAATAATTACTATATTACGTACGACATAATTTGGTGAATAATTAATCTGAATGACAGCGGCCTTTATGAAAACAAGTAATTGGTAATAATTGCATTATAATATTGGATGTCGGTGATGCAATGATGATTGTCGCTTGTAGATTTAATCCGAACTGGGTAATTAATCCGGAAAGTAATGGATATTATCGTTGGCTGTTTGTTGTGTCTCTTGCCGTACTCTACAACGTCCTCTTCATTTTCCCGCGGGCTGTTTTCTGGGAGTTCTCCGAGCCGGAATACTGGATATACTTCACTGCCTTAGACTATGTTGCGGATCTGGTGTATGTTATCGATCTCTTTGTGCGGATGTGCTGCGGCTACCTGGCCGAGGAACGTGTCATGATTCGGGAGCCGCGTAAATTGGTTAAACACTGGTTGCGCTCCGTCAAGGGGAAACTGGATGTCATCAGCATCCTGCCCACCGATATTGCCTTTTTCTGGACCGGCCTCCGCTGGCCCTACTCCATAATACGGGTGAATCGTCTCCTCAAATACGGTCGCTTCACCGAGTTCACCCGCCGCACCGAGGGCCGGGTCAAAGCCGCCGATATCTTCCGCTTGTCCGTCCTGGTAATTCGGTTAGAATAAAATTTTTTTATTAAATTAGTATAATAAAGCGCCAACAAACCAACCAACACAGCACACTTGGTTTGTGGACATACGCGTCTGTCGCTGTTCTGTATTACAAAGTCACAGTAACTTCGTTTGTAAAAATGTCACATTATTTGGCGGTGCATTCACAGGATCAAATCATGATACGATTAGTACATGAAATTACTAGTACTACATAGAATTTTTTACATCGTTCCAGGATTAAAATAACTGCAAGCAGTTGCAGTTGCGTACGATTACTTTATCTCTATTGTAAGGAATGATTAATGCATGTACTTATCAGACATGGATGGTACTTTGTAATTAAATCTTCGCACGGGAGCTTTTGCAAAACGTAATTAAAATTCAGTTTTGTATCGTATCATAGACATGTGTGTCTTTAAAATAACTGTGCTATAACTACTTCTATACAAAGTTTATTGACAGTTACTGACATGGATTGGGATGATGCACTGGTGGGCGTGTTTATACTACTTCATCAGTGAAAAAGTGGGATTAAATAGTGATGGTTGGGTGTACCCTGCCGAAGAGGTGGACTGGAGGAAAAAAGATGGCACAACGAACGCAGATGACTCCTTGTACCGGAAGTACATCTGGAGTTTCTACTGGGCCCTCATGACCTTAACGATGATTGGGTCCGTAAACGTACTACTGTATTATATATGTACAGAGTAGCAGAATAAAGTACTTACAATTAGTATAGACATTATAGTTTTGGAACATTATAGTTTTAGAACCTGTACATCCTGAAAACATTGTTTTCTAAGTTCTTTGTTACTATTTTGTAGTGCTAGCTAGCGCTTCGCCACTTAATTTATACGAGTACTATATGGATTACGAGCTCAATAAAACTGTATCACGCAGGCTGTTACGCAACAGAAGGTACAGGTAGACTCACTGCTTTCATTCTTTCTACAGGATCATCAAACAGCCGGAGCTGGAATGGCAGTTTCTCTTCATGTTCGCCAACTTCACGCTGTCTGTCATGTTGTTCTCGCAAATCCTGGGCAATGTGTCGCGCACCATCATCAACCTTAGCGCACACGAAAACGAATTCCGTGCACGAATGGATGCCGTTAAAAGTTACATGGCTGCGAGAAACGTAAGATCACCGTTTCCAAATCTATATACTTTTATATATAATCCTGTCCGGTCGTTTTTTGGGCGCTATATGAGTATATACTTTTCACTGTACACAATTTTTCTACTGTACTCGTATATAGATTGTTATATTTAGGGTTGATTTATCATTAAAGTTCAGGCATTGGACAACCAGCTAATTTGAAACTCGGGTTATTAATTGTTTAATATCATTTTATTTAGGAGAAATTAAGGTTCTTTACAGTTGTTAATTCAAACGTTACCGTTTCAGATCGGCATAGAGCTGCAGCAGCGGATAGTGAACTACTTTGAATACCAGTGGACCAATCAGCAGATTATGGACGAACGAAAAGTCTTGACCTGTCTTCCTAATAAACTACAAGCCGATATCGCTATGAAGGTTCATTTGGAGACTTTAAAGCATGTTCGGATCTTCCAAGGCGTTGAATCCGGTTTACTGGTGGATTTAGTGTTAAAACTAAAACTGCAGGTACGACGCCGCAAGCTATAATGACGCAACGATGACGTTTTTAACGACATAACATTTCTGTATTATTTATGCTGTTATGTTACCACAGCGCTACATACTTTTGCTGCTCAAATATGCTAAAATAATACATCTGCGCACACTTTTTTTCACTTAAGTTTGCATATGAGGCTGTACTAAAGTTTATTTACAGATAAATCAAATCAAATCGATTATAGTCGTCTTTTTATTTCACTTTCTTATGTAATCGCGTGAATTTTAACTGGAATGGAATTGCAGGTATTTTCTCCCGGTGATTACATATGCCGTAAAGGTGATATTGGGAAAGAGTTATACATAGTCAAGCGCGGCTGCCTGGAAGTGGTGTCGGATGCCGGCGACGTGGTCTTTGCCACGCTGGGCGAAGGCAGCGTCTTCGGGGAGATCAGCATCCTCAACATTGTCGGCATTAAGTCCGGCAACCGGCGCACGGCCAATGTGCGCAGCATCGGCTACTCGGACCTGTTTTGTCTTTCAAAAGAAGACCTGTGGGACGCCCTCAAGGAGTATCCGGAGGGGAAGAGTAAAATGATTGAGCTGGGCAAACAGCTGCTGATCAAGGACAATCTGCTGGATGTGGAAGCGGCGGAGCGGGAAGAGCGCCGGCACAATCAGTTTCTCGATAAACTGGAAACGGTCGAACGCGACGTGGACGTTCTGCAGACGCGCTTCGCTCGACTGATGGCCGAGCGCGGCAGTGCCGTGCAGAAGATGGAGAAACGCATTGCGAAAATTGACCATTTGTTCGATCTGAGAATCACTTGAATCATGTGTTCGATCAGAAACAATTTTACCTGGTTGAAGTGATTGCAAATTCTAGCTGTGTTACTACTGAGCATAATATATCCTATGATTTTTTAAAATAATAATTCAAGAAATAATAAAATTAAATGAACGTGAAGTCTTCTGGGCGTGGCTATATGACGGGAAAACTGCATAGGTTGTCCTGAAAACGGTTACAACTTCGCATGACATACAGAAGTAAAAAGTACTTTGCGAGTGAAGAATTTCAAGGGCAAATCGATTAAAAGGAAATTTAGCAAATTTTACACCGTTTCGACCTGTATGAAAGCTGTAAAATTACCGCTTTGTACCACGCAAAATGCGTAGACAAGAACGGCCGCTTTTGAAAGGACGCATTTGATTAGATTTCACTTCGCGCGCCCTAATTTACTCCGGTTTTGGGGAAAGGCGGTAAAGCTTTTTACCGTTAACAAGAGTGGCAGTCTTCATGTTACGATCACTATTCCCGAACATTGTGACGTCAACGACATGCGTGTTTGGCATCAAAAATAATTAACGTCCAAGATTTTTATGAATGAAGAAAGCCATCTTTTCATGCATGCGGTCGCGTTTGTTAATTGCTTTTTAACTGGTATACTGAGATGCTTACTTTTATGGCAATTATGTATCTGTATACTGCACAGAATACAGATATGTACCGTACCTACATGCAACAGCGCTTGTTGGAGGCTTTGTGTTATGGTATTGCGTCGTACATACTATCGTTCGGAAACGCAGATACCTTCTACTTGTTCACTATCTTTAAAGGCTCTTCTGCTACGACTTATATTATTAGAGCAAAATAAAGAAATCACAAATCACGACGTTTATTGCTTAATTAAGAGCGCAGATTTATTCCGTTTGACAGTGCCGTAAAATAAAGGTCATGAAGAACAATGTCACGTATGCGGCAAAAACGATTCAAGGATGATCATGTATGACATAATATTAAGTATATCAAAGCGTGGGATGAAGATTAATATTGCGACAGCGGAATGCATGAGCATAATATTGTAAATGGTTATCGATAACTGAGGAAGACTGAGGATGTGACGAACTACGTGCTACGTCATACAAGTATAAATGAAAATTGCGGTACACATTCATGGCAAAATAAGCAAGTTAAACTGCAAATGATTAGATTATAACATTATAACCCTGCCGTTATTTGATAAAGTAATGCAAGAAATAAGAATAAGACAACACTGAGTGCCTAATGCGATTAAATGGGCGTCTGGATGCCGGTATCGGAGTCGCTCAGGTTGCGCCGACTGGTCATACTGAGAGTGCGGACAATCTTGGGATTGTAGCACTTCGGATCGGAGACCATCCGCACGAAGAAACTGCGTTTCTGCGAAATACTCATCCGGTTGCGCCGATCCACCACGAACACCTCATCCACCGACTCCTCCGCTTCCCGTTCGCTTTCCTGCGTCTCCGTGGCCTCCTTGGCCATGATCTGCAGGATGTCGGTGGCCATCTGCGTGATGATGTGCCAGGCGTAGACGATGTCTTCGTCGCAAGCGTTCTGCGCGCACACACAAAAACGAATAACGTAACGGTCGTTCAGCGATGCCGGCACCATGTGCAATTTGCCCGACGCGTTAATGGAACTCAGGAATTTCTCGTTCAGTGTATTAGAACCCTATAAGCAAACGTGTATGTACGTACGTGTAGTTGTTGTCAGTAATTACACAACAAAATTAATAACACCGAAGGAACATTTCTGGAATTCTGTATTTTCCTGGTTACCTGCAGCCGGAAGCAGACCAATCCCAGAACGACATTATTCATAATTTCAAACCGACTGTCCTGCTTAATCAAGTTTTCCATTTTTTTCGCTAGTCTGCAATGCTGTGAACCGGGAAATGTCAGATGAAAAAATAGACGTGATACGAATTTTCTGTAAATGTGAATACCTCTAAAATGTAACGCCTAAGCCCATCTATTCCATAAGATCGTATAACGAACCATAGCTTCAAACTGCGAAACCGCCGACTCAACGGAATTCCCCAGTGCTGCACAAATTAAAGAAAAACTAACGATTATGATTATACTTGTTTTCTTTATTTTTTAATTTTTCACACTGACTCGATAATCTATTGCTCGCTCGGAATGACTATGCTTCAGATATAGCGGATCCACAATCAATGCTTCCGTCAGCTTAAAACGATCCCGAACCCTAAAACCGCGTTAAAGGTTTCAAACTAAGTCCCAAAGGTCATACGACGGGTCAATAGGTGGCGTGCACTGCACCGCGGTTTTTTCTGATTTCCCTTCTCAATATAACTGAGTTACGAGAAGTTGACTTACCACATCGTGGAACAATCAAAGTTAACCAGCATCCACTTGTTTGGGTTCATGTTGAACGAGCTGGCAAACTGCAAAGGTCATCCGACTAAATAGGCTCAAAACGCCAACAGACAGCTAGTTAATCCAGTCTTCTCAAAGACGGATAAACCGTTTAATCCCTGGGCACTACATCTACTTATCCTTATTTGGCTCGTTTAAGCGCTCATCTGTTTACTGGTGATAACTGCTGATTACGCACCTCGATGCCTTTCATAAGGTAGCGGAACTGTGGACAGATGAAGGAGTTACCGGCATACGCAGCGTCCACGTGCAGCCAGATGTTCTCCTCTTGGCACACCGGGCCCAGCTCGGACAGTGGATCGAACGAGCAGCAGGATGTGGTCCCGAGGGTGGAAGACACCTGCGACACACGTAACACTCGCCCAGTCATTGCTGTTATTTAATAATTGGTGATTTACCGGCACACCAGCTTCGTGCATAGTTAACATAACATAAGAAAGCACTGTATGCAAAGGGGCACTTACGAAAAAAGGAATAAGTCCCATGCTACGATCCTCCTGAATAGCCTTGGCCAGTTTGTTGCCTCGTAATGCATACTTGTCATCCGTTTCCAAGATGCGAATTTTTACGAAGGCGATCATAGCGGCTTTTTCCACAGACGAGTGAGCCTAGATAAACAGGTTAACTATAATACCGTACTATCGCTATGTAATTTTACCATTTATTGTTATTACTTTGGTATGTGACCGCCTCAAACCTGTAGAGATAAGCTATTTTTTTTTGCTTGCTTTATTAATAATTTTCTCAATTAAGTACCTCTTTCGAACAGTAAGCCATTAGTTTTGAGAGCAGAACGCCCTCTTCGACGAACGGATGCTGTTTCTTCAGTTCCCGGATCGTGTGCTGTCGCGCCGCCAACATACTAACCAAAATGCATTCGCTTGCTGAGCCCTGCAAGGAAACAGCCTGATTGTAGCGAAATAGAAGCAAGTTATGTGATTAGGCGCTGATACCTGTATAACACCACCACCTTTTCCGTTTTCGGTAAAGGGCAAGAATTCCGGCGGCAGCCCAATCATTCGTCCCAACCAGTCCAGCACAATGGTTTCCAGTTCGGTACAAGCCGGACTGGCCGCCTATCAGTGACACAGCGCGTTCCGAAGTATACCGTATGATAGATAGTAGTCATAGTACTGTACTGCATTAAATTTTATGTATAACTACATACCTGTACTTATATTTATAATATTATCTGAAGGCTATTAATTTCAGAACCACCGTGCATGAAACTATCGTTATGCAAACTCAGTAAAAGCGCTATTATTACTATCGCTACATTTTATAAAAGTTAACGCATACTTCCATCTGATTTAGATCTTTCAGTTGAAGCAAAGTTTTAAATTAACTATTACAGTTTTTGTTAGATCTCCTGTTTTCTCATTAGCTCACTCGTGTTACAAACTCTGATGGTAACGAAAGATGTACATGTTGCTGGACTCAGCACACTGTTTGAGTGTTAGCGTCTGCGCTTCCGTTTCAACAGATACCTATCTTTACACAAGCCTGCCTTTAATAAAAGGTCACACACGCCCATAAAAATCTCCAAATATGCAGCTATACTTCCCGTTCTTCTTAATGAGGCTGCAATCTATGTACAACGCAATTGCTTGTATCTGTTGTATGTAATTTGGAAACCAGAACTCTGTTTGTTATCGAGTCACATTAATTTTTGCATAGCATACTGTGCGAATCGTCAACCACGAGTATGCTACTACTGTAAATATGGGTATGGCAGGTCCTTCAGCTAAACATCGGACTGGTAATTGGCACTTTATACGCTATTTTACCATATCAATAATTCATACCCAGGAGAATCCAACACATCCAATTGCGTCAGAAAGCATATCCGCCAGTATCGATGGATAGGAATTACCGGCTGGAAAGTAAGCGTGAAACCGAGAGTGTTGCCAGTGTGTGACCTTTAAAAACAAGCAAAACCCTGCATTTATGTAAGCGGATGTTTTTGTCATTTATCACAACTTACTCCTGGCATAATGTGTCGTTCTATATCGTCCATAATTTCTTCCCAATCTTCGGGATACTGCGGCGGCTCATCCGGTATGCATTCGCGCAGATAGCCCGGCTCAATGGCCGGGGTCACCCGCCGCTCATTGATCGAATCCATGTAATCGGCAATGTAATCCACCATTTCTTTGCCACGCTGGCGAAACTCGGTTGTATCCATAATGGGCAGATGCGATGACATGCTATTGCCGTCCAGTGGACCGCCGTTGACCTTTGGCTCACCTTTGGTCAACCGATGCACAACACGATGGGCTAATCCACGAATTACTCCCGCAACATCCAGATTCTTCCCGGCGAAGAAGGCCTTGAATTTATCCAAAACGGCGCTGGTGTTGGCATCGGTAGCGAGAAATTCAAGGACAAATCCTCGTACAAAAGTTTCAAAAATGTTTTGATTTAACAACAATAAGCCAACGGCAGCGATATATGATATTATGTGTTTGAAGGTCACCGCGCCCAGATTACCGTATTCACGAAGCCGTTGACAAACAAACAGCGGGTGACTACATCGCGCGCACCAAGTTGGATTATAAGAATGTGAATTATATCGCCGTTACAAGGAACACGCTGGACACGTAACAGACATTCCCGCGCCGTACAATAAATTTCCGTACTTGAGTCATGACGCCACTTTCCTGACAATTCCATCTGGTTCTGACAACATTTAACACGTATGACGAAACCGGGGGCAAAATGATCATCAAAAGCAATTGAAAGCTGAGTGGCGACTAAAGGCTAAATTAAAATTATCAATCAATGCTTAGTTTGCTTTCTTTTACACACCCCCAAATTTGTTCACGCAATCGCGACATTAACTCGATATGACCAGCAATAAACATAATGGGTAACTGCGCAGATAACTTGTTCCTAAAAACGATACCAACGAATGTCTCCACCCGTTTTTTATGTGAAACTTTTTGTACAGAGATACGTTAGAATTAGAATTAATAAAAAATGAAATAACTGCACACCCGAAGCATGCACATATCTATACATTCGAAAAGAAAGCCAAAATCGGAACCGGATTTGTAACGTACAGCTAATCATAAGTAGTCCATTACTAATAACCTTACCTTACTTCTTTGAACTAACAATAGATCGCAAACTGTAAGTTTTACTACAACTTCAAAAAATTTTTTAAAGGAAAGCTCCAGTTTAAGTATTTCCTGCGTTCTTTTAATTCCGACCTCTTTCTTTAATTTTGTACTAATAATATACAAGTATTTTTTAGATAGTTCGCAGTGGTAAAGTCGTTCTAAATTCACAACTCACGTACATAATGCACCGGCTTTATAAGCAAACGAATATCAGCACGCAAGCGTTACAAAACGTGTACGAAAAGTACCGATTTTCGAAGGGAAAAACCGTTACGTGGTCATCACTGAAACCAAAAATTAAACGTTAAAAATAACAAATTGTAATGCACTAAATTTCGTTATACGTAGAAATCTAGTCATTCAGTTCGCTTTCGTCGGATTCAGTGTCTATAAATGGTTCAATATCAATCTCCAGCACCGAGCACGGGTTGACCAGTTCGAAGTCATTCAAAACTTCCGGATGCAGAACACCAAAAACACCGACTCGTTTGCCCAGAGCGATCACCTCAGCGCATCGTCCAGGGAAGAAAGTCGAATCTATCAAACCAAGCACCTTTGTTAAAACCTTTTCCGTTACGTTTTAATTAACGTAATATTTTAATAAGCAGTAATAAGCCGGCCGGATAAATATTTAACTCGTATTACAGTTAAACTGATATAATGTTCGTACCAGAGCCGGCCTGAATACAATATCCTTTCTTGTTTTCCTTGCCCCACGGTATACCCAGCAGCTGCATGAAGCGATCTAAGAGCCCGTGCACAATCTCAAAACCCGACGTCTTCCCGTAATAGGCCGCACAGAAATGTCGGATATTTCTGGCACCGACATCTATCACGCGAACAAAGGATCGTCAGCTGTTGATGAAAGATGGGCCACTAACACTGGCCACTTAAAAAAGTCACCAACAGACGCGCTAACCTTTTGTTGCATCCTTCCTCACCACGTCGGATATTTCAAAAACTTTCATGGGCAATGGCATTTTCTTGTTACCGGCAATGGTTTTCAGTAATCCGGGTATCAAGGTCGTGCGTGCCACTTGGAATTCCAGCGTTTTAGGATTTGCAATCTCAACAGCTTCTCGATCACCAATATCATGACGTAATTTCTTGGCAATGTCTTCGATGGAACACTGAATCACAATAAAATGCAATTTGGAAGAACTGTATTCAAGCTGCAACTACGAAGCATTTATCGGCTCCACAATTCCAAATTCCTTGCATTACTATGTCAACCATCATGATCTTTCCATGGACACAATAATAATAGTACAAAATCAGTGTGGCCCCATTTTTAAACTTTACGAAAAATTAAATTATGACAGCATTATTTTAACAGTAAGTGTATGACGAGTGCAACATACTTATGCAGCAACATAAGTACGACTATGTTTCACTCGTATGACCTCTAAAATCATCTGCCAAGCGTATCAAAAATTCAAAATTGCTATTAAGAAGTGTACAGATATATCTGCGCAGTCGTATGTGATATGTACACTGGCTGATGTCAAAAACATTCAAATTGCTATTGTTCCGAAATCCCGAATTTACAATACATTTTCTGTTGCCAAACAGCTTACCAAAGCGAAAGTTAGCGCTTCCGTATATCCAGCGGCGACGATCTCTTTCCTTAGCAAGTCGGTTACCCGATTGATATTAAACTGTAACAGATCAAGTCATGTTAAACAAAAATACGTATTACGTTCGCAATTAATTCGTACCTGCTTGGCAATGGTAGCAGACGTCGGCAATCGTGTTTCGATTTTGTTGAATCCATAAGCGATGGCCACATCTTCCACTAGGTCGCATGGATGAAGGATATCGTGCCGGGTCGGAGGAATGATCACTTCAATCTCATCCGTACCACACACAGCCGCTCGCAAACACATTTTTTCCACTAATGCACACATGGTCTCACCAGATACCCTGTACAATGCAACAGCTTACAAAAGAACTTCGTAACCGTGCCACATTAATAACTTAAGAAAGCGACTTGGTAAAGCAATTTTCCGATGTCTTCGCATCAATTAGTGCTTCACTAAACTTACACTTTTTTAAGCAAGCGTACAGAGTATTCCACAAACACCTCCAGAAATTTTTGCATTTTGATAAATTATTTTTGGTGGCTTATTCTACTTCCAAAAGCCAATGACATCGGACCTCGCATAGACAATTCGCAAATGCATACTTTTGCAAAATAATTACGACGAACTTCTACGACAACTGAACTTACGAGATTCCTGCTTTCTTGTTGATATCGCTGACGCAGATTTTCATTTTGCGATATTCAAGTTTCTACAACCAAAGCAAGTTGGTGGAAAAGTTTCGAAGTTTTGATTATCTTTTAATTGGCGCTTACTGGAAAATTCTCGTCCCATGCCCCGTTTTCGGCTTCCTCGACATTAACTGGCTCAATTCTACGAGGATTTAGTGGAACATAGAACAGCACGTCCCGAAAACAGTTTCCCATACTGCACTTACATAAACTTGGGATCGCAGTGCACCGAAAACATTGTAACCAATGTATCCAAAACAATTAAGGCCTGCACAACAGGATGCATAACCGTAATGCTACATACAAAACAAAATAGGCAAACCTTATTCCTGTCCGTTGCGGTGATCTCAATGAAAACATTCTTGGTTTTCAGCGTTATTTTGCTGTGTTCGCCTACAAAATAACAAAAAATAACATAATAAAAATACAATTATCAAATTTCTAATTAACCTTTACCGTTAATAATTGGGGGAAGTGACATCACCACTCCATTCTTATCCTTAATAACCGGATAAACCGGAGAATCTTTGATGATGTGCAGGAAATGTTTCAGATGGTTATCAGTCTGGTAACAAAAAACAATTTTGTTCACCAGCGAAGCGGCATATTTCGCAGTTTATGATAATCAAATATTATAGAACAATGGCACCATAATGGATATCAATATACATGTAAAAACCAAAAGCTGCTTACAGAGTATAATTCCATTAATTCGCGGCCATTGTACTCCTTCGTCTGATTGAGTGGCTTGAAGACAATCTGTTCCGGCGGTAAGGCATCGTACTCGAATGGTCCCTGCACAGTGTCCAGATCGTGTGTGCCCATGGATACCAAGGTGCGTTTGCGGCACAGATTCTGATGGAGTTTGTCTTGCAGATCAATGAAACTGGCGTAGGAAGACGGCGTGAAGGTGATGTTGCGCAGTACAGCCCCAACCACGTACGGGCGGATTTGGGCAGTCTGCAAATCGCAAAATACATTTCAATCATCAAATTCAATCATTTCATCATCACCGTTAAAAAGTCAACACAAAACAACGAGAAGTACTGTAAAAACGAAAAGGAAAAAGCAGATAAAGCGAAGCTCCGCCGCATAATTTTTAAAATCACAAACGCTACTTCGAACATACTCAAAAATCCCCAAACAAAAAAAACCCGTACGAACATAAAAAATTTTTACACCGAAGAACTTCAGCCGCTCCCGTTTTTTAGAAAAAAGCTGGGAAGCCTTATTCCATTTTTTCCAGGATTTACATTTTATTCTACAAACACTTACCGCTGGTTGAAGCCGGATACGCTGCAGTGATTCATTACATGATGAAGCGCTTAGACGGTAAAGAGGAAACGGTGCCCTGTTGCAAGAAGCGATTTTTTACATTAAAGTCACTTTATCGCTCTATTCCGATATATTTGCTTACTTGGACAAAAAAACCAGGAGTGCCTGTGAGAGTCCTTCCAAGCATAACAAATCATAGCTAAAATCAAATTATTGGTTTGACGCAACTCTGGTAGACGTCAAGCAGATACTCAATGCATCGTACATAAAAAAGTGATAAAATATAAAATAACCGCTTAAAACTAATGCTTTAGCAAATACACACCGATTGGCAGGTATTTCAATTTTATAAATCACTTGTTCCGAAGCGTTCTTGGTGTCTTCGTGCTCACGTAGCGCTATTTGCTTTTCGGTTGTCTGAAAGAATGATCGCTAATGTACGCTCCCGAAATCCGCAAATCAAAAGGCTGAAACATCTCTTACCACTTCGTCCAATTCAATTCCATACTCAAAACACAACTCATCAAATTCTTTGTCAGCTGGAAAAAAATCCGATTATAATATTAATTTTTTTACGTACGGCTTTTAATTGTGCGCATCCATGGTCCAACATTGACAAACGACCATGACGCAATCGTGCAGCATCGTGAGAACCCTTAACAGTTAACATGAACATTTGACAACCAAACGTAGTACTCACAGTATGTTCTGCCAAGGATTGCGAAGAGTTCATCCCGCTTCACAGAAATAGTCGGCATGGTTGACCAGTTTAACTATATACTAGTGGGCTTAAACAAAACACCAAAAATTCAACTAAAACTTCTTTCTACGGATGAAATTTTAAACAATTTGCTACAGAAGCCACGTTTTTGGAAAAAAACTGCACTCAAAAATTAACAGTTCAAAATACTACTTAATCCATGCCGCTTACGTTACGCTGTGTAGTCAGACAGATCGCTCCCGCCCAGAGCAGGCGAATTACTATTAATGCTGCCTCGACGTTTTAACCAGCGCCCGAACTTTGTGTTTCAAAATGCCTAGAGTAATTGGCATTTTGAAACTAATAAGATAAAAAATGAAACGACGTTTTTCAAGTGAGTAGTCCTGATTACTAGCCCACTGGGAATCGTCCACACTTGGGAAGTTGGGAACTGTTCCTTCACGCGAAAACCGAGAATAACCTTTTCGTTGATTTTGTTACTCGGATTTGAATATGACATACGATAATTTATTATACGTACTCGTACAAATTTGTACACGCAAACAGCAAAAAAAGGAATGCATTTATTTAGCTTATGTACTTTCCAGTTTGGTGTTTCATAATTTTATGAAAAGCTCATTCAGCAGTACAACGTCCATACTCGTACTTCTACAGATAAAACTAAGAAAATAAAAACAATCGTATTAAAGTTAAAATCCCATTCCCAGTTTCAGCAGGAAAATAGAAGTATCTCAGCCATTCATCAACTCTACTTGCAACCGATATTTAGGATTAACCGGGCTACTCGCTCTATACAAGCCACACAATCCTAATCCTTTACACGCTAACAACGATTTAAAAGTAAAACAATCATAATTAAAGTAAACCAACTAAGATCTTCTGTTTGTCATCCGGTATTTCGCCGTTCAGTCACAATTCTGGACTATGGACTTGTGGAAAGTCCTTATTCCTCGGCACTTTCAGTGCCAAGTAGTTCCCGAATAAAATTTTGGTCATCCGGGCACTATCGAAGCGCATATTCTTGATCATCCTGTTCATCTCTGCAAACAAGGCGAAAAATTTATTTAACCTACAGCCCGTCCGGCACCGTGCACCGGGTCCAGAACAACAGTATATTTTTTAAAATATCGTAAGTACGAACCATACCCGAAGAGGTTGTTGAACCGTTGCTGCTGCTGCTAGCCTCGCTATTTCTGCAAGACATGTTAGACCCACAATCCAAAGAATTCATTTTATCATCCTCATCCGCTAAAAAAAGATTTGCAGATTACGACGCATAGAAATCATTGTGAACAGAATTATAAGAGAGGGAGGGAAAAGGGCATCGCCATTAGTTTCCTACAGAGGCTGAGTGAGCGTGTGTCCGACGTTTCTTCCGATGTAGGGGATGTCGGCGGGTAATCTGTACTATCCATAAGCATTGCAGTAGAAAACACTTTGTTTACCACTTTTCTATCATTTAGAGGTGTACCTAAAAAAACCAATTTTTGGGGAATTGCTCCTGAAGACAAAGACAATAACCATTACAGCACTTCACTTCCAGTACCAGGTTGAAATTATTATTAATTATTTACATCGTTTAGTAATTACGCTCACAAAAATTATGTGTCACAGTTGGGACGATTGTAAAAAGGCTTTCTATAAGCTGCAAAAATGTATCATAAGACAGTTACTACCGACACTGACGGAAAAATCTTGTGAGCACCAAGAAAACAAAGAAACCATTATTTCGAACAATTATGCCATCATTTCCATTTCAGAAGTGAATACATAACTGCATGCTTCCAGTTTTAGACCAAACTCACCCATGTCCACATCGATGTCTTCTAACAATTTCTGCATTCGATTCGCAACCTTGACTCCTTGCACGTGGGCTTGGTACACATCGATGGTGGGGGTATCTGGTGTGCGGGCGTTTGAGGTTTTTACCTTTTTGGTGGGAAAACTCGGCTGACTAAGGGCGCGACTCTTTTTTGCAGCAGAAACGCTATTAATGACAGAACTAAACCGCTTGGTCGCCGTCGTCTGTCCTTGTCCACTGACTGGCTTCTGTGCCCCGGAATATGCCCTCTTCGGAGCATCCCGGAGAGCAGCCGGAAGAGCACTGGATATCGGCGCCGGATACAGAGGAGCCAAGAGGTTCAGCGCGTCTCGAACGCGTTTGTTCTGCGTATGAGAACTGCTGCAAAAAAGTGCGGCTCGCAGAACACAGTCAGAGTTCAAATTTGTGTCCGGATTCCATAAGCTGTAGCTCATTAGCAGCGCTTCAGTGAAATCCGTCGGCTGTCCCGAAGTGACTGGCGTTGTGCTGGTAACAGCCGTCAGCGTATTGTTGCACTTTTCTTTATTTGTGCTGTTACTGTCCTTAAAATCCGCCGCCTTTTCAGCGATCTCAGAGTAGCCGATGTCGGTCAGGCTCAGTGTTTGACCGAGTAGAGTGAACGGGGCTGCTTCGAATTTAACGGTGACTTTTGGTGGTTGAACTAACGGTGCATTCCTCGATCGACGCTTCGGCGGAAGAGGAACGTCGTCCACCTCATCGGGATCAATTTCTTCACGGTAAACCACTGAGAGGCAAGTAAAGCATGGCTGAATAAATAATAATAGGAAAACAAAAAAGCGATACTGCGTCCTTATATTTTAAAGAATACTCGCACTAAATTTCACCTAGAGCGCGGTAACATTTTCGGCTAAAAAAGCGTCAGGTAAAACGAAGTACTGTGTTGTCGAGTCAACTTGGCACCTTTTCGTACAGTGAGTTATACGCTAAGCGGATACGACTCACTGTAAAAAAAGGTGCCAAGTTGACTCGACAACACAGTACATAATATTGTTAGGGTAGCTTGTTACTCATCGAAATTCGTCAGAAGCCTTCTATTATAAACGCCTTTTGCTTCCGTTTATAAGTCTAATGTAAAGAATTAATACCCCGCCAAAAATGTGACAGGAGAGCAAAATCGTCGAATTACTGTATTGCACATAAAATGCGCATAATTCAATTGACAAAACGCATTCACAGCTAATAACTGGGCTTCTAAGAGACCAGTGGTTGTATTAAAAAAAATCAAAATTTGCGGTGCAAACTTACAATCGGACGGGTCAAGAGTCGCTTTCGGTATAAATATCAGCCCGGATCCAGATTCTGTAAGCAGACACAGTTTTTACATGCAAACGGACGCGCAATGAAGAATATGATTGAATGAATCAGCGGTGCACAAGTTTGGCGACTGGCGGCATGCTTTGCAATACAAGACGAAGCCGCTGGCCCGCTGCTCACAATCAGCCATCTCACAGTTTGCCTGGATGACGAAATGGGTATCGTAAATTACGAATTCTTTAGAACTTTCGGTTCAACAATACCCACTCTCAACAGTTCAAAGGTTATAAACGTAACCAGCTGTTACACTACACCCTACACAGTGTATACCGAATGTCAATATATCGACAGTCGACCATTCGACACCTACATTTTTGCAAATTATTACAGTAGTCACCTGTTCAACACATCTGTGTCCCCAATAACGTACCTCGGTCATGTTCCCATATTGCAGTATCCTGATTGTGGTGGGTTCCATCAAGAGTAGTGCCTTTCAGAGCCTGAGCGGAAGTATCCCAAAAGGAGCAGTTTTGCATGCCATCGTCCAGTAGGTCGTAGAAAGTGTCGTAACAATCATGCTCCCTATCGTACACACCCCAATCCATAATATTGTACAGAAAAGCTGAGAAGAAAACAATCCCGCATTTCAGAAATATAAAGCGCAAACAATCTTAAGAGCGACGCAGTTCGTCTGGAGTTGACAGAACACGGTCACAGATCCAGCTGCAAAACCCACGAACAAAACGTGCAAGACGCAAGTGTGGCTGGCTGTGGCGACTGCAGTTTTGTATTGTCACCAATGACTCACCACACTCTACTGAACGATGGGCTGAAAAAGCGTTAACGCATATCTATATCTAGCCATATGCACGGCTGAATCGACTGCGTAGGTTAACAGTGACTTAACACCTTTATCGGCTTTATGGAGTCCACTGTATTTACATCGTTTACGTGACTGGAGCGCGTGTGCGGTTATGTGCGAAAACGTAAGTACTATAAGTACACCGTCACTGGCAATTTTTTACGGATGTATGGCAATTTTTTAAGTATTTTTAAATATAAGGCAACTCTATTCTCTATTAAATATTATTGATTTTTGTTTCTGTTGTATTCCCAGGGTTGGGCATTTCTTATTCTGTAGGCTTTTGCGTAATAAAAGAGAGAATCGTTATCAAACAAATAATAAAAAAATTAAACAAATGGTTTCATTTTTATAATAAAGAATTAATTTTATAACGGAGCGGGCTCCCGTATCGTCGGCGGTATGTCGGTAGTCACGGTCGGTAGTAGGTAAATGGTACGTATGACAATAAAAACAGCAGAAACGGGAAAAACTCTACATGAAAAGCACGCAACAAAAAGCAGGCTACCCAGATAACAAGAAAATCAATCAACTCTACACAGAACTTTGCTAATTGCACCAGTAATACGGTTATCAGTAAGACAATAGGTGTATCGGCAACAGCACTGAACTCATGGTCAGCTGTCGTTTTCCAGTTTCCGCCGGCCCCGTGTTTAATCTTGCTTTTCCGACTCGTTGCTTCGCTCCCGCGTTGATTCTAGACAATCGAGCTACTAACGCTAAATAAACAAGATATTAAAATGACAGAATATTAAGGAACACTGATTACAGCTGGCAAGCATTTACCGTTTCGTATTCTAATTTTTGTTTCCCAGCCATGAACATGACACTTGGCGGTGATACGAAGGATGTCCAATGAGCCTACTACTCTGTGGTTGCGCGGTCAAGTCGCCCGTTTCATGCACATTTGCAACTGTTCAACATAATTTATATTTTTTGCATTGCTTGTTTCACTGCAGCGGCTTTTACCTCGCGGTATCTCTGAGCTTTAGTAAAATCAACAACACCCGCCAATAAAACGTTCTAATTGCGTATATTGTTTCGGGAATTTGAAATCATCGTTCACACAGCAGTCTGCTTGCCTCGGTTTCAAGAAAAACGGACGCCAAGAATGGTGCGATCCGTTCAGAAATTGGCCGGGAGACCACTACTTCAGAGCAGCAACCAACCTGGCTGTCATTTCAGACTTGCAGAACAAATACATTAGTTTTATATGCCGTGTGACACCAAAAGGGCAACTATGCCTGTGACTGTCCGAAGTTTTCATGCGCATTTGTTAATTTTGTTTCGCTACTTTTGTTTCGTTAATTTTGTTCGTGCGGTGATGTTCACTACACCAGATTACTAAACCAGAAATCAAATTATACTGCAGATCACCCGGATTATTTATTCCTTCATCACTCCTCCAATTACGAGACAAAAAATTACCGCCGACACATCCCCACACACTGTTTGCAAAAAAATACAAAGACACGAGGGACCACAAAATAAAAGCATCTATCCATGAAACGGGCAATTTGTAACCACCTTTGGAAAGAGAAAAAACAACACTACCGCAAAATGCTCTGGTCCATAATTAGAACTTTCAATTCCCAGAATTTTAAGACTGATGAAACTTCTAAAACAACCGTTGCACAAACATAAAGACTATGTACAAGCGCCATAAAATTTTGTAATCATCAAGAGTGGGAAGGGCTCCTTCCATTGACAGAGTTAACGCTTCCCGAAATGCATTATATCAAATGTACGAAACAGCGGATCCGCCAGCGACGCCCTTATCTGGGCGCAAGGGCTCCCTTCCCGAGTGGCAGGCGGGGCAATCCGGTAGGAAAACCTGCTGACCCATAACTTAACCACCCAATCGCGACATGAATTCATGCGGATTCGGGTTCATCATCATCTGCAGAGTTTGCTGTTGTTGCTGTATTCGCGCCATAGCGTGGTGCTGTTCTTCCATGGCTCGCACAGCCTGAGCTTGCTGGATAGCATGTGCCTGTGCCTAAATACAACAAAAGTAAGATCAGTATTTTGTGTCATTATATAAATTAAAATCACGTACAAGTACTGCACTCAACTTTACAACAATGAAGTTTTGGATTAAATATCTTATTTTCACCACGCTATGAAGTCCACTCGTACACACCTGCATATAAGCCGCTTCTTGTTCAAAAATATTCTGTCGGCCTAAGGCATGGAGTGTCGCCGCATCCGGTCCAGACATGCCAGGATGTGGCTGACCCATAAACGGCGGACGAGCAAAGGGGCTTCCATTGGCGGCAGCGAAATACAGCTGAGCCATCTGCTCCTGGGTCGGTCCGGCCATATCGGGATGCATACCGTGCATGGCTGGATGCATCATTCCCGGATTGGGTCCCGGAGGCGGCAGCATCATGCGTTCCATAAGGGCCTCGCGCTGCTGTTGTTCCATCATTGATTGTGGCGTTAAATTGGGGTAGAGATTCATGAAAGGGTGCATGGGGCCAGCTGCTGCTGCACCGCTCTGCATCCGTCGCTGCAGTTCCATCATGTGATCCAGACTGGACGGGTTGTGACCGGGCAGCATTCCCGGGGGGACGTTTCCACTGCGCATTAGGCGGTCGCGTTCCGATTGTTGCAGCCTATCAATGAGCCAAACTGGTATTATGCTCTGGCAAAGTTAATTTGAGCTTTTAAGTAACCAATTTGTTAACTGTCAGGCACAGTTGTATGCCCAGTATACTGCCCAAGTATGCGGAAAACCTTTTTTTTGCGTATGCAAAATTAATTAAGTCGGACGTGGACGTGTAAGCTGTATTTCAAGGAGAACCTATCTGTACAGTACTACAAGAAAACTACAATTTATAACAAATTTATAGACGTCTCGTACCGAAACATTTGCTGCTGCTGCTCGTGGTAAAGGCTGGATGACATTGGTCCAAAAGGAGTCATGCCCGGATGCATCATTTCCGGCCCATGGGGGGATAATCCCGGATGTCGGGATGGCACAGTCATACGCGGAGGAGTATCAACAACGCGAGGCGTCGGCATCGGAAGTCCCGGTCCGGAGGGAACGGTACTACGGGCGTCGCGATCCCGTTCACTGCTGTTAGCTGCCTGAGAGCTGCCAGGTGTGCGCTAATCGAACAAACTCACAATAAGCATTATATCATCATCAATTCGTATTAAAGGGTCCTTACTTTATCCTCTTTCATAGGAGCAGGTGACTTAATTGTTGTCTTCGATGTAGATGCCGCTGTCTGGCTTGGTCCGCCTCTTGGCTGCTTTTCCCTCTTCGCCATCAATGGTGATGGGTGGGAGGGCGCGAATGTATGATCCGTTCGTGCGCAAGAATTCGGTTCACGGTTCCATACACGAATCAACCTGATAAACACAGTTTAGCATGGATTCATTAACAAAATTCTGCTGCACTAAATTTATTCGGGATTTAAAAATTATTTCGCTGGCAGAAACTGAACAAAACTTCTGTAGACCTAATTTTGATAGGCAACTTACTTTCCCCAACCGTCCATGAAGATCTTTCCAACCTCTTTATCGGGGAATCCGACTTCAGCGTGATCAGGTTTAGGATCACAGTCTCTGGCCTGCTCCATCGGCGATAAAGGCATATCTCTGGACATTTCCGGAGGTAGATCTCCGGTGCATGTATCAATTTCCACCTTGATTATTGGCTCTTCTTTTATTCGCTCCTTTTTCTCAGGTTTTTCCATCTTTTCCTGTTTTATCTCATTCCTTTCCGGCTTAGGGGCAGGCGCCACGGTCTTCCCACCGCTATGCAGCGTCGCCGCCATGGGGCGGACGATGCCAATGGCTTTTGGCTCGCTTTTCACGCCCGGTTCCGTTTTAATCAACGCCAATGGCAGATCAATTCCCACAACATTCTTCGGCGACTTGACCAAACCGGGAGATTTCACCTGTATATCTTCCACTTTAATTGTGGGTCTACCAGGAGGTGAAGTGGGCAGATTAGCCACCGGGGATGGCAGAAGGGGAATGGAGTTCGATGCAGATTTACTGCTGGTTACATCGGGTTTATTCTCCGACACAGCACCAACATCACCGGGAATATCCTCCTTAGGAACATCACATTTACCAGTGGCAGTCGGTTTATCCGATCCGCTGGTTTTTCGCCGTTTCCGGCTGTTGGTGGTGGATTGTATGGGTGGCGCCGTTTCAGTCACTGGACTGACTTTCGTCTCTTCGACTTTCACAGCAGCCTTTCCGCCTTTCCCGCGTCCCTTCTACCGAGCAGACAATTGATTTAGACACAATGATCCCCAATACGGAGAAAAAACTACAGATGTTCGGTGTGTTATTGTAATCGATAAAGCAACAAAATGGGCAGCTAAAGATGTATATCGATTCAGTCGCCGTTACACTAATGGAATTAGCAAGCAATCGATTTGTTGATCGCAGTGGAAAATGTGAGTTTGCAATCATTCTATGACAGAGCAAACTAAACAGCGACGGCGATGGCGGTACTCTAACCGAATAAGTGGAAATGATAAAATTACACAAAACCGCCATTAGGTGCGTTTTTGATTAATTGTATTTCCACCTAAGGCCAAACGAGATCGACAAGCGTTTATCAACACACTGATCAAACAGTATGTTTTACTGTGCGTACAAGCCGCATCAAGAAAAAACGCATAAACTTGTTCTTCTCCATAAGCCTTGACGACATGGTGGTGTAATCGTATTCAGTCAAATGCATATTTAATGTCAATTTCCAACACAAGTGTCATGAACTATTCAAGAGCTAATCGTTTTCACATTCCGCATACCATACTCAACACATACCTTTGTCTGCTTTGTCTCCGCACTGCCACCAGAGGAAACGCTGGCCGTACCCGGAGATCGCTGCGCTTTTTCGGCCACCGCAGCTGCCGTCGTATCCGGACTGGTATTACCACTTTTCGAACGACCGGCCTAACGATCACACGCCGTTATAGTTGCAATTTGACAATTTTCATTGGATCTGCACTTGAAATCTCGCCTAATCTTATGAAATTTAATTCCCCATAACGCGATCGAGAAAGCTACTTATTATATCCTCAGTTTTCTGTCACAATTACAAACACAGTTAAATTCGAACTACTTCGTTGCCCTTCTACAAATTCAAAATCAAAGCGCCATTTTAAAAAAGCCCAAAATATTTCCAGACGCTAAACTGTAAAGTTTAATTCAGAACTATCTCGGGTTAAATCTGTTAAGATAAGTGGCCGTCCCTGGTGTCTTGCAATTAAAACGAGACTTACAGTAAATGGTAAACATATGTTACAAGGTAAATTAGATCAATGAATCAGTGTAACTAGATATATTAAAAGCCTGATGCTTTATGAGGTCATATTTACTTAAAACTCTGCGAACATGCACATATTACTCGTATATACGCACCGAATTATTTGTTCTTCGTGTCGTGGGACCATTTTTCCCGTTGCCATTGGATGTATTAATGTTCTCATTGCCCTCTTCTTCCGGTGCCGATTTGGCATTAAAGGATGCATTATTTTCACGATCGTCAGGAGGGCGCAACTCCCCATATTTCTTAAAGAATAACCGGCAGTCATTGCACAGGATAGCCGATTTGTTGGTGGTCGGATGCCAGTCTTTGGACTCTATACAACACAAACAAGCGATTGACAACGATAACGACCATTAGCCAGCCTGTTTTACGCACCGGGCTTGATAAGATTTATGAGTGTTTAATGGAAAGAGAATTGGATATAAAATGTTATTACAAACCCACCCGTGGCATTGCAGTTGCTGCACTGATAAGTACTGAGATCCTTATCGGACTCCTCCGATTCCCTGTCCTCGTCGCTGGACGGATTGAGATCAACAAAGTCGGATGATAGTGTCGTCCGATTGGGACGGCCGCGCATGCGCCGCATCATATTGGTCGGCCGACGCGGGGGCTTCCGCACTGATTTCATCAGCTTATTACCCGCCGGCGTCTTCTTCCACTGATAGTAGAATTCAATCAATTCAGCCTGTACAACAACCGACGACACTTTAGCACCAGGCTCAATCATCCCATAATCATAACATACAAGAACCAACAAAATCAATATCGGCCAAAAGTTTCCCCTCTTCGCCATGCAACTCCCATGTTCAAACAGCATCGATCGATGCAAAGTCATAAAAGCTGCTCTGGCCTTCTGTAGTGTGATATCGGGGTTAACGCTGGTCGTTTATTCTTCATAAATTTGCAGATTGTTTCAATTAGGCTTTCCATTTTATTAAGTAATTTGCTCGTGCAGCACACCACGAGAGCACCCATATTCCAATTTCGACCTACATTACTAATCTCATTTTTCCTGAAGCGCATTCAGCTCATTGCACTCTGCACCGGAAGAAGTCACGCAAAATCAGTCCTAACAGCGGTGATGATTGCTGTAAGTAATCGATCACGACTACCAGGCACACCAATCTACTCATATCCATTCACTTATCAAATTTCATTTCCGAAAACCGTGGTGAGAAACAAACCCTTCCACTAAAAACTGCTTTTTTAAAAATCGATTTTAGTTTCATAGAATTATTGCAGTTACTTCCGGAAAATGTAGTGAGAAAAAAGTATTCCACTAAAAACTGTTTACACGTACTTAAAAATCGATTTTTGGCTTCCTATAATTCTGCGTCCAGCAGGCACGCAATCAGAATGAAAGCTATCAAAGCGCGTAAGCGAATATGTGAAGCAGTCAATGCGGAAAACTTATAAACTGCAAGATAAAATATTAAAGCAAGAGGTACGACAAATTAAAAGTGAATCCATCGGTAAAAAGCCGAAATCGCCGTAAAGCTGGAATATCTTAAGACACTTGAAGTCGACTTCCGTTTGGCTAATCGATGGCACTTCCCCGCACACTCACTACCACAATACGCCATTAAAACCACAATTAGCTCATCTCAATCTGTTCTCGTGACGAATGCAAACAGCAGCTCACTTGGCACCTGAATGTTGACTGCCTCCAAAATGTCGCCGCGTCAGTAACACACACAAACAACTAATCACTCGTATGATTTGCTTGCTTTGTCCTTTGGAAACAGTGTCATTGACTCAACCGCACAAGACCAGCAAAGAAACAGCAAGAGAGAGAGAGAGACTAGAAAACCCCCCACTTCGACGGGCGCAAGCACTTGAAAGAAATGAAGAGAAAAAAACAACAACCTCGTCACTTACCGTGGTATGATGCGGTAAGAGTTCCTTGCGTATTCGAAAGAAATTCTTATCCCATTTCCTGACGCCCTTGACGAAATTCTTCTGCACAAGGCAAAAAGCAAGATCAGTCAGTCATAATTATTTATATTTATCAAGTGTTATTATTAATATCCAACTACAGACTACACTACCCAACTCACTCGATACCTGTATTACCAGACGATTGAAATTTTTTTTGTTAATTTAGAAAACCTTATACTTTTGTTTTGGTTTGATTCTATGAAATAAAAGTCAACGGACACAAACACCAGCAATTATCCTCACCGTATCCTCTTCGCTCCATTTATTGTTCTCCTGCTGTTGCATCACAATCACCGCGTGCAGCGCCGCTTCCATGTTGTAATTGTGCTTATACAACTGCAGCCCCAAAAACACACACACAACGCGTCAAGAGGTTTGTCATTGAAACACACAGCATCTTGAACGGTGCTTTGTCAGGCGACGCACACCGATTACACAGCAGCACAATACCATTTTCTTACGTACCAGATCAAAGGCTTTTTGTCGCGCTTCATCCTTGTAGATGTTGACGTCGGGTACGTCGGGCGCGGGATAATTATTGTCGGTGTAGATGCAGAGACGGTGCGCGAAGACGCTGCGCGCCGCGTTCACATACATGTTGATGTGGTCGTTGGCGGTCTCCTTGGGCCGCCACATGCACTCTTCCGGGCACTTCTCGGGCATCTGCGCCGGCGCCACATCCTCCCTTAATTCCGGCAGCTTGGCCTGGTGTTTGGGCCCCACCCGGATTTCGCCCTGTGGGGGCGCCAGTCCTGATTTGGAATTGTAACCGAAGATGTAGAAGAAAGTGTCCGGTTTGGCCACGAATTCCTTCGCGGCGTTAATGTCGCGGAAATGACGAACCTCACTCAAGCCCCTGTGTGGACCATCAAGGAATTAAAGATTACAGTATTGCTTTTGCAACAAAAGGGGTGTGATGGACAATCGTGATTATCGAATAAATACACTATAAATTATGCAGTGAGGTTCTCAATGCCTCAGAGACTGCGTAAAAACAACAAAAAGCCGATTAGCGGATTCAAAGTTTCAGTCAGGTGAAAGGCACCACATTGTAGCGCGCACATATTGGCTATCACTTTCGTTGGCACCGCCCAGTGCTCTTCATTGTTATGAAAACGATTGGTCACAAGTACAGTACAGAAAACCGATAGCCACAGAATACCCACGTTAATATTAATATGGTTATAGTCACAGAACATATGTTATTTTGCATAATGATATATTATTAGCTTCAGATAAAAATTGACAAAAACAAGTAGTCTGATAGAATTTTGTAGGTTTTAGTCGTATTAGATCGACAGGGATGTCTTGTTTCTAACAAGTATCAAAACAATACGGAATTTAAATGCAAAATATAAGCCGGAAGTGCATGCATGTACATATTATGTCTGATTCAGTCTGAAAATATAAGCAACGGTAATAATATTAAATTTTGCTCCCTGTAAAGTAGTTATGTCCTTAGCCGCACAGGCGGTGTATTGTGTACCCTATGTTTCTCCGCAAAATATGGGGAAAATGTTCAGGTTTTAATTTGGGTTTGCACTTTGTAGTTTGCAGTTACTAAACTCAATCTGGCAACGATTTCCTCTATGCTACGTAATGGAACGGAAAAAATGGAAACTTGCATGCGTAATTAGAATGCAGGTACAAATACTTGTACTCTGTACGAAACAGTATTGTACTGTACACAGGTGCAACCGCAGCTGCAGCGGACCTACAAATTATTTCAACTTGAGCCAAGCACAAGCGCTTGCACAGTACAGTAACGCGCGAAACCTAGATCTCATGTTTTATGAAGCGTTTTTATGACGGTTGACGTACGTAAGGTAATTATGCCAGTTAGCTGCTGCTAAAAGAAAACCGATTCACGCGAAAAGGTAAGTTTAAGTAAATCATTGATGTGAGGCACTACATGGACGTAAAAACATGGATTGTATATTTATGTTCCTCTAGCATTATTACTACTTATTTATTTATTTCGCAGTATGTACAAGCTACAAAGCAATATTCGCTAACAATCAGAAAACACAGTCAAATGAAGAATTTGTCCAACTTAATAACTGCCATCATTGTTCGCATATACAAGTACATACTATTATGAACTATAATAATAAATGCAATATCATACATGGCTAGTGTTTCACGTACCGTAATGCTGAAACTGGATAGGAATCGCAAACACCGTCGGCAGCAACTAATTCACGGCTTTGAATATGACTGGAAAGTCCGTCCTGGCCTCCAGAATCTGTCATTATCAAATGTAACCATTAGGATAAATGCAAACGTCTTTCGGGCCCGATTTAACGTGGTTAAAACGGACAACAACGCGACGAGCACCAGCACGAACAAATATTGTACTTATGAGTTAGCAGTCATCGTAAAAATTAAAAAAGGGGTCGAACCAAATATGCCAGCCTTCAGGTTCAGGTTAGCGGCGACATGCACGGTATGTGTGGCATGCGCTGTAGTGTACACGGCCATCTAACATGACGATCGGATTCCATAACACCAAAACCCAGCATCCGAATACACGGGGCGGCACTCAACTCCGCCGAGTACACATTTACAGGCTACAACACACATTTTCAAATTCATCTTTTAGAAAATGATCGACCAGACAGCGAGTGTTTATTCAGTTCCCCTGGGACGACGTCACATCCGCTGTGCAGTATCATGTATGTGCCTACTGCCGGCATTCCAAACCGACCCATTTTAACCAGATCCCAATCGTTTGTAGTCTTGGGAAAAGATGTGCGCCCAGCGCTGCACACTTTGCCATTAATGCCACTAGTCGACTTACACGGTATAAGCGCAAACGCTAATCTTGGGACAATCTATGCGCCACAGATTGCACCCAGCGCTACCAGCAGCGTTGCGTACAGGCCTTTGTATTTGTTTGAAATATCGATTTCAGCATGTGCTGATATATTTCAGGCACAAGTCGCGCTTATCGAGCGGACTCTATAGCGCAACAAAATCGTAAAAGCGAAGGAGGATCATAATACAAGCACAAATTACTGCAACTAATCGCATAGTGACTCGAAAAACGTCCATCACACTCCCACAGATCACTTCCGCTCATCGTTCTGGGGATCCCATACGGCTACGTATGTGCACGGACCGTCTCATGTTTAACCAATGACAAAAGCACCGTATCTCGTCATTATGACACATGAGCACGAGATTCTTGCGCAGCTGTTTATAAAAAACAAGCGTCCCTAATCCTATGGGTAGTAGCTATCTGCACTTGGTTAGCTACCTTATGTCAAAATGCTATCTTTATCAACTGACGTTAATGTACAAACGTTTCCCATGCTATCAGCAATCAGCATACCGCGACGCAACCGGTATGGGCGAAATCAAGATTCAATTTGGATATTGTTATACAGCTTATGATATTTTACAATAAGTGTCCATTCGTTTAAGCAGTGCAATCGTTAAAAGTTAAAACATAACCGACGATAATGTGGGTACAACAACCGATAATACTTTTAACGTTGCCGAAACACAGTTTTGCCGTGCTACAATACACCTAACAATAAGTTGTAGAGTAGTAATAATTGGTTATAGGATCGACGGTGCATGTATCAACTGTATATTACACCAAAAAAGTAGAAACTGCAAATTCTGCAAAACAACATTTTGGCACAGTTTTCTGCGATAAACAAAATGCCATATGTCCTGCACATAATTCTCATTTGCGCATTATGTTAAAAATAATTTCGTTTTAATTTATAAGCCGTGAAAAGAAACTGCGATCTCACAAACAGTTGGCAAAAATTGCCGATCTGCCATATTGCACGAAGCTGGACTTTGGATTAAAGGTGGTAAATGTACTGTTATCGACTATTTATGTTCACCGTCGTCCATACACGCCGGGGCACGCCCTTTACTTTCTTCACCAAATTTTCATTTAGGTACTCGTACGGAATTCTATTGCTCTTCCGTTAAATACTACGGGGAAAATACATTTACTCCGATTAAATAAGAATGGTCGACGGTCGACCAGCCCTTACCATTAAAATTTATTTTCAACAGTGAACGTACTATTGAATTATAGTCGTTTAATGCTACCGCACTTGCAGTAAATTGAAACTGCCAACGGCGACACCGGTTAATCCAAATCATACCAACCGAAAAACTTTCAACTATTTATTCGCTTGGCTAAACACACCAATTTCGCGCTTTTTTATCTGTTTAACTTGTACACTTTTGGCTCGCAGGTGAATGCGATACAGTCGACATAACGCGGAATACTGATGCGAAACCATAAACACACACACACACACACACACCGGCGGCTTCATTTGGTTTGTTATTACGGTTGCTGACGCTGTAACGATTTTTTCTCGACAGACGGGTGAGATAGTAGTTACAGTGACGGGTGAGATAGTTATAGTATTTGTAGTTACAGTTATTGAGGTATTCTCCTTACGTTTACTGTAACTGCTTATTCGAAAAGAAGAATCGAAATATGTTTTACGTTGTAAGAAGACAATGAAGGCAACAATATCGTGCTGTAATCCATGCTTAAAACGATATCCCTCGAATGTATTACTTATCGAAAACCGTTTTTTAACAGATACAACCGACAACTAAACAACAAACATGTGTTTGGGTTACAGTCGCATGCCTGTCAACAAATGGCCCGAGTAATTACTGGGCCAGGTTTACAGCAGGACGACGCTCACGTAATCTATTCCACTACAGTAATTCATAAAGACTGATACGTACAGATAAATAAACACAGAAGATACAGGAGCACAGAGGATATGTTTTGTGAGTATGAGTGTTGTGATCAATATGGCTATTGGTTATGAAGTAAAATAGAGCGCAAGAGCGATGCGGTACTCCTTTCCCTCGTCTGTTGATGCAAATGGTTTTTACAGCTTATTACGACCTAGTTAAGCAAAACAAATAGCACTTGAACGCTGTGGCGATGTTGGCGGCAGCGCTGGTGATCTGTTATAACCGGTTTTCTATCAGCACTAATTATTGACACTGCAAGGGCAGAAGATTAATCTGTACGTTCTCCACCTCGGCATCAATTGGATTTATACACCAACAATGACAAACACACAACTCCGGTCGAAAATTATGCGCATGAACATTTGAGCAGTGGCAATGTTTCATCAATGTATACAAATGAGTTATGTGTACGCGTTATGCCTAAAGCGACATTCAAACAGCGCGTTCATTTTATTTCACGGTGCTCACTAACAGGACGGCAAATAGCGACTTCCACTTTGTTTACCCCATGGTCAATATCTAATCCATGTTTGCAATTTGCATTGCATATTTTCCAGCGTCGTCGACAGCATTTATTTCTGTCGAAGTTTCGACGAATAGATAGTGGAGTGCATCCACATAGATAGCGCTAAACGGTATTAATTAACCAACATCGGGAGCCCATAGTTGTTATTGTACAAGGTTTTGTAATGTTACGATTAATAGCCCAAGTCCACCTACATAATTCAGACATGAAGCGCGAATAATTAAGGCTATATATTAATATATGTAAAACAAGACTATCAACTCTTGACCGTAAAAAAAAATTGCTGCAGCAACTTCTATGACAGCAGGCAATACTTTTATATTATTTTACAACCGAAACGTTCAGCTGTCTCTTTTCCGCTTTCGATTTGCAAGTTTGTTTGTGCTTAATTCTATGCAATAATGACAACGAGGATTCGTTATAAAGTTCAGATAAAATTATATCCATTAACATTTTCCCTTACGTCCAAACTTAACTACCATTACGCATACAGAATCATATTCGCGGAGAATATTATGCGAATAATGGCTATCAAAGGACGAAACACTCTAGCTGTTTTCGTAGATTTGTGCGTGCCACCACTACCAAGAAACGGGAAAAAACTTGTTTTGTTTGGCTAATGCCTTAATAAAAAACTGACAAAGCTGTGCTACTTGACTTTTTGCAGAGGTTGCATAAACCATAAGGCTTATACTTCAGTTTAAACGCAATCAAATACTCATTTACTTTAGGTCGGTGTGTGAGCTCAGAGCACACCCGGTAACGCCAGCTCAAAGATTTTCCACCGCAAACGTCACTTCTTGTAGACCAAACTCTAATCATTCCGACTCGTCTTTTAGTCAGTCTGACAGTACACTTATTTTGCACTATTATGCTCAAATGTAATTATACTCTGTAATGCTTGGTTATTTTGATATCTAGTCCGGAGATAAGATTGTTTAGTAAATCACTGGAGCTTGCTGTATTATCAGCAAGTTTCAACCACACCTTCTACTGAAGTGCATGCACTAAAAGTCACGATTCGTCCCGTACAGATACATTGAAATGATTGAATCACATCCCGTAAACACTAAGTAATGCCGCGATTAATGAAAACAAATTAACGATTTCATTTGTCCATTCGTAAAACGCAAAGTAAATTGTCTGGTCATCGGTTCTCAGTGAGGAAAGTGCCGCATGCCGTTCGCAGATACTACAGTTCAATGTGAGGGCCCTATAATTTAAACCGAAAAAGAGTACTGTAAAGTGGCATAAATCGATTTTTTTCTGCGATGTGAAAGTGTCATACCAGGATTTGTATCCGGCCGTGGATGTTACGCCGGTAATTAGTCACGCGTTATATACACAGCGCCCATCCCGAGTCGACAAAAATAAAGACATTAAGCTTTCTATTGATAAGGCAACTGATCATTGCCTGCTTGAAAAGCCACAGATCATAATCCTGTTAGTGAATCCCATACCTACAAGTCTAGAGCACAGGCTGAGCCCTTATTGCCACCCGAAGGACCATTAGAGCTTTATGAATTGTTGCCGAATAGCGGTGTCAAAATGAGCGGATATTATTCCGCTCTATACTGTATCTGTACACAGCAACTCACTTGATGGTCAGGACACCCGGCACCGCTACGAGCACGTCTCAAGTCTCAGCCAGCAGCAGCAAGTGTAAATGAATCCCACACGCTTTCATTACACAAGCACCAAATGCGTCGGCTAAATCTGGGCTTGTCAATTAGAGTCAATTTCTTATTAATTACATAGCACCTCACAACTAGTAGTATTAGCGCGATTTTACAGACTAAATAGACGAAAATAATTTTTGATAGTGCTCTTCTATAGTGAAAAATTTTCATCCATTGGAAAGCGTGTTAAGATTTATACCAGATTAAATGGAAGTATAATTATATTATTTATACCAGATTAAATGGAAGTTAAGATTTATACCAGATTAAATGGAAGTACTGTGATTCACTGTATATTTTATTCAAGCAAATTAAACCGTTAAAGAAAATCAAAGCTGCCTAGCGCGCATAGCTACCAACAAAACAGCCAGCTATGCATATATAATTCGCTGACACCTGCATACTAACTTACCAACGCGCTGCAATTACAGGAATAGTCAATTATGTCCATAATTAGCTGTACAACGTAATCGTCACGACGACAGCCGATCAGATGGCGATAATTCTCATTCGGTTTCTCGCATGAAAGGAAATTAGATGTTGTTTGCGATGATCGGTTACAGTAATCTTGACGTGATACACAAGTAAACGCCTATACAGTAATGTTCCACTACAAACGCATCCGCACACTCATGATCAGCAGCCAGCAGAAATTCGCACTGTGTGTAACCACACCAATAAAATTAATGCAAAATATAATCACCGGATAAGTTTAAAACATTAAGAACACAAGCTTCACCATAGATTCTAGCAATGCATATTGGCTCAGTGTGCAAACAACAAAACGACGAAAACATCTGCGTATGTACATACACGTATTTGATAATCCGATTGGCGGAATTTAGATTATGTGCACATCAACACAGAGCTTTATGAATACTGATTCTCGTAGCGTTTGGCCCAGCTATAGCGATAAAAATCGATATAAGCGCTCTCATAAAATATCTATACAAGTATACAGGGGTTATAATACAGAAGCATTGTAGCGTGTTTAACGTTTCGACATCACCTAAATTACGAAATAATCGATGCCTCGAAGGTTTATTAAAAACCAGTGACATCCTAAGTTTTGCTTGACCACTAAAAGCAAACTTCCGGAGTCGGCAAAATCCTCCAATGGAGCTCTGTATTCTTATAGCACTTCAAAAACTGAACCCGAATGCGAAATTTTCTTCGCCATCGTATTGAATGCTCAGTGCACTAGTGCAGTGTAGTTCAACACTTTACAGACGTAGCTACAGTACTGTACCTTTACACCCTGCTTGTTACGCTTACATAATTACCGTACAACAGCATATGACAGCATGTAAGTAAGTCCGTAAACTTGGCTCATACGAGATAATTACACCGAAGATTATCTTCCTTTCTACATCTACAGTTCATATTTTATGATAACAATATTGATTGAAGTTAAACATGAGGGTACGCCATATGTTCACTGGACGGTGTAGAGTATCGAGTGGATGATTTCTTTTGTCGGCAAAAATACATCTGATTACTTACTGTTCCCAAAGGAAACGCAAAGTGTGAAATTAAAATTAAGGACAGGCTTAAAAGGATGAAGAGACAGTCTGAGACACACATGATTCATATTCATATAACATATATCTATATTTTAGAACAGCACGCAACAACAATTGATTTAGTTTATCTTTATCTTTAGCTTAATAACAACAAGCCAAGCATAAGCTTCTGAGGCGTTTGATGCCGGCCTGTTCTATATTGCCACTGTATTACTGCTGATTATAAACGCGGATTGGGCAGAAATAAAATTTTAAAACAAATATACAGATGTTTCTATCTTGTTGCGAGTAAGGTTCACTTTAATTTTATTATTAGCTGTTTTAGTCTGCATATGGACGTTGGCTGACCAACTATAAACCTATTGCCAAATGTCATTCTAATCAGAAAATTAAACAGCGTTCCACACCGAAATTAATAGCATGCCACGGTACCATTGAAACGAGGCCAGCATGAAAGCACTACAACCAACAAGGTGGGATGATGTGTTGCACGCTCTTGGATAAGTAATTTCACAGCTATCTTTTGATTAGATTGAAAAATCTGAAATACGTCATTAACAGCCTAATAACAAGTATTTACTGTAGCCGCATTTTCAAATAGCTAACCACCCAGCGATTGCATTCCAGCTAGAAGAGAAAGCAAACGATCGATGAAATAACACAAACACTTGAACCGTTACATGTAAGTGGGCCTGCGAGAAGGAACTGCTTTCATGTCTGCTTACCATACTCGCACAAAAAGCTAATTGCCAAAGGAAAATCATAAATGCTCGCATTCCCTTGACTGGCCTGAATTCCAAGCGGCACTTTAAAATGGACTAAATTGTTCCCTGTTAGAGGGATATTCTATAATCCATCCCTTTCACTTTAACCTCAATAAATGTACAGCCAACAACTAACAAGTACTGTATCTTCGTGCCGTTCTTTCTGCAACTGATTGTCATCCAAAATGTAAAATTTATACACGTCATTAATATCCAATAGTGGACCAATACGGCATCCTGTAACCGTATTTCTGAGCTGATTAAAATTTTATTCTTCTTCAGTAATCGTCAGAACAAATTAAAATGGATATATCATACTTGCTTCGGCTTCGAACCGCTTATTCTTACGGCTAGCATTTTCTAAATCGTGGCATATTATGCCGATACCAAAACAAAAGAATTACTCTTGAAGGGAACTCAGAAAAGTCATGTAAAAAACAATAAAATGCATTGCAGATCTTACCCGTTAGTCTCAAAAATGCGATACACATAATATATATACTACATACAAGAATTACAGATGAATAATTTAATTTTACCGTTAACAATGGCAAATTAGTGTATTAACTTTGTCTCTACCAACTACCATTTACCACGGTCCCCATACCATTCGGTATTAACGGTAACATTTTCTGTAACAAGCCGGTTAATTTCACTATGAGCTATAACTTAGTAATCCTATTTTCTAACTAATGCTCTTTTTTTATGCAGTCGAGACGAGAAAGAAGATGCACAAAAGGGCCAAGCACAGAGCCACTGAAATCGCTCTTCTTCTGGCCGATAATCAATTGTGTCTTATCTGTCATTACGGCTACTTAAATCGTATATGGACTCGATTACGGACTGATCGTACGCTAAATTAAGGATTTGGAATAGATAACATCTGTAAATAACAAAGTCAAAACAATGCGTTCAAAAAGGATTTTTTCATTGCTGAAAGTTACCACTGGTGAGGAGCTACAATAATACATGGCAGAAATACAATATTTGAAAACTTTTCTAAAGCGGTACATTTTCTAAAGCGGTACACAGGCTGCACTTCGCATCAATATACGCGGTAATGTACGTATCTGCAAAAATTTCCGTTGCTCACGAGTTAATGCACCCAAGCAAGTAAAATTTAATCACCAAAATAAGCCACAATACGAGAATTATTTCACCCCGTCGAAATAATTATTCGTTTTTTAGAGATGCGTTTAAGCTGAACATAATCTACACAAGAGATCAGGCGATAAGGTAGCAAATTGAAGAGCGGATTTAATGGCGGTTAATTACCACAACTCTGCTTACAGGCATAATAACTTCCGTTGAATGTATGCATCCAAGGAAATGTCTTATTCATGCACTCTACCATTTACTGCACTTACTGTTAGCGTTGCTGCGATCCTGGACAATATAGCGCTGATATTCCCCTTCCGGTATTCGAAGGTCGGAAAGCCGATAAAATCCTTTGACGCTCACATACAGACAGCCGTCACGTTTATGCTACAACAAAATGCCAAATGACATTATGACTTGATAATATTGCAGCCCATATATTATTGCACTATTATCTCCCAAAGCTTTCTCCTAGCATCACTGGCTGCGGTCGGCTAGTATGACCGTTAAATAATTTTATAGACGGATTGTCAAGACTTCCTTCGGCGTGTAATGCAAGAAGTTAAAACTAGTTTGCAGCGGCATTAGTGGGCTGTACCTAGCGGCATTGCGTGTGCGATTCGGCAGTTCTAATATTGTACAGTAAAATAATAACATACAACACGGCTACCGTACCAATGCTCTTTCTCTTTCATTTTAAATGCTCACTCGATCGGCTTGAAACTCACCATGAAAATGCCAAGGATAGTAATCTAGACTGGTTTTCCGATCATCATCAATAATTGACATCTACGTCTGAGTACTCGAAATGCACTATATCTACTTCACACATAGTATGTGAAGCGCCGAAGACCAAAGATTCGGCAATCGCCGATTCGCCACTGCTGGAAGTATAACTGTTAACAAGTGCGTTCAATATGCTTCTTGGCATCTGTACGATCGGCAGGCGGCAATATACGGATGTACTATTATTCTAATATTTCCATGTCATTTATATTTTCACTATTTTGTACGCTACTGTTTCGTAAAACAACTGCTGTATAGTTAAAACTTAGAACTGTCGAATCAAAATATGCACAGGTTATTATTGTAAACCAATATTTCCGTAATTAATCAAGAATTTCGTTTATAAAAGCATACTTAATGAATTCGCCATTATTATCACATCGAATCCTCCATGTAAATTAAACTTTCTGTCCTAACATGAGCGTATTGCAGAATGTATTGCAAGACAAGCATTCTGTCGTTCAATCATTTATATTAAAGCATAAGCAGTAAGCAGTAAGCACCGTAATTCACTCCAAGCTTAAGTAGTATTCGTAATTACAAAGGGTCAAATTTTGAAAATTACCAGTGATGCCTTTTCACTTTTATATACGTAATTTGAATGGCCATTAGTGAAATGCCGCAGTGGCATCCATTCTTCAGTAGCGCAGCCACTTTTTATGCACGCAAAAAGCCGTTCGTGTCAAACAGTGCAGCTTTGATAATCTGTGACTAAAATGTCAGCCCCTCCGTTGTAGTGTGCACGATGTATGATAACAAAAACCAACGTTCAAGAGGCGCCAAATGTGTAAGTAATTATACCCCAGCAAATTACTACTACAATTCTTTATTTACATATTCCCAACAAAACTATATATTGCGCCACAGATCGTGCTGAATATCGGGCACATTGTTATATCGTAGATGCAATACTTATACGACTAGCCGGTAGGCAGTATCAATTCCCAAAAATACATAATACGTACGATTTGATACATATCTATCAAATTAATGCATCGGCAGATAGCCCAAGCAGTATTCTTTTAATTTTGTTAGCACAATTGCATATACGTACCGCTATGAAAGACAACATGAGCCTAAATAAACACTCTTAAACTGCTGATACATTGTCCGGATGTTCAGCAGTTCAAGTAATTACTGTACTTCTCTTTATCATTGTAAAATAACTAACAACAGTTTACTGGCTATTTCCATTTTTCCAGTGTTTCACAAAAACGTTTTTTGAGTGCGCAAGATCATAATGTCGATCGCTGATGTTGTTTGTTGCGGCTGGGGAGATCAATTAGCAGTTGAAGTCGTCAAGTGAAACCGTAAAGGCGATATATGAACATTATGGCTGTGCGCTGGAAATGTTGGAAATAAATAGCTTTTTACGTGCTTCTATGGCTATATCACGTTGCACTTTAATCACTCGTAGCTAACTTATGAATGGCACAATACGAATGTGATTTACATATGTACACAATGGAGCATACAAAGTCGCCCCCTCCGGCTGTTAGGTTCATCTGGATGCACTTCAACCCGGCAATTCACTGTTTTCTTGTTCATCTCTCGGCATGGTCTCGATCAGATTTCCCGCATGGATGATCAAGAGATACAAGCGCAGCCACAACTGTTATTGAAGATTGTCATATAAAATTGTGTTTGAACCGATAGACGGAAGAGAACAACTCAAAACCCTTTCTTTAAACGGATCGGAACTGCTAACCATTAATGCTTTTCACTGCGGAAATCTTTGACACCCCAGACTTCCACAAGGAACGCTTTACCCAAATTATTACAAATAACAGCCTGATGCCAATCTCGGCATGCCTCTAATGGCTAATATGATAATTGTGTATTATTCTTCGTTTTAAAGGATGGATTCTATCCAAGAGCCAGAGCTACTAAATGAGTTGGAACGGCTGGGCTTGATAAAACGTTATACATGTTTTTATGGTCATGCAATTATTTAGCCGCCACCGTAATTGTTGTCTTAATGTTCATTAATTTCATAACGAAATATCTGTAACTAACTGATGATTGTGCAATTTTGATGAAACACTTAATCTTTTTCAAAATTTTTTAAATATTTAGTCAACACTGTTGACTCAACACGACAGTACTGGATATTCTGTGCTTACGTACTCGTAATTTAAAGATTTCGCGTTATTATTACTAGAACGACGTATTATTTCGCCAGACACGTACCAGTATTCCATTTCACCACAAGGAATTTTCTTAATGAGCGTATCAGAAGTAGCGAATACAGAATGCAGATAGTGTGAGCAGTGCATTAAATTATTAATTACGGGAGCATGAATACATAGACGTACAATGCATATACGAAAAACGTTAGCGCAACACCACTGCAATAGCAAGGTTAAAAGCAACTGCTAATCCAGCCGACCATATCTGCCAATTACCATCGGTGGGGGATATACTGTACTGAGCGGCATATCTCCCCTGATTGAGAGCTGTCCAGTGGATGCAAATGCAAAATTACAAACACATCCTACAAGTGATTGTACTGGCCTAGTTGAGCGTCAGATCTGCTCTAACATTAATCTGGCACCCCTTCCGTCGGCAAATAACTCATCAATATCGTTTAAAGTCAGAGTACGGACTGTACCAGACACCCACGGTATAACAAAGAAATACTGGTGAATCGGTAAAATAATATTGATCAGGCAGCCACAATGAAGTATTTTAATGTTTGATGCATACAAAACAAGATATTCCCCCTTTGATGATGTGCCTCTCTTCTCATTTCTTAAGTTTCTTATGCTTACAAGTCTTACCTGGAAGTACGGAAGTATCGGTAAATCCGATATCTTATTCAGTTCTCCATAATTTTCTGAGTTTTATGAAATGCTTAAAAGTAGGTTCTGTTGAAGTGAAAATTCGAAGTGTTCAGTAGCTGAACTACTAAAACTGCATTATTCGTATGTAAAAATTACTTCGAATGCGGAGAAGGCCACAAGGTTATTGTAAAGCGAAATTATAACGCTGCCATAGCATGTTTAGAATAAAGCAAAATCCATGGCTTTGCCAATCGACAAACACGGTCGACCGGCTGCGGTGTAGCACCATTTTAATTCTGCAGTTTGCACATGAGTTGGCGCTGTATTTGTATTAGTCTTTTCAATCTTTTGTACAGTGCTCGTAATGCATATGAAGATACGAAAGTACACCGTACCGCCCGCACGGTACGTCTCGCTCATTGTCAGTAGCGCACACCACAGACTTTGTTACACAGAATTTATGCTGTACTGCGTTATCCTGTCCCTATCCATACTTCCGCCTGCGTACTTCTTTATGCAACAAAGTTTTGCCGATTACCGGCAAAACACTGATACGTCATCGATAATGGTGATTTTAGTACGTACTCGAAACAAAAATTTATGAGCATTCTACGAACATTCAACTCCATCCAAACGCAAAAAGTGCCAAAAACTAAGGAATTTCTTATACATACTAGGACTGCATAAATTTGCGATTATTTCTTATAAGTACATTGCGATAATAGTAAGTACAGTACGCTATGTAACTACAAACTATCTATCTATATATAATATAAGCTATGCCAACACACACAAATAACAAAAAAGTTCCACCCAGAAAATCAACGGCAAATTAATCGTAGTACGTGCAAATGATAGAGTAGTGACCGATTCATAAGCTGCACTGTCCTGAAGAAGTAAACACGAAATATCGAATATATCAGAAATGACATTCAGCATTTGTGCAGCACTGCTATTAGTTTTTTCTTGTGGAGTTTTCGTAATAGTACTTGCTTAGCAACCATCAAGTATGCTAAATTCATCTTGTATAGTACGCCGCAGACACGAACGGTTTTGCATCGACTGTCTAGAAAGGTCAACGACTACGTGTATGACTGTCAATAAATCCGGCGCTAATCGATACGGTGCCATTGAGGCGCAACACCATGGTATCATAGATTTGCGGTAGCAGTGTGGTTATTAACGTTTTCCGCTCAGGAGGCAGTACGTCTTTTAGCGTTAAATATCTCTCGACTTGCTTTCAGATCACTTAACTGCCTTACCGGCAAATTAATGATGTCTCAACCAACTAGATTAGTTAACTTCTTTTTACTCGCTGTAGATTCGATATATACCAAATCACCTTCTGTGGGAGAAATCAGAGGCTTGTTGAGTGCTTTGTTAGCTATAGCGGATCGATAAGCCATGTAAGGGTTACAGCGAATCGTTTTTAAGAGCTAAGAGACACCGTGTTTAGTTAAACATAACATAATAATTATCGCGCTCCAGGGTGCTCTCAGTCGTACGATTGTTTTACACCATTCTTTAATAAAGCAGTTAAGTTATTATGCTAAATATTCAATGATATTGCCGGTATGTTGAATTTTTTGTGACTACTGCATATTCTCAATAATGATCTCAGCTAGTAAGTCAAATTCAATATGCGCCGTCGTTGCACAGCCATGTAAAATTGCAGATGCAATCATTTGGTAAGATCTCTAGAAAGTTTTAATAAACACAGTTTCCTGCAGATGTCTGTAATCTGCATGCAGGGATGATCGAATTTCTCAACAGATCTACAGCAGCAAATCTTGATGCTTTATAAAATTTTGTACAGTGCTTTCACCAAGGTACGATACGTATAGTGAGATATATATAGGTAGTACAAATAAATTACAAGGATTTACAATTTTACATTGTTATGCAAAAGTGCAGTTTTTTCGAATGTTTTCAAAATCTTTAGGTGAAGGCTTTATGATCAGAGCTTAGAAGTAACCTACTCTTACAAATGTGCGACTGCTTACACCGACAAACTGGATTTATTCTCAAAATATGGAACAATCATGCCCATCTAATGATATTTCCGCAACAACTACTTCAATCACGTTCGGTCGTATTCAAGTGTCACAACTGTCATGACATCGCAGCTGGTTATGTTTGCTCTATCCTTCACAATTCCAAGCCAGCTTAAAGCGCAATAAAAATATGATAAATTTAATTTTCTGCGCTTAAACGCTGCATGCTATCCATCCGCGGCAATGCAGTGACGTGTAATTACCTTCTGCTTAAGCCATGAGAGCATTTAACACTTAATGTAACTATCGGATCGGTAGGTAAATAGTCAATACCGCAGCTTGCGGAATTAAAGTGAAAAAATTATTAAACACAAACACCACCATCTACAATACAATCTTTTCTTTCTCAAGTTAACTTGTTAAGTTGTCTCACTTACCCGAAAAAACTCTTGTATCGTGCAAATATTGAACGGTTCAAAATGGTCTCTTCGACAAGAGCTTTCCAGATAAGCTGAATCTGTAAACAGAAATACATTCCATAATTAGTGTTATCACAGTATTACCAGATATTACATTAAACGTGCAATTTTCATATCCTACAATCTAAAGATATCAAACACGATTATAATATTCGACAGCAGCCAATACTACGTATGTATATCGAGATATCTTACTCACAAACTAATATTCAAGTTTCATTAGTTTTGAAAGAATCTGATAGCGTACTGATATCCAGTTAGATCCTATTCAATTGAAGATTGCAGGTATCAGGAACGACATTACTCTATATACAGACTACAGAGTGCAGAGTCGGCAGTAACCGCGTTGAAGTTAGCAACGAGAAACAGTTCCCTTTTTCGCCGCTTCCAGGTCGTACCCTCGTGTGCCGGTACATGCAATACTCGTACATAAAAAAGCTAGTCATAGATTACGACCTAAATTGCCTCTACGTGAGATGCAAAGTGAAACAAATCGACAATTACATTCTGACACCTTCGTTGTTCCCAGTTACCACACCCTTTAATCTGGATCTGTTTTCAGATCGCGCTAAATCGGAACTTTTTATCAGAATACAACGGATTCGTTCATATTAAACACGGTTACTTCGCAGTGGCGCGTGCACAGAAAATCCAGTTTTGTAACAAGATAATAATTTTTTGTGTTCGTTGTAAGTCTTCATAAGAACAAACGAATAAATATGAATCGGAGAACGATAAAGCTAGCCGGTCACTCCAAAAGGAGTTTTCGTTTAATTAACCATTAATTTTAATTAATCATTTTTTAATTAATCATTAATTTTACTTACTTTATGGTTCGATTTCCTTCGCAAAGGGAATTTATAACAACGCATTGCATAGCGCTTTGCGAAAAATTAAACCCGATATTGCCAATAGGCTTACACATAACAGGGCCCATGAAAAAGTTGAATTTCTGTTTCTTCATTTGTGCAGTATACCGTAATTGAGCATTGTTCATAAATGCCGACACCATGTCAATTAGTAATCAGGTTCAAAAAGCCAACAGTCAGTCATGGTTCAGGTGGCCCCATCAGGTTGTTAATTCACGCCTGACTGCCACCTAAGCTGAAAATCGATCGCAAGGCATCCGACAAAATTTCATTTTGCACGAATACGCATCAAACTAAGGGCACGATTAGATTAGCATCATCGGTACCGTAACCGGCGTAGTGTACCAGTTTTTATATCTCTGGGTACTGTATATTTCCTGCCTTTCTGTAATAACGCTGTGTATATTCAATAGAACTTCAGCGTGTGCAAATGTTACAGATTTGACAGCGTAAGGAATATGCAGCAGAAAGACACCGTATCAGAGGGCGAAGCATTAGCGCGGCGTCCCGCTTCATCTGCTTGTAATCAAGTACGGTGAATACTAAACAGTCTGTTCACGCATTTTAACAAGAATTATCGCTTTTAAGGCAATTTTAAAGCGACAATGTTTATTGGCTTCAAGCATAACAGGCTTGGTCCATGACTTGATCAACATTACGATATTTTAATATCGGAATGGTTTGACAGTTCAGTGCAGCCTAAAGTTTGAAAACCGCATTATACCGCATGTAGATGTTGCCGGAGACCAGTGCAAAAAATAAGTATTAAGTTATCCAAATTATTAACAGATATTTTAAAAATCAGCCTTTAATTCGAGTTGTTAAGTAGTATGATTCTATGCAACAAATATCAGACTCAACATTGATGTTTACTATATACTTAAGTACATGCGCAATACATCGAAGTTGATCGAACGACATAAGCTTTTTTATCATTTTAAATAAGTGCTGTTTTATTAAAAATTAATTTTTGGTTGGATACTAGGTTTTGATTGCTTAGCTAGCAAAATGCAAACACGTTGTTCAACTGGCGCATTAAACTTGCTGAGTGGCGTACATAAACCCACCGATTCCACACTCTACACTCCACAGTATGTTGGCTAGTGCCGCTGCTTCTACGGTAATATCTGCTGCGCATACTCTGTGTTTCCTATCTCGCACAGCCGCACTGTCAATAAATCCATAATGACCATGGAACAAAGCAGCGACCACAAGCTCGCGTTCCTTCATCACACACCAGCAGAATCGTGCCAGTCATCTATATATCAGATTGATCTGCCTGAACTGGCTCCCAGGCGCAACTACACAGAATTCAAATGAATAAGTATAGAAGTATATCTTTGTGCATAATTGCGCCCATCTACTCTCTACCGGCAGGCGCGCATTCACTTCTTGATCGACACGAAACGCGTTAATGATAATCGAATTTTAAAAAATCCCAAAGTAATAAGGCATCTTTACCCTCTTGATTATCGACACTCAAGTGGAGCAGCCACAGAAATTGTTTATTAATCGATAATTCGATATCAACCACATCATTAATCAATAAATTGCCTGGACTTGCAAAAACATCATTGTACGCGCACAGAAAAGGGAAGCCTGTAAAACTCACTTAATGCATTTAGATGAAGACTGGCAATGACGTGATATTTAAGATGTTTTGTTATGGAAACATCTTATAAAAACTGTATCAGACAAGAGCTCTTTTGATACGAGAGCGCATTTCCGTTTCGGTGATCAGTCAATATTACTTATGCATAAGTATATCGAAGCATACAGTAATGTGCATATTGCCCACTGACAAAAAAGAATGCGCTTAATGGAACGAGCACAGTACTACTTAAATATGCGTATAAATAAAACAAGTACAAATAATACCTAATTTTTCAAAACTACGCCATGTAAGCAATCATATTTTACAACGTTTATTTGGACTTTTATCATGAGAGATTGCATGCAATTTTATGGAGTGTGTGTCTCTTCACAAATACGTTTTAATCCAGCAGACAGTCACTATTTGCTAATCAAAATTAGCAGCTTGTACCCAAATCAGAATCCATCTATGGATCAGTATTTATGGATTAATGGCCAAGTCCTACTTTAGCATCCATCAAAGATGCAGTTGGTAAAAAATTAGCAAATTCAACATGGAGGTAGCTCATAATCAATGTCGTCATTCAGTTTACAGTATCGAAGCACCCAGATATCAGCTACGTTGCTTCAGTACTATTAACCTGATAATAACAGTCATTTCGCGCTGCGGTGCAGCCGAAGTGCCGTTGATATTTATTTAAACTGCTTCCTGTACTTTATGTCTATGTACATGTGTTACATATAATATAACCGCTATGAAACTGGCTGGCGCCGCAAGAATTCAAGCTCAACAAACGATAGTTTAAGTCACGCATGAATCGTTCCAACAGATTCATTTATGATGCCGGGTAATTATAGCCCATGCATACAACAGAAAAATGCACATTTTAAGGATTATTCTGTCGGTCTAAATTTCCTCATATACCACAAACAGTCATTTTGATAAATGTTTCAGAAAATTCAACATTTCAAGAAAGTACTTAATAAATATTTGATAAAACCGTTTAAAGGCAAAAAATCATTCAATAAACATTTTAGCGCAATAATCTCAAGCTTGCCTGTAAACACTGTAAACTACCGTTAAGTCTTACTGTTACTGTAGCTGAGAAATTAAATTGTAGCGCTACAATTTAATACCGTGGCAGAAACTGCCTGCCGAGCATTAAACAATAAATTCTACAGCTCATTTTCACTACAGCCCTTATTTTCATATATCCTTGTTAAACTGATATTGACAATTATTTTTCGATAGCGTCATTGTTATCAGAATGCAACGTCGAATCAAATTTTCAATGAAGCAGATACGTACACAATATGCATTATGTCAAAAGCGAGCACTCATTACAGGCTGACGATTCTGACCTATGCGCAGAATTAAATCGCGTTGATCAAAAAGGGAATCCATGGAAAATACTACAGTCCATTAGGATCAAGTTACATGTACCAGTAGCTCGGCGTTGCTTACCTCCTGGCTTATATTTGACGCTGTTTGCGCAAACGTATTCAAAGTAAACTCCGTTGGCGTTCAGATAAACCAATCCCAAATGGCGCTCTTTTTTGCCCACCATACACGATACCGGCTGAACTGTTGTGCCGGAAGGATAATTGTTTAACGTGCTGGTAAACTTTGTTTCCTTTTCCATATTATTGTTGTAACTATTCAGCGGCAGACTGCTGCATATTGATGCTGACGTCGTCGGCGTGCAAGCGGATGTAGAGGGTTTTAAAGACAGATCCATATTACTCTTGACCAGTGATTTCATCTGAGTATGCATACGAGATAATACGCTTTGCGATACGTGAATTTGTGCTATACGTTAAAACATAGCAGCAACTTTGTATTTAACGATTTTACCAGCGCACAGTTTTACCGTAGTGGTTTTACTGACAAGTGCACTGCAGCTGGTCATCTCATGGTCACTGCGGCAGGACCAACAGTTTATGCACAACACTCGCGGCTCAGTATGTGTGGATAATATTCACTGCCTACCGGATCCAGAAAATGAAGAGCAAGGCGGGGTTTAGGATGCATGTCCCAGTGGCCATATTATTATTATGACAGTGTCAGACTCGCGGAGAGAGAAAGGCACTGCAAAATTGAGCATAGTGTTATCAAATACAGCTCTATTCGGCTGCGGCCTGACTGGCCATAGACCGATATGTTTAGCCAGCTAACAGGAATCGTTATAGGCGGTTTATTCTGCGCTTGTATTGGCTTTAGCTGGCAGTTCAATAGTCCATGAGAGGAACTTTACATTCAACAGAGAAGCGCATTGAAGAATATAAAACGCAGCATGGATAATAAATCAAACGATCACCGAATTGCAACTGCAATTTTGCTTGGCTAGTTTTAGCATGTATAAAATCTTTAATTTTATTCATAGATCTGTACACCAAGCATCTCAGGTGTACCTGTTCAGAAAGGTCAATTTATAGCTAACCTAATATGTTTGGAAAACACCAAACGATTTCAATAAACTTTTTACGTATGGATACTGCTTCCATCTGATTAATTTAGACATACTGTACCTAGAAAACGTCTTGTGGATTGGTGGGAATACGTTTCACATTTAAGGTGCTAACTGTAAAATCAAGTAGCTTGCTAATACATGCATACTCTTTCTTGGGCACTACCCGAGTAGGGTTATCCTAAATCAGAGTAAAAGGAACAAACTTGTAATATTGCACTGATCATTTTACAACTTATAACCGCGTCACTGTCTGCGTGCTCATTTAACCAACTTTACAGTTCTTTGACTCTATAAGTTACTTTTATGACCTGTTAATGCTTAAACTAAAAATTTAAATGAGAATAATTTAAGTAGCATTATTCCGCTCACCTTTGTATCTTATCTGCAATCAAAGCTGCTTAGCATCAAAATTATATCTATTTAGAAGTATTGGCATTCGTATGTCCAATTCAGTGCAGACTGCAGATTTTTAGGATATACAAGTAGATAGCATACTGTACAAATTAACAGAGAACTGTGATTAATGAGATATCGTCAGAAAGCGTCTACAATGTATTCGGCAACTTCCATACACATCCAACAAGGCAGTGTGATAGTTTTGTTTACCGTCCCGAGCTGTTAAATTAACCAGCCGAAGGCATGAATGAACCCGACCTAACGCTTGAAAGGGTGCTGCGAAAGGGTGGCATGACTGATAATAATAATAGAACGAAACTACGCCCACCGACATAAAGAATTGCCACAAAGGGCAGATTAGATATCTCATAATGCATGTGAAGAGACTTTACATATGCACTGCGGATATCTGCATCAGATCGACTGATCAAACAATAATTACTAGAGCATAGCTTTGCGTAGTTCAGTCTTTACACTACTAAACAAAATGAACATATAATTCGAGTTACAAACAAGAAAATTAGAACTTATAAGCGTATGTATGGTGGAATATAAGCAAAAATAATTTTAAGTATAAGCAGAAATAATTATTTATTTGTAAAACCATCATTGCCAGTTAAAACTTATATCTGTCCGATAACGAGATCACTATGAGACCATTTACATTATTAAAATAATTAATTAATGTTAATGCAGTTATTACTTGGCAGCAGGATTTTGCAAGTATTACTAATTTACTAATTATGCACTGCGCTAAACGCACCACCGCTGTGAAGGAGTGATCCGCATCAGTTACAACCGGGAATGTAATTTTTATATGCAACGTTTTTTGCCGCTGCAGAAAATGAGATGTGGCATAGCATTATCGTGTATCGATTTTATTTTAACCGTACTCAGTCAGTCACGTACATCGGAGCCGCTTAATCTTTGAATAATATCGTATTTCCAATAGCGCTGACAGCGCCGGGCACGATGCCGCTCTAATGGATATGGAAGAAGCCTGCATATTAATAACATAATTAGGACCATTAAGTCGCGAGATTGCCATCTTGCTCGTTTACTTGTCAGTTCAACATTAGCATGCTCTTTGTACTTGTGTATTATATGATCGTGAACCAACAGACTCGCGGATTATCAGCGCTTTCCGGAACATACGATCATATTAATTTTATGCTAAATCTTCTCATCCGGTTAAAAACTAAACGATTTCCCATAATATTCCCGTCTCTATGCTTGCGACTGCAAATTCAACTTTAAACTTGGTTGGAAGTTGCCCGGAACCGGACTGGACTCACACTTGAAATTAATACGTTTGCAACATTATAGCAACACCACAAATTGTGGCATAATAGTTATTAAATTGTACATAATTTTAGAAGTATTGATTAAACTAAAATGGCAAATTTCATGCAAAAAGTGCTACAAATAGAGTAGTGCTGTCTCAATGAGCGTAAACCAGTGCCAGTTGTACCTATATTTTCTAAAATATAGGTACAACTAAATTCATCTAAATCTACATCTAAATTCTTGATTGTGCAGTGTAAGCCGTAGTGATACGAGTCATGACTGTAATGTCGCGATGTAAACATGAATAAAGATCAGGTTTTCTAAAATCAATTCATTTTGGGTGCAATACGGCCATTGATGAATTAATACGGCACGGTGGAAAGTTCACTCACGAACAGTAAAGTTTGGACTACGAGTACAAACACGTAAGTACTTCGACCGGTAATTTAAAGGTAAATTTATTTCAGATTTCGATTCGGCTGAAATCATATAAATAAACCTGCACTGATCACATTTTGTCATGGAAATTGGTTTGACTTGAGTTGTTACTAACTGATGAGAAAGCAAAGCTCTGCAGTTTGCACATGGATTCAGTCCATTCCGAGCCAACACAGAGCCTGGTTTTATTGGTTTTTAAACTCGAAAAAGAAATGTCCACTGCTGCAAACCATGCACGAAGCATAAAAATCGAAAGAAATAAATTATAACGGACAAAAATCGTGAGTGCTGCAGTACTGCTGCATGGAATCATGCTTTCGAAAAATTCCCTCCCGGATTCTGCTCAAGATTCGAAAAGCAACCACATCGTGCAAATAAAAAATCCCTTCAAACGATGATTGCCATTATGACTCTTTATCACTCCCCTGCTGTTTACTGTCAGCTGGAACAGGTTCTGGGGCGGCTTCGTCGTCGTTGTCATCATCTTGAACATCTTCCTGGTCTTCTTTGTCGCTATCTTTTTCTTTTGATTTCCCTGATTTCTTATCTTTTTTCGACTTATTCTTGTCTTCCTGACTTGGTTTCGTACACGAATACAGAGGGACAAAAGATTCAAAGAATCCGCAGTCCTCCGTAAGATTGGGTAGATACCAAAAGTGCACTCTGCCCATTGTGACGCCCCAAACAATGGCAAACACCACGTACCGCACTAAAACAAACCAACGCTGCAGAGTCGAGCCAGAAGGGCCATAAGATTATAAAGCTAGCTTACATAATGACACAGTGATCAGTAAACCGATCAAACCCACGGCAAGAAGACTGAGGTAATATACACCCTGTCGGACAATCGGAGGCCACAACGGAAACAAACAAATCCCGATAGCGCCAAACACTAGAAAAACAGGCAAAAAATTACCACGGATAAAAGTACACAGCGGATGCAAAGATTCTCACCCAGACCGACCCCCATCACGACGTTCAAAATCGATGTGGGCTCGTACACCCATACATAGGCATCCTCACTGTCCAGGAACACCTGTTGAGAATGCAGCTCCAAACGGATTTTTTTCTTCTTTTTAGCATCTTTTCCATCACCCTTGGGAGAGTCAGGCTCACCCTGTAAAATTCAGGAGACTGTATAACGCACTTAAGTGCAAACAGATGCAGTTTAAATAAGCACACAAACAGGAAAAATCTGGTAAAGGGGGAGCCAAACACACACTCTGTCTCTCATTAAACTCACCTGACCTCCCTCATCCGATTTCTCTGCCTTATCCTTTTCGTTTTCCTTATCTTTTCCATTTTTTCGTTTACCGGACATTTTTATCCTGAAAAACGAAGCAAGAACATTAATTCACTAAATCAAAGCAATGCAAGATCACCATAAAATGACAACGCATTAGACACCCAGCCATTTTTCGACGTACTTCAGCAGCACTATCAGCTTTTTCCTCTTTGGAAGACTTCTCCTTCTTTTTCTTCTCTTTCGCGGCATCCTTTTCTTTCTTACTTTCCACCTTCTTCACAACAATTTTTGCCGCTCGAGTTATGAACTCCAGATCTCGAAGCCTAGTAAACACAAAAAATTATTATGCAGCAGGGCAGCTCTGTATTTAAGGGAAAATAACAAAAAAAGAAGATCATTGAGCACAACCAAAATCCGAAACAGGTAAGTCCCAAGATAGTAATACATGCGGATTAATCATTAACGATGGCAATGATAATATCCTACAGGATGCACTCTGTTGTTATGCAAAGCACTTTCTCACGATCCAATTTAAAAATAACCAAAAAACTCAAGTATGTAAAGAGAAATAAAAAAATCCAAGTATTTCCAAAATTTCAAAGATAAGTTCACTGAGTTTAGTACCAAAGCAGCCCACACCTGTTCATATAATCCACACACTGATCCCGAGTGGTGAAAATCGGATTTTCCTTCTTCGTTCCTTTGGCCCATTTTGACTCCAGTAAGACGTCTACTGCTTTCGAACCTGCAAACAGTTTCCACCGTTAACTGTTTCGGGAGAAACAGTGCAACACATGCAACATTCGGATGTGAAGATGCGTGTAAAATGAAATAATACGAAAAAGCGTACCCGTGAAGTAATAAACTTTTTGATTGACAAACAGAGTCTGCTTTTTCGGACATTTGTCGCGCAAATACTTCGCAATCGCGTAATCTTGTTTCGTAGGTCCTTCGGCTGCTTCCTGCAAAAAGCTTGGTTACTATCACAAAATGAAAACGCACCACCAGTGTAGAAACAGAATTCAGATAAAATAATACAAATACTGAACACAAAGAAATGCCAACTGGCCATCGGCGGCTTATTAGTAAAGTTCTACACAGTCAAAAACTGAATCTTTTGTTATTGTGCCAGTGCCACATAAGTGATAATTAAATTAAACTGTACCTGCTGTCCGCGATTCTTCCGCTTGCGAGATTCCGACATAGTGCTAATTTCCCTCTTTCAAAAATACTTACAAAAATAAGCCGCTAGAAAGCGTGGTCGCTGATAAAAGAAACTCTAAGAAAGCAAAGTTCTGCGGAGATCTCTTCAAGCTGTTCGAACTGGTTCGATGCAAAGACAGCAACGTCGCCAAAATTCGAGCTTTCCGCTGCTTTCGCACTTCGCAGCACCTCAAGACGATAAAAACTTCGAAATCTCTAATAATGCAGGTTTTGACATGAACCTAAACGAATGCGCAAAACGCGTTTTCAACAAAAAGATAACAGCCAAAATAATCAGAATAGTTCCATTGTTTTCCACTTTAATAATATAATTCCATCTTTGACGTGGCTTCTAAGTTGAAGTTCGCAGTAAACGAAACGGTAAATCAAAAAATTCGTCAAAAAACATCCGACTAAAGTGCAATGGTGCACTGCGCACCGTGCATGACGCACCGCAGGGAACTTCGAAATCAGTTTATGCACGCTGGGGCTGCAGTCCTGTGGATGACTCACCCTTGAGTAGTTGTTACGACTGCTCCACATTCAAACGCAGCATCTGTTCTCCAGATACTCGCCCGCAAGTTCTCCACGCTCTGGAGACTGGAAGATCTTCTTCCGTATTCATAATTTCACGCTGCGCAGTAAACTGTGTGATATTTTGTTTTATTTAACGTTCTGGACCTAGGATACAGCTTTCCCCAATTTGATTATAGTAGAAATGTTGTGTTATTGTTGCAGTACGGCTGCCACGACACAAAAGATAGAGTTGACGTTTTGCTCGGAGGATACTCGTACTGCAGATCTTTATCTCTTCTTGCTTCTTGATATTTTCCATAACAAACTGCAGCTTTGGATTTGCGCCTTCTGGAGACGGTATGTTTTTTAAGTTTTATCGATCTACAATTCAGATTAGCTCCACACCGCTTTTTGTTAGAGTTTAGAACGCTTGGCTTAGGCTGTACATCCGCTTTACTACTAGTGAGGTACTGACGAGTGAATTATCGATTTGATTAACGTTTTCATGGGCCATGACGCTTTGATGGATACTTTTGGGTGCATATCGTATTTTTCGAAATGTACTGAGGTGCAGGCAAAAATGACTGGCTTAGGTTAGTGCCTTATTCTCTGTCAGAAATTCCGAATCGGATCTGTTCATGTGGATAGGGAAATATAGGAGAGTATTTTTCATACGACTTCTGTCGCTGTGACGCTGCTAGACTCTAAAATTATACTTCAAGGTAATTAATTTAGAACTTCGAGAACTATAGGTACGTTGTTCTTTTGTGCTCCATGTGAGCAGTTTTGAAATTTTTTTTTTGTTTTAGTGTTTTTGTCCAGCAACGTAGATGTGGATCGGTTAATGGTGGTCGGTAGTGACTCGGTACCGTGTATTTTAACTATTTGAATCACTTACTTTATTATTTTGCCAGCATCCAGCGTCATTTATTATCCAGTATTATTTCGCCTTAATGATTTTAACCTTGAAATTTCTACGGTACGTGTGCCTAAAAAGTAATCGAAGGTTCACACTTCACAACTTCACACTATTTGTATTTTGAAATTTTTGTACAAAACATTTATTTTGCATTAGGTGTTATTGCGCTGCTAACTAAGACTTGCACTTGGTTTGTTTATACGTTTTAATTTTTTTGTGCTTGTAGCCTCGATAAGTGGTTCGAGGTACTTTGTGAACTGCGGTGCAGTCGAAAATATCATTGTAATAAGCGGTGGGGCTGTTTTTCCAAGCTTTTACCTGCTGCTACGCGGGAACCAGTGCACATGTTGACCATGTAGGAACTCGACAAGTAGTATGCAGCGTTGAATTATGTCTTTGTCGACAACGCGAGTGTGTTTTCGGATGCGCCATTGCTTGTCAAAAGCCGATCATCGTGTTTGTCCAAGCGCGAATACGAACTGGTTCAGTTTCCGAGCTGAATGTTGCTGATGTGATTTATCAGGAGCGATTTATGCTCTGAGATTCGTTAGTCAATTTGTCAACCGCGATTTGAGATAGATAGCTCATGCATCGGATATTTTTATAGTTTGTCTCGTTTGCGATAGACAAGTTCTTAGCTTATGGCCAAAATACTAGTACTTCTAGTGATACCATGGTTTGCATTACTCAGGATTAATTCTTGACTACGGCATAGATACTCGTATTTATATTTCCAGCTGATATATGTTTTGTTGTTATCGTTCGTTGTTTTATGGAGAGTTCAGGTTAAGGCTGGCTTTTTCACGTGCATTGTAGCATACACAGAGTAGTTACGCGTTTATTAACGGTTTCGCTCTGAATAGGCTGTAATAACATACTTTCACAAGTGTAAATGACGAAAAACTTACAGCATTTTTTTCATATCTACTCTTGTCATTTTACTCCATACGCAGTGTGCAGTTACAGTTAGCCCGTATGCGATACTGTCTTGTGAAGTAAGCACTGCTCACAGGTAGCATCCATTTATCGGCTTCGCTGCCCAAGTGTTGCCGTTTTTTCAGTGGTTCTTGCTAGAAGAGGTGAGCCATGAGACGGTGTAATGCAGTCTCAGCATATTCTGTTGTCGTTCCGTGTTCTTGTGAAAAGTGTGCAGCTAGCGAAAATAGTGAGTTAAATTTGTTGATTACTTGCAGTTACGCATGGTGATGACTGTGCTATGGTGTGGATAATAACCACGTCCTGATCGAATGAAGCAAGAAATGGCAGCGTCCCTTTCCGAGGAGCAGATCATTGATAAAGTGCGCACTTGTTACCAGAGTTTGTTGGCACTGCATGGCGAGCATAAAAATGTCCTGGAGGGTATGGAAACCACACTTACCGCGATCAAGCTGGATGGCGGAAACCATGTTATCGAGGAGAAAGCGAAAGTTGTCAAAAGCGGCCTGCAGCAGCTTGATTCGGGAATTCAAGACGCGCAGGTATTTAATAACGCTGTCATGAAACGGTACAGTAGTACACGGACTCTGTACTCGTAATGATAAATTTCAGGCTGAAAATTTATTGTGCTCGCAGTTATCGTTATTTTGCCGATTTTATTTGCATTAGAGCTTTGTTATATTTGCGTCTGCTCTTTTCAATGCGCTGTAAACTGCCAATGTTTATTCAATTCAATTCCGATAGAGTTCATTTGCGATTTCACAGAACATAGAGACTTTTGTGCTTGCACCATCGCATGTAGGTTGGTTCAAGTCTTTATGGATCAGTCCAAGGCAAACAATGATTTTAGCACTTGCCAGACTTGTAAATTGTGTTGATTCATCTGATAATCACGCTTTCCAAAAAATTAGCTTTCATTACTGTATTGTAGTTTTAGCAATCTGGTCTTCAGTAAAGTTCAGTTGTGAAAATTGGCTACATTAAAATGCAAATGCGAAAAGTTTGGGAGCAGCTGTGTTAGCTTTTTAAGCTTGGGATTACAGTTATTTCAGTAATGTGTAACATTATCAGGAGCTGCTAAGAGACGCGTTATAGAAATTAGATTTGACATCTGTTTTTTGTTGCAGTTTCTGGTGGAGCTAAAGAAGTACATCGACTTACTGGAGGCTGAAAAAGCGAAATTTCGGGCGCAAGTCAAACGACTTGTTCAAGAAAATGCTTGGCTACGGGAGGAATTAGCCTCAACACAAAAGAAACTCCAGAATAGTGAACAAAATGTTGCCCAGCTGGAGTCAGAGAAACAGCATCTCGAATTTATGAACCAGTTGAAGAAGTACGATGTTGGCGATTCGGTAAGGGTCTCGCTTTCTGATTCAGTGGTTATGATTCCATAGTTTGTTGGGGTTGCAGAGTGATCAGCAGATACCACTGGAGAAGGTCCCCATTGATGCAGCTGCCGATTTGGGATTTCCTGATGATTCGGAAGAGAATGCTCACAGTAAGGGAACGACGCAAAGTTAGCTGAAGCAGTGTAGATCAGTGTTGGCAGTTGTTTGTTGCATATGTGGGTCTTATTGTTGGCGACAGTATTGTTATTGGCGACGGTATGCTTTTCGATGTGTAATTCAGCACCTGTAATTGCCCTTTAACTTTTTGATATAGTAATTTATTTTTCGACTTGCATTTCTGCAGTGCTAGCATCGACTCCGTCTAGTCAAATGGCCGCCTCTGCGAATTCTGGTTATGAAATCCCTGCCCGCTTACGGACCTTGCATAATTTGGTTATTCAGTATGCGCAACAGGGCCGCTATGAAGTGGCTGTACCGCTGTGTAAACAGGCACTTGAGGATCTGGAGAAGACCAGTGGCCGTAATCATCCGGATGTCGCCACTATGTTGAATATTCTCGCCCTGGTTTATCGGTGTGTGTGTCTTTGCATAAATTTAAGTGTACGGTGTTATTCGATTTCATTGCTTTCTTGTAGTGATCAGAATAAATATAAAGAAGCAGCGCATCTCCTGAACGATGCGCTGCAGATCAGGAAAAATACCTTGGGGCCGGAGCACCCAGCGGTAAGGATGTTCCTTATTTTTTTATTGACAGTTTGTAGATGTTCCTGTTTTTGCATTGATACCACATGCGATCAGGGCTATTCGTTTATCAGTAGAGCGTAATTAAAAGTTGCTTACCTATGTGGTTTTTGGGCCATTTACTCCAATATTAACAGTGCACTTACATATTGTGCTTGTGTTCCAGGTTGCTGCTACTTTGAATAATTTAGCTGTTTTACATGGAAAGCGAGGGAAATATAAAGAAGCCGAACCTCTTTGCAAGGAAGCTTTGGAAATTAGAGAAAAGGTTTGATTTTCTACAAGAATCTAATTACTTCCTCTGATGTTGCTGTTCTTATTAGGTTTTTGGCAAAGATCATCCGGACGTTGCTAAACAGCTGAACAACTTAGCACTTCTGTGTCAAAACCAAAATAAATTTGATGAAGTTGAGCGCTATTACAAGCGAGCCCTTCAGATTTATGAAAGTAAATATGGACCTGATGATCCGAATGTTGCTAAGACGAAAAATCACCTGGTAAGTCTTAAAATAAGCTAGTGGGAAATTTCAATTCTTATTTTTAGGTTAATCGCAGTTCTTTGTTTCCTACAATGTTTTTATATCATAGGCTTCCGCATATCTCAAACAAGGAAAGTATAAAGAAGCGGAAGTTATATACAAAGAAATCCTTAACCGGGTACATGAACGAGAGTTCGGCGCTTCCACACGTACGTTGGAACAATTATTCAAGCAGCAGTACCAGTTACGAGTATCGTTACTGTGTTATCATTTTGTTTTGATCTGTTATTTTATGTAGCTTAAAATTTTTGAAGTAATAGTAGAATCATTACCGATAGTCTTGTGTTGAAATTCCGGTTTTGGTATCAATGTCTTCATTTGAATAGCGGACAACAAACCCATCTGGCAAGTTGCCGAAGAGCGCGAAGAAAAGGTACAATCTTTGCTAATATTTCTTTGATCTTGGGCTGCTGTATCATTAGAACGGTTTCTAGGGTGGAATGCGATCCGCTCCAGTTTATGGTGATCTCAGTTGGCAAAAGTTTTCCAAGTCCGAAAGGTAGGGTTAGCTGGCAGATGACTGGTTATGACTGTTTTACTTGTGTACAAGTGATCGCAGCTTTATTTGAGGAGATTATGAATATATTAATTAAGCATGATTGACTAGAGGGAAGCTCTTGACAAACCAACAGTCTTTTAATAGCAATGTGTGTTGCATGGCTGGAATTAATTATCTGTCAGTTTTCGTAAATTAGTGCTTAATAAACTGACCCATGCTTACCTCCATTTGCCTGCAGTCCCCGGCCAACATAATTTGGGTTGCGACTAAGCAATTCCGTCCGATTGCAATGTGGTCCATTATTTATGCATCCTTGGTTGTTATTTTTTTAACTGCCTTGCCGTATACTCTTCCCGGTTGATTTGCCTGATTATTTGTTTGGTTGGAGATGCAGCTGTAATAGCATTGATCTTTTTTATTTCTGTTCTAATATAGTTGAGCTGTCTTTTATGTTGGCTTTAGTTGAAGGGTGCTGCTGTCCCTTTTTATTGCTTTTATTCTGTTATTCTGCTAAATTATAAGAATCTTTACGGAGTGTTCTTTTGAACCAGTGACGGGTTGTCTGTGTGAAAGGTTCAATTTTTGCGTTCACGAGGTATTTCGCAAAAGTGAAATAAAGTGGTTGGCGGTACTGCGGGGTATTTGGAGGGTATGCCGGGAGTAGACTGCTAAAATTATCATTGGGTTGATTAACAAATGGGCATTTTCTAAAACGAAAAACAATTTTTACGCGTCATACTTCGGTACTAGTATTTGTATTGCTCCAGTTCGCGCTCAAAATTTTGGCAGTGATAAAAGGATAATTCAAGTGGTCGAATAACGAACGATAAAGAAAAAGTTTGGTACTTAGGGTAGGCGTATGGTGGTCACTTTATAAGCGGTATAGGAAGCCTTACGATTTATCAAGGAAATGTTTTCGAAAAACACTAGTGATCGTTCTATTGACCTAAACAATCAACTTTAACAGCTACGATCACGCACACGATACACAACATCATCGTTTCTTCGATTTTCAGCGCAACTGTCTTACCGGCTTTGCGGAGTCTGGCAGCTATCTACAGAAAAACTGGCAGGCCAGATGCCGCTTTGACTTTAGAGAACTTGCTTCCGCCTCAAAGACGAGAGGTAAGATTCCGTATTGTCGGTATTGATTTACCGGGAACCTGGGTAGATCCTTGTGCAACGGTTGGTTGGCGATACTCTTTTTACTGTGCGAAGTATCGTACTCGTAATGCATGAAAAAAATTAAGCGTGCTTGTTATAAGAAACAATTATTTTGTGATTTGTGAATGAGACCTGCTGCGTTATTTATATACACATACTGTATATATTACGATTCGCTGTACTGTGAATATTTTCCGAACTAATAACTATGTATAACAACTATATAATTTTATAATTACTGTAACTACTGAACTATATGTACTGAACTATATATAATAACAAAGTTGAATTTATTGCTTATAAATAAAAGAGGAGAGGTGCATATTACTACTGCAGTATAGCACGCTGTACTGTGCACCCTCTTAATTGCGTGTAATGTGTGATGTATTTTAGGGGGGCGAAAGCAGCGCTACTAATCGATTAAGTCAGATAACGGACAATGGTCAAGATGGTGGCGGATACACGGGAGGCGATGAGGTATGTGGTTTGTGCGTATGTAACGTGTAACCCCGCCCATGTTGGTTTGTTGGTAACTGTCATGCAAGCGCTTTTTTTGCTTGTTATCCCTGCATGCCGACTGCCTGACAGCTTGTATTTCCGCACTAATTTATGTTGCTCACATTTTAATGAGACTGTCATCCGCCGTCTGAAGAGGCCTCTTACAAATTAATGGGATGTGACATGTGTTTGTCCCACACTGTTGACAAGTGGATATGCCTAACTTATCATCTGTCATACTGACAGGAATTCAGTTTCCGAAACACTGAACTAATGCTTGAGCTTCTAACACTGGCATCGCTTGGTGTGCCACTGCAGGGTGACCTTTAGGTGAACAGGAGGGAAACGGAAGGGCATTAGATTTTTACCCTATTGCTAAAAAGTTGTCCCATAATTACCGTAATAACATTGATATGGAGTCATTGAACCGGTGTATTCCTGTCTCTCAGATAACGCCTCCCGATTCCCGGCGCTCATCCATATTTTCAGCCGCTTCCGTAACAACGCGTACGGGACCTAGTTTGAAAAGTAAATTTTTAAATGCTTTTGGCCTTCATTAAAGATTAACAGATGAAAATGGATAGATTTAGCCGTGTATAGAGAATTGCTGATTAAATTGTTGTTCACTTCTGCTGTCTTTCCGCATACGCGGCCTTGTTTCCAGAATTTTATCCTTATTGTTCAACTGTACGTTACCGTTCCACGGAAGTGCATGATTTATTCTGTTTTGGTCCTTGGAAAATTGGTTGCTGATTTGAATGCTGTATAAGTTTATTTATTTGTAAATTTTGTGTTTTTTATACAGTTATTATGTGCTGTGAGTTTGTGTCGTTTGGTTGTTGTTTTAATAACATCGGACGATTCTGAGCACCACGCATTCTCTTTGTAATTGCACCAACAGCAAACGGGATTCGTTGTTACCTTTTCCAAGCTCTCAGGTTCTATTTTTATTTTGTTTATCGTAATTTGTATATCAGCAACTGTAGTCCAATAAGCACATGAAGGATTTTCTTTTTTACTGTTTGTGTGTACGATTAAACTGTAAAAGGGTTGAGTTTCGCTCATGTTTTTCTGAATTTTCACCGTTAGCCGGATTAAGCGCTGCACGATGAGACAACATATTTTCAAGTGTATTTATGACCGAAAGCTAACCTTTTTTATGTTGCAAAGCAGCGTTTATACTTTATACTTTCTGTTTTGAATTTAATGCATTTTGGTTAATAACAGTAAGTAATGCGTTGCTGAAACGTTCACTGGTTCATTTCAGTGTAGATTTTTTTTGTGGATGAACGAAAATTATGCAGTAAGAAAATTTTCGGCAACGTGTTGGCAACAAAGGCGGGGTTATATGTTAACGTTTAGTCAGATACAGTTTAATCACGGCGTCAGTGTAAATGTAAAGTAACTGCAGATTATAATTTACACAAAGTATTGCCTGGTAAATTTGATCTGCTTTTCAACAGAGCCATGCGGCGCACATGTCTCGCAGTGGCTCATTTTCCAAATTGCGGGCATCAATTGCACAGACTAGTGCGAAATTAGTCCAAAAACTTAGAGGAAGTGGTGCATATCCGTCCGCAGAGGGGTACTTGTCGTCTAGGTAAGCGCATGCCGTCGATTACGCAGTGATTATTTGTTTGCATGTTTGCTCACAAGAAAAGAATTTTTATGTATTTGCCGTATTCTTTTTATGCTGGCAGATATCTTTTCGTTGTCATGAGTTCAGTAAAAACTGCGTTGGAAAGTTACATTTTATTCTGTTTTGCGAACTTAGTGCAGCCGTACGATGCGTCACAGACGTGCATTTATTTATGTTTAGTAATGCGTCCAAATCATTTTGAATGCATCAGGTAATCCAATGATTTGATTAACGTTTCAGCATGAAAAGGGCAACTTCCCTAGGAATGCTCAATAGAGAGTTTGGTCCTCAGGTAAAATGATTAACACACTACACTTCAGCAGAGCTACTGCCGTATGTATTATATATATATATTTGTACTGCCTGTACAGACCTTTTTCAACCGAGGAATGGCTTCGAGTACGGAGAATGTCAATCAGGATAACTGATGATTCTGGATGTTGCCATATATTTCTGCTAAAACACTGAAAGACTGGTGCTGGTGAATTTTATTTAGCTTCCATTAATTTTATCGTTTTAAATTTTGCAGATATTTTTGGTTTCCTTTCTCTTACCTGCCTCCACTTGGCAGTCGTCGTTCTCGTGTTAATTTTGGTTTGTTTGGGTCACAAAAGTTTGGTCATGTTTTCAAATTTTAACTGTCTGTTGTACATAATCTCTTTCGTTGCGGATACAACGGCGATCTCCCTGCATGTGAATCTATTACATACAGAATATCTATATGTTGTACTTACACTGGATTTCAGTTTTATACCGACATGTAATGTTGGACTTGGCTTTCACAGTGTCTGGTTTTTTTTATTAAACTACAGGTATATATACCGCTTAACCCACATTCGTTTATGTATCGTTATTCCATCTGGTCAACGCAAGTTTCACTTTTATTTGTCGCTGTCTGTTCCATAAAACTTTTCTGCTGGAGAAAAAACTAATAAACACCTTCTCTAACGTAAGTACAAAAGTAGCAGCATAATTGAGCATAGTTTTAATCCACCCCTGAAAATTCACATTCAGAAATATGTCACGAGTGTGGGGCGGAATGGTAACCGACTCCTGATTGTGCGCTGCCTGGTCTGGTGATATTAGCCACTTCTTTGGATAACTGCAGGATATGCCTTTTTATTTCTTCCGTTCCATAAAATCGATCCAGCATTTCAGTCAAAACGACGATATAAGAAAAGATTAATGCCAGGCACTGCAAAGGAAGCGACTAGATACACACAAGACGATCCGATAGATTTACTAATACTAATTGAACGCTATGCATTTCCTGGTTTGCACTCCTAATATTATGAATTAATATGATTACGCCAACTCTTACTACTTTCCATATTATAGAAGTATGAGTAACATAAATGAATTTGGTAACATAAAATTTTATTGCGCTGTCCATTTATCCTCCGGCTCCATTAGTAATGCAGCAAAGGCACAAAGAAGTAATACTGCTTCAATGTTCTTGTGAATGTTCTTGTTAAATGATATGATACTCAAATACAATTTGTTTACGCACCGTGATAATATAATGGCGATTGACGTAGTAAAATTTTCCTCCGGTGAAAGCCAAGACATTATTTCGCGCTTCCGACAGAAATATGCTGATATCCTTATAACTCTCCTGGAACGGAAGTCCGTCATTGTCACTGAAAAGCTTACTTCACTACAGAGTAGCCCATTCGACATTATTATAATAGCGCATATTTATGCATTACTGAATAATTCAGAAAAAAACATGTCAAAAATTCTCAAAGGTGCGCCGTAGTAAATGCGGCTCACATTGTTTAGAACTAAAATACCTGGAAGAGAACCGGGGACAGTAACGTTGTCGTGTACACCAGATGTAGTGTCCTTTCGGCCTGCAACGCATAAGGTGAAACAAGGATATCGGTGCGAGCAGTTAATTACTTATAGCCAGCAGCGGCATACATATGTATGCAATTTTGCAGAGCGAAAAATATGAATGCACAGCGAAAAATTTGCACTAAAATTGTAAAGAATATTAATTAGCGAAATTGATAGGGTGTAAGGTACGCCAGATAATTTCATTAGTGGCATTGTTTTGCGTGGCGGGTAGAATTCACAAGCAAAATTGTAAAATCGGTGCATGCATACATGGTGTAGCATCCATGCATACAGTCATTACAGGGCATTGCACAAGTACGGTATTCGAATTCCCCAACATACTCTGTAGCTTTAGGACACCTTACCTCTTCTGCCATATGAATTAGGGGAAAACTGAAATGAAACAAGAAAATCGCGAACCACAGAATCGCGCTGGTCGCGTAAAATGTCCATTCCATAGCCGTCTCCGGCGGCTCAGCACTGCGGCTCTGGACCAATAATCCGGTAAAACCGAACAAGACAACCACATCAAACAAAAACTGAACCAGAAGGATATCGGACACCGCGGCATCCACGAGCTGCAACAGATGAGCAATCCCAAAGTGCGCTTCGCGCAGTTCTGTAATGCGGCGGCCCAAATGACCGGTAAGCCGGGCATCGGGCGAATCCGTGTTTGTCCTGGAAAGACTGATTAATTCCTTGTTGATGTAGCGAACAAATTTCCGTAGAGTATACGCAAACAGCACTGGGAAACAGAGAATCAGTTGTCCAAGTAAGAACGGAATTGTACTGAATGTCCACCACAGTGCAGCGTACTGATACTGCACTAGTGTCACGGGCAAAGGCGCCATTGGCCAGTCAGAATAAATCCCGACAATATCCGGGTTAAACCAGCACGCCCATTCGTGAATCTCCCACAGTGTGACAATGATCAGAGCTGTTGCGATATAAATTATGGGACGGCGACGAAAGCGCTGCATCGTCACATGGCCGCCTAACGATATAAGTTTATGTCGTAATTCTTCCGCATGAGAAATACACTCTAAAATATTCCCATTACGGAAAAGGAAAATGGACACTATAGTGGCGTTGCGCACGGTTATAAAGCAGTACGGTGTCTCAAATAATAATTTCACGATCATATTCTGGCGTCCGTCACCGGGAAACGTTTCCGCATCCGACAGCGATTTGTAGAAGATATTCAGCGACATTATGAATGTCCAGATCCACAACAAGAAAATGTAGGTTGAGCGTGTAAAAATGTGCAAGGTTTTTGCACAGTACGAGCAGGACAGATTAGCCGGTGCATCTTTCCGCCAAACAATCGGGCCAAATCCGGCGTAGCGGAGAATTTTTACCAGTGGATCGAAGAACGTTATAACATCCAGATTCTCGGTTTTCTCGGAATCTTTCGGCTTTAAAGACATCGTGAATAGCAGATCCAAGTTCTTTTCCATAATATACTTTTGATACTGGGCGCTTAACGCACAATTTTACGTTTTGGATTTTGTTTAGCCGTCTGCTGTATAAATATGGCCATCTGCTGAATATGGCAAATCATATCCAAATGGGTTAAACCAGCACGCCCATTCGTGAATCACAATGATCAGACGATATAAATTATGGGACGGCGACGAAAGCGCTGCATCGTCACATGGCCGCCTAACGATATAAGTTTATGTCGTAATTCTTCCGCATGAGAAATACACTCTAAAAATATTCCCATTACGGAAAAGGAAAATGGACACTATAGTGGCGTTGCGCACGGTTATAAAGCAGTACGGTGTCTCAAATAATAATTTCACGATCATATTCTGGCGTCCGTCACCGGGAAACGTTTCCGCATCCGACAGCGATTTGTAGAAGATATTCAGCGACATTATGAATGTCCAGATCCACAACAAGAAAATGTAGGTTGAGCGTGTAAAAATGTGCAAGGTTTTGCACAGTACGAGCAGGACAGATTAGCCGGTGCATCTTTCCGCCAAACACCGGGCCAAAATCCGGCGTAGCGGAGAATTTTTACCAGTGGATCGAAGAACGTTATAACATCCAGATTCTCGGTTTTCTCGGAATCTTTCGGCTTTAAAGACATCGTGAATAGCAGATCCAAGTTCTTTTCCATAATATACTTTTGATACTGGGCGCTTAACGCACAATTTTACGTTTTGGATTTTGTTTAGCCGTCTGCTGTATAAAATATGGCAAATCACCGTTTGAGACATCACGCATATCGCGAACAACGATGGGATAGGATTTACAGTGAGAAACTTGAAAGGTTTGCGGCTGAACAAAAGGCACGAAACGTTTGCCACCTGGCGCTAATTCCGAACAATCGCGCACGTACGGTATGCAATTGGGCTCGCACGTAACTTCACCTATCGATGTACGGCTTCCCGCATAGGTGGGGATTTTGACGTCGTCACTGAATTCCCTATTCCTAATCAATTCTAATAACTCGTTGACAGCGGTACAAACAAGCCTGCCGTATCCAAAAGGTCAATCGATTTTCATCACATACGCAACTCTTGATTTCTTATTCGTATTCCATTGATTAATACTCTGATATTATATGCAGATAGCTCTTTTGTGTTCATTTATGCCATGACCCGCGTACACATGAAAATTAATGTTTGCCCGTAAAAACTAATACAGAGAACTGAAGGAAGTACTAACTATCGCGCTCGTAGCACGATAAATATGCAGAATGTATAAGTACAAAACTTTTCGTCGACAAAAATTTGATTAAACCGCAGCTGCAGTGCTACTATTAATTTCATAAGCAAAGCACTGGTAAGAGGTGCATATAATTTATAACAGTTTTGCTGACTTAATGTGTAATGACAACATTTTCCTTGCGTAATTAGTATTAAAATGAGCAAGATTGCAAGATGCAGTGCTTTTGTAAGTCTGCACATTAACTGCACATGGTGACTTAGGATAAGTAACTAAAGCCCTTCCGCAGAGGGACGAGGGTTCGATCGCAGCTCATCTTCTCCAGGTGAACTGCAATGCCAAATCATGCGAAAAACAATTATCGAGCGAACATACGTTACAGATGTTTCGATAACATCAAACCTACCCCCGGTACTTTTTTTCCAAATAGATTGGTATGCGTGTTACTTGCAATAAGCTGTCAATAATGCGTAAAATAGGTATTTACGCACAGTACCAAAAAACGTTTATTTTTTTGGCGGCTACGGGCATGTACTGTACATCATCGTCTTGAAAATTCTTGCGTGATTTGTGGACTAATGATGAATCGTTAATTAAGGGCGAAGCAAGATTCGAGGATTTAAGGAGGCGAAGTCGGCTGGAACTTGGAAGTGTTATGCAACGGGGTTTTTCATAAGCATGCAGTGGCAACGATTTATGATAGTAGTACCATAGCAAGTAGTACCATAGCAAGTAAATGTACATGTAATTAGTAAATAAATGGCATTTTCTATACTATAGGCGTTTGGACCTTAATTACAGGCGTAACTAACGCTGAATTTAATTATCGTAAAAAAGGTATATATCTTTTATGTAACATTAAACTTTGCACTTTCAAGAGCTCCGAACACGAGCCGTACAAGAGGTATATCGGTTTCGTTAATTAATAATCCGGTTATTCAGATTTTAGAAGCACAGAAAACTGGTGTGACGAATGCCGGCAACAAAAGATATCGCAAATTTTTTATATAATATGTTCCAGTCGGCATCTGAGCATAGCGCCTAGTAGCCTACCCGCATCGATCTCTGTCCAGTGGCTCCGAGAAATGTGCCCTTATAATGCGCTACTCACACAAACAAAACGCTCCTTCACTCCTGAAAGCGTGCGTACTGCTTATTCATGGTCGCTAATTCAAGTCAACCATCGCACTTTTCTTTGCATAAACATATTATCAACGTACATTTGTAGTATTATGCGTACGCCATCATTTTAATATAGGTCCATACGCACACGTAACAAGAAATGTTTTTATGACCGGTACAGAAACTCCATCAACTGACGGTCGGCGCACATTTAATGCTGCCATCACTCATTTGGTCAAGTTGAATTTTTTTGCCTGTCCATCGCGACGATGCGCACACATCCGCTGTACACATTCGCTGTGTGTAGGTACTAATATTGTAGGAGACGGATGATTTTTGCATAACATTTCACCACGCTTGTACGCCATCACGTCATACGTCTGTTTGTGTATTCCAACGGCAGATCTACGAGATCGGATCCGATCAAACGAAATGGACACCTACCTCTTAACTTACAAGTGTTTATAATCAAAATGATAAATCCTCTCAAGACGGTTAGCGTGAAGCGCTCTGTATGTTTTTCGCTGTATAGCCCACATCCAAGAGTTGTCTTTCCGTTGAAAGTCATAATAACGATTTGGATTCGATGCATTACTGACCTAGTGTGAGAGTATGCCGGTTAATGCTAGTACTGCACCAGGGTATACTTTCAATCTAAATAATTCTCTTTTTCGAACTAACAGTTTTTGTCCCTCATCTTTTTATGTCGCCAAATTGTTTATGTTATTTTTTACGAATGTAATATCGCCAGTTTCATAGCGTTTCCGTAACTAAATCTGCACCGAGTACTAAGCCGAAAATTAATTATGCGATCCGTTCTGTGAGTTGCCCAACGGAAAATGTATAAATGGATATTTTATCTCATGTGTATTTTACCGGCAAGAGGCCAGTCACGGTCCGGGAATCGTCAGACCGCCGACAGCACATTTGCCGGTAGCAATCCTTTTTTGGACTTTGTGGCCAGCCTTGCGTACGATCAAGGTAAAACAGACCTATCGCATTTATAAGGTGACTGTATGGCGCAAAACGCAATAATTTTAGAAGGATAGTTGAGCATGCAGCGTGTAATTAATACACTAATACGTGGCAGATATTAATTAGTATTTTTGTGGGACATTATGATGACCTTTACGGAGTCTGAGACTAAAATTATTGTGCGCAGCGCAAATGTCAGAAAATTGACTTGCAGTTGCTGAAACGTGGTCTTCTGACTCTTCTAATTTGATGAAAAATTGCTTGAGCGCACCGGACATTTTTTAAAGAGCGCAAGTTTGCAAAACGTAGTTACTGTTGGATGGTGATGATAGCTATACTGCATGTCTGTATGTGAAATATGCTGCTATGCACTGCTTCTAGAATTACATATCAGGTTGTGTCTGTAAGTAGTTTGCAAGTTATTTCATTTGCTTAGGAATATTTGCATAATATTTCTTCCTAATACAAATCTCTAGCTCACTAATAGGACGATATACTGAAGATAACGAAAATTAACATCGCCGCTGTGAAAATAACTTGTACGTTCTGCCGATGCAGTTAATTTTTGTTCCATGTGTGCGCATAATGATTGAGTGGGCGACATATTAACAAGCGCAAGCCGCAGAAGTGCTTTCTTTACGTTAATTGTGCTGCAAAAGAAAGCGCATGCGTGAATAATCAATTCATACTTCACTCGTATAAGTAGATCGAACAAGAGTTTTGATTCATAAATCAAAATGTCAGCCCGTAAAATTACAGCAACATTGGTTGATGTCCGTCTGTATAGAATGGAAATATAATTGCGCATTACAACTGCCCTGCTGTGAATAATCATGTCAATTTGATAGAGAACTCTGATAAAGCTAACAAAACTATCTAGTCTGGTATTAGCTGCAGATTTGGCCGTTTGAGTGCAGCTAAAAAGCACAAACTACCTAATTAAATACTTTTTTTACAAGGATCTTCCAAAAATATTATCGGTTTTTAGTGCTACAGGATGCAATAGTCATAAAAAACGAGGGTAGTAAATTAATTAAAAGAAACAGTGAGGGCAACTGACATAAATAATGTTTCGTACTCTCCACTTTTTGATACAGTATACTTAAATACGGTGTACTCGTACTTTGTGCCACATACAAAATGTAAAGACAAGAGAATAAATCTTTTTCATATCTAGTATACAAGCAGAGAGTGAATTCGTTGAAACTTTAAAGTGGACTAATTTCGAATAAGTTGACAAACTACTGTCTGTTGCACAACCGCTAATTTAATTTGTTGTCATCGCAGCTGATAAAGAAGTATATAAAAACCAAAGATCAGTGAAGTTAATGCCAGTTAATATTAAATTTTCTTGCTTGTGCAGATTTATCCGTGCAGCTGGCGACGGCGCTGTCGTCTCACCGCGAAGTGTTCCTCGTGTTCAACAACATCCGGCCCAGTCCCGTGGCCTCCGGTCCGCAAGCCTTGCTGGCCTTGGATTCGCAGTTGTATGGAGATAAAATACGCTCGTTCCATATACTGCTCGATCGGCGTCAACAAAAACGTAAAGACAACCTGTAAAAGCTGTATTCACCTTACAATCGACACCATTTCTCTGGAATTAAGAAAACGGTTTTATTCAGGACAGTATTTCGATTCTTATTATGATTTGCATATACCGGTTTGTTTTTTCATATGATTAGCTGACCCCTTGAACACAATTTTCCCGATTTTAGTGTCCTTCTTATTCCGCTCTAAGCAAATTCGTGGCAGTAGTGTTTCGATTTCACTGCCACATCTGACAGAAACCTCCGAAATTAACCACATAATTGTCCGCGTCAATCAGGCCGACCGGCAAAAGAGTCTGCTGCAGGTCTTCGTGGATTGCAAACCATACGGAACTGTCTCCATCCCGCATTCTTTCAAGGATTTCGGCACTTTGGAAGCCACTGTTGTACGTTAACAGTTAATATGATCAGTAATATAGATTCAGATTTCCGCCAAATGACCTCCCAGAGCTGCCCGTAACTGATCTAAAAAACATGCAAATAATTATTATCTTTTCGTTTAGCGAATAAACCGAAGCGCTCCTTTAACGCTCGTTTCGGGTACGAGTGCCGATGATGTACTGCGACGCCTGGGCTGTAAAGACCCCGCCCAACAGGACCATGTTACGCCAACCAGGAAACCGGCGACACGCGCGGTTCGTCCGCCTAACAATGAAATGTGGATGTCCTGTGATAACAATCGAAGTAAGGATTTCTTCTGTACAAGCCATTGCCCGGTAAATAGCAAATAATAAAATTGTTAGTAGAAGTATTTTGCACTAGCTTTAAATTCGCGTAATCGATTGGAACTTCCTTACGTCAATAAATATATTTTTTACTGTTGTGTTGCGATGTAGCTATTGATCCGGCACTGGCCAGTACAATTTCCGAAACGCGCCACGGAATGCAGTCCATGCACAAGGATATGAATGATTTGCGCCACGAAATGAAGCTGTTGCTGCGGGAGATTCAGGATTTGCGTCGTATGATCGAGGAATGCGAACTCTGCGCACTAAGTATGCCTCTAGAAATTAAGCAGACAGGGCCGTGTCTTAGACAATGTTTATAAAACAAAGAAGAGTATTTCAAAAATATTCGGTTGTATAATGTAGAAGATAAACCGGATCACTGTGCATCAAATCCCTGTTTTCCGGGTGTCCAGTGTCAGTCGCTGGACGACACATACCGGTGCGGCCCATGCCCACCCGGATTTACTGGGGACGGACGGTCTTGTCAGCCGGATTATTGCAATCCTAATCCATGTCATCCAGGTATAATTAATTATTTCAGATCAAATGAGCGTTTTGTCCTTGTGAAATACTGCAACAATAAAAAACAGATTGTGAAAACCAGTATGATGAATATTTTACATTCTGTAACCTACTCTAGTCTCTGCATTCGTCGGTAAACGAACAAATTTAATTCTTGCCGTTATTTGTACTAAATTCTTTTGCTATAAATTTTCACAGGGGTGGCGTGCCAGTCGGCACATGACGGACCACGCTGCGGGCCATGTCCACAGGGAACGACTGGCGATGGGCGCGAATGCCGGCGAGATCTGTGCCAACCGAACCCGTGTTTCCCTGGTGTTGATTGCCGACAGCACGGTGATGCTTACACTTGTGGACCGTGTCCGAGTGGTTACTCAGGCGACGGCAAGCACTGTAACCGAATGACCACTTGTGCCGATCGACCGTGCTTTGAAGGCGTCCAGTGCTTTGACACTTCTGACGGGTTTCGCTGTGGCTCGGTGAGAAAAATCGTAGAAGTTTCTACATATGGGTTTATGCTTAATTCCAGACACTCTATCATTAAAATATAGTATGAGTATTTATTACTTGAAATACTGCAAACCGAACGAACGATCATCTAAGGAATTTTAATTATCGGCCAAAGGGCGTAGAATTTTGGCGTATGGCCCTCATCTATTAAACGCATACATACGTAGAAAAAAATTGTTAATTTGAATGCTTCAGTGCCCAGAAGGTTACACGGGCAACGGCACACACTGCGACGACATTGACGAATGCCAGCAAGCCCATCCTTGCCATTCCACCACACAGTGCCACAATCGCCGCCCGGGTTACCACTGCACCGCCTGCCCAGCCGGCTATCAAGGGGGCGCAGTCAACGGACAGGGCCTCAACGATGCGCGCCGGCCGCAGCAGTGCGACGATATCGACGAATGCCGGATCAACAACGGCGGCTGCGTTCCGCACTCGCAGTGCTTGAACAGCGACGGCTCGTTCCGCTGCGGACACTGCAATCCGGGCTACGTTGGTGACCAGTCCAGCGGCTGCCGGAAGGCCGAGGGCCTGTGTCCGGACGGGGTGACCCTGTGCGATAAGAATGCGCACTGTGTGCAGCGTCGCGGGCAACCAGGGTACGGATGCGAATGTAAAGTGGGATTCGCGGGCGATGGGAAGATGTGCGGACGGGATTCGGATCTGGATGGATTCCCGGATAATGCCCTGCCCTGCAATGAACTGCATTGTCGGCAGGATAACTGTCCAGTAGTGCCCAACAGCGGACAGGAAGATGCCGACCTGGACGGGATGGGCGATCAGTGCGATCCCGATCCGGATAACGACGGAATTTTAAGCTCGGAGAATGGAGTGGACAACTGTCCGTTGCGCTCCAATCCCGGCCAGGAGAACTCGGAAGCGGAAGGATCGGATAAGTACGGGGATGCCTGTGATAATTGTCCCTATGTGGCAAATCCTAGCCAGACTGATACGGATGGCGATGGAATGGGTACGAATTTCGAATAATTTTACGTCCTACCACTTTTGTCATGAATGTAAATTCCATGTTTTGTATATTATAAATTTATATGCGAGTATTTTTTATACGATATACATGTATATATACATTTATGTATTATACTTGTATATACACATATCTATATGTACGTTTTTGTACGTATGCTGTATATCGTTTTGTGCATCCAATCTTTGTACAGTTATAATACATAAATGGTTAGTTGCTGAATATAGTTACAGTAATTGTTGAATTAGCCATTCGCATCCATAAGAACAAGCATTATCCGGCAGTCGGTGCCTGCGTTTGTTAAAACTCAGTTGGTTTTCAGGCGATGAATGTGATCCTGATGCAGACAACGACGGCGTTCTGAACAAAGCCGACAACTGTCCGTTGGTCGTCAACACCGATCAGCTGGATGCTGACAAGGACGGACTCGGCGATGCCTGTGACAACTGCCCAAGCGTACCAAATCCGGATCAGAAAGACAAGGATAAGGACCGAGTCGGTGATGTTTGCGATACCAACGATGATCGCGGTAATTTCCGTCAAAAATGCGTTTTGATTGCCAAGTGATCGTAATTCGCCGTGCAAACACGTGACATCATTTTTCGTTGCGCAAAAAATACAGTCATAAATTACGAAGCTTAAAATTGTGCATGAGTGCATAGAGAATCGCATCAAGTTCACATTAATTTTTACGAATTTGCTCATCCAGTATCCATTACGCAAAAATCTGAATATGTACTGAAAAAATAGTGTTAACTTGTATCGTGTTTTTCATAGTTGTTAAATTTTTATACAGTACGTGCTTGCATATTGTATGTATCTGTACTTGTATAGTTTTTCTAATCACAGTTTTGATGTGAATTATTTATCGTATAGATCGCGATGGCATCCAAGATTCCATCGATAACTGTCCGACATTCCCGAACAGTGACCAGCTAGACACTGACGCTGATGGGAAAGGTGACCCGTGTGATGACGACAAAGACGGTGATGCTGTATTGAATCCCCAGGATAACTGTCCACTGGTCAGTAACCCCGGCCAACAAGACTACGACGGTGACGGAAAGGGCGATGCGTGCGACGAAGACTGGGACGGCGACGGCGTGGTCGACCGTTTCGACGTATGCCCGGATAACAAGAAGATCTACAAAACCGATTTCCGTACCTACCAGACAATCGCCCTGGACCCGGAGGGCGAATCCCAGGTGGATCCCTTATGGATTATCCTCAACGAGGGCGCCGAGATCTACCAGACCCTGAACAGTGACCCCGGTCTGGCGGTGGGCTTCGACGCGTTCAGCGGTGTGGATTTTGGCGGGACGTTCTTTGTCAACACGAACATTGACGATGATTATGCCGGGTTCGTCTTCTCCTTCCAGGATAATTCGCATTTCTACGCGGTGATGTGGAAGAAAGCCAAGCAAGCCTACTGGCACGAGACGCCGTTTCCGGCGGCAGCCGAACCGGGAATTCAGCTGAAGTTGGTCAATTCCCAGACCGGTCCCGGACAGATGCTGCGCAACGCCCTGTGGCATACCGGCAACACCACCAACGAAGTGGTGCTGTTGTGGAAGGATCCGCGCAATATCGGATGGAAGGAGAAAACGGCATATCGATGGGAATTAGTTCATCGCCCGCGAATGGATCTGATAAGGTCAATAATATTATTATTTATCGAACTCGTTGGCAGTGACAGTCCAAATCACTATCGAACTGTAGAATGATTTAATCTTACGAGTATTTGTATTCTCAAAACTCCATGCACATGACTGTAACATGTGTTGCTTTCCCAATTTATTTTTGCTTTTTTCGAACTTTCGAATAGTTCGAAATTAAAAATTAAAATTTTATTCGGATTTCGTAAGTTTTATGAACACTTTGCATTGACTGTGCTTATATTCCGTTTTATTGTGCTATTGCAGAGTACGCTTTTTCGAAGGAACGGAAATGGTTGCCGACTCTGGAAACATCTACGACTCTACGCTGCGAGGAGGCCGTTTAGGTGTCTATTGCTTTTCCCAAGAGTCGGTTATTTGGTCAGATCTGATCTACCGATGCAATGGTAAGGACTGTGTTGTCGCTTTGTTTTTTTAACATTTCAATGTTTCCTTTTTTTCAGAAAACATGCCTTCATTTAGTGGCTTGAATATACCTTTCAAGACCTCGGACAATTCTAGCCTGAATATCAGCTTCGACAACCAAATTCCCATTCAGTAATTATGCAGCGACCACCAGAAATTCACCAATACTTTTTTTAAAATTTTAACGGTGAAGGAATAAATTTTGTACTACAGTTCACTACGGCTCATGCTCTAGTCGGATATCAGTAAGATTAACTGCTGTGCCATGCAGTATAGACAGGACTTACTGTTGACGAGTGTCTGAAAGGTGTTTTTTTTTCGTGGGGTGACGTTATGTAAATTATGTCCATTGTCAAATTGTTCGTGGGTTATGCAAATGGGGTTCAGAACTACAGATGCAATAAATTTTTTTGATTACATATCTTTGCGGTTATTGCAAACTACTGTATAGGAGCATTTTTTAAAAAAGCAATACTTGTACTGATTATCAAAGGTACAGAAATGCATCAGATTTGGTTGTATCATTACTATGCGATGGACGCATGGCGTAAATCGAAACATGGGCAGGCAGGTAATTTTAAAATTATGTGGATCGCGCGCGTATACCGTAAAGATCTGCACAATCTTAAACATAACAGAACTAAAGTAATTTATTCATTGAATGATGAACTACACGAGCTCCACTAGGTGCGAACAGTTCCATACTGTGTTTTACTACATTTAATATTGGCCACACTTCTGACCGGCATTGTGAATTACTAAAATTTACAATTCATCTTTGTGTTCTAAGACAGATGCTGCTGATTTTAGAGCAGATAGTGGTATTACAAAACCGGCATTCGTGGCATTCTTCAACATGCTAGCTATATTGCTCATAGTTGCTTTAATTTCCTCGGTGCTATAGTAGCGATCCAATATTTCCGATAATATCGTCAAGTAAGATGCCGTTAAGGCGACACACTAAAACAAGCGTTTTATGTTTGTGATTTGTCGTTCGGAAATACGTATTCGATATTTAAATCTCCAAAATGTTTTCTTTACTTACGGTAACAATGTAATGCCGATTTAGGTAATAAAAGTGACCGCCGGTGAAAACCAATGTATGGCCGCGCAATTCGTTAAGGAATGTTCTGATATCATCAAATCGTTCCTGAAAAATTATGACAAACGTATGACACTTGGACGTTAACTATTTTATTAGCTCAACTGCTGACGAGTGCGTATTCAGCTCATACCTTGAATAATTTTGGCGAGGCGAAGGTTAATGAATGTACCAACTGGTGTGACCTTTCTGCCTGAAAATAGCAATCGAAACTGTTGCTGATATATCTGCTATTAATAATGGAGTCATATACTGTAATAAATTCCGTTTCTCATAAGAAGTGCAGTTAATTTAAAAATAAATGTGAGTAGGTCAATCGAAAATACCTCTTCGGCCATATGTATAAGAGGGAAGCTAAAGTGAAAAAGGAAGAAGAAGAACCACAGCAAGGAGCTCAGAACATACAACACCCATTCCAACGTGGGTACCGGCGGATTCTTATTCCGGCTGTTAACCAGCAAGCCCAGAAATCCGAACAGCACGATGACGTCAGCCATAAATTGAATCAATAATAAAGGTGCAACAGCATTATGGACTTTATTGAAAGTTTTATTAATGTCGTAATGGGCGGCGCGCAGTCCAGACAATCGTTGACCACACTGCACACGATCCTCTTCCACGTTATCCGCCAATTTAGCCACTTCGGCCAATTTCGCCAACTCTTTATTGACATACCGGCACAGTTTCCTCAGAACATAGGCAAAGAATACAGGAAAACACAGCACCAGCTGGGATAAAATAAAAGGTATCGTTGTGAACACTGACCAACAGATGGCGTAATGCCAGTGTCGTATCACCACCGGAAGTGGACTGAGGTCCCATTTCGCATTGATGCCGTTTGTCGAAAACCACACCGACCATTCATACGCCTCCCAGGACAGTATCACAATAATGGTCGTATAGATAAACAATTTTGGACGATGACGAAATTTATATAAAGAAATATTCCCACCGGAAAGTAGAATTTTCGCTTGTAATTGTGCGCATTCGTGTACGGCTTCCACAAGTTTGGGGGCATTAGCCATAAAGATGGATAATATAAGGGAACATCTCACAGTTATTAACGAATACGGGCTTTCCTCCAACAGTTCGATAATCGTGTTATGGGTTGGGCTGCCTTGACTACTGTGTCCGGATGAAATTATGGCTCTGTAGAAAATGTTGATTGTCATAATGGCTGTCCATATCCAGACTAACACAAGAAAACCAGTGCGTACAGTGTACAGAAGTCCATGAGAATGCTTTTGACATCGAGTTGGTGATGTATCTTTTTCGTGTGTCGTTAGGAAACCGCATCTTCGCATAATCCTAATTAAGGGATCAAAAAAGACATGCACCGTCACGATTACGGCATCCGATTTCCGGTGCTTGTCACTGTTGGACGAGTTGGCGCCTTCCGGCCAATACACGGAAAATATTCTTTCCGCATAATATGGCTGGTATAACTGATATTTAAATTGTGCAGTAAAGACTGATTCTGCACAAAATAGTTGGTGAATGTACTAGCAAAAGCTTCCAGTTAATGCCGCAATATTTGCTTTGAAACCATTGTACAGAAATTATTGTTGTAAATAAATACACAGCGGCATTTGCAGAAAATCCATAATCTAGGAAACTACCGGTGAGCTTATTAAGCAAAGGAATAATAATGCCTCGATGTGCTGAACTGTGGGTAAAGTGTACAGACAGAACAGCAGCAAAGCTTCATGATCATAAGCTTCCTGTAACGCCCGTTAGTCAATACTCTATGTTTTTCATCTATGGACAATTTTAAATGACTTTATAGGTTGCATGTGTGATTTCAAATGCTGCTCTCTCAGGAGATCGATTAGTGAAAAATACAGCTTTTCAGCTTAGCGGCATGGGAACAGACACATCGTGATGAAAACAATGCACTTTTCCAATGGATATTCTGCGATACCATCGTCCGGAAGCATCGAGTTTCATTAGAAACATGACTACGGTGCGAAGGCACAGGCGTCGAGCGTCTCGCGGCTTCCACATGAAGAATGTCTCCATAGAGCGGTGGGTCTTTGTCTTAATGTATATTCCAATAACATCAAGCCCTGTATATGATACACTAAGTACTGCATAAGACTATTTAATGGTTTATTTAAAATCGCTTCTCAATAGAATTCGGTTTTCAAAGAGAATTATAGCATTAAGAAATTGTTTCTCGTGGTAGCGCAGCTCAGCCGCTCTTCATGTACATGTATCTGGCGTTCAAATCATTACCAGGTTTCGACAAACGGAATAGCATGTCTTTAAAAATTTATGCAAAAGCTTTTCATCACGTTAACCTATTTGGTTCAGATACTTCCGCTTATAGTGAATTAATCACAAAAACTGCTATACATCAGTTATAATCTACCGTATCTAACATACCGAAAATATGACAAATGCTGTGCATGAGCCGAAAGCTTTCTATTATGGCGACCTTGAAAAAGAGTACACGACAGAATAACAATGTTTATTGTGCGATGCGATACGGTCCATGCTGCGCGGATTACATCACGGTATTTTAGCATATTTTCTTTACCAGTGAGCCAGTGAGACAGTGACCATATTATTATTTTCAGTGTCCATTAAATTTTATTAATTTCAACGTTGATAGTATTATCTCTGTTGTGATTATACTAAAGACTGTCAGTACACAATGAAGCCGGTATTCTACAACTTGCGAATTTCATATGTCTTTTGCACGCTTACCAGTGGTATGTCACCATTAATAACATCGGCAGTAACTATTAAACAGAACATTATTATGGAAAAATAAATTTAACAAATGTGCCACACACTATCGTTGCAGTGTTATCATGGGATACAAGAAAAGCGCCTTGGGAGAACTGCGCTATTGCTGGCAAATTTGGACGACATGTGAAATCGAGACCATGCACCACAGATTCCTGTAAAGCTATGGGTAAGTGATTTGCGGAATATTTTTATTGTGGTACTTATATTACGAGTATTTTTTACAGCATGTTTTATGTTAATGTTGGCAACTGACTGGCATTTGAAAGTTTAATACGTTTAGTCAGGAAATACATTTAGCCGCGGCCAGGTAAAACATTTAGTCACTGTTTTATTCTCATTCGTAACAACAGAAGCGGCATGCAATACTGCTGCTCAAATTAATGCTAAAAATCGTAACGTAAATTAAAAGTAATAAACTGGTAAATATTTAGCACATCTGTTTGTGTTTGAAATACTTAAACATTTAGTACTCGTTGAAAAAATAAAGCGGCTGTTATTGATTGCAGCAAAAAAAGTAACGTCGTCTCTGGATGAGAACACTAATCCTTGCGAGGATTTTTATCAATATGCTTGTGGAAACTGGATCGCAGCTAATCCTATCCCGGATAATCAAAGTTCTATTGACCATTTCTACCTTCTTTCTGAAAAGCTAAAGTTAATTAAGCAAGGTACGTAATTCATTGGTAGATTTTGAAGCAGTTGCTTGAATCTCTTTATTAAATTCGTGCCCTGTGCTTATATTGCATGAACTCTACATATGCATACAGTACTTCAGCTTTCCCGAGCAAGATAGTATAGAGGAAGTGTTCTTGTTGTGGTTTTGAGTGTATCTGTTGTAGAACGATTGTTTTGTTGTTTTATTGTCTTCCTACTGCTGTGGTGTTATCAAGTAGTTCACTGGGGGATTTTGTAGATGGAGTAACGAATTCATAATGACCACTAAAAAGTACTTTAGCTATTGTTGCACGATGTACTGTACCTCTCTTATGTCGTTGTACTCCTTATTTTACGGTTGTTTTATTATAGATATGCTAGAAACAATGAAAGGAAAAATGTTCTCAGCAGAAGTGAAAGCAAAAAGCATGTACAAGCAGTGCACAAATCGCGGTAAGATACGGTAACGAACTGGTGAAAATCTGCATTCATAGCTTAAGTTTTCTTTAAATTACGGTAGCAATAGCATTTCAGTAAGATTGTAAATGAATATTCAAAAACAGCGCAAGTTGAGCGCCTTCGATCAAGAACTTTCCGCGATCTACTTGATGGCGTAATGGGCGGATGGCCGATCCTCCGTGAGGACTGGCACGCGGAGACGTTTGACCTTTACGAAGTATTGACTCGCATTCGCCCGTATGCTCTACAGCCGTTCATATCTGTATCGACTAGTCCCGACCTTGAATCGCCACTGGAAAACATGATCTACATCGAGCAAGTCGGTTTTTATACATCCAAAGACGTCCTGCTCAGTGACGCCGAGAAATTGGTTACCGATAGCTACACGGATTACATGCGCACCATCACTTCCTTGCTGCTGCAGGATGCGCAAGATATCCGAGACGAATCCGATCCACAAATAATCGATGACTTGGCTGACATTCTCTCCTTGGAAAGATATTTTATTATGGTAAGCATAAATATCCGCTTCGTCGTGCATCGAAAAGTTTTAGCGCAACAAATACCCTGCAGAAATGTAATTTACTCACAAATTTTTAATTAAATGATAAAATTGCACGGGGTAAATACAAAATAAAATCATACCTGTCATCAAAAATCTTAGAGGCTACGCTTGCCTTGCACCCCAAATTAAAACTAAAGTAGGATTTTTCCTATCAACGCAAAAAAAGTTAAATGCTAAAATAGTTAAGGCGATGAAACGAGATTCACCAGCCAGGTCGCGGAGAATATCTACGAACTGCATCTCCTTATTCCTCGAGATCAGTTTCGCGAGCCTTGATTAAAGTTTGCGGTTTGGTCGCACCTTTGCAGAATCAGCTGACCTCGGTGGAGCAACGAAATTATGAACGCTATAAGAATAAATTGTCTCTACGGAGCATCCAGCACACTATGCATTTCAAATCGACAATTTTCCAAAATCTAACCAACCTTGTAAAATCAACTTTTACCCCAGTCAATCTGGATGATCTGATTAGCCATTCCACAAAGGTTGTGTCGGCTGTGACAAACTACCTGGCTAAAGTAGATGAAAAACTGTACGAACTGGAACAAGAAGGGGAAACCGGTAAGCGGCGGCTGGCAAATTTTATTGGATGGCAGATCTTTATGGCGTACCAGAAACGATTCTCGAAAAATATCGTGATGCCTATGAAGTTCTGCAACAGAAGATATATGGGAGAAAGCAAAAGCAAGAAAAGACCGTTGGCGAATTATGCGCATCGGATGTGACTGTCAGTCTCCCGTTGGCGGTTAGCGCGATGTATGTGCGCGACTATGTTCCCAAAGATTTAAAAGCGAAGGTCAGGATAAGATGCTGAATTTGTCAACGTTTACTGAATTTTTATGTACATTGTAACTCTTTCTTCTTTTAAAAGGCTTCCATGATGGTGGACGACATTAAAGCTGCCGCGGAAATAATACTGCAGTCTGCTGACTGGATGGACCAACATACAACGAACAATGCGCTGATCAAAGTGCGAAATATGATTGACCTTATAGCGTATGCTGATGTCTTGGTCAAAAATTTGACGGCAATTGATAAAGAATATGAAGAGGTAAAAAATTAAACGGTTAGACATAAACCCGCTTTTCCGGTTTTCCTAAGATATTTTATCGCTGATACATTAACATCGTGCACACTGATTTTACAGCTGGTGATAATGAAAACATACTTCGAAACGCTCCGGGAACTGGACAAAGCGGATAGTTCCAAAAATCTGCGTTTGTTAACGAAACCAAATGTGCGAAATGATCCGCTGACGGACGCCGATGATATTACGCAGATTAACGCTTACAATAACCCAGTGCAGAATAAAATCGGTAATACTTTAATCGTTACATGCGAAACATAAGAAATTCATGCTTCCAACAGTTTATATAACTTACTCTTTTCAGTTGTATATGCCGCCATTTTGCAACTTCCTTTCTTCGACGCCGATAGTCCCCAGTGGGCAAATTATGGCGGCATTGGCTATGTCCTCGGTCATGAGCTTACGCATAGTTTCGATGATCAAGGTTCGTGCAAAGGCTTAATTTTATGCTTGTACAAATTTCATTAAAGTTTTTCGGTAAATTAAAAATTAGTTTTTAGATAAGAGCTAATATTTATGTTAGTAAGCGTAATGATTATTGAACTGCGCAAGTGATTTTCCAGGATCACAGTTCGACTCGGAAGGAAGAATGATTTCCTGGTGGACCAACGAAACATTAGCAGGTTTTAACATAAGAAAAAGGGACATGGTCAAAGAATACAATGCTTATAAATTTGACGTCGGTTCGATTAATGGTGAATTAACATTGGGAGAAAATATTGCCGACAACGGAGGGCTCAAAGCGGCGTACAAAGTATGATATGCGTAGAACTGCAAATCGCATTATACTCTGTAGAACTGCCTAGTGTAAAGGTCATACACAGTGTATACTCGTACTGTAAATGCTCTAACCGCAGACACAATAAGTAAACACAGGCTGTTTGTTGTGCGGTATTTAAATTAAAAATGTCTGAAGTACGTTCTACAGTCATACATACACACAAAACCGAAGCTGTTTATGCTCTTCGTGTTTGACACGCATTAATAATAGCATTATTAATTATTATGCAGTTACACGATAATTCATTAATGACGCTTATGCTGCTAAACCCTATTTTTAGGGCTACAAGTTGTATCAAAAACGTCAGTCTGGTTCCTGAACCCACTTTATCCGGTTTGGAAGATTTTACAGTTGATCAGTTATTCTTTTTGTCCGCAGCTCAGGTTGGTTTCTTAATCAATAAAATGCAGAGTACTAATAAACACATGACGCTCTCAAATGAGCAGAAAACATGATTAAGGATTCTTAGGTGTGGTGCAAAGACTGGCGACCGGAGAAACTGCGAATGGATTTATTGACTGACGTACACAGCCCCGCCAAATACCGCGTGATTGGTCCCATGTCGAATATGCCGGAGTTCTCGGCCAGTTTTAACTGCCCTTCAGGCTCACGGATGAATCCTGTTAAAAAAGTGGCTGTATGGTAGTCAAACGGTTTTTCCAATCCAATCAATTTCCGGTTGATGATCTTTAATCAGCAGTTACAGGATAATATACGTGCCTACATCAATATTCACTCAGTTTTTGTACGGCTAAACGCTGCTGCTGTATGGTGTCGAACATGTCATAACAAACGGAAAAACAAGGTTACGTCGATACTATAATGATCCAGAAACGGCAGGCATCACGAATACTGGTTGTGCGTAGTGGCAAAAAATAGACTTTTTATTAGGTTTACGCAATTTCTTCGTTTACAGTGTAATCAGACGCATTCCAGTTCGATTCAGTTGAATTACTAATTGTAAGATCCAGCATCAGGGTGGCATTCGTAACCGTGGTGGCTAAAACTGCTAATGAGCTTTTTAAACTCTCGGTTCCATAATATCTGTCCAAGATTTCCGTCAGCACGGTCAAATACGATGCAATCAACGCAATGGTCTGCAATTGTTCGAAGCGGAAGTTATGACTAAGATCAAAACAAAATAAAATTTGTAATTCGCGACTGCTATTAAATTTGTACAAGTTAGGCACGAACTAAAATCACATACCGATGTGTAGTCAATCTTAGAAAACAACAACTGGAGTATTTTTTCATCTATTTTAGATTTCAACAAATAACTACTCACTGCAACAATGTAATGCCGGTTGATGTAATAAAAGCGATGTCCAGTAAACACACAGCTGTTATGACGGCTTTCGGAAAGAAAGATGCTGAGGTCACTGTACTGGTCCTGAAATTTAGAGTCGACGCACGGGTAAAAAATATATGCAACGGATCGTATTAATTAAGTACCTTTAAAATTTGGCTAGATGTCACAGTGACCGCATGAACCAAATGCGAAGTCTTATCCCCCTGCAGTTAAGTTAAAACCAAGTAAATTAATTGTCAACACAATGAGTTTATGAATTATAATCGTATTACGCAGACTGCATCATACCTCCTCGGCCATTCGGATTACCGGTACCGAGAAGTGAAAGAGGAAAAAAGCAAACCATAATACTGAGCTAGACAGATAAAATGTCCATTCCAATCGGGTGGGACTTGGTCGTGCATCTTTACTGTTAACCAGTAATCCAAGGAACCCAAACAACGCTAACACATCGAAAACATAGGATGCCAACAAGAGAGTGGATAGCGCTTGGTCCACTTTACGAGACGTCCGGCAGATTTCGTAATGCAGTGAACGCAGTTGCACTATGCGCTCGCCTAATTGGATGCGCATCAGTCCCGCCACATCGGCCTGGGATGATTTGATTACTTGCTTGATTTCATGATTAACAAAGTGCATACAACGCTGTATAAAAATGGCGTGCAGTACCGGCAAACATAAAACCGTTTGGGCAATGAGAAACGGTACTGTCGTCAAGGAATACCACAATGCGGCGAACTGATACTGCAGCATTGTAAAGGGAAACGGCGAGAAGTCATAGTCGTAATAAACGCCCATGGTTATAAACCATACACACCATTCGTGTGTTTCCCATAAGAGAATTAGGACCCAAGTTGTGAGCAACCAAATAAGCGGCACATTGCAAATTTTTGATAAGTAAACATTTCCTCCGGCATTTCAAAATCTGGACGCGCAGACTTTCGCACAAACCAATACCAAAATGGACCTTCTGGGCGGACGAAATGAAAAAAGTCAACACTGTCACATTGCGAAAGATGATAAAAACCTGCAAACCACAACACACGCACTCTTACGGAAAATGATGTTTGGTTATGGATTATTCATTATAATTTGTTGTACTTGTAAATGGTCGGAAAAAAAGTTCAAAAAACTCGATTGCACCGATATATTCTGGTGTCTCTAAATCTAATTTAAACGTACCACAATAAGCGTACAAATTTGTTATAAATATTTCATGTTAATAAATGATGCAGAGCATAACAAACTTGATTTTTGAAGTGTTATTTTTGCCTTTAATATGCATCACATAACACGTGAGCGTTAGCTGTTGTGATTGTAAAGTACTCTTACATAAGGGGATTCTTCCAGAAGTGATACGATCATATTTTTATGGCGATCGGGAGATGCTGAGTCCACGGTAGTGTAAACAGCGTTGTACACAATATTGATCGCGTTCAATATGGCCCATGCCCATACAGCCGACAGATAAATGATTAAGGGTGAATTTCCAGCAGTTTGAGAAAAACTTTCCAACTTTAGTTGGTGGGGAATCGTTGGCCCTCCAAAATCCAACAGGATACAGTGACCACACCAGCGGACGAAAAAATGTATGGATATCATTGTCTTCCGGTGGTGGCTGCTTTTGTCGGCGTTCAGGGAAGTAATGGTGAGCAGCGTTGCCGTTTAATACATGATTTGTCGATACAGCTAAGCCGTTCGCGTGCCCATTAGTCCTTCCGGATCCAGAGCGATTTGGCATATTTGAAAGTGATCTTTAATTTTATTAAGAAAAAAATAAAAAAGCTAAATAAACGGAAAGTCAGTTTTGATATTTTAAATAGCTTACGCTTTACTAAAATACATAGACTGCAGATACTAAATGCATGATTGAAGGTGAGTGCATATAATATATTAATGGAGCAAAATAGTCGTGCGAACGGAACACCTACGAAAGAACACTTTGCTGTCGTTTCGTCAAAAATACGAGCATCATCTTGATCGATTACCTATCAATAACAATATTATGTCCCAAAATGTCTTTGCGATACGGTACACCTGGCATTCTTTGCAGCAGCCGTGGTGTCTCGATACCGACTGTTGTCGGTCCCCGATTGCGCTTTGGCTATAGTCAAACAGATAAAGTTACATGCGAACTATCTGTACAGTATATGTACATATGCTATTCAATGCCGGCTTTGGGTGTTGTCCTGAATGTCTTAATAATATTTTGTAATGCTCTTGGTGTTTCATGATTTATAAATGGGCAAGGTGGGTGTAAACGAAGCATTTCCGGTTCAGAAGCATGCATCGACATCCGCGCAGTGGAATAATTATACCAATACAATATTCATGAAAAACTGGATAACTGCTGTGGCGTCAAAACATTACCGGTAGGCATTTCTACGCAAGTTTTGTACATAAAACTACTACCGAAAAAACGCAACGGGGCTATGAGATTAAAGCTCTCAAGGCGAATCGATGTAACACTTCACTGTTAAGATACAGAGTCAGTAATGACCCTGATGGGCACATGCAGTGCAACACCATGCAGCACCAGCACCGTACATCTCTGCGCATTTCCGCTTACTTCAAAGTACAACTGACCGGTGTTTAGCAAAGTAGTAAAATCTTTCGATAAAATCCCATTCGCTAAACTAATAATTTTTTCGTATAAACGAAAGAATAATGGAATTGTAATGACAACTGCAATAGTTTACTCCTGGAATACCTGAAAAAAACTTATTGGACAAACGAATACGAACTCCGATTTGGCGCAGTATTTCCGGGATTGACATAGTTCTGCGAGACGTTAAAGAAAAGGTCTCTTGTAAACTGCAACTGCAAGTTCATTCTTGAATTAAAGAAATGATAAACAGTTATTGCCGCTCGTTTCAACAATAAGGCATAATAACAAATTATCAATGTACAGATATTGCATGCGTTCTATCTCTGAATGAATAATAATGTAGACGTCATACTGTCGGACGCCGCTAGGGCACCATAACGTTCCTGAGCGTAAATATAAGCGGTTGTACTCGATTAACTTGGACTGCTCGTTATGGTCGTCTGTCCGCATGCAGTGCCAGCTTTGTCTATATATTTTTTTCTTTTTTCTATCATTTTATGTCACGCAAGGGTTAGAAAAAAGTCACATGGCCATTTTGCCATCCTTTTGTGTGGGATCCCGGGTACGCCAAATTGTCTCGACGGGAATAATTCACGTAAGCTATTTTCAACGATTGAATCATGTGATAATAATCCATAATATTCATAAAATGTCAGAGGTATCCAACCGAAGCTTGCGTCATCGGGAGCGGATACCATGAGAGAATTTTCAGCAATTGAACCTGCTCGTGTATGATCAATTAAGAAATAGTTGAGAGCGTGACTTTGTCCAGTACAACTGCGCCAACCCGGCATCCAATCTCGCATCCAGGTGGAACTGTATTCAACTGCTAAAGAGATGTCTAAGTGTTACTGTTGCTGTACTGCTGACATGCACACAAAGTGCAAAACAACAATATCGATTTTTAATGATTAAATTATTTGTTGCACATCCACAGTAAAAGTCGACCAGCAAAGATTAAGATGACCGTGAAAGCGATGGCGTGTGCGTCCCTCTTTGCAGCAGATCGATTTAGCGAATAAAGTCCGCAAGTGTGTTTAATTTTGCCTAACTGTCACTTCATCAATCCATTTAGTAAAATGGTCAAACTGTGACTTTTCTGTTTTCTAATTAATTCAAACGAAACTAAGGGAACAAATGGAAATGAGGCGGAGGGGCTCGTACACCGTTTATCAAATCGAAAAGCCGCCGGACCGAAACGCGAAAAGTCACAGCAATGTTAAGGTCATGGATATTCCCGCCTATTTCGAATCACTAGTGGCGTGTATGAAGTTCCTGGGATTTTTGACACTCGAACGGAAGAAGCATTCCCATTTGTTATCCGAGAAGATACGTGTCACAGCGCTCAAAACAGTGCGAACGATATATCTTATTTTAATGTGGGTCTGGACAATTCTAATGAGCATCAACATTTTCTGGTTGGCGATAGCGGAAACCACCGAAGACGGAGTGAGTCCGGTGGACGGACAACACGCTAACATGATCATCACGTTGTTAAACGAAACTCCCTACGCTTTTATCACGATCCGGAATGCTGTGATACTGAGCCTGTTTGTATCCAATGGTCCCCGCCTAATTGATGCGATTCAGTGGTGTGAAGATCTGCGTTGCAAAATCGCTTTTTTCGGTGTTAACGTCTCTATGGAAAAGTGCGCCGGTCGGCCACTGCAAGTCATCGTGGCCACTGTGATGGTCATCGTACTGTGGGAGGTGCACGAGTGGAATGTCTGGTTTGGCACATTGGGCATAACATATTCGTGGAATTTTGCTCCCTTTCCCTTCGCACTGGTCCATTATTTCTATGCGTCATTGTGGTGGGCTTTCACGAGTCTGCCGTTTATTTTTGCTCAATTAGCACTGGCGTTCCCGGTGCTGTTTTCCCATGTGGCACGAAAGTATATTAAATTTTTAAACCATGAACTGAAAGAGCTGGCGCTGGCCACGAGTTCCGATGTCGGACCGGAACTGCTACGCGCGGAACTCAGCCAACGCTTAACGAAATTGCGGAAGCTGCAGTTTGAGATCAACGAACTAATCGCCAGAATCGACAAGCTGATCAGGGCGATGCTGTTATGGCAGTTCATATTTGATGTCATTGTATTGTTTGGGTTTGTCGGCTTACTGGTTAACAGTAAAGATGTGAAGCCACCCAAAAAGACACTGGAGTGGACATTCTTCATTCCCAGTTCCATTATCTGGTTTTGCTTTTTCTTGTTCTACTTTAACATTCCTTTGATTCAAATGGCCAATGAGGTACGTTGGGAATTTCGATGTGCGAGACTGACACCATTATTTTATTTGATTTTGGACGGCCAGCACGCTAGTGACCTTTAAACAGTTACATGGCGAATGAATTGCATTTTCAGGGCGAGAAAACCCATAATTTGGTCCATGTTTTGACCATTTCGTCTGCATGGTTACATCAGGTATGTGAATCATCCGAATTCTTTGATTTCATTAAAGCGGATGCCGACGACACATTCACTACATGACTACATTAATTGTTCAGCCATTATGTATACAAGTACTGGTATTGTACTTCTATAAATATACATTATTCACTATATCACGCAGACTGAAGTCGTTTCCATCTGGATGGATTTTTTATGCGTACTGATTTTAGGAGAAACACCGTGATATGCACGTTTTCCTGGAAGAAACGAAACATTCGACAACGGCGTTTACTGGTGGAAATTTTTATTACATTAATAGACACTACATTGTAACGGTAAGCGGATATCAGTCAAACATAAAATGTTATTGCAATGGATGTAGCAGGAATAATAATCGCAAGTAATTGTCCAGTCAGCAGTTCTTTTGCATAGGTATCTTTTTTGTATTTTGTACAATGGCTGTTTATAACTGCCATCTTGTAATTTTGCAGTGCTTTGCACTATTGGCCTCGGAAATTACGGTTTTGGCGGAAATTCTGGATAGATTTTATGGAACACTGGAGATAAAAACCGAGATCAAGTATTTAAGGAAGCTTATGGAGGACAGTGCCACGATCAATAACACAACGTCCCACAGCAGCTTTGAAGTTACTAATCACCGTCCGGGTTGGACGGAAAAGGGTTAATATTGCTGAGTCACTATGGTTTTATACTCGCATTTTTATACTCGCACAAAACTGCTCCAGAATAGATTTTTTCACGAAATATGTGGTAACGATTTCCGAAGAAATCGGACATTGCACCGTTTCCTTCCGTCGAATATTGATGCCTCTGCTACAAACCGCCTTTTTTACAGTAATAAATACTCTAATAAGTATTTTACTGGTTCGATCGTTCACTGTATAAAGCTTAGAGTAATACGCAAACATTTGATCGGTGAATAAAATACCTTGCCATTATGTTCTTTGGGGTTGTGTTTAGCAGAACACACGTGTATGTATTATCCAACACTGGTTACGGTTATTACTGTTTAATAATGCGCGCAAAGCGTTAGCTTTTATGATGGCATTCGCGCAACATCTGCTAAGAATTTCGCTACTGTCCCAGCACCGGCTGCAGAGTTGTAACAGTTCTTCCAATACTGCGCCTGCTCCTGCAGCCCTGTAGGAATAGCTTGTAAACAAGAGGAAGGTCGGCCGGTGATGTACAGTTTGGCTCTGGCTGCCAAAGCACTTAGCGCCGGCTTTCGAAGTTCCTGCCAGGTGACCTTTGTCCAGTCCAGTCCGTATTTTTCCTTTATCTTAGCGTGCAGCTTTTTCTTGGCCGTAGGATGCGTTTGTGTATCCACAAAGCCGATGTTGTCAACCTAAAATAGAAGGGATTCTCGCACCGGAAAATTACTGCACCGTAATTATCATACATATTCACGCAGGATTTTCTGCTGTTGTAAACGTAAAGCCAATAATGCATATATTTTTATAGGTATTAGAGGTACACCTTTTGAATGTTTATATACACTTCCCTTAAACTAAGTATTATGTAACTATAAATGTTATTTATTCTGTTCCGGTAACAATTTAGACTTCGTGTAGAATAAAACGCCTGCGCATGCAGATTGATTCTCACCTGCCATATGCCACCGTGATAATTTGCCCGATAAGTTCCGGCGTCGTTTCCATCTTTCGATTCAACCCATCCAATACGCCGCATCAGGTCATGGTCATCCGGAAATATTTTTGAATCGTGCAGCTTTTTTAACGCAGCTTTGACTATGGATGTTCCCTTCGCTTCCGGTGTCCATTCGTCTGCTGCTGCAGCCGCGAAAACTGCTCCGAAGCAGAAGATAGAAGCAAGAGCACCGAAAAACATGTTTCGGTGATGCATTGTGCTAGTCGCAGTAACGTTGGGATCCCACACACCAGCGTTTATTCAACAGGAGACAAAACGGTACAAGTAAGCTTTACCCGTAGTACCGCAAGTACTTTGCATACCACGCGACGAAGTAAGTACCATATATATATACAAAGTATCACTTAATGTTTGTTGTTTATGCCACACCAGCGTAAACATCTGATGCGCTATTGGAACTCGTAAATTTTGCGCTTGCATATATAGCTGCGCCAGATGAGATCGTCGGCAACCGATAAACAAACAAAGTTGCATTCCAGTTCCGGCTTTAAATTAGGCTACTGCAGATTACAATACTACAGCTCGGAAAACATTTCGTCCTGATACAACAAATAAACTATTTTGGGCGTAAACCGCGTAATAATGTCGATCAGTGGTTGCAAAGGTTTAAACTCCATTCGCTGAAGCTGGTTTATCTAATGTCTACTTATACGAATTAAATGCGGTCATTTGCGTCATTTCTGGTGCTACGATTTAACTGTTTTTATCACACTCCAAAATCGTTTCTGCATGAGCTATAACTAAAAACATGTACTTTGTTCAACTGAATTAAGGATCAGCTCATCCAGATGTTGTTCTTATTTTGTTCAATGAGCAGCAAAATACCGATGCGAAATTGACAGAACAGCTGAATAAACTTTGCACAGATTTGTAATAGAACATGGAATTACAAAAAGTGCCTTTACGGCCTAACCGGTAAGGTTATAAAAAGGTGCACAACATGGGTATGGGACGCTCCCACAATTCACAACACGGCGGAACGGTTATGAACGGCAGCTGGGAATGACATATCTGAATAGGCAAGGTTGCGGGTTGGCGTGAGCACGGAAGATAATGGGGCATGGTTGGGAGCACTTCCGGTCGCCTCACTTGGCAACCTTCTTACGAACTACGCTGTAAGAATCGCCGTCGCTTTGGAGCACCGGTCATCACCCCACACCGCCGTGTTTGCGGTGAGAGGGCAAATGCCAGAGGCTACCATGGCTCAAGCGGCAAGAAAAGCCGCGGACGAATCCCTACAGATAAATGTCTGAACGCCATTGTAAGCGCAGCCTTTATTCACCGGTTTCGAAAGCGAATTGGAACCGGACGGTATCTTTCCTACAGACAGAAAGCGACCAGACGGTGTTTCCTTGACACCACGGGAGAGAGGTCACATGTTGAAATGGGACGCTCCTTGCGTCAACACAATGGCCATATCGCACATCGTGATCGTAGCGACATTCGCACGAGCGGGAGCAGCAGCAGCACAGGCCGAGCAGTGCAAGATCGAGGAATATCGTATATTGGCCAGGACTACCTATTCCGTCCTCTGGGTTTTGAAACGCTCGGGCCGCCCGGACCGGAAGTTGCCCGCACGATGCAATTTGGACACGACTATAAACCGGCGGAAAACGAGCCACGGAATATCTTCGCCATCGAATCAGCATCGGAATCCGAAGAGGAAATGCGGCATCGACCAAGGGGACAGCGCCGATGGGAGCAAATTTAGTTGATAAAATTTTCTCTGTGATTAGGCCGCCAGTTCGGTTGATGCTTAGTAACTGATTGTTCATTTGTTCTTGAAGTTACTAGTAAGTACTGTAAAATTTTTGGTTATAAACAGCATTATACTCTTATAAGATTTCTTGAAAATATAAAAACTACAGCAGGTCCCAACTCCCAAGTGAGTCGAATTAAAAGGTTTCATATAAAACAGTCACGTGCAAACTCCCGTAGTCTAAATCTCTAAACATAAGAATCGCTTAAAATCCTAAATTTTTGTTGTTTTTTACTGACCAAAAATAATAAAACAACATAAAGCATGCCTTATGTAGCACGTGGTAGTTGGGTACCGTTGGTAATATGTAAGTACTTTTACCGGCTGGCCGCTGGCGTAGTGTTGCCCTGCCCTAAATGCTGTAAGTGCAGAGTGTTTTGTCCAAAAGGCCTTACCATTTCGTTGTGTTTTCTACTGTACGGCTTACCATAGCCTTGATGACGTTTGGACTTGAAGTCGTGGATTTATTCGCTAAAGCTTCGTGGCACTTTGTCAGCCATCTCAATTGTCAGAGAAGGTTTATTTTTTTCTGGAATCGGAATTGATCGAGGACTAGTTTGTATCCGAATGCAGTAATTGTTTATAATACGACAGCTGGACTGCTTCGGTGTTTTCTGGCTCAGGTTTTGCTGCCGCTGAAGATCGTTCGGCGCACCGCGTACTGCGGCTTCTGTTTGTGCGAGGTAAGCCGTAAGCGTAAGCGATGCAAGATTTCCGCGGCATAATCAGCAGACAGCAGTCTCTTGTTTTTGAAAGTCATACCCAAGGCTTAGTATTCCCAAAAGCAACGCAGAACGTGGGATTTTTTTCATGCAAATCTTTCTTTGCAGACTGCTGACAATGTTTGGCATCGAGATCATCGCAGCCCTGATTGGCGTCGGCGGAATTGCCGCGGCCTATTTCATTATTTCCTACAGTCTCCGCGAAAAGACTTACGAAGAGGCTCTGGCTGAGCAGCGCGGTGGTCGTGGCGATGCTGCAAAGGCGCTGAAAAAGGACAAGCTCACGAAAAAACCGAAGAAGAAGGTCACAAGCGACGGCGGGAGTAGTGACGCAGGATCTCCTGTAAAAGAGCGGAAAATCCCAACTGTAGCCAAAGAAAAGCACACAAAAGAAGCAGAAAAACCAAAAGATGGCCCGGTAGCCGCTGCACACATTCCCGAAAAAATTAAGCATCGTCCGGATGAGCTGGAAACGGTCGCTGGTGAGGGAAAAGTCAAACCAGCTGGGAAAATCCCATCTGCGCCCGCCGCCAAGAAAACGGAGAAAAAGGTAGAAAATGATCACCGCAAGCCTGATGAAACCTATGCGGAGGCCGTTAAGCTTCATGCGGATAATATACCTGTGGAGAAAAAGCAAGAACAAGTTGGAAAAGCGAAGGAGCAACAAGAGGGTGCTGTAAAGACAAAGGAGCACAAACAGGAGAGTGGTAAGAAGGAACGCGACACTGCGACGGCGACGCAGGTTAAAAGTGCTCCTGTGGAGCATGAAGCTCCCAAGAAAACCAAGACCGAGGTACGAAGTGAGAAACCTGTGAAGCAGGACACACGCGGAGCGCACAAGGAAGACGCCAAGAAGGCTGTTGCACCTGCTGTCAATGGACTTACTTCCGGTAAGCTGACTGTAATGATGTTGGTGTGTTGTTCAGGGAAATTTGTTTAGATGTAGATTGCGCTGATTTTTACCTTATCACGTTACTTTTTTGAAAAAAAATTTACAGTTGAAGTTAGAAATCAGTTTATGATTGATAATGTTGTGCAGGTGCAGAGTTCAAAGGATTTTGTTCAAATTCTTATTGCGCTGATTTTCCTCTTATGCTGATTTTTGAGAAAAAATCGAAATTGAATAAATCACATTTTCAGAGAATTAATGATTTAATCAAACGGATTATCAGTGAAAAATAGATATTTTTGAAAGTTATCGATTTATTTTGGTTAAGACTTTTGCCGGTGTAGATTAGTTAGACGTATAGAGCCATGTTGTGCAAGAGCAGGATTGTACGCACTACGCACCGCATAGCGTTTAATGCCTCGAAGTTTGTGAGCGGCCGTCAATGGATTCTTCTGGAATATGTTCATCTAGTTGTACGATAGGCGACCCTGGTAAAAAAGCAGACTGATCGTTAAAAAATGTCGAGTGTCGAGCGCGATTTGGAGTGTCGATGACGCCGACGAAGACCCAGCTAAATTTAACCTTCAAGCAACGTCATATTCTCCGCAGTCTAGTCTCGGGAATACCGTTTGTACTTCGTACGAAGACATGAATGTGTGACCTAATGATGGTTGTTTGTTGCACTTACAATTAGAATACTGATTTTGTGAAAATAGACACTTGCAATTGTTAGGTCATACTTCAGCCAGGTTTTTTATTATCATTGTTCGATATATAATGACTCAATCCAGATTGCGAGCGTGGGTTTGATTGAGCCACTCTTAATGCCAAATATCATTTTCCTGTCTGGATATCACTTTCATTCAGTCTTTGATGTGCACCTTCATTTTTTAGGCTCTGTGTATCAGGAGGTTTTGGGATTGTTGAATTCCATCCCATTATCGGACGCAGAGACTCAGAAACTGTTCCAGATTTTGATTGATAAACAGAGTGAACGTCATACGGAATGGGTTCAGGTATTTGAATTTTTTAGGATTATTAATCCTGCACCATTAATCTGTTTGTGGTTTCTTCACTTAATAATTAATAATCGAATTTTGTCGGCTTTTCTACTATGTGATCTTACTACGAGTTACATCCGGTATGGTTGTGATGAAAGTGTTCATACTCTCTATGTACGCGCCGCTAATTTTTTGTAATGCTGTCCTAGCTGGGGAAAAGCAAACAAGTCGATCCTTCTACGATTGCAAAGCGATTAATTGCGGACAGAGAGCGAGAGCTCGTGGAAGAGAAAGAATTAAACAAAGCTTTGGCTGACCAGTTACGAGATATGAAGTATGTTTTCCCTGCAGTGTTGCGATTATTGGTGTTTTTAATCGCCTATTGGCTTATGATCTGTTTGTTTCGAATTAGCCCAGTGATTGTTGAAATTTTGTGCAGGAACTTGTTGAATGCTGAAAAGTCGCGTCTGCGCGAAGTAAACGATGTCGCTCGTGTAACGGCAGAGCGCGTGCCGACTCTGGAAACGGAAGTGAAAAATTTGACTGGTCGATTGAAGCAAGGACAGGACAAGCACGCCGTGGAGATTACGCAGATGACTCAGAAACTCCAGGAAGCCGAATCCCGAGCGGCGATGAAAATCAAGCATTTAGAGGAGCGACTGCATGAACACAGCCAACATTCAGTGGTCCATGTCCAGTAAGTCGGTCATATAATTTTCCTTGTTTTTGGCGTGAGTGGAAGCGCCGGTTGAGCTGTTTTTAAGTGTAACGCTTTATCTCTGGAAATGCTTACTATTTTGTTTGATCCGTACTGTTATCAGTAAGGCATGCTTCTTGAAACTTTTCCGACTGCTGTTTATTAACAGATTAACTTACCTGACTTTTATTTATCAAGAAACATGTTGTAAGAAACACATTCTATGGGTTCTGGTAGGTTGATACTACTTTTTCATCAATCGTGAGTTTTTCGGTTTGTAGAAACGGAAACGGGGAATTGCGAGGTGAACTGGAAACCCTGCGCGCTGAACGCGACCGTCTGCTGCAGGAGGTGAACCATAATCGCAGTCAAACCCAACATCTTGAACAGCAGATTAAAGATCTACAACACGAAAAAGAACAAATTCAGTCGGTATGTCGCGTCGCTGCTGAAGTGTTAGTGCGGTTTTTTCAGTGTTGTTTTCGGTTATTTTAGCAGGATAACCAGTCGCACGACTCTGATGATGCAATGCGTGAGGAACTTGACCGTCTGCGCCAGAGTGCCGCCGAAACGGAAACCCAAGTGCGTAGTTACAACGAGCTGGAAGAGAAATATACCGAGAAGGTGTCGAGCTTGCAGGTAACGATTGTGGTGCATCTCTGCACTTGTATTATTTAAAACGCCTGCTAATAGATTAGATAGCTTTTGAATGCGGTCTTTTTCTTTTATAGCGCTTACGGGAGGAACTTGAAAGTTTGAGGGGCCACTCTGCAGAACAAAGCCAGAACGATGGAAACCGACAGGAGGAAGTCGATAAATTGCGTCAGAGGATATCTCAGCTTGAAAACGCTCTCACGGTTTGTTTGTTTCAGCATTTAATTTGCGATAAGTTTTAATTAAAGTGGATTGCAGGAAAGTGAATCAAAACATCACGAGACTGCGAAACATGCGCGGGATGAAGGATTTGAACACGCAAAGGTAGAGGAAGCGTTCCGACGAGGCTTTACCGTAGCCATTTTATTTTACCATGGTTAATTTATTCTCTGCAGAACCAGTACGAGCCGGAAGTTCACAAAGCTGACAAAGCGCATCGAGAAATGTTGTCTAGATTGCTGCCTCATGTGAATGTTGACCCTTCTTTGGTAAGTCCAACATTCGTCCGTTGTTGTACGAATACTACCCAAGTACAGGGTTATCGCGCCAAGTGTGGACAGTAACAAAAAATTCCCGATTGCAACCATTGAAGTCAAAAATTTTACGTTAATTTTTTAAGATGGATATTGATCTATAGCAGCTTCCTTAGCCATCTTTCCGCCCTAAAAGCTACAATGCAGGAAACGGGAGCCGAAGTTTTACTTTCAGCTTTTTCCGAAAAATTGCACTGCTTAACGAGAAAAAATCATGTTTAATTGGCAATATTTTAAAAATAAAAATGCTGGACGAATGAGAATCACCAAAATAATAATAACGTAATGTTTTAATGATCCCTTTCTAACTTCCGTTAAACCATTAACATCTCCAACGCAACCCGCTATCCAGGCAACAACATTCTTCGAAATGTAGGTTTTAACATACAAGTCTATGGGAGATACCTCTTGTTTTGAATTCACCACAAGCAGTGGTCGTGCTAGAATTTTTCGCTAACCGGTAACAAATAACCTTTAAAGCACTCAATAGTTTACGAAAAAAATTACGCTAAAACACCCGTTACTGAATTTCTGAGAGGGGTCATTATAAGCATTGAAAAACTGACCGTTACCTCTTCCCCTTAAGCCATGCACGGCTACTTCCGGACACATCAACATATACCAGTTTTGGTTTCACTGAATTCGCAATAAAAAGTTACTCTAGAGAAAAGCAAAATATACAGCAAAATGATTTACAGGAATATTTCTCGATTTATTTTGCGCAGCTGTCCACACTTGGCGCGATAACCCTGTACATGTAATGCATACGAGTACAAGTACACTTTTTTGTAATACTGTAATTAAATCGTGATTTGGTTACAGAATCGTGGGGATTGGTTAGCGCAGTTTGAAGGTTCAGCTCGCAGTTCGCTTCAGTCTGCTGATAAATCCGATGAGGTGTGTGGCACTATGGCAGTTTAGAAATACTGACATGAATGTACCTTTTATCTGAATCTACTTTTTAACTCAGGTGGGTGAACTTAGAAGGCAGTTGGATGAACTGAAAGGAGCCCACGAAGCTGCCGAACGCTATCGGGTAGCACTGAATCAGACTGAGGAGAAATTGCGCTCTGTGGAGCGTAGTGTGGAGTCAGAAGAGGAAAAGTGGGAATTGGTTGAGAAAAAAGCTTTGGATTATGAAGATAAATGTAAAAATTTGGAAACTCAGTTGTCGGAGGTATGATCTGCAGTATTAAATGCCTAGTATTGAAGGCTGCGCTCACTTTCAGATATGCAGGTGGTCAGTGAGAAGGAGAATGTTCATAAACTTCTGGAAGAACGTTCCTCTTCGATCACTGAGGTGGTACACGATTTAGTGCATTAATGACGTTTTGTGTAGTTTATTGTATTTTAATAAAAGTGAACTTGTGTCACTGTAACGCTACTTGCATATTTTAGATGGAACACCGTCTGCGCGAAAATGAAGAGCGTCTGCGCGCCTTTTCTGCCGTGGAGAGCAGACTGAACAGCCTTCAAGAGGAAGCCGAAAGAATGAAAGCGGATCTGGGCGAGACACGCCGCCATAAAGATGAACTGCTGTCTGAGGTGACGTCACTGCGAGAGAACTTGAGTGAAGCGCAGCGGCTTCGTAGCGAGCATGAAGAACGGATTGATAGCTTATTGGCGGAAGTCAATGAACGACGAGTGTCGTCTGGTGATACGAATGACCTCCGAAGGGTAAGCTGCTCACGAACCAATTTGGATGAATTAAATACATACGCAGAACACTGATTGTCTAGGAAGTGCAGGATTTGCGTAATTCCCTTGACTTTGAACGGGATAATGCCCGGAAATTGGCTCAAGAAGTGATACGCTCCAAAAGGTATGATACGTATCTTCTGATTTTAAATGCCAGCTGGTTTGACACGCTCCAGCTTTCAATGGAAACCTGATAAAAAGACAAAACATCGGGTCTCGCCCACTTCGGAAGTGTTGCTGGTCCCTGTTGACACAAGTTGTTTGTTTAGCTTGATTCAAAGCGGTTTGGATGCGCTGCGGAAAGAAGAGGATACGGTTTTGAGACTCCAGCAGGTCAGTGTTTCATTTATGTTTTGATCTTGAACGTTCTGTTGAGCGTTTGCTGGGTACCAATCACAGGCTTTGGAGTCCTACCAGCGTGGTGTCAATGGCACTGATGGTGGGGGAGACCGCATTATTCATGACGTGAGTTTTGTATCCTTCTAACGCTGAATACATATGTGTTTTATCGTACGGTCGTACATTTATTTAACACCGAAAAATGCTGCACCGAAGTGGTTTTTTTGTTTTTCTGCCCTGGTCTAGATATTTTTGTATTTACCATGAATTTTGTAGACAGCGCACCGGTAGAAGTGACAGTGAAGGGGACCGCGGTATCGTGCGTAAGGTATGAAAGTAATTTCAAGCATGCAATCAATTTTGATACGATTATTTATTTTCACCACACTAACAGAAGCGGAAGCGGTTGTCGAAGCGCAGTTTTTTGAAAGGTACCCATGACGCTTGCATGTCGTCTCGGGGATTTGTTTGTTTGTTCGTTCGTTGTTTTCGCTTCGTTTTTCCGTTTTTTTTTGTGAAAGTTTGTTCATTTTTGTTTGAAAGTTGTGATTGATTCATTGCTTTAAACGTTTTGTGAGAATGTCAATACGGGAATTAATACAAAAATAAACGGTTTTTCTTATTACAGCCTTCTTATGCGGTACCTGAAGAACTGCGATACGATTAATCCGGCGCCTCGGAATATTTTTGTGAATTGTGACTGTGTGGGTTCCCAGCGGAAGTAGATCGTCCATTTATGCATCGAGTCCGTCGTGTCTTTTCTACCACAGCCCGATTATAACCTCCTTTTAATCCTCATTGGGGTGTTTTTATAAATATATTTATTTGGATTTGTACTGCTGGTTTATTGCTAGTGAGACAGAGAGGAGGATTTATTCATTCCGTTTATTGTTAATGGTCCTAGTATGCTCAGTTCATGTTTCATTAGGCTGTTTTTGGTCACAGTTTGTTTGTTTTTTAGAAAGACTGGTTGGGTGCGTTAATTTAATTATTATTCTGTTTTTACGGTCGCTTTTACCTCGTGAATGTGTAAATGAGAATGCTATTTGAGAGTTATGCTTTACTTGTTTTTATCTCTTTTTAACTGTGCACAAACAAAATGAATTGCAAAATGGTAATCACTCGGCTGCGTACAGCGTCACATTGGACAGCAGTTAAACACTGTTGGCATTTGTCATAAACAGAAAATTAAAGTAATTTACTAGAAAAACTTGGAAAGCACCGTAAAGTTCATGTGGCTGCGGAGAAAGAGACGAGCGTTTCGCTGTACGATTTGTTTCGAAGGAGATAAGTTAGGCTCATTCCGTCCATCTGTGATTGCAGTTTTGAGCAGCACACACATAATATAGCCGCATTTCCTCCTAAAAATCAACCACCTTCGAAACAACGCCGCAATCAGAGAGCGTGGAAAATGCACTCACTTCTCCGCGCCGAGACTGAGCCTGAAAGAACACAGCGCCACGATGACCACATTTCGGGCAAGGGTGATCTTCCGTCCGAGGAAGACAGGGATCGGCCACCACATCCCCGTTAATCTGCGTCAGTTCACTAGAACAAAACACTTTATGTGTGCAAAATCAAAAAGTACCAAACTTCCTTTCGCCGTTAATTACTTGACTTTATGGAGAATTTTGTTGACGTATACGCAGCTATTAGAAGCTTGTTGAGCGTATTCGCAGTTCCGACACTGTAAATGCGTAACGAAATTACATACACTTCGTAAGCATAAAAAAAATCTGATATCTCCGAATCTCCGATACATTTTGGTTTTCGTAGCGATAAAAGAGCTCGCTTGTATTAATGTTTCCAAAGTGCGTTACAAAATTTGAGCACACATAATATGCGAGCCACGGCTTACCGTATAGGTCAACACTTTTCGCTCTTTATCTTCTCGGGGATACAACATGTTGTTGCTAAATAGAAGGACATAATTAGTTGATTTATACAGCTACAACGAATAAACGTAAGTTAAGTGGCACATAAATTTTTAAATGTAATGTATTTTGTATAACACCAAGAACTTACTATAGGTATAGTACAGTACGTACTTGATAACAGACTATAGTAAGTACTTGATATCACGCATTTAAAGCGCTGCCGATAATGCGCTGCTGTACAAAACGTGTTATTACTGTAGTTCCGTTGCGCGCAGTTTTACGAAAAGGGGTACTGTCAATACAATATTTTCTAACTCCTGTCACATTTCGGCGTAACAAGTGGACTATCCAGCGTTTGTTACGTAAGCTTGCCGTTTCGGGTTTACCATTCTGGGCAAAACATAATTCCCACGAATCCTGGACCGACATCGATCTTTTCCACCGCCGGTCGAGGAGACCCGCTGCTCACAGAATGCGACATCCTTCTGCTGTTTTGCGTGTATTTACTGCGCCGCCACAGTAGTCAACCGGTCATTCACTGACTTCCGGTCGGACAACAGAAAATTCAAAAGAACTGAAAACGGCCAAATTTCGAATTTTCGCAGCAGTCTCCCACATAACGAATAATAACGCTCATAAGAAAGAATCTAATTCCCAAAGGAATTGCCTTACCAAGGGAATGTATTCTGGTGTGGAATGAATGGTGCCGGATACAGATATCGGGAAAGCCGGAAAGTGACCCAGTCGAAACGAAAGAAAACTGGAAGACTACTTTTATCACAGTGGTCCAGAAACTGTGGCAGACCAAGAAAATTTTAAGCTCGCATATGCATTTCGAAACGCAACATTTATGTACCTATGTGGAGCCAAAACGACAACAGACGCGACGTCAGCGATTTATCCTGGCCGCAGTCTGTTCGACGCGCCGGCAGCGGCAAAACTACTGCAGCACGTACTGACATACGATCTACAGAATACGATTACGTAGACATTTGATGCGCTTGGAAGACATCAAGACACTAATTTGTTTGCACCGGCAAAGTCAGTACTTCTAGTACTGGACCTGATACTGAGCGAAAGGCCGAAAGCTTATTATTAATTTCAAACAAAGATTTGTAAATTTCGTATTCCTAATTAAAGGATATGTATGGCTAACTGTCATTAATTCATATAATATGTTCGCACTTCCACCGGAAGTCAATGCAGTAAAGAATTGTTTGAAAACTCAATAAAATTATTCTTCAAATCGTACGGAAACAGCACACTGTAGCGGACAGCCGTACGGCAAGTACTCCACTGCCTACAGCAGTGGGAGAATCGTCTACACGTAGGCACGACATACCTGCTATGTCATAGCATAGCGACACATTTTTTGAAATTTCATTTTGGATTAGCAGAGCCAGAACATCAATAAATTTTTGTCCTATCATTTTTTGCTCCTAGTGTTCGTGACGCTGTTGTTCATCGGTCAGCAAAATTAGTCGGACTGTTTGCCGCTTCATATTTTAGCCTGAACAAAATTCAAGAATCACTGGGTGCCAGCTGCCAGCAGCCAGAATGGCAGCTGCAGTGCTGTTTCAGCGGACGATATTTGGTCGAAAAAGACTCACAGGAACGTTTGTTGTCTGAGCTTGCAGCGTGCGCACCATGCGATTCCTCATCAGGATGCGTTTCATTCTCCCATTTCTGGTCGGGGCATTTGTCGCATTCCTGGCTTCCATTGCCTATTGGAGAAGTAATTGCCAGCCGATAACCACTAAACTGAAACCTCGCGGCGCCTATACCCATGCAGCATCATCGGCCAATGCATCTTGGCAGAAGATTCCCTGCATTATCAACGGCAATCGCCGCAATCCCGTCGACTGCCGTGTGGAACCCTCCAACGAGGTCTTCCTTCCATTTTCCTTTATTGCTCGCTATTTTGAAATAACCGGCAAGATTGAAACGGACAAAAAATCGCTGAACGCGGAGAAGTTCTTCAATTGGCAGCATAGCTACGCCAAATTGATTTTGCCTAAATTGCCTTACGAGAGCGATGGAATTTTTATGTCATTTGACAATTATAATGTTGAAGTGCGCGATCGTGTCAAATGCATTAGTGCCATAGAAGGTGAGATGCGGAATTGACGCGGTTATTTTCTTTAGATGATTACTTGCTTTATGAGTCTTATGACTGATTGCATTTTAATATTGCATTTTAATATTGCATATTTTCCGTAACTTTAGCTCGTAATCTTACCAAAGAATAAAGGAGTAGTGCAATAATTGCACTATTCCTTTATTCTTTTGGTAAGATTACTGCAATAGAAGGAAGAATAAAGAAGCGTTTAATCTGTATCAGTATAACGTTACTGTTATGATGGATTTGTGATTGTTAAGTTGCGAAATTTTTTATGCTAAAATATAAAACTAAATAATTCGGTATGTTATGCTAAAATATAAAATATGTCTCAGTATTGTAATAAGGATAGTAAAATGGAAACTTTTGTGTGTTGTTAGATTCTAGTACAGTAACTTTTTTTTTGGTATGAATGCTACGAGTAGGCAAGATCGCCCCAACCATTTTACATCACTTCTTATGGTTAGTAGCACTTCTTAGTAGCTTAGTAGTGGTTTGCTGAAGTAGTGCAAAGCGACATCGTGACGTTATGAATAATTATTTAAAATTTATTTCTGGCCTGGAAAAGTTTGCGTGAGGGTAAGGGTACCGTTTTGCATTAACGAAGTGGATTGTGATTGCAGGAGTGCCTGTCTCGTCGCAATGGTCGACTTCCGGACACGTTTATCCCGTGCAAGTCGCCCAGTTCGGCCTGAGTCATTACAGCAAGAACATCTCGGAAGAGCGGCCACGGCATCGGCTGGTAGCCAATTTTGAGCGGGATTTTGATTTTGACGTGCCGCGGGGTTCCTACGCGGAGCGGATTGAGGATAGCGAAAAAGAATTATGGGTGCTGAATTTTTCTGCTCCAGGTTCGCATTACTTGTCATAAATAAGTATTCAGCGTTTCGCAACATTTTTAATTGCGACCAGGTACCATATGAACTGTGGATGATAGTAAACCATGAAAACGTGAATTACAAAGTTGTAAAGGTTTGATTATTTCTAAATGTGAAGTGTCAGATGTAATTCGACATTCATGAAAATTTAACTGTGCTATTTGTCTGCCGTTAGAAATTTGACGTGGACTTTAAAAAAGTGATTGTTGATAACATTGATAACTTGTTACTGCCTTATTTAATTACTGGCTTTTCAGAAGTGCTGCCGGTGTTACCAGTAACAATTAGGTGACATTATTTGTACTGTAGTCGACTTTGTTCTGCAGTTTAGTTATCTGATTTTGCTCGCAGTGAATTATACCTCTCCCGGCATACCCATTCCATTTCCGGATACTGGTGAACCATATGTTATTTTTGGCGTAAAATTCTACCGTCACGGTGCCATAAGCTTCCATCTGGAAGTTCAGGAAACGGAGCGCACAACCTATGAATTAATCTACGCATGCGGCGCCGACACCATTAGCACACAGGGCAACCGTGTGATTTATGGTCTGGGCTCCTGCTCCGAGTGGAATTATCTCGTGCGTGACGTGTATGTTGACCTGATTAAGGGCCTGAATCTCTACTACAAGAAATCCTCCAAGAAGGACAAAATCCGCTTCAACATGGCCCGCATGCGCATACAGCAGGCGGAACTGCACGGCCGGGGATTACTGGACGGCTTAACGCTGGCGTCGTCCGCCCATTCGGAGCTGTTTGAGAAAGCCGCCGACTGGCTGGTGAGGAGTCAGGATACGGTGGGTGGATGGCCCGTGACGGTCAAACGGAAGCTGGGCAGTGTGGAATTGGAGCCGCCGTGGTATTCGGCAATGGCCCAGGGTCAGGCCATGTCCACTCTGATACGAGCGTATAAGCGCTTGAAAAATCACAAATACCTCCAAGCCGCTGTGAAAGCGCTGGATCTGTTCTCGAAATCTTCGGAAGCCGGCGGGATATCGGCGGTCTTTATGAATAAGTTTGTCTGGTTTGAAGAGTACCCGACGAATCCGCCGTCGTTCGTGTTAAACGGCTTTATTTACGCTTTGCTGGGATTGTATGATGTGAAAACGGTAGCGGATGGAAATGATGCGGAGCGCAGCGGAAAGCTGTTCGATACCGGTGTGGAATCTCTGAAAGCGCTGCTGCCGTTGTACGATACCGGCTCGGGATCGGTGTACGATCTGCGGCATTTTACATTGAAAGGGCCTCCGAATTTAGCCCGGTGGGATTACCATTCAACACATATCACGCAGTTACAGGTTATGAATTCCATTCATCCCGATCCAGTTTTTGCGGATTTTGCTGAGCGTTGGGCGCAGTATATGAAGGGCCAGCGGGCTGATCATAATTAGCGGTTTTATAGAGTCAGACGAATGCCAGCTGTTTGCATCGACTATTGTGGTCGGTTTTCATTTGTCGAATTTGGTATTGATGTGGGTGTTGCCGTGAAATGTTGTATTTTAAGATAATTGTTGATGTGTCAAAAATGCTTAATTTTACTGTTTTACTTGTTTTTCATCCTCTTAAATTTGATCTCGTGTACCTTGTTTGCAACGGATGGTTTCTCCAAAGTTGTCGACTGTGATTTGTAAATAAGACAAGATTCGCGCAGTAAAATTATTGTTGCAATGTGGTGAATGCGCGCGTTTTTCCGTTATTGTGTTATTCTCAAAATTTTCTTATTCCAGATTTTAGGAAGTAGTGGGCGACTGTAAACCAATCATGTTTGAACCGGGCTTCGTACACATACAATGTTAGATTTATTATTACATTTTAGTTCTACAGTTACACAAGTTACATTGGTTATGCTGTATGTACAGATAGTGCTGCATCCAAGCATGCTTGAATTTTTGGCTCTGAGTCTTCTGAAATTTGAATCACCTCAGAACCTCCGAGCCGGTGTGCCTCGATTTTTTAATATGTAGCTCCGCACTATGAAAACTGCATTTTTTTTAAATAAATAACTTTGTTTACCTGTGTTTGAATTTACTGTAATAGTATAGTACGACTTTTACATGTAGATGATTCAACTGAATAAGCCTCAATAAGGTGACCTACAATACTACGAGTACAATAATTCAAGTACCGGTATAACTGGTGCCCAACGGTCATCGTCTTAGAGATCGACAGGGTAGCTTTGAGGTGTATATATATAATTTCCATAAAATTTTATGATGCAATTAAATCAACAATCACAACCGACAACTGCAGCTTGTTAATTTTGTAAATTGCTAGCGAATCACAGTAGAAAATCAGGATCTGTCAGATCCGAACATGGACAGCGCTTGCAGCGAGTTTTCCCGCAACATTTGACACTGACCATTCATTCTCAGCAACTGCCCATTCACATTGGCCACGTCTGTGCTTATGCCCTGCAAAATATTAGTTCATTTTTATGAGTTACGATCACGTACCAATGGTACCATATACGAGTATGTACTAGTAAAAAATGCAAAAACAATTTGTTGATCCAAGAATTTATATATATACTTAGTAAGACTTAGTAAACATACATCAACTGTAAAGGCAGAAGAAAACGTATTCGTAACTCCAGTCTGCAAGGAGCAGATGTATCAACTCATTATCAACAGAACTCTTGAAAATGGTCAACTTTATAGAAATAATTTATCTGCAGCATTGCAGAAAGAGGCTTAGCACAATCAAGCACACTTGTGTAAGATTGTTGTTGAAAAATTCATACTTGCGCGTTTTGCACGGCCTTAATCAGAAGTCTGTGGGACACAAACAGCTTTGCGGATGCTGCGGCCACTTCCGTCTGGATTAAATGTAGCAAATTTTTCCTCAACTTATTGTTTTCCTTATACGCTGCCTTCAAAACATTGTCTTCCTTGTGAGGAGGCTGTACGCGGTCGCGCGAGGCGGAACTGGAAGTGGACACAATTGTGCTGTCGCTCGTTGCGGACGAAACACTGAAAGTGCTCACACTGGCGTTGTCCACTACGGACATGGATTCGCTTGCTTCCATCATTTCCAAATCTAGCAAAGGTGTTTTCTCGTTTTAGAATTACTGTCATCCTGTTAACCTGCGACTGCATTATTTTAACTTCGTACCTCTTATTAAAACGATGTGGTGACGCGATGCACAAATTATATCAGAGCGTCAATCAGGGTATAATTTTCCGCTGCTCGTTCATTAGGCGGATACCTTTGTGCCGAAAGAAAGCTGTACACAGAACCGAAAACAGGATATGTCTTTACTTTATATCACAAACTTACAGAACGGAGAACTCGAGTCCTCGTGCAGTGTCTTCGAACTTACTGGTAGAGTTAGCGAAGAGTACACAAACAAATGGTATATCTATATTTTCAGGACTACCAAGTAATTTCGTTTATACTGGCAAAACGAGTTCACCAGTCAGCAGCTGACTCACTTAGCTACTCTAGAGTGGTTGATACATACGAGCTGATAAAACCGGCATGCCCGCGCGATACAATAGAATTATGTAGTTGTTCCATGGTACAGACACATTCGTAGTGAATCTTGGCTAGAAAACTCACATCCATACGTCTCGAACAAGGAACAATAAGTTTAACCAGTGATTCGGGGCCATCTGCAATAAAATTAATGGTGAATAACTAATTTTTGAAGAATGAAGATAGGGATCGGAGCCTGAAAATGGTCATCAAAAACAGTATATAGATATAGTCATCATCATATAGATATATTATATGTAAATACTACCGTACATGTACTTCTAATACTTCTAAGACGACATAAATATTATAATTACAAGCTGAGCACGGATGAATATTGGCTTGCGACTATTTTAGAATTTTGTTGCCGTCAAATCATGCAGTATGTTGCAACATCGTTAGAAATAAGCTGTTTCCCTAGAGCGAGCACCCGCCCTTGTCAGCCTTATGGCATCCATGGTAACAAGCTTTAAAGTGACCACTGGTCATGAGGTTCTGCAGACAGCAAGCAATAACTGGTCTCAGAACACCCCCATGACCGAGAGGTTTCTAACGCATTTTGAAGTAGAAAAATTGGATGAGCAGAAGCTGAGATCACCGGCGCCGAATGAGAGGGGCCGAAATCCTGGCACAGATAATTAGTATTCATATAATAACTGTAGATAAATCGCACTGCAAATTGATTGAAGTACAGAAAAAATTAAAATAGAAGTGATCATAACTGCCATTGTACGCATAAACTACACAGTTACTCTAAATAATTTTTGCAGAAGTTTAAAAGAAATTTACAGATTTTAACCTGTTTTGTATTTATAACGGACTTGGTTCAAGCTGGTTTGTCACGGCGTAATAATAAATAGGAATATTTATTAGTACTCGCTTGGTCGCTGACTAATCTGATCAGCGAACCAAAACATACGGTACGCACGGTTGCTATGCACATCTGACACCTCCCCCAGTGGGGAAAACCCACTCAGCCAAAAACATCCAGAAAATATTAAGAAAAATTATTTCCCGAATTTTGGATCCATAATCAAACGATCCGGATTCTTAATCTCTCGTCCGCTTTTTCGGATTTCCGGTTGTGGTTGCTGCTGAGTAGTGGTGTCGGTTTTGGCGACGCGCGTCTTCGGTGGTTTGGATTTTGCCGTAGGTGGAACTGCTGAGCTCGCCTGCGGCTTTTCGGATTTTGCAGCGGCAGTTTCTGGCACTGCCGTCTGAAGCTCCTTCGTCGGCTCCTGTTCCAACTTCTCAGGTTGGTCGTCAACAACTGCAGGCGCATGGGCTGATGCGACAGGCGGTGCGCTCGGTGCTTCGGGTACCTGAGGTACAGTCGGTGCAGTCGGTGTACCGCGCATTTTCAGTGCATTGGGTGCTGCCGGTATTGCGCGCTCATCCGGATGCAGCCATTGTCGCGGCCGCATCTGATTTTCATGTCTGCGCAGTTCAGTTTCGTTAACCAGCACGATCCATATGCGCGAACCTTCCCGCTTGACCAGCTGGCCTCTCTGCCAGTCGACTGTCCGACTCGGGCGGTAATCCCGCACCATCACGTAGTCACCGGCTTGGAAATGCTTCGCCTTCGTTTGCTTGTCAAAATTCTGCTGGTAGCGCCGCCGGTTGCTTTCCGTCGTGGTCAGCATGACCGGCACCAGCAAGTCCAGCTGGGAACGCAGCTTCCGGCCAAGGAAGAGTTCTGCGGGAGACTTCCCTGTCGTTGCGTGGGGGGCGCTCCGGTACCGGAAAAGGAATTCTCGGAGCGCGGCCGACAGCGACTTCCGGTCCGCCATCAGTTTCGTGATTCCATCCTTGAACGTTTGAACGTAACGTTCAGCCTGGCCGTTCGATTGTGGATGGCCGGGTGGTGTTCGCAGGTGTCGGATGCCGTGTTCCGCGCAGAAGTCGGCGAACTCCTGCGACGTGAACTGGGTGCCGTTGTCCGTCACCATTTCGGTACACGCACCGTAACGGCTGAATAGGTTCCGCAGCGCTTCCAGAACACCGTCGGAAGTGGCGTGCTTCATCTGCACTACCTCCGGCCACTTCGACATGGCATCCACGATGAGCAGGAGCATTGTCCCGTGGAATGGACCGGCGAAATCCATGTGGAGCCGTTTCCATGGCGCATCGGGGACTTCCCACTGCGACAGTGGTACCTTGGCGGTTTCCTTCGCTCGCTCGGAACAGATGCGACACTCTTTCGAGATGCGCTCAATGTCCGCATCCATGTGTGGCCACCAGCAGTATCCCCGGGCCTCACCCTTCATCTTACCCGCGCCCATGTGGGCGGCATGCAGGTAGTCGAGTATTTCCTGTCGGTGTTTCGCTGGTATGACTGTCCGGGAGCCCCAGCAGATGCAGTCATTTACCACCACCAGCTCGTGTTCGAGTCGTTTGTACGGACGCAGGTGTTCTTCGACAGAGGCAGGCCAACCAGTCATGACGTACTCGAACACTCTGGACAGTTCCGGGTCGTGGGCGGTCTCTAGTGCAATGGCTTCGACTGCCACGGGGAAACGGGACACGTTATCTAGGTGGATTGCGTTCACCACGCTGTCCATCCCCAGCCCGTACAGTCCGTCCAGCTCCGTCGAATGCAGCGGTAGGCGGCTGAGGCCGTCCGCCTGGCCGAAGTCCTCCGTTCGGCGGTACTCGATGCTGAAGGAGTACCCCATCAGCATGAGCGCCCATCGCTGCAAACGGTTTGCTGTCACCACTGGAACTCCCTTCTTGGTACCGAAAACGCTCAGAAGCGGCTTGTGGTCAGTACACAGAGTAAACTCGCGCCCGGCGATGTACTGATGGAACTTCCGGCAGCCAAAGACGAGTGCCAGGGCTTCCTTTTCTATCTGTCCGTAGTTCTTCTCGGCCGCTGTCAGGGTCTTGGACGCATGGGCACTCGGGCGTTCCGTTCCGTCTGGGAAACGGTGGCATATCACGGCACCGACGCCATACTGGGACGCGTCCGCCGCAAGGACCAATGGCATCCGCGGGTCATAGTGGACCAGGAAGGTTGCGCGGACAATTTGGTCCTTCAGGGACAGGAACTGGGACTCGCAGTCCTTGGACCAAGACCAGGGAACTCCGGTCTTCAGGAGGGCATGGAACGGGCACACTTCCGGAAAGGTCGCGGACGAACTTCCCGTAGTGGTTGACCAAACCCAAAAACGCGCGGAGCTCACTGATGTTGCTGGGACGGGCTATTTCTCGGAGAGCCTTCACTCGATCCTGGGAGATGTGGCGACCTTGGTGGTCCACCACGAACCCCAGATACTCCACGGAGTCCTGCAGGAAGTGACACTTGCTCCGTTTGAGCGTGAACCCGTGCTCCTCCAAACGCTGAAGGACTTTCTCCAGGTTTCTCAGGTGCTCCTCTTCGGTCGCCCCGGTGACAATGATGTCATCGAGATAGATGGCCACGCCCTCGCAGCCTTGGAGGACGCTTTCCATTATCTGTTGAAAGATGCTGGGGCCGCACGCCACGCCAAAAGGAAGACGGTTGTATCGGAACAACCCCTTGTGGGTATTGATTACCACCAGTTTCTTACTGTCGTCGTCCAGCTCGACCTGGGCGTACGCCTCCGCCAGGTCAAGGGTGGTGAATTTCCGACCGCCATTGAGCTTGGCGAAGAGCTCATCCGGTGTCGGCAGCGGATACTGCTGGACATCGAGGGCGTCATTCAGGCCCGTGCTAAGGTCGGCACACGTGCGGATGTCCCCGGCTCGCTTCTGCGCGGTCACTACCGGAGCTGCCCAGTCCGCCCGCTCGACCGGAGTCAGGATCCCTTTCTCCACGAGGCGGTCCAGGTTGCGCTCCAGGGCTTCCCGGAATGCAAACGGTACTGGTCGCGCCTTTCGAAAAACCGGCGGCTCCGGGTTTTAAGTGCAGGTGTGCTTTGTAGTGACGGCAATGGCCTAACTCTTCGCGGAACACAGCGCTGTGTTTCGCCAGCAGCTCCTCCATTGTGATTCCGGAGACGGCAGACACGGAGGCTGACTGGAGATCTCGTAGGCTCAATCGGCTCAGGTCGAGAGCCCGGATCCAGTCTCTCCCCAGCACATTGCCGCCGCTGGCCACGACGATAACGGGTAGCGCCTTGCTGTTCCGACCGTGCGTGACGTCTACTGTCACGGTCCCAATGACCTTCAGGGCGTGGCCCGTGAAGCTTCGCAGGAGGGACGTGTATGGCGACAGCTTCGGTGATCCCAGTGACCTCCACGTGTCAGCAGTCACAATAGTGACACTAGAGCCTGTATCCAGGACTGGTGACACAGGAACGCCGTTAAGCTTGAGCGGCACATGGATGGATCGCCCGGCAGCTGCTTCGACAGACAGCACATCCAGCTCCTCCTCCACGAGAAAAGTTCCGCGTCCACCCCGTCCGCGTTGCGGCTGCTTCGCGCTTCTGCACACTTTCGCAATATGGCCCTTTCTTCCACAGTTTTTACAGGCTAGCTCCTTCGCCCAGCACTCCGCTCGGGCATGTTGGCTGGAGCCGCAGCCATCGCACACGCTTGCGGTACCTCCACCAGTTGCAGGCTGCCTGTCGGGACCAGCGCCGCGCCGCTGCTGTCCGCCACGGCCGCCGCCGCGGTTTCTTCCTCGTGCGCCACCGCCACGGCGTGCATTGTCCACGCGAGCCACATCAGGCGCCATACTGCCCTTCCTGTTGCTCCTCCGGAGCTCATACTCCTCGCAGATCTCCAGAGCCTTCTCCAGAGTGGTGTAGGTCTGGGATTGCAAATGCTGGCGTGTAGCGTCGCTGGCGATTCCATTCAGGAAGGTCGCCGATATGTTCTTTTCGAGCACGTTGGCTGGAAATGCGCACGGGAACGCCTTTCGTCGGAGGCGGTTTGAGAAATCCAGCAAGGTTTCGCCGGACTCTTGCTGTAGTTTGAAGTAGTTAGCCCACTCGGTTGCAGCGTTCGTCTTTTTTACATAGGCATGTTCAAGCTTGTCGACGATCTGTGCGACAGTGAAGTCGTCTGGATTGCCTGGAAGGCACATGGAGAAAAGCATCTCTCAGCGTCAATGCCGAGGAGTCCAACAGCAGGCACTTCTGGTCCTCAATGTCCGTGACCTTTCGGAGTTTGACGAAGTTTCTGTATTGGAACTGCCACCACCGCCAGGTCATCTTGGATGGTTCGAACTTAATCAAGCCAGATCCAGCTTTCTCGCTGGATGAAACAGGGCTTGAGATTGCCGGTGATGTTGACGTAGTAAGCGACATTCAAGAGCTGAACACTCGACCGCGTGAGGTCGTATGGCCTTCACGCCAGTTTGTCACGGCGTAATAATAAATAGGAATATTTATTAGTACTCGCTTGGTCGCTGACTAATCTGATCAGCGAACCAAAACATACGGTACGCACGGTTGCTATGCACATCTGACATGGTTCAAACTATACGATATTCGATAATTATAGCAAATTTACTTGCGTTTCGGCTTTTATACGTACTCCTATGTACACAGTTAGTTTAAACACAGTAAACACCGTGGTTTAAAGCTCACTTGAGTGACGAGTGTTCCTGCTGAATGTTTTGGGTTGTATTTCAGAACAGCGTTTGATTATTGCTTATAATTGGACAATCAAGAATTTACTCATTTTCAGATTTGTTCTCTTATACAGTGTATTCGTGAATATCTTCATTGCATGTTTTGCGTACGCCTGTCTTCGGCTTTGTAGTCATGTGAAATATTTGTTGCAACCATTGCGAAGTCCGCGAACAACATTTTTCTAGTTATAGTTTCAGAGTGCGCGCCATCGACCATGGTAAGCCTTGGCTGAAATTGTGCCTGTTCATTCAAATCCACTGTCTAGATCTCTGCGGGAAATGCATTGGTTAATCCTGCGGGCCGTTCTTAGAGTGCTTCGAAGAGTTCTCCGAGTGCCCGCGAGGTGGTGGATGTGGATGAATCGGAGATCGAGGAGACTATCAACCGCATCAAAAGCCACAAAGGCGTTTTAGGGGTGATCATTCTGACGAAAGACGGTAATGCGCACCACTGGCCGCGTCCCTTCAGCAGCGTGGGGCATCCCCGTTTAGAGAAAATATTTTGCAGGGGTGGTGTTGCGCTCGACGGTCGACGAGGAGACGTCGCACGCCTACGCTTCCCTGGTGCAGGACATCGTCGGACGGACGCGTTTGGGAGTGCGTGATCTCGATCCTGCCAATGATCTCTCCTTTGTGCGCATCCGCACGAAAAAGCACGAGATTATGATAGCGCCTGGTAAGTTGTTCATACTAATCCTTCGTTCCTGTTGTTTTATTGCGTAGACATTTTTGTGCATTTGTTCTTGAATTAAAATTTTAGTTTTCTCGAACATATGGCGTGGGTAATTTTTTCCACATTTGTTGTTTATTAATAATTATTCTTATTTGCAATTTTTTTAGATAAAGAATATATGCTGGTGGTTGTACAAAATCCAAACTTTAAGGAAGGAAGCCAAAACGAGGTAGAGCATTTTGTTTGTATAAGAAGGGAGCATTTGAGAGCCATGTTTGTGATTTTCCGGTGAGATTTTCTCGATTTTAATGTGACTTGCAGACGTTGCGCGTGAGAGCACTGAATGTCGACGACGATTCGGATCGGACATGATTTATGTACTGTGTTGCTGCTGATTCTGACGGGTGTTTTTGTCTGGCTTGATTTTAAAATTTCACGTATCTGTTGCGCATTTGTGTAAGTATGAGTTTTATTTTCGGGTTATAAACTATTCAAACATTTTGCGCACGCTTGCAAGTTTTGTGCTCTGCTCGGTGATTCCAGCGTTAATTTCTGCGCTTTGTTCCTGGATAAATTTGTTGTTATCGAAAAAATTGTCGGTGTTGTTGTTTATGATGGACTTCAATTTGAGTATGCTGTACATATTTTCGCTTATGGAAAAACCATTGCCCATTGGTTGCAAATGCGGCTTTTTTTTATTCAGAAATCAGAAGAACACAGTAGCCAGTTAACCACATCGGATTGTCGAGAATGCGCTATTACATACTATACACGTTCGGCATCAAGCATTCTTCCGTTTACTCCAGAGACAGAATTATTGTCAAGAGGACAACTCTGAAAACAAGTAATAATTAACAAGCTTTTTTTCCGGGATGCAATAACAACGATTTTCACTGATCTAGCGTATTCCATCACGTGCATCGTGAACCATCACATGCCAGCATATTAAGACAAGAAACAGAAAAGAGGCAATAATATTCATAATGAACTCAAATAATTCAATAATAATCACGTTTAGCACAGAACGGCGTCTCACAGGATGCCACAAAAACTGTCATTACTCCGTCAATACATGGTATTGGATCTGGTTGCGTCAAGGACGTCAATTAACAGCCCATTCTGCCCAACCAACAGACTGTCAATGCCCAGTAACAAAATAAGTTAGTTTTCCTTGCACGAAGGAAACCAAAGCAAAAACAACTAGTTCAATCTAGCTGCGGAAAACACACCCTCACACCGCCTGACTTACGAAACACCATAAAAAAGAATACGATTACTAACTCGTAATCAGGATAAAACATTGAAAACTGACAAAAATAAATCTCGCGCTACACCGCAAATAAATCTATAAAAAGAACCGCTTTACGCAATAAAATCTGAAATTCCAGGTTAACCTCAACCAAAATCTGTGGCAATTAAACTGACTGAACTAGATACATTTTTATCCCTGTCGACCATCCGGAAACATGGCCAGAATAGCGCTACATAATTTATGCAAGTTATATTCCCTAGGGTAGTACATCATCACAGTGGTCACTTGTTCTTCCGGGAACAACGTTGTCAACCGGTTAAAGATATCCGATCGCTGGGCATCCAGATTCAGTGCCGCTGAACGGGACGCTGCGGGATTCAGGAAAGCATTCAGATTTGTCTCCAAGCCGAAACTGCGATGACCAGAATCGGTGAAGGTTGACGGCGGCTGCGCTGTGGACGGCGCAGCGGATACGGTATGTTGGGGGCGCAAGTAAAAGGATGACTGGGTGGAAGTGTGAGCGAAGAAGCTATCCGCAGGAAGGGTCGTTCCGGGCGCAAACTGGTATCCGGATCCGTTGAAGCCGGCACAGTCGGATGCACTGGTCGGCCGGTACACCATCGGATCTGTAGGCGAGATAAACAATTAACTGGATTGCCCACAAAAATAATCTGTAAAATGCATTTCTGCCTGAAGCGCAAAAATAATCCTTAGATAAACACTCAAGAAAGAAAGGTCAATAAATCTGGATTATCCGTGCTCATTTCTTTACACCCACAGTTACCAGCATACAACCACATCTCTAATTCGCTGTTTTCTCGATACTAACTGCCACGTTTTCGCATTTGTCTACTTGTACTAAAAAAGTACAGATACCATAATCAATCCCAATCGTACTATTGTATCTTAGCATTTCAGACGCAAATATATTACGAGGAAAACTCAAAGCGATGCTCTTACTTCTTTTATCCGAAATCATAGCGGGAAGACCCGTGGACTGCTGAGCGATGGGATTGACTAGATTGCGGTGTGAATCCCGCAGCAGCATCTGCTGCTGATGCTCGGCGTAGGGATTCAGTGACAACTGTCTCTGGAGTTTATTGTGCATGTTCTCCTGCCGCGGCTGCCCGTACGGCCCATCCGACAACGTCTGCACGAGCGCGGGATGTTTCCGCTCTATGCCTAAATCCCGGAGCTGCGGTGGAGTGGCAGCAAATCCACCAAAGCCGTTCGCTTGACAGGTCATCCCCCGCGGACTGCACTGCACTAATGGCATGCAATGACGCGGTGAGTGGTTGTTGTTCGGACGATTGTCCTTCAGGAACATCCGGTCCACATTGCCCGCCAGCCGTTCCACGTTATCCACCGACGCCGGTCGGTAGGCGGGCGCCGGAGATGGGACGCGAAGGAAGCGCGGCGAAGTCGGCTGGCTGCCGGTCAGGGCGGAGAAAGGAAACGCTGTTTGTTCGGCGGGGAAATTTCCTGTGTCACCCGGCACCATGGAACGCGTTCGGACTACTGGTTTGTGGGTGGGCGAGCGGGGAACAGGGCTCGACAAGGTTGCGGTCAGTTTCAGTTTTTGTTCCGGGCCGCCAACTGCAAAACAACCAAATAAAAGTGGCTCCACAGATGCAATAAAATCATCGCAGACAGAACCACGTCAGCAGTAAAATAATTTAGCATTTTTTAAAAATATTTGATACCAATTGTATTGTCTTTCAAATATCAGACATTAAACGTTTGAAATGTTTTTAAAAATTGCAAACCTTACTCTAAGGTTTCCAAATTGCTATTGCTGCTAGCTGTTATTTTTCTCAACTGCACTGCTGTAAAAGACACCGTCATCTTGGTAGGGTACGAGTACATAAAATAAACGAAACTATCAGTATGGTTTACAAAGCAAAAATACGGCTTTTCAAGAAGTTTGCATAGACTGCAGATATGCAGCCGCAAACACAAACGGACTGATCGGATTTAGTGTCGGATATAAAGCCGAAATGAAAAGTGATGGTCATATCCATCACTGCTCCGACCACAGCAACAATAAACTTTAATAACATGATAAAAGATCAGTTACATAATGTTACAGCAGCAAGGGACGACCTATGTAAGAGCAGATGCACTCACATTTCAGCTCCCGTTCTTTGATCTCTTGTAATTGAATTTTGGCTTTTTCTCCGATTATTTCCGTTACAGATTTCTGTGGCTGATTGCCGCGCTCGGGATGGGCAAACTTGCATTTATTTCCATAAGTACATTTTTTCCCATATGGACACGGCTTGGAAATGCATTCATGCTGACGTTTAGAGCTTTTTCGCAGAAACTGACTCAGCGTCGGCCCGTGCCGTCCCAGTGGATCATCCGGAGGCATAAAACTGTTGGAACCATAAATCATAACTCAGCGCCTTCCTCTATGCTTCCATTCGCAAATAAAGTTTTAAACCGTTGTTATTAAAAAGCAGTAAGTACTATGTTCAACTTTTTCATTATCTGCGGCGTTTTATATACATAAAACAGTGTATATTTTATTCAGCATTTCTCTCCTTTAAATTCTCTTGACTAACCGATCGTTGACAAAGGAATACATAAGCAGCCGCTCCTCGACAACTTTGCGAAAGTCTGCATTTTCCTGAATTAGATCGCGATAAGTGTCATTAGATACGATTATCCCATCCGTTTCCATGGCCAGCTTAAGGACGTATCGATCATCGTAACAGACTAAACGCCGTTTGCCCACATAACGCGACGGTGTGAATGTGAGGATGCCTTCGCGCTCCAGTTGCAGGAGTAACTCCTGATCTACAAAACACCACCCAGATCGTCAAATGTACAAACAGGCATATACACACTTCAGTCCTCCAGCACAGTAATGTGTAGTGTAACACTTTCAATCAATCTCATCGCGTAACGACCGTAAGCAGGAACGGAAGGAAGGCCGTCCAGCATTACAGGGATAACCTATTTTACATACCCCGATCCCGACCGAATCAATGAGGCAAACGTAACCTGCTTCAGTCGCCAGGCCTGCTGCTTTCTCGCCAATGGACCATTTAGTTTTGGTTATGAAACTACCATATTTCACTAAACATCGGTATTAACGGTTGGATAACCCGAACAAATATTCATCTCACCACATACTACCGGCACTGCGCCTTCCTCTTACGTAAAAAACAGGAACAAATCTGTTGGGTGTTATCCAACTGTCAATACCAAGCGACGTAAAATCAAACGGGAATTTCTAATACTGCAACTCAAATAATATAACGATTCTGGATAACTAAACATCAGAAAACACAAAAGTTCGCAAAAATGTTATTTAACAGCAAACAAAAACGTACTGTTTTGTATGGCAGCCTATCACATCCAGTCTTACTGTGATAGCGGCCAATTTCATGTTTTGAAAACAGTATTATTCTGACAAGTCATGAAACGGATTAAAGATACCATTAAACGGGAAACGCGTTTTGGCGCCTCGAACAATTGAGTGATTTTTCAACTGAGTGATCGTTACATCTTATAATTATTTTCGTTAAAAAACTCCGCGTGACTGTTGAGCATTACGTGCGTAAATGTCAATGTTCTAAAAAGGAGGGTGCACCTATCAGAGACATTTCGAAGAAATTCGACAACAGCTGACGTCGGTAAGAGTCTGTATTTTAAATCCTGACGGCTTAAGCAATTTTCGAAACCCACTTCAAAATCCAACAAAATCTGCACTAATTTTCTGTCAATTCTACTGTTCCATTAAGAACCTGATTGTGATTCACCCCTATGGTGCGAACAAATTTACGTTATCATCAACAACGCAACAACACCAGCTCTTTATACTGTATGCGGCATGTTGCTCGCGAGTAACATCATCAGTTTCTAGGTCACACGATCCGGTAACTGCTGTCCGAATGTACACAAAGCAAATTATAATTCACTCTCAATAATTATCACCTCGTATGGGCGCATCCGGCTTGGAAGTCTCTTTGCGCCATTGTGGTACGAAGACGGTGATATCTTTGTGGCCGCGCTGCTTGAAATAGTCCACACATAGCGCAATACCGCGACAGGAGAACATAACTTTATTTCCATGACTGCAAATATATAACGAAGATAATTAGAAATTTCTCACCATGAGCAACAGCAAACTTGATTCGCATTGTACGTGCGACAATCATTGCCTGATGCAAAAACAACCCACTTAGCGCAGGAAACGGCTTTGTGCCGGTTCACGTTTTTCTCCCCATCGATCCTGTGAGGCTTCGAGTAGCGGAGAGAGAGAAGGGGAGAGAGTAGCTGGAGAAGGGAAGAGAGAGACAAGAAGCCGCAAGACACAGCAGCTTTGTGCTCACATGACTCCCAAGATTTTCAAATCAAAGACCATTTAACTACTGACAATATATTATCACGTGAACAACGCCAGATAGGCTGAGATAGCCCAGCGGAAAACACTCCACAAAATTAACCTAAACCGTCAGCACCCGGCTAAGAAACACGGGAAGTAGCAAACGATGCAAATTATCCCATAACCATCTTCGTCAAACTCGCACTGCCGTCTTAAATGCTACAACGATCAATAACCCCTAACTGCTGACAAAGGGCCTCATTTTCCGTTTATTCTCCAGAAACGGACGTTAGTGAAATTAACTAACCAGTCACAAGATGGCTGGTAAACAGCGCGCACTGCTCTGAGCAACTCATAACCAGATTAATTCGCATTTACTGAACTGTAAGGTCAGAAAGCATATCAAAGATTTTAAAGAAATTTAACCATACAAAAATAATCCTATCAATACTGAAAAATAAGGGAAACACAATATTATTATTATTATTTCGTTAAAAATGCATCCACGGCGTCAAGTCAAATATATCACAAGATGTGACAATTTCTGACATTTCCGGTAAAGGCATTAGTCCTCATCTTCTCCCAGTAAATCCCTTAACGTATCTCGATGCGAACCTCTGCCGAAACGGATCTTCGGCGTCCATTATAAAACGTTTAACGGTAGCGACCTTCCCGTAACCCTCTGTCTAATGCATAATGCAGTCATACTTTTACCCCTCCCTGACAGAGAGTAAGGATTTAGTAGCTAATTGTCGGAGCCCAAGGGAATCCTGTGTCAGTAGACTGCACACATTACACACAACACACATATGCACGCAGAGTCGCAGACCAACCTCATTGCCACATTACTCCCATCAATAACGATGTGTCGGAGCTGGCTGACAGCTGGGCCAACAGCCGCCACGGAGGAACCCAACTGATTACCCAGGCCAGTGAACTCCCTGGTGTCCGCCTGGGCAGAGGTCAACAGGAGATCCGCTGGTGACCGGGTGTGGCTGGGACTGGATGTGGAGCCGGTGTCGGCACAATCCCCATCATCCTCTTCATCATCCTCATCCACCGCACTCTCCCCGGCCCCCAGTTTGATCAGCTCCGCCAGGAACTCGTTCTGGGTCACTTGGGTGCCCAGCTTCTCCAGTGCCTTCTGCACCTGACTTTCTGTGTAGCCCAGTTTCAGTGCAAACGACAGATAGGTAGTATAGGTTTCCGGTGCAGGATCATACTCTTCCTTGAGTGTCTCCGACACGGTGCGGCTCACATCCCGATGCTCCAGATTCTACCAAGAAAGCAAATTATATTTCACATAAAAGTACGGTAAAACGAACAGACTGGTCTGCTTCTCACTGGTCAGCTGTCGAAAATTATGCAATCAAATTTCCAGCGCTCACATTTGCATAAATTAATTCGAATTATTAAACAATTAATCTGTTACGAAAAAAACGGGAAGTGCGAGAATTTAAATATTTCTGGGGTAGTAAGGAAGATACTTATATTTATCGTATGTGCTCTCGCTATTTTTGTGTCTATCATCTGATTTTCGGATGCCCAGCAATTGACTTGTTATGCCACTCAAACCAACGTCTGTTCTTAGGAAATGAAAAATCTACAGGTCAAAACGCTCGTTGAACGAATCAAGGTAAAACAGCATTGGCAATTATCAGAATTACGACGTCCAGAAAGGATCACACACAGTTAACCCTTCTTCTAAAAACGTATAACGTATTTTGATTCTTTATTATTTCCCCCTCCGCCTTCGTTTCGCCGTACCACAGCATGCCATGAAACGATTCAAAACATTATGCATAAATTATGACAAGCGATATACGAGTACAGTATATAAGTAAACAGTTCTTAGCAAGCGCAAAGCAGGTAAACCGTATTTTGTCATCATTTCTCGGCGGCCCCTTGGTAATTGTCATTCTGCAGAAATTTTACTAATAATGGCAGTACCGTAGCATTACCAAGCCGCACCAATTTTTCCAGCTACTCGGTAGTTTTAGTGCCCGTCGCTCAGTCGCGCGCGGAAAAAACTTATTACTGTAGCATAAAAAGCATACTGCACAGCATACTGCGTGCTCAAATAAAAAGTAACGAAATTCATGACAATAACAACAATCACCAACCGTTAAAACAAGAAATACCTCCGCAATCTGCACAATAATTTTAATTAATTATAGCACATACCAAATCACTTCATAATATTATTACTGCAAATTCATGCTGCGAATAATCGCTATCTCTTGCGCACAGAACGTTTACATCCGGTTGGCCAACGCTGAACTTATATCAATAGCGTCAATGCATGTAATAAAGTTGTACAAAAGTGCGCAGCGAAAATGAACGTATTGTATTGACAACATTTTTATTCACGCGTGCTGCCGTAGTGAAGTTCCGCGTTCTTTATGAAGAAAGGCAAATTTCAATGCCGACGATAACAAAGATCGGCAAACTTTCAAAATGTTATAACCAGTGCTTATAGATTGACGAGTATTGTACCTATTTACCAAGGAATCGCGTCAGCTGTGCAAATAGCCATTTTAACCTTCACTGCTTCCAGCTTCGCCGACAAATAAGTATCGATTGCGATTTTAAAGGACTTACTGCAATAACTATTGCATAATTCATGCAGGAAATTATCAAACATCAAACCAGCACTAACCCACTTTTGCTTTAAATAAATTTAAGGAGTTACCGTACAATTCTGCAAAAAAGGCGAGAAAAACCGGCATTACATGGCATAATCTATGGCGAATGGCGATGGTTTCTAAAAAATTCCTGAATATTAAATTTTTGAAAGAGAGCTGTTAAACATGAAAAATTATGTGAAATGCACTTATGGAGACTACTCGTTTCATCCATACAGTATGATACTATCCGAAACCCGTACAATGCAGTCCAGCAGCCTAAGTCCTGACTCCAGACGTATATTTGAAAAATGATTTTTAAATTGCCACTAAATAAATGTAATATTCAAACTATGCTAATGAAAGATAAGCCTTAGGTTTCCGAAAAGAAAAATGTGCTCACCATGCAAAACCAAATTTCATGTTGAATATGCAAAAACTCGAGATTTTGCGGCCGAAACTCCAGAAAAAAACTGCTGACAAAACGTGCAGTCTTGCGCTCTCAAGGGAGTGTGCTTGTTTTTGCGACCATCACACCCCGGCAATCACACGATCATCAGCCATTCAACCTTCCGGAAATTTCCGACAACTACCCCGACACGAGACATATGCTGAACCCAAACCCTGAGCCTCACTAAAAAATCCATAAGTGGATTGCACAAAAAAACTTCATGAACGTTATGTACCACAATCTCAATCAGCACAAAAACCCACATATCCTTTCACAGATTTTCATATCCGGCCAGCATTTTCCCTGAACAATATAAACCAGACAGTTAGCATATCGTGCTACAGCTTGCTGGGCATTAACTTTTCCACAGCATTTCCGTTTGACACTAACCGATCAGCGTGTCAAATCCCCACAAACTATCAGAACCACTCAGATGGATCCAAATGGAAAAACTGCGTGTATACAGCGGTTTATAGCTTGTACAGCATTTACGGCCGGTTTCGGTACACATCGTTTCATGTTTTGACCATAAAATCCCGAGCAGACGCATTAATAGTTCAATTATACTCGTGCAGAAAACATACCCGAACATTTCGTGTGACATTTCCCTCGGCGTTATCATCATCATGATCATCGGAATCGTAGCAAGAATCCGTCTTTTCCAGACCCGGCTTACTGCTGCATTCCTCTAATCCCGTTAAATCAGGTAGGTTGGGGGATGTGATCCGATCATCCAGCACTGCTGCTTCCGCTGCCATTATTCACCAGAACCCACTGCCTGCAGGAAAGCCGTGACTAGTTTGATGGCCTATGTCAGAGGCGCAGCGATAGTTGCAGGATCGACTCAGGAAAGTGAAATTACATTCCTCCTACCGGTGCCGGTGGCACAACGCATTCTGCACCCCAACCCTAACGACAAAAAATATATTCTGTACAGTACTGCTAAAAAAATTTATCTGACTGCACCGTGTGCGGCCTTATTAATACGACAGGGAATTTATTCGACACTATGAACTAACGCAACACGAAACATATCCGGTCATTAAAAATGATTAAACGTTACACACATCCTGCTATGTATATGGCGAACAAGTTCATACAGCATGCCGCATGCTCATCGCTGCCAGGCATAACATGTGCAATATTAATCACGAAAAAAAGCAAACAATAATGTCTTGTCTTTTTTATTTACATCATAAACTCGTCATAGCTAGGCATGAGTATACGTGAAATTATCGTAAGAACATTGAAATCGCTTATCAAAGACGTAAGTTCTTTCTTTCCAGTAAACCTTCCAGAGCACATCTCTCTGATCTCATTCATACACAACAGAACTTTAACAGGAAGTTAGAAACAAAATATAAAAGAAATAATCCGATGCAGGAAAAGAATCAAATACAACATATGCGCTTTACAAGGACAAAGATAATAATTATTATGATAGCTGACGTATATTCACACATAAGTGACATAAGTTTCAGAAATGGACACATACTCGTACCTAGAATTTGTAAAATTCTTCGGTTCAATTTAACCAGAAATTAAACCAAAATAAAACGAGTCAACCAAATAAAACAATTCCTGTAGTTAGACGATAGCAAAATTTTTTAGCAGCGGTCCGTATTAAATTAGCCGCCTCTACGTATACAGCTGCAAGTTGCCATATAACGCACTGATTTAAAAATAATAATTATATTAGAGAACACCATACAAAATTTAGATACAATTATGCCACAAATAACTAAGTAAAATCTTTCCAAAGTTGTACCGTATTGTTAATACGTTACTATGTGGAATTAATTGTAAATGCGAACTGCTAACCTAATGATACTAGTTAGTAGTTAACTACTGTTAGTAACTGATTTTCACTTTCGCAGCAAATGTTATGTGTGATCATTGCGAAAGCCAACCCAACATCTCTATGCTACAACTTAAGGAATGCATGAAAATTCCATCAAAAGGCATTGGCAAATATATATGTATGGTTAGATTAGTCTGCGGTACAGCCGTGCAAGAAACAGTCCAAAATTACGTAAGCAGCGTCACTAAGCACGCTGACAAAAATGTAAACAATAATTTGAACCCACCAACTGGAAAATGACCGTAAACAACGTACGTAAACAGAAAAACACGTCTTAAAACATACCTGGAACCTGCAATTAGCAGTCAGGCAGCGACAGCCAAAACGCAAATTTCAAATGCCAACCATTTATGAACGCGCAAAAGCCATGGCGGATTGACGCAATGTTGTGGTCCCAGATCCCAGACTCAAAAATTATCGACAGCAGCTTTCAAGTTTAGGGAACAAAACAGATGCATGCAAAATTACCAACTCATAATTTATCATGCCAAACATTTGCTAAAGAATTTTTCTTTCTCTGCATGCGGATAACAGCTACTGCTACACGAAAGCGAAACACAAAATCCAGAACGAAAAAACAACCACGATGGAAACTTTTTTATAAAATGCATTTCAATCTGGGCTAAAAAGGAAATGAGCCTGGTTTATCCGTTTATCAGACTGTTCACAGCGGATGCAGCAGCCTGAGAGAATCGAACAGGCGGTGACAGGGCGGAGTGTCTTACGACACACCAATAAAAAAAATGCTCGCTGAAATCGATTGTATTGACTTCAGTCCTGCCGACTCTTGCGTATACGATAAGCACTTGCACAGATGCTTGTGCTAGCAAAAAATTCAAAACGAAAATTAATAATTTTAATATGTAAGTACCGCACAATAATTATTATTAGCGTACATGGTTACAGACTTTACAGTAACACTTTGTAACTTATTTTGTTAATACCTCAATTGTTGCTGCCGGTTGTAATGCAAATATGTAAATTTAGAACTTTTTTCGCTTTTTTGAGCAGCCATACAAGTATGTACGTATTAAAACTACGGAATATCATCCGAACATGATTCAAATATTAATCTGTTATGCGGAAAAAGGAAATGATTATAATTTTTCTTATTTTGCAGCGTAAATTATTATAGATCTGAAACAAATTTAGTATAGCAGTTTTATCTTGTTCGGCCCGAACATAGTTTTACCTTCGTAGTCTGTACAATCAACACTGCTGTTTGAAGCCTGTTTCGGTGCTTAATTGATTGATTAAAATATTTGGCTAATAAGGTTTAACTTTAGATCATCATGAGATTCATGACCTGCTTTGCATTAGCATTGCAGTTTTTATGTTTATTATAGTATACGAGTAGGTATGTACATACATGCTAAATGTATGAGAAAGTTCAAAACCAGACCCATTGTAACTTATCCTTGCTTTTTACCCTAAATATCTAATTTAGCATTAAAGTCACACAATGACAATAATTTCTTGCTTTTGCAATCTTTGGTTTTTTTAAAATTATGGCTCACGTTATTCGTACCGGCGTATTCGCATTAGTAAGGCAATAATGCAATAAATGTAGCGAGAGCTTGTCACTTGATTGGTGCTGTTTAAAATTACTCCGTTGTCATAAGGGTAACTGGTAAGTACAATTATTTTGGTGATTCCGTCTTGCTCACCAGTCAGACGCTCCTCTATAAAGTATACGAGTACGTCTACATAATATCCATAACCTCTTGCAGCTGGTCATTTCTGTTATTTTTGTTTTCTCATTCATTTTTACGAAACCAAAACACTTTGTTCGTGCAACAGCCGGCTAGGGATGGCGCAACAATAATTCACAAAAGATTAACAAGCCAGCACTGTTATATCACAAAGTTACTTAATATTTGTCGAGTCCTGCTTGTTCAAGATTTTTTCTTCGGCATTAACCTCCTGAGTTTTTCCTCAACATTGACTGGCCTCAGAAGCCGATGCACCGGTTCATCCTTTTCTTCTTTCTGCGGTACCTCAATGCCCTCTTCGAGCATTTTCTCCTTCATCAAAGCCTCCTGATCCTCTCTATCCATTTTTGCGTCTTCCTGCTGGACCTTCAGGAATGCCTGGGGACCGGCACTATGCGCGCCCTGCTGGTAGTCCTTTTCTCCTGTGACAGTTTCAGCGGGACGATATACTCCAAACTTTTGTTTATGTTGAAGTACGATTTCATGTCGACAACTTTTGGTTCTTCGTCCTTCTGCGGGACATGTATGGCGAAAATGCCGAAATAACGAATAAGATCAGCCACATCTGCCTCGGATATGTTAAACTGCCGACTGAGTTCCGGTACGGTCCACTCTGACGGCTCCTGCTGATGGCTGGACAGGAGTTGTAAAGCGGATTTCAAGGTGAGTTTTCCGGGTGGAAGGGGAAGGTTGGAGTTGTAACGGGCCGTGCCGAATTCGTTTTCTTCCGGTGGGGCTCGCTCTTGTGGAAGGGGTTTTTGTGGATTGTGCTGCCGGGGATCTCGCTCAACAGGCTGCAAAATGAAATTTTTAAACAAATTATAAAACCAATAATTCGAGGCTAAATAAACTGGTAGCAAGTATCTTTCAGCTTAATGATTTCGTGTTTTACAACACAAATTATTTATCTTCTAAAATAAATTACTTGATCTGCAACAGTTACAAGTGTTTATACTCTATCGCACATCGCACACTGTGCAGCACAAAGCTGCAAGCACGACACACCTTCGGAAGGACTAGCCGAAAACAGCAATCGCAAAGCAGGGTTGCGTTCCTTATGTAAGTACATACTCGTTATAAATAAAGTTTTAAAACAGTTCAACATGTTTGGAAAAATGTTCTAAAACAAGCATAACCAAGTACAGCAAGTATACTGAAAAATGCGCATCATAATAACGCATAAAGCCACAAATTATTACTGATGCTTTGCAAGTTTGCAGTCTGCACGTTACCACAATTCTCCACAAACTACCGTTTACTTATTTACTACAACAACACAATTTTTGTGATGCAATTTAATGCAATGCAGTTGTTACACAATTCTGGTAGAAACTACAAATGACTAAAACAACAAAATTTTTGTTGACAATATTATGCGATTGCTTCAGCATGAAGTTAACTCCGTCTGCCAAAAATTCCGAATATCAAAACAGAGAGATTCACTAGCGTTTCAAAGTTGATAGAAAACAACCTTCGGAAACCGTAAACTTCTGATTTACATCATACAAAGTGTACTATGCACGCAAAACCTTACGCCATCAAAGGAAGGAGACAAAGGAACATCTTTCGAATACACTTTGACTTTTTTTAGCCAGTCATCCAAAACAGGATTCTTCTCTGTCTCCAAGCCGGGGATCTGAGATTCTAATTATAAGAAAGCAGATCAATACAGTAATGGTGCCAGAGAAACTGTCTGCGCTAACTGCTAACAAAACCAAAATGAAGCTGGTCGGAGTAAACAAGTGCCTACTTGGTGTGGGATCCTGCTTTGCTGCCTCGCTGATCATCTTCTCCTCGGTGGGATACCGCGGAGGCGCTGCCCTGTCCGGGCGGTCAATCGCTCGCATAGCACGGTTCTCCACATTCCAGTTCCGAAAAACTCGCCGAACACCACGCGTCAAGATTTGCCGCAGTCCCATCACCAGCGATTTAAAATCTCAGAAAATCTCCGCTGATCAGTGATTGAATCTCCACTGTATTAGCAGGAAATAAAAATGTCACAGCGCTGAGTCCGACCAAATGTTCCACTGCAGACTGGCAGTGATCCGATCAGGGGCACATATTCCTGCACAATTCCATATGCATATGTGATGCGATATGTTGATGTAGATTCTAGCATATATCTAGCATGCTATTGCTAATATATCATACACGCAATAAATACAAGTCGAATAAGGCTTTAAAAAACTGCAATCAAAGAATCTCCTAGTTGTGCAAAACTTTTATACATAAGTGATAAGTTATGTGAAGGATAAAATCATAAAAACCCGCAATGTTCAAATGGTTTGCAGAGCACGAGATAACCAGATCCGATCGGCTTCCAGCCACTGTGCTACGGCGCTCGGGCGCTGCTTGCCTGCGACATAATTGTAAATTTGTAATTCCTTGACGTAGCTGCTGCACAAGAGCGGTCAGGTGTGTAAATGTGGTTTCTTTTCAAACGTCAGTTTCACCATCACTTTTCAGTTTTACTTAAATTCAAGCTTTTGTGAATTTTGTCATTAATTTGTGATTATTACAGTATTATGTCTTTTTAGTAAGTACTGTACTGTAGTTTTACCTTTGCCGTGATCTGCTCCTAATTATCTGGCGTTTTGAGCACTCCTCGGTTAGTCGGTTGGATAACTTTTATTCCGCAGAATCTCCTGAGAGCCATAACACATGATCACGAGTAATTATAATCTGAGAGTTTCTTATGGTGTCGTTGGCATCCATTTTGAAACCGTTCTGTGCTGATACCCACTTGTGATGGCTGTCATCCTAGAAACCACATTAGGCGACATAACAATCGATCTTCTTGTGAAAGAGCGCCCAAGAGGTACGACTTATCATTCTGAGATTTCAAAAGGAAGCTTGGACTTCTGACTTGATGGTAGATTTTTGCGTTTCGCCACGTTACGTTTCTGCAACGCAAGGTACATTGTGACTTGCTTACCTTTGTTGCGTTGCAGCATGTATGAATTTCCTGAAGCTGTGCAAAATCAAATATTATAACTACTCCGTATTCTTCAATGTCCAACGCGACTTTATCGCTCAGACCGGCGATCCGACGGGCACAGGAAAAGGTGGAGAATCCGTTTTCAGGTGCGGAGTAGGTCGAGCGTAGCTTCCTTGTCTGTGTTTTAGTGACGGTAAAACGATAATAAATGTAATGATTACAGTAAGCTTTATGGCGATCAAGCCGCATTCTTCGAACCAGAGAGCGTGCCTGTGCTCCGACACATCAAGACAGGAACCGTCTCCATGGCTGATAATGGACACAACATGCATGGATCGCAGTTTTTTATTACGCTGGGCGAGAATCTGGACTACTTGGACGGTAAACATACGGTGTTCGGGGAAGTGAGCGAGGGACTGGATGTGCTGCAGAAGATGAATGAATCCATTGTGGACGACCACAATCGACCGTATCGCGACATTATGTAGGTTAATCAAACTTTTTAAGAAGTTTTCTGCTAATACCTCGGTTTTCAGTTATTATAAAAATCCAGGAGATGTTTTTACTGGAATTTTCTTATGTTTGATGATTAGTTTTAAAATTATTATGACGCCGTCATATAATAAATTTTGACCGTAGAAGAAAGCAAAGAACAGTTTCGGTTTTCCCATGTTCGGTTAATTTTTCTGTGTTCACCATGATGGCACGGCTTTTAATAAAATCGAATATGCAGCCTAAATGCTATAGCTGCGACAAAGCACGTTAAACTGAAACTGCAGTTATTATTATGTTTTTTATAAAAAATTTTCCCTTTTATGCAGCAGTGTAATTCGAATGGAAATTCACGAAAACCTACTCCATACCTGTACGATTCGTGGGCCTACTTTTTCGAAAAATCTTATTTGTGAATTGTATTAATTTTGTTTGCTTTTGACAGGATCAGCCACACAGTGATTTTGGATGATCCCTTTCCTGATCCCACCGGACTGAATATCCCCGAACGCTCGCCTTCTCCTACTAAAGAGCAGCTTGAGGTGACAGCGAAACTAAACTGCTTATGAAACTGATCAAATGCTTCGCTATAAGAAACGATTTTTGTCGCATCATGCATTGCTTTCGGAATCTAATTATGGTTTTGCTGTCTTTCTTCGAATATCAATTGCCTTAGCCTGGTACTGTTAAATTGATTGTTAATCATAGCTGGCGCCACCGTGTATAAAGTCAGTTCATTTTTAGTCGATGAGGCTAGCTCCAGGAGAATCTGCGGAGGAATTTGAAGGATTATCCAAAGAGGAAATGGACGAAGTTGTGCAGGAGAAAGAAGCCGGCGCTCGAGCTAAGATTCTTGAAATGGTAGGCTTTGCGGCTGTTTGCGCTTATGGTTAGTGTGGAGATGTTTGGGTTGTACCCACCTGTTTTGGAAAATTAGATCGGAGACCTTCCCGACGCTGATATAAAACCACCTGACAATGTCTTGTTTGTCTGCAAACTGAATCCGGTGACTACGGACGATGATCTCTTCATTATATTCAGCCGATATGGCCCTGTTAAAAGGTAAGAATTTGAGATTGTATCTGTACGTATGTACGACGACTATACCTATGTTGGTCACTTATCATTCCACAAAATGGGTTTGGTTTTTGCAGCTGTGAAGTTATTCGCGACAAAAAATCCGGAGAGTCGTTGCAGTATGCTTTTATCGAATTTGAAGAGGTAATAAGGCAATTATTGTATTATTGGTAGCCTTTCGTAGTATGTACTCTGCACTTCGCGATATTTTTTTCGTATACTGCCGCTTGCTTGCATGGCTTTCTGTGGCGTGAGACATCGCATCCGCTGTACCACGCGAACGCAAAAAATGAATTTTTGATTTTATCTCAAAATTGATATGAAATGAAATAAATGAATGAAATATGAAATTTTAAGTCATGGATTTTTTATTTGACAGGCCGATCATTGTGCAAACGCCTACTTCAAAATGGATAACGTGCTGATTGATGACAGAAGGATCCACGTCGATTTTAGTCAATCTGTTTCCAAACTGGATTGGATGAGCAAATGGAAACGTGAGTAAAGTATATGTTTGTCATCGTCGCATATTTTTTGCGACCTGAAATTGAATCATAAAAAACTTAACATATTCGTGATGTTTGATGTGGACGAAGTTTCACGTTGAAGTTGTGTGGATGTGTAAGAAGTGTTCTACCGTTTTCTTGCTACATTTCTAAATAAATAAATTCTGCCTCATGCAGTTTTGTTTGAATGCACAGAATCCCGCGCTGGCATGGCGAGTAGAGTTGCTCCGAGCGAAAAAAAGGAAAAGCTTCCTCAAAAATCAGCGGAACGTGAGGGAAAGAACCATTCCAAAAGCAGCGATAAGCGATCGGAAAAAGATGTTGACCGCAGACGTTCTCCAGGCCCGCCTCGGAGGATAAGGAGCAGATCTGACGACAAACACACTGTGCGGGTAGGTTTTTTCAAAAGCGTAGCGATAGAAATGTTTTCAGGAGGGTTGACCTTTTCTCAGACTTCAAAGTGCCCACAATAAGGCAGGCTTACTTACCTTCTTCACTGTGCTGTTGATTATCCTTTAGACAGTGCAATATATGACGATGTAGTCTTTTTTTGGTTATTCTTTCAGAAGTCTTCGCCATCCCGGCGGTCTCGATCGCGCGAACGGCGTAGGCGTAACCGTAGTTCTTCCAGGGATCGCAGTCATAAAAGGCACTCACCTGTCCGGGACCGAAGCCGAGAGCGCCGTTCCGAACGCGACAAAAGGGATCGCTCATCTTCGCCCTCCTCTCACCGGCGCCGAAGACGTTAAGACAGTAATATTTGCTTCGAATATTTGTTGCCTTTCGATTGCAATGAGGTTTGCGCACGAATTAGACTTCTGCTTTGAACCGGAAGTAATTATTTTGTGCTTGATTGTTTATCTTTCGATTGTTTATGTTCGCAGCTGCAAAATCAGCAAATGAACGTACAATTACTCGGGTACGTAATTCCTTTTCAGTGAAGTGTAAACGGATTAATTCATATGTCGTTGAAAATCTGTGCTACGACTAATAATTGTGAAGAAAAGCCGAGCTGCTGACAGTAATTTTTGTCGCGGACAATACTAGTACATAATGTTTTCTCTGATTCTCGCAACACATACAGTACTCTGTACTCTGACACAGCCAGACATTCGTTGCTCCCTCCTGGGCCGCTTTGTACACTTGGATTGTTGATAATTTTGAATTTGCCCTGGTGTTTGATCCACGTATTTAAACGTGCACCGTACGTTTACTTACTTACTTTTATGATGTGTTATGTTTGCATTTTTAATGTCTGCTTTCAGTTTACACAATATCTTAATTTTATAAATTTACATAAAGCGTCAGGATATGGAGTAGCTCTTTTTTAAAAGAAAGAAACGAAGAAGTGACCGTAACTAATAACTAAGAAAAAATGCTGATATACGTAGTATAGAAGTACAATACACAAACTGCAAATACCGTCTATAGAAATGTAAGTACTAATCCCGTAATGACCATTTTTTCGCTTCGATAATATTAATGATTGAAAGTTTTAGCAATAAGAATTACCAGCGTATGACCAATGACCATCACCGGCAGGCGATCTGATAACAGCCTCATTAAGGACGTATTTACTTTAACAAGCTGATTACGAAGGATTTTAATGACAGTAGCTAGTGATCATGTTTACACTGTAGGAAAATCGTGATTTCATCTCGACGACGGCTCAAAGCCTCAAACTCATTCATCCGCTTGGATGCAATCCCGATCCGGATCAATCTTGCCAAGATATTTGTCGTATCTTTAAGCATCATCCAGGGATCCATCCAATTAACTCATCACTTCACCTTTTATGCTGTCAATTGTACAGTGGGGAATTCATCCACTGGTCTTTCGTAAGAATTTGTAATGTGCGAACTATTTCCTTCCAAACTGCCTGGAGATCGGAATAACGTAAAACACCGACACTTGTGATATACGAGTATTGTAATTTGCATTAAACTTTTATACGTAATGCTAAAGCATACCTCAGTAATTAATGATTACAGACTGTGGATACTGTAAAGGTCAACATGACAAAACGACTAACAAAAGGAGGCAGCAAATTCAGTTACTTGTTACAAAACATCCGTGGAGGGAATTGTGGTTTTACACACCTAAATATCGGTAATTATGCACACAAAATTTATATATGATACAAAGCTCTGTACAAATAAAATAGTAATTAAGAAAGCGTTAAAGTAAAACACAGAACCACGGATACAGTGGATAATTACATAGCTTCTTGCGGTACCGTGCAACTATCCACTTGAAAAACCACTGTCTCATAAACGGTTGACTGAAATATGGTTTGGGGATTAGTACGCCCGTACCATTTGGTCACAGTCAGCGGTACAACTTTGCAGCCGTGGTCAGTGTGCGAAATATAACAAGGCGAAAATTAATTCGGAAATGCTTGACTTCCACCATCGTCTAATGAGGGTAGATTTATCCAGTAAATTGTTCTCAACGTTATAATTATTTTTCTCTTACCAGATACCAGATGATACGTGTGCCCCGCGTGACGATAGCCGGCAACGAACAAATGCCGGGGAACGGTGCACGTTCTTCTTGCGTTCTCACCTGTCTCTGATTATGGCATCAGCCGATTTCACCTTGAGCTTTGTCCAGAAAATGACTAAATTATAGGGCACTACATATGTGGAGCGGCGTTCGTTCGTCCTAAGCACGAGCATGTCGCAGCCCCAAATGTCACAACGGAGGAAAATTCCCCTGCCTTAAATTCTACTTATACGCTATAATCAGCGCAAAGGTCATCACAATTCTCAATGCATCTCAGATCTTACGGCGGTTTCTAATTTATTTCTGGAATGTTCTGTATGCGCAAGCTACGACCAAAATGTTGCCTAACGTACTGATATAAAATTTGCAGAAGAGTTTATACCTCGTACGCTAGTCATATTCCGAAGTCGAATTGTTGTTTCGATTTTGGTGTGTTAATATTAAGCAAAACAGAATTCAACCGAACTTGGGTTTAATGTAAATAAGCATGAGTAGTAGTGTCAGATAGGAAGATTTCATCGTGATTGTCTTGATTACAAATTGGGGATATAAGTAACATGAGGATTTGCGTTGGCGCAAGTGACAGGTTAAATGGAAATTTTAAAATGACAATGCAAATGAGCCCGCGCTTCTCACAGCTAAATACTGGCAGATCATCGTTCTAATACGCGCAGTCTCCGCTGAATCTTTTGTTAGTATACGGGAATAAAGCCTTTAATAAGATATGATTATTCCAACCGGATGCACTGCGGCTGAGTGATGTGCACGGCAGCGCCGTTTGAAGCAGTATCCTCCAGTTGGAAACGACCGGAAGCGATAGCAATTATAATGCATTGTGCCAATTTCCCGCGCAATGCATCGTCCCTTATATACACGGGCCGAGCGCTGGGGATGCGCCGCACCGCCTTTATCTGGCACTTAACAACGATAAAATTAGCAAGAATATAAGAAATCCAAATCCGCAACTCGCTTTTAGCTCGGCCTCGAAAAATCCGCACAGTCATTAAAGGATTGTCGAATCCAAGGGCGATATTGTCCCTTTTCTTATCGTCATAGTCGAGCATATATAATACCCGCTCCATTCATCACGCAGCACACACAGTGAATCGACACAGCCGGGGTAATGCGAAAGAAGCGCAACTCTGTAATTAAGATCAAACTACTTCCATTCTTTACACTCGAACACTGCTGCAGCCAATTTTGGTATGCACTATACAGCGCATCGTATTCCATAAATGCGGGATATGCATTCTGTTTATGTGCATGCTGACCAGAAGGAAATTGCGCTATTGTGTGTGAGTGCCGTGTATTGTGCTGAGCCGGTGTGACGGTGGATTTTCAATATCCAATTAGAAGGCTGATTTAAAACGACAGACAACCCGACACATCTTTCCTCCTTGGCTGAACAATGCTATTTACAAGTAATTTACCGGGTAACTATTCGCCTGGCACTGCTATGGCTGTTCGCACAGTGTGGCATCTTTGTTGGATACAACGTGCTCTTGTCACCTTTACAAGTTTGTGTCGGAGCATATTTTAATGTTTGCCAGATTACAACCTGATCTCATGCTGTTTACTGCCGGAACCGGCATATTTGCCAACCGTGTTTCGTGCGAGTTAGCATCTTAATATTTATGAGTTCGTTAATCTGGTGAATTATTGTCGTTTACCATAATAATATTCTTACTGGTTTCGGAATTTTGAACTTTCAAATATGAACTTTTCTACTGAATAATTGCCGATGGTGGCTAATTTAATGAATAAAAGGAGCTATAATAGCTGCAAGATTTCTGTTTGCAAAACTAAATGTATTTTTTACCACACTTCTTTATAACTTTGGCTGAGTAGATTTTAGTGTATGGATAATGACAATACAAGCATCATTAAAGTTCGACCAACGCTGCGTTTACAGTTGACGCTGCAGCTTCTCCGTGTTGATACAATTCAGCGATTCTTTGTGAAGCTCAAGGGCATCATTAGCCACAGATAATTTGCCTGCATGCGATCTAATTTTCAGCAAAGTTTGGCAAGGTTTACACTGCTCCCTCTTGACCGATCATGCTGGCTAATTTGGTCATCAACTCTCGCCCGACAAAAAGATAAGCATTACGATTTGCGAAAGAATGTCCATTGACACTGATCATGATCAGATGTGGCATATTCCTGAAATTATTGTTAGTACATTTTCACTAACTTAGACTTCAATAGAAAAGTATCATATAACCCATGCGCAGAATATCAGTTTGTTGTGACAACATTAATAATTATTCGCTTATTCACGTTAGTAATAGAGTTAATGTATCAGTTTTTTTTATATTGTGATTGGTTTGCACTTGCAGTACAGTTTTGAGCACTTTTGCTTTGGTGATAATTTGCACTATACTGTGGAGGATTTTTAGAAACTGCTTGCCGGTTTGACATACAACTGCAAAACCTTATTAACACAAAATCTTATTAATAGGAGTATGTGTGATCATGCTGGACTAGGGTAACAAATCCAACTGTCGGTGCATAAATGACGACCGAAAGCACTAACAACAAATTACTACTACACCTAAATTTATGATGAACCCATACCATGATAAAATGATGCGCGCGCAAAAATAAAATCTAATTATCATGCTTAAATATTTGTAGCGCGGCAATGTGCACACAAAGCGTGTCCGGCGCAGAACTATTAATTTGTAATGCAATTTGTAGATGTAACACAATTTATAGGCGATATGCCACAACTCACAAGCGAATTCCCTTTTCTATTCGGAAGCGGTATTCAATAATTCAGACCTATCCTTTTGAGGCAACTTAGCCGTTTTGTTCCGGCGAGACACTCACCTTAATACATCCATTCCGCTACCTAAGTGAACACATTAACTTATGCGACACATTAAGCTTCCTATTCTCAAAGGGGAATAATATTTCCAAAAGAAATGATTTCGGCGCGTCCACCTTTGTGCTGCAGATAATGGTCAAGTCTCTTCAACAATCTTAATCAAGTGGAAGAATATTCCAACGCTTTCTTAACCCATAGTTCAATCATTATTTGTCAATAATGAATCATTTATCTGCAGAATGCTATTGCTTATTGTATATACATACCTAAATTAATTCGTCTTGTAAACTCATAATTTAAGACCCGCGGAATTTCTTTGGAAAAAATGGGTGCTTGATTACTTCTTTGCAAGGGAAACTGCGTAATAGTTTTATACGCACAAATATTGCAAACATTTCTAGAATGGTGACCGAAATTCTGACGTATAGGTACATGTATTAATGACGTCGTCGTGGCGCAACAAGTGCGGCTGCACAGAATAATGTGCGACTTTTGACGCTGCTGATTAAATACATCATAATATTATGATGTATTTATAGCTGTATTCCACAGCGCATTATTTGAGCACTGGAGTGTGCTGCCCAGTGTGTTATATAAATCACGCAGATAATCACATTTTTCGAATTTTATAATGCATATTGTCAAAGATGCTGCGTCGTATGAAAAGCGACATTGATGCGTACATAACAGCATACCCGCTGCGGTGGGTTGGATACCAATGAAGTTAGTGGCCGGCATTTTTCAGCCCAAATTAGACTGGCGTTATTCTTCGTCATTTTTCAAGAGCATCAATAACGGTTCGGCCTCCATACTGTACACAGCAGCCCAGATTATGCGTGAACCGCCGCCCCTTCTTCCGAACAGCACTCTAATTAACCTTTTTGATTTATACACACAACCAGCATTACATGCGCATGGCTGAGTCTTTTGGGAGCACATTTCTGTATACCACAGACATGCGTAGATAGACGCATCTTGACCCGCAGTACAATACCGGCAAAATGTGAAGTTTTTCAAAGGCGGAATGCAGGCGTGCCGGAGACCACCTTCCACGTACAGCCCCGTCGAACCTAACAATAAATGTCAGACTGATGCACTGTTTAACTGGATGTGGAACCCAACCATTTGCCTGTCAGGCTCGATTATAAATCAACACTGCCGGCCTCCGTTATTGAATTTATTCGGCCAAAATTTGGCAAATGAAAATCTTATTAATTGCCGCACTCGCAGCGATATATATTTACGACCAACCGTCTGCACATTGTCACACAGAGCGCACCCTGTGTTGACAACAGATGGATTTGTCATATGACACATTTGTGGCCACGCGAACTTCCCGGTCGGAAATACCGCCGCACACTGAACATGTTGTCAACATGGCTTATAAACCAGAAACTGAGTGCACTCGACATAATTATTAGAATGAACTGTATTTAAAGATACACTGCATCAAAACTGAAATTAAAACACATGCACAAGTTAAAAAGAATTGCAGACATTAATATAATTATGCCAGTAAGTCACATTTTTTTTTATTTTCAGTAAGTCACATTGTACGTCAACAATCAGATGTACCTAACTACCTATATTCTGTATATTTTATACTCGTACGTACAGTAGGCCACCACAAAGTTTTACTATCTTTGTTAATACAGAAACGCAACTAAGGACAACCTTACACCATCATCAAATTAAAACGCAAATTGTAAACACTTACTTTTTTTTCTCTACTCTAGAAGTATTGTTTCTTTTAAGCTATATATAATCATTTTCCCTTAATATACGAAACGTTAAGTGTGCATAATTAATGCAGTACGTGCATGCTGCTGAAGAAGAAGCAGCAGAATCACCATCACCGGTTGTTGTATCGTTCTGCTTGAATTGCGAAGACTAAGTAAGTGTATATAATTTTTTGGGCGTCGATAGAGTTAAACGCGCTGATAATGCTTAATTTTATGTCAGTGGAGGCTGGTGTTTATCAGTCATTTTTAGCGTCCAGCCCACCTGAATGCCTTATCCGTAAATAAAACTTTTAACTTGGTAATGCGATCGCATTGCCTAATGATCGACGACTACTGCCAACAAACAATGCAGCGTTAGTGTGGAAGGTGAGAAGAAATCTCTCGGCAATTGTGACATATGGTCAACGCATGTGGTGGGTATTGACGAATAAATTATCATCCAGCCTACCCGTAAAGGACAGTAATTATGGGTGCAAATTATTACCTTTGCCTGGCATACAAACCAGATGTATGTGTTTTTTTTGGCCAGCCGATCGATTGATCGCTAGCAAGCGCTTGCTTTTTCCACTGTCAAAGGCCGGCCAATGCATCGTGCTTGACTTTTTGTCACTGCACCGCCATGCAATACAACGCAACAGTGCACTAGACTTCTATGCGGTACAATGTGCTAACTTGTTCAGACAGTGTATAATTATCAGTGAGGTATTTCAAATTAATTTTTTGGATTCGCATTGCACACGGAGCTGTTGATCGTGTCAGATCTAGCCAGTGTTGCTTACCAGCGTTTTGGCTCGCTTTTTGTAGGTTATTATTAATGCCGGCAACTTTATTTGACCCCATTCAGTTCAATTAAATTAATTACTCAACGGTCCATAGAAATCCTATACGGTTATCGTGTTTCTACAATGTCCCTGTGAGACATTAATAAAACTAAAGCTACTGTATCTCCATTAACCGTCTATGGCAAAAAAAGGATAAAATATGGTGTAAAAAAAAGTAAAACGTCGATTAATAAAAAGTATGTATCTGTATAGGATATATTTGCTGTGTACCTGACCTTTTCTTCCTTTGCGGCAAAATTTTTTGGTGTATTTTATTCTACTTTCTAACTATTGCGCAGATATTTAATGTATAAAAACAAGAAGTAGTCAAAAGCTTTACCAAGCATTTACAAGTCGCACAAAGTTGCAAACTTTTTATACCAGTTGTCGGCCACAATTTGTGGCTGTGCGGCCCGCACATATGCTCCAATAAAATGCACAACCGGTGCGTGCCTGTTGGGCGATCAAGTAAATCAAAACTGTTTAAGCTCGATAATTAGGATGCGATAGTTTAACAAGCGGATGTTGATGGCCACCGGATCACATGCTCACATCCATATGTTCATTCCATGTAATATATCACAAGAATTGCGCTCATACACTGGACACATCTACCAATACCAATATTCATGTCATTCTAGTTCGGAGTGCAGATGCATCTGTTTAAAGCAACGCTGCACTTTTTAGCAGCTTGCCGGCTGGAATGTCCCGCCATCAGCGATACTTGCACATATTATTCACATATCTTGTGACAGTTTACTAGTTTTAGCTACGCAGATTGCTGCCAATTGTCCGCTTGAAAATAGTTCAGCCCTTCTTGTCAGCAGCCGGCAAACCGCAGATTACGTTCGCTGATTAGTAAAAAATATTTCTTCGTTTGCAGCAACGTAGTGCGCTCGTTGCTAATTTGACCTTTCGGTCTTTTTTAATTCTACATCGACTTCCCTACGGATCAATTCTGCTGCTGTCGCGCGCACGCGTATATGTATAGCACAAAGTTCACCATCGAAAGGCGTTATAAACATTATTAGACTTGAGAGGAACGTATTTTCTCTTTGACGAAGATTTTGGCCCGCAGCCACATCATCAGAACTTGATTGTCAAAGCAAAGCAATTTACTGGTAAGTCAAAACTAATCCAAAAGAACACTGTAACACGTATACAATATTGAGCTGGCAGACAGAAATAATTTAAGGTATCGAACAGCTTTGATTGAGTTTTTATCAATGTGTAACGCATGTAACATGTTTATCCAGTGTTTTCACGTGTAATATTACCAACATCCATGGCCGCAGTGTCAGGATTTCTTTTTAACCATTAAAAGCGGTGTATCAATGCAGAACGATGGAGTCGTTTGGCCAGATTGTCTGAGTCTTGCGGTACAATACAGAAATTATCTTCTTGTACGCCGTGAAAAAATAGATTATTATTCTCTAACTGCGCCGATCGCTTTAACTAACGAATTTGTACCGCCAGCAAAAACTTGTCCTACTGCGTGAACAAGTGCAACCATGGCTGTTGGGGTGAGTAAACGACTTGTACGCAGTCTGCGACACATTGCCGCGGTAAAATGCATAAGAATGTAAGCTTTTTTCAAGCTTAAATTGTATTTCTTCTTTTATGTCAAACAAATTGCGGTGTGTTATTAAATGGTAATTGGTGATACGTGGAATGCGTTTTGCTCCGTGCGTTTAAGTTATTCAGTATGTTGCGATCTACGCTGTTTAGCTATATTCATGATTGCGCTTTGTTTTGTGGTGCATTTACTGAGTGAAAGTGGAATAACTGATTGAAGATCAGTAATTACGGTACGTGAATAATGTTTACTTATGGATGACGACGGGAGATGATACTTTACATGTCGATTTTATCGATGTGACGGGCTTAGGGATACTTTTCGCTTAGCCATAATCACCATTTAAGCTGATAAGCATCATAGGCTACTGTGTCAGATATCAGAACAGTTAACGCAGAAGCTGTACGGTATATCTATACGCTAATTCTCTTCACAAATTGTGAAGCGAGCTGAATATTTCAGCTCTTTGTGTATTTCAGTATTGGCACAAATTAATAAGTTGTACTATGACCGGCTTATTTACATTTACGAGGAAAACATATATATTTTTCTAAGATTATCAACGTGCACATGAACGTGGTAAGTCGTGTTGTTCAGCTGTGTATATTTATGTTTGAACGATGTTTTGTGATACTTTTTATTACTCAATGGTTAGAATAAATCTGATTTATTTTGAGCACTATTATAATATTATTTTATTCTGGATTCGAATAAACGAATACATCCATAAACTTGCTTTTGTTGGGAGCTTTTTAGTTAGTGCGCCATCATTTATCACTGCCATACTTTGTAGATAGTCAAGTCTTGTTGAATTGTCAGAATACTGCAAAAGAAGTCAGTACTAAATTATAAAAATTGGCTGCGATGAAATGTTTACGAGGGACAAAATTATATGTTGAAGTTTTCCCTTAGCAAGAAAACTCGGTCACATATGAAGTCGTAACATTTTGACAGTACGGTTATGTTCTTGTTATTGCCAAACTTCTTTCTCAGGGCTTGCGCCTGATGCAAGAGATGATCACTTCCTTTCCCGGTTAGGATTGCATGCACTAGTGGCGGCCGACGACGGACTAGGATAAATCGCGTGTCAATATCGTAATTGTTTATTTGTTGGTTCAGTCATGATACATGACAATGGCGCATAGAATGGGCAAGCCGATTAAAGTAGATCAAAGGGATTTTATTGATGATAATACAGGCAGTATGAATCCGGCGTATTTGGATAGTTTGTGGTCGAACGAGACACCCGCGTGTGCAGCTACTGTGTCGCGCAAACACATGTCGGCCGCAACTGATTTCAGTCAGCTTTATTAGTGCAAGAGAAATGCCGGGGATAGTGCTTCGTACCAGTGTGTAAATATCATTATGATTAAGGAAGTGTTAATTCATTTGTACCGCTTTGTGAGCACAACTGCGCGTAATTACGGAAATAAACAGTCACTTAATTAATTAACCGACTTATAGCGCCTCTGTGTTTAACATGAATAAATGCGTCTTAGATTACAGCATCTGTCTACGACTATATTATATTTCAAGTACCATTTTGCACATCAAATTTTCCCACTAAAATGAATTGTTGGTATATACTGTATTTTGTATGTGAAACTCAAGGCCCAGGTTTTATATATTTTTTGGCATTATTCGGCACGAAGAAAAACTAAAATTATATGTATAACATAATGTCATAATGTTTGGTTTATACAATTCAAACGATAATGATAATAATGTCTATTGTCTAACATTGGGATGTTAGTTGGATCTTAGTTGCATATGTTGTAACAAATAAGATATGCGTTTGGATGGCTTCCGCGTTTGAAAAGAAATAAGCACTCGCATTACTGCCTTGCGCGGCTGCATGGTCACAACGCACTACGAGTAGTGTGCATAAAATTTGGAACTACCGGAGTAGTGACACTAACCACCTTTAAGTCGGCTTGAGCCATTTTCGGTTCCTTTAATTCGATTTTTCGCAGCGTGATAGAATAGATGATGGACATTCCATCAAGCACTTAGTTAGGGGATTTCATTCAGCAGGAGTGCAGTTAAGGATAAAAAAGAGGGAGATTAACGCGCAGGTATCTATCCATCTTTTCCCGTAGCGTTCAAAGACCTAAAACGAAACTCAGCCGCAATCGACGACGCGAGAGAAGAGAAGAAAGGGGCAAAAATGCATAAAAGGAGCAAAACGAGAAATAATCGTCAAAAGCCAGTCATTCAATCAACTTGTCACGAACAATTGTGACCGACAACGATGCTGATACTCATCAGGCGTTTTGTTTCGCTAGTTAAGATGCTTTGTTAATTAAGCGTAGCATGCTAGACTGTTCAACGAGACGCTGAAAGCAAGAGAGAATATATGAAGGGAAAATGTGGGTCAGTCAATGGGTTTTCTTCAGGTAACGGCACAGTTGGGGTGACGTTTTGGTCATCTTTGCCGGCTACGAATTATGCTCTTACGTGCTGTTGTTTCCGAGCATTTTTCCTCTATCGCTGTCGTTAGCCGTATTCTGTCTTGTGTCAATGGAGACAGAATGAAGAAAAAGCGCCGAATATAATTCATTTTCCTGAGGACAATCTCCCATTCTTTTGTAGCCGGCTCATAACGCAATAGACTTCCCACGATCCCTCCACTGAACGTTAACGCACTCGCTGCTCTGGCCGGAATTAACTCAACAGTCCGGCTTAATACCACTGAAACTTAATTATAACCTTTACGCAAACGAAGTGTCAAGCAATGGGCCTTGATTGCAGCGATTTACTTGATGAAATGAATTCATCTAAGGTCAGCCTACGCCCATTAATACTCACAGTGTAGAAATGATCCTTATTGATGGCAGTTTATTACCACTACGGTGACCTTTATTAACTTAAGCGAAACATTCGCCAACCAGCGATACTATTCATTACCATTCATATTTTTAGAACTTAAGCTCAGAAGGTTTCTGCAATAGCAAATTATGACTGGGAGCGCTCTTTTGTTAACCTATTTGCCGAAGCTAGGAAGAAATTCGTATCCTTGAGAATAATTTCCATGCATGTTGTAAAATTGGTTGGTTCTCCCATAATTTACAGAAGATATAGGGTATAAAGCTATTAGCCTATTATCAGAATTTACATAGCTTCGTTAAATTAGTGACATCAATATGCCTATATTTATCGCAGGGTTCACAGTTACACATTATCGTCACACCAAAGATTATTTAGAATTAATATCTGCTCGCAATTACAGTAACCGGTAACGCACTTTAGAAGCATCAAGCGTTAAGCCCATTTGTGAAACGACACTAAAGTAAATTCAAATTGCTTTATTTAGGATACTGCATTCAACCTATGGTACATTAGTTTCTATTTCGATCAGAAACATTGAAAGATATTCCGTGATTTTCCTAAAATGGTGCATTGATTAATCGTGTAATAAAATGTTTGTAGCCAAAATAAAAGCACTTCGTGTGCTCTCGGAATTGAGTAAAGCTATAATTAATTCGTGATCCTTCTAATCACTGCGGCATATTAATTTGATACTGGCCGTGATCAATCATTTCTGAGCGCTTTACACTACAAATTAGATTGTGAAGACTTTCAATTTTGCTTTGGTGAGCGTCTTATAATTTTGTCGTTATTACAGTGCGTATTCCGCGTTCTAATCAAAGACGGGAGCGAGCGCACTCGGCATCCCGCGGCTGCAGCATCCCAGCGTTGATGATTTGTTTTATCTAATTTTCACAAAACGGGATCGCATGATGAGTACGTACGCGCAGTGTAGTCGTGTAATTTTCAGCGCCCGTTCGCCGGAGCCTTAATAAGTACCATGCTTAAACCGGTGGGGGTTCTTGTAAAAGTTTGTAATTTCAACCGTGGGCTGCTGAGTATAAAAGCCGTTTCACTGGCGGCTTTACCATAGCTGTTAATTTGCAATTTTCCGTAAGTGGCTTTTGCGGTTAAAAGTTATAGTGGCAGGAGAGAGTGGCGATAAGGCCGGAAGAATAGAGCAGAAAGGTGGGTGGAGATGGTCAAGTCAAAGAGGGCGTTCCTTAAGGCTGGATGGGTGTCGGTTGGTGGAGGCGGGCATCCATCAGTGCGTGCAAAGTCAAGAATTGCTCACATTTCTCCGATTGCACCGTCTTGTCTTTGTGTCGCACTACGTACGTACAGGTTCAAGGCTAGTCAAGTAGAATAATTTGCTACCATTTTGCATACACAAACACCACTGGATCGGCTTAATGCATAAAAGCTGGGTGGATAAATTTTGCCCAGTGGTAAATTTCTTTATCGCGATACAATGTCATATGCGTCCGTACAGTACGTGTGTGCGTGTGTACAGTGCAAAAAGAGCCATTTGATTTGATGAGACGGTGGTGTTACAGTGCTTGTGTTGTTGGTTTGATCTTTAGGAAGGATCATGTCTGAGTAACGTTACGCCTCTTTCGGCATTAGCCGCCCAATGTCGACAGTTAAACAACAAAACGCCTCCGCCTTTAGCTGATGCTGCCATAGGCCGTTACAGCACACCGACTACAGCTAACCACAGCAATTCACCCGCATATCACGGCTACAGTGGTGTCTTGGAAGGAAATCGTAATCGCCATTATTACTATCATCTTCATCGTTCGCGTCGGCGTTCTCGCGCACAACTTTCAACTCCCAATAATTCCCAGTCTTCCTGTCACGCATCGCCGATTGATAGTCAGACCGGCATTCCAACGGCAGCACTATCTCCGCCAGCTTATAGCGCCACAGAAGGAAAGGTCACCAGCGGCACTGCACAACGCGCATCCTTTTCAGCGCCTTCACGCAAGCCATCAGCGCAGCCGCTGCCATCAAGCAGCAACAGTCATCCCAATCTGCATCTTCACCATCAATATCTATTGCCGAACAATTTGTCTTCCGGAACAGGCGCCGTAGCACTTCATCATTCATCACCTCATCTGCCCGTGCAGGCCACGCATCAGCCGGTGGCTGCAGCAGCAGCAGCAGCGCCCGCATCATCCCCGTTTGATATGTTTAGTAATACCCATACGCCCCCAATGGGATCCGCTGTGGCGCAGTCGCCCGTATCCGGCATGTACGGCCGCATGACCGCCATCTCCAGCAACAACCACCACCACCACCATCACCCGTACATCGAATCCTGGCCGTTTCCCTCCACCACCACTACCGGCGTCACCATTAAAACGGAGGTCAGCGCGCCAGCGGCCGCTTGGTGGGATTCATACGCCACCGGCACCACCGCCGCCAACATGACGCCGCACTCGTGGATATCGGAGATGGCGGCCGGCGCACCGGGTGCCGTATCGGCCGGCGCGCCCTTTCACTCCCACCAGATTGCGCCCAGTTATGCGCAGGAGTATGCGGCGCACGCGGCGGCCAGCGCCCTGGGCTCACTGCATCTGACGCCGGCGCAGCATCTCCTGCAGGACACCTTCAAATCCATGCTCCCCTCCCACACCGGCAGCGCCGCGTCGCAGTTCCTAGCTGCCGCCTCCCAGACAACGCCCACCGGCCCCGTGGCCAACTCCCGCACAACCCGCCGCTACACCGGTCGCTCGACCTGTGATTGTCCCAACTGCCAGCAGATTGAACACATGGGTCCGGCCGGCGTGCATTTGCGCAAGAAGAACATCCACAACTGCCACATTCCCGGCTGCGGGAAGGTCTACAATAAAACCTCCCATCTCAAGGCCCATCTGCGCTGGCATACGGGTGAGCGACCATTTGTTTGCAATTGGCTGTACTGTGGGAAACGCTTTACCAGATCGGATGAACTGCAGCGTCATATACGCACGCATACAGGTATTAATTCAGGTACAAGCATTCTTCTCCACTGTAATGTAGGACATTACACAAACCAATCTTAAGTTGCGTAGTTTTTTATTATTATAACACTTAAAACACGACCCTGTAATACAGCTTTAACGAATTTAATGCGCAAGATTAACTAGGATTATTTTATAACCTTTGGGCGATTTGTTATTTGAAAGCGCTGACTTCATAATGTGTCTTGGTAAATTAAATTGAAGTTGAAAACTACGACCGGCACGGCGCACTGTTAAATTTAATTACCGTTTATTCATTTTAATTATTGACACTCCCAAGTACTGGCTGTGTTAATTTTGTATTCCACTAGTATCCGTCTTTGGATGCATGCGATGTTTTATCAAATAAGTACTTGTTTTATAAAAACTTTCAATCACTACGAATAGAACTGCATTTGATTAAGTTAAAGTTAAGCAACGCGCCCACGTAGCGCATTCGAAGGTCACCGCTGCGCGTAAAAAGTCGTTTGAACAAGTAAACTATACCTTGTTCAAGGATTGTTTCTTTTCTTTTCACGTCAGAAAAATAAAGCTCGAACTAATTACCTCGCATACCTGTAGTGCGTGATGCAGTGTTGCAAACGATCTCCGTGTAGTCAACTGCCAACTGACTGTGCCAATACTGCTTCAAATGTGTTGTGTAAACTGCACCGTAACATGTACTGACTGTACTGTAGTGTTAGAAGTAAACCCGATAGATTGTAATAAATTCGTTTGCTTTTCGAGCAGGTGAAAAACGGTTCGTGTGTTCCAATGCAAAATGTCAGAAACGTTTCATGCGATCCGATCACCTCAGCAAGCACATGAAAACCCACACGGAAAACGAGCTGGACAGTGAGAATGGCGGCAAGGAGAAGGGCGCGGATTACGCCAACGGTCACTGTGACACTCCCAACGGCATGTCCGCATCCCCTCATGATCCGGACACGAAACCAGTGATTACGCATCCCGTTCAGATGAATGGACGTTGTTAAGTTTTTCGACAATAATCAGCTGGTGGAAACTAGTATTTTTCTGCTAATACACTTTGCTCGTCAGACCCCGATAATGCATATATCACTAATATCTGTATAACTGAAATGTTTTTTTCACGTGAAAATTTTGTCGATACCCATCTGGACACGTGAAAGTTTATATTATGAACGAACTGGTAGTTTCTATTAAATACTGTCATTTGTTATAAAAAAATGGGTCAACGCTTGAATTATGATTTCCTAATTTTCGCGATATTGTCAGCAAACATCATATTGGTTCTATACAGATACATCACATTCAAAAACGTACAATGTTTTACGTAAGTAAAAAGTAAGCCAAAAAACCACGAAATACAAAAGCTGCAAAGTATATTGTAACATGAAACGATGTATAAGAATATGAGATCGCGACTGGCACAGCTGCATTGTAGTCATATACGTAGAAAGATAAACATATTACGCGGCTTCGTTTGTACTGATTTGTCGGAAATGAGACGGTCCTTAATAAAACATATCTGCAAATTTAGAAAGATTTGTTTGACGGTTTTAAGTAGCGCTGACGTTAACTCTTAACAGTCCTGTATGCACAACAACGACCATTTACGCAAATTTTGCAAGTGGTGCATAGAATTTTCCAAACGACGAAGGCAGCTGCATTGACTGCGCACAAATCCCTTCCACTCAGCTTTTCTCATCCCGCGAATACATCGGATGCGGACGACAGACACGCGGATACGTTATTATTTTACAACGAGTTCAGTGCAAACAGAGCTTCTGTGAATCCACAAATAACTTCTAATGACTTGCACGAAGCAGATGATTGCGAGCAATTTAGTAATTTTGTGCCGATGTGAAGGGCGCTGCTTGTATGCCGGCGCACAGGAACTTTCCCGATTGACTTTGGATACGAGCATTTTATCCATCCCGGCATCACATTGCAACATCCAGATCTGACATTCAGCTGCAAATCATTTCGGTCGATAATATTTTAATGTGAGTAATGTCCACAAAATGGAAGTAAACAGTGCGGGAGGTGCACAAGAGCAGTAGAGGTATATTTTCTACAAAAAAAGGCGCGTGTATTTTGTAACCTATAGGAATATTTAAAAGCTATTTCAACCACAAGGAAATTCTTCACGTATCCCTGGTTTAACAATCATCAGTAACGTTTTCTTCCAGGTTAGGTCGCACTACGAATACTGTGGAATACTGAGGTGCTAAAAGAGAAAAGACTTGTACGTAGCCTGTTTGCCATACAAATTGTAGCAGCTGCATATGTATAAAAATTTATGCTCGGTATTGCACTTAATACTAAAAACACTGATAATGATGCACGGCATAAATTTTCTGTCTCTAGTAATTCTTTTAATGCCACAGCCTACACTTATTATCAAATTCATTTCTAACTACACAGTTGAAATAACTTGGTGGATACGCTTTTGAAAATAATAGCTAGCAATCTGTAACCTTTACTTAAATCACACACTGAAGAGGAAAACGTGCAGACAAATCTGTATTGTAGAAGCTGTAGCTGGCTAATGACTGTTATCGCAAATCCAGCATCCCAAATGCATTCACATTTCCAATTCAGATGAATCGGCGAGGACGATTACGGCCCTCATCATCCCCAAATATATATCGGGATCAATTGAAATGCAATGTAAGTCAGGGTGCAGCAGAGGTTAAATTAATTGTGTACGCTTAACAGTTTTGTCCGGGTCTCTTTCCAGTAAAGCAGATCGGAAATGATAATTTGATCCAATTATATCATATTTGCGCAGTGGCTATATGCTTGGCAATTCTCGCACGATCACTTCCGAATTTAGTCGTGCTGCGAAGCCTACGTCGATATTGACAGCATGGTTTGTATGTAATGCGCTGTAATACAAATCAACAAGAAAATAAAAACAAACAGTAATTAATTATCATTCTGTTAAACTAGAATGATGTGCTCTAAAGGGGTATGATGTTAAATTTACTCTTTTAATTAGACAGAAGTACAAATGCACAAGACATGCAACATGTTTTTCATTTCGGCGCATTAAAATGGTAAAGTTACGGTAATTGTATTTTCATCCCGGCGCCTTGTCCATTAGCGCTTTATTTCTTTTCTATGTATTCTTGCAGAAAATTTTTCGGAAATTCTGACGCCTTTTTCGGCGGTTTTCCTATACAAAAAGCCGATAGAGGCATCATTAAATTTTAATGAACCTCTGTATTAATTGCACCATGTATCTTTCTTCACCAGCCTTCGCACAGCGGACAATGAAATAAGTATGCCGCTACAGCTACAAACAATTCTACTTGTGGCGGTTGCACTTGTCACCTTTTCTTTGCCTTCATAATGATTTATCGCGAATTTGCATGCTAGGATTATTTGGCACGTAGAAATTTGGCCATCGTAAACTGCTGTACGCGCGGTACGTAGATGCATAGATCCTACATGTATGTTGCAATTGTATGTCCTGGTGCTTGGCAGAACCAGTTCGCTTTTCGACTTGGACAACCATCTGGGCAACGAAGTAAAACGAAGTATGTTTCCAAGCATATAATTTTAGGACATTTAAATTCTTAAACTTATTCGGTTGATGCAGTATTGTCTGCATTGAGGAAACAGTTTAACATCCTTCAGCAATTTGTTTTATTTGTCTTTGCACATTATATATCTATATATGCGCGCATACATGATGACTTCAGGTCAGTTTGCCTGATCATCATGAGTTGCTTAAATTAACTAATCTCCAGTTTACAGTTAACGAGAATCAACAAGAATCTACAGAAACCTTTAGTATATGCAATCCACGATTTTGTTCCTGGTTGCAGCCTGGACTAGTTGCTTTAGTGAAATCAACGTATACTGTAGGTAAAGCACGTATATTTCCCTTAACTTTAGCTTGCGCATTCTGAGCTATGCCGGCCATTGCAAAATAATATGTTTTTATATTAACGGTAATTATAGGTGCTTCTAAAGCAGCCATGTTCGCTTAGTCAATACGAACCCGCGTCACCATTCTGTTTGTCGTTGGCCAGGGCTTAAGATAAACGCACCAGCGCGCATTATGTGCGATAAATAAATGGGAAACTGGAGATGTGATCATTTGGATCCAAGCTCGTTAAGATTGCCAAGGGAAATAGTTGGGAAAATTAGTCGGGACCTTTCCTATCTCTTGGTGCATGCCCACCATCCGTCCAAAATTTTGAGAAGTACTGGGGTTGCATTGGCGAAAGCCTAATTACTATCATTAGCGACTAATGATCGTAACCTGTTTTATTTTAGATCGCTTCGGTCAACATTATTAGTGCATCCGCACCGATCCCCAGGGATCTCACAATTTTATTTTTCGAAAAGCTTATTAGCTCAAGCTGAAAATCACCTAAACTCTGATTTGCCCTTAATCCACTCGCGAAATAACTTTGAAAACCATTAAGTAATTTTGGAGAATACCATTTTCATTTGAATGTAATTACCATAATTATGACCTGAAACTGTACGCTTTGCATTATATTTTTCGTACGATGTCTTAAAAGATCATTTTGTCAATATAATGTATTTTTTTAACGAGCATGTTCATATGCTTTCCAGTTTTTATGGCTAATTACAATTTCATACTCTTGTTCATACCAAAATTTGCAAAAATACTGTACGACACGGAATAATGATGCCCTTTTGCAACAAATAACGGCGCTTGGCAGTTTACTTGTGTGTACACGAAGGTTTTTCTGTCCACAACAGAGCTATTATGTCTTATGATACGGCATGCCGTCCTGTCATCCCATAAAGGACTCCGATGACGGATGGTCAGACATTAATTTCCCCGAGCACGAATCCCCGTAGCTGTGTGTTAGATGGATGCTGCAAGAAAGACACATAATTCATACGTGTGTGTACTGTATGTATACGTATAAATCCCCGCAGCATAGAACTATAACAACAGTTTACATCTGGCCGTATGGGACGGCACGGTACAGTGCGCACGTAATAACAAGGCGGGAACCTGGTGGTACTGTCGGCGTCTCCCTCCCTTCGCAGCAGCATACGACGGCATATGATAACGCCAATTTATATATCCGCCCAAAATAAAATCAGCTATTATACTTCAGATTGATTTAATGATATGCACTGCATTCAAACCAATAATTTTATGTAATAATACCGCGATTTAATCTTTTTCTGATGCGCCAACTGACAAAAGCAAACTCTGAAATGAGTTGACGGTTAGCAGACATTGTCAGACAAAATGCAATGATTTCCCTTCCAAAATATCGCATCGGGACCAGCTTTCGATCGACAACTAGCAAGCATCCCAAAATTCAGCTACGGCGGAAATAGCCAGACTCAACGATAAATAACTTACGATGCATGTAAAAGTATAGTACGCATTACGTGTAGATATTGAAAGAACGTGAAAACTCTGTTTTCATGTATTTATTTAAAGTATTCAAGGTTTACAGTATTATTTATTCATGTGTATCTGCAGTGTACTGTGTCAAATGTTTATAACGACCAGGTAAATTTTCTGGCAGCCCGGAAGGGAAAACAACCAGCTACTTTTGCAGAAAGATGAAAAATATTTGTGGAAAAATTATGACAATTAATTAAAAGTGAGAAGCGAACCGGTCACCTCCATATATGAACACTGAACACCGTTTGGATACAATTAACCCTTGGCAGTTGCGGTTGTAGGTATACTGCAGTTGTACCGTGTTGTACTCGTATCAACGTTAACGGACGAAGATTATAACACCTGATACACGGAGTGATGATCATTTTAGTAATTATCACATAGTTTGTTTGTCACATTTTCTTTCGTTTTCTTGTAGTTGTTCCGAATATTAATAGGACAATTTTGCCGCTCTTCCACTGGGGCGTTTCTTGAATGGTCGGGAGCTGATGCGGCACTCGTAGAAGCCGCGCGAGCAAATCCTTTGGTAGAAATAATTAAAGCTAACCTGGTAAGGCGGTGTGCTCTGTGCCACCGACAACAACATTCATCATGCTTTTTAACGCGCTTTGCAGCTGGAAGTGAGCGATTCATTATGTGTCATTAACTAATTAAACGGTTCTTTACACGCGCTGAACAAGAAAAGCGCGGTCATCCACCGCATCCAAAAATTTCTATACTCCCGTATGTGCCTTTTCGTACGTTGGGCTGGCTAATAAGGAGTTTTCTTATAGTGCACATAGATTCCTTATCTTATTTACATTTATCTAAAGTTCGACACGGATGGTGCTTAAGCGAGTGCCCTTTCAAAACACATTAAATTTTTACTTCGTAATATCCCGGGCTGCAGCGTAATAAAGTGGACGTCTCACGTCAAAATAGCAGCCATATACAATACGTACTCGTACAATACATAAGTACTACTATCCTCAAAACCCGCTGCAACTTTTTTCTCGCTCGTTAAATTCTGCAATTTACTGGACCACGGTTATGAGCTTAACAGCAAATTAAATTTAAATCAAGTGTCGATTGCTGCTGCCTGATTTGCTAATCAAAGTACACATAATTAATATTGTACAACTAATAGACAATTTTTGTTTAAGTAGTACTCTAGTTATACAGGAAAATTAATGCCCCAACAGCATTCCACATAGAAGGAAGTTTTTGTCCTGCTAGTTATTATATACAAAGATATGTTTTCGTTATGATTAATAGTTAAATAGGTGTTACAGGTACAACTCGTAATAAGTTAATCTTTAAAATGCTAAACGATGCTGTGTTTTAGCTTCTCGATAAATGATAAACGATGCCTTGTTTTAGCGTCTCGACCAATATTAGCGAAACAAATCAGTCAACCATACGTGTGAACATCAGTCGAAACAAGCCTGCTGTATAAAAGTCAAAAAAGTCAACAAAAATGCAAACGAAAAATTACTTAATGAAACGAAACTTCCCAATCCCAAGCCACTTTCGAATCCGTCATAAATGATTCTAGAAAGTTGAGCCCATTCAGTCAAGATTTAATTTGATTTCCAAATCCGGCAGAGTAACCTGTTCAAATCTGATTCGGTTAATATGACATTTTACTATTGGAATAAATATCAGAAGTTTTAAGAGTCAATATCAGAGCTTTTATTCTCTTTCAGAATTTCGCGAGAGTGATTCGTTCTGACTTCAACTTTTGCTCTCTTTTCAGTCAATTTAAAGACAACAAAAATTATAAAAAACTTTGTATTATGGAGAGGAACAAGTACTGTATGTAAAAGCTAGTAACTGTACGCTTGCACATTTCATCGAAATCAACATTAAAATAAGTAGAAGCTAACTGTGACATATACCAATAGCTCACTTCTGTTAATATACAAGCACCAACAACAGTCAAACCCATAAAATTATAAAAAAACATGCAGATTTCTAAAGCTACCGGTAGCTGGTCCATCCACAGAGACAAATTTCCCAATCAAAGTCGCCTTTTATCTGTCAAAACACGCACAACACTGCCGACGCCCCCAATTGCGAAAACCTAAAAAGCGATACTCAATACTGTTGTCTTGTCCAGAATCCAAATACAGTATTTTCAAGAAAGAGATCATCAAATCGGAAATTTACCTTTTCATGCCAATTCAAAAGCATCAAACTATGCTGAGGATATTCGAAGCCTCGGTAAATGTATTTCATAAGCGTATCGATGTGATCCAGATTAGGCATGGACTGCAGCGCAGCATCCACATCTGAGGATTTTATGCCCGTCATAATGCGCAGGATGCTTTGCATTGCTCTGTCCTAATAGAGAGATTCAAACCAATGGTAAGTAAAACTTTTCAGAGCCAGGTACGGCAAAGAGCGAATTAAGACATTACAGTTAATAATATGCGTGAAAGCTTTCGGTCATTCAAGAACGATTAAACGTACAAGTTAACTACCAAACTGCAGCTGTGTGAAATGCCAGATCTCTAAGAAACTCTATTCGTTTCACAGATACAGACGATACAAGCAGGAGTTTAACACAGAATTCTATCTGTAAATGCAAAAAAGAGAAGACTTTAGTAGGTATTATTTTGATTCCGATTCTGTACACAGGTACCACCACGTGAGTAACTCTTGTTAACACAACTACAATAAACAGGTTATCTTCATTTCGCGATGCAATAAAATACAGAGAGAAAGCCTCTTACACTAAAACAACCTATCTATAAGAGAAATCCAAACAAAGCAGCCCAAATTGCATCGCGTACAGAAAACTCCTTAGAAACATTCGAAACAAATTTACAATTTATTTACGTCTAGCACATTAGCTTATCTTTCAAACACGCTCAAGAACACGGATTTGTACTTACTTTGACAGCCTGTTGTTTGGTGTTGTACGGAGCTTTAGCAAGAGCCACCTTCAAGGCTTCCACATGTTTGCCTCTGGAAATACAAACAACTGAAGGAAGCGGAGCACACACTCCCACAGTTAGTTACAGTATAATCCCACATACTGCACTAAGAGGTTGTTGATTTCCGTTTCGTCGGGGCCAGGACTCGAAGGGTCTCCCGCGGCAGCTTCATCGTCTTTGTACACATCCTCGCCATACTGGTCCACGTCAATGCCTCGGAATGAGCTGCTAATCGTGTTCTTCGCCATGCTTCTTGCCACTTGAATACTGATACAAATTGTGCACAACAATTAATGACGGAAAATGCGTCTCCAGCTTATATAATTACGCTGTTCCCAAAAATGTAAAAAACTCTGTAAACAAGACAAAAATTTTTGGAAGTGGGCAGAAACAAGCGGAATTGTAGCCGGAGGCTTGAGGGTACAGTATTCGCTTTAGGAGTTACGACTGCCGCTTCAAGCAGAACTAGTAACCGGTATAAATCAACTCATTTATTTGTAGGTGGAAATTATTTGCTTTTGCGAAAAATGTTTTAAATGTCATAATATGTACAACAGAGAAAATTGTGAATGCTTGCAGAAAAAATTATGAACAGATAAATCTAAAACGGACAAGACTGGAACATAACCAATAGTTTCAGTTCGAGCTTGGCACTTGCGCTTTTGTAAAATTGTTGTACAGTACTACTGTACAAGTACTCACCATGAGTGTACTGTATACCAGTATACGTATACCTATATTGGAAATGGGATACATGGACACTGGTCAAGCGTAATCTCTTTTTGTGATCAATGTCAAATATGAATGAAAAACCTTATCAAAAAGTAGGATCGCAGTTCCTCGAAAACTGAATTACATGGTATTCATGAGGAGATGCTATTATTCTGCACGTACACTCTATGCATTGGTCTGCATCAGCGCATATTAAAGCATTTTATTACTGAACGTTGTAAGTAATTATCTGTGATAATTACTTTTAATCAGAATATTCTTTCCTTCCTTTTCCTGCAAAAAATCACAGCTGACAATTTAAATAGTAGTAGCAAATCAGAAATTTTGCATGATTGGTATTTAAATGGTCTAATTCCATAATCAAACATGAACTGCCGTCAACAATTCGACGTCATCGCGTGACGGATCGTGTGTTGCACTGAGTCCATCTTTCCTTCTATATGCCAACCGTGTTTATTTTCGACCACATCTTACGTAATGGTACAGTACGAGCTCTCTTTTTGACTTCTTTGGCAACCGCTGTTGCGGCTGCCAGATCCAGATTGCGCCGTACGATACTGCACTACAGCACTAACGACGAATTCCACACAAGCTGGGAATCGTTTGCCGCTGTCGCAATCGTCGCTGCACTTTGCATAATGCTGAATCTCTCTCTCCCATACGACTCATATTGCACGCTGCTGTTTTTTTCCACAGTCCCCGTTCAAGGTTACAGTCTCGCTGCATCCACGGGTGTCTGTATCCGATTTCCGGATCTGGACGGGGTTCTTAATCGTGCTGTTGTTGAGCTTCCGCGTGTTTCCAGTTTGCGATTGCTATCCCGATATCGATAATATCACCATGCCACCGCTTACCGGTTTGTTGGTGGACGAGCAAGTTCGAACAGCGGTAAACATGCGACATCAAACTTTACTGGCCGTGTTATTAGAAAATTATAGTTGTATTCACTGTGTGTTCCGTTGACGTTTATCCGTTTCCAGCCTGCGCCCCCCGGATCGCATGTGGAGTTGGACACGCCGGTGCAAGTCGATGTCGTGAAGTTGCCAATAGTGTTTGTGATGGGTACGTATCTCGGTATCTGTAAGTACAGTACTTTGGTTTTTACGCTTTCTTACGTGGTAATTATCTGCACTGACAGTTTTTTACACTTTTTTACAGAGTAATTTTAAATAATATGCAGTTATACTATATGAATATTCAACCATTAGATCGCTTGTAGTAAAGCTTCTATACTTTTGTTTCTTTTTTGTGGTTACACATGTTTAAGGCAAAAATAAAAAAATTTAAATTTAATTATAATAGATCAAAAGCTTTTGTCAAAATTTTGCATAATATTTTATGATATAATACATTAGCCCCTAACTGATGCCGCTTTCGCTTCCTTTTACCGGCAAAATACAAAGGCACCATGCAATGGGAATTATATATGGGAAAAGCGCAGTATTGATTTGTCAGTATTGATTTGTACAACCGTGAATATGCACTAATTTAGCTTCGCATTAGTTGCTGACCCGGCTGCTTTGCTGCGGATCCGCAGAGCTTGCGTGCAAGTTTTTTATTAAGTTATGTTATGCACGAGTTTTTCGGTTAAACGCTGACTGGTGACTTAATAAAAAATTATACAGAGCTAGTCATGCGATGGTAGTTCTCAAAACTGTATATCTATATATCATATTATTCTATTTTGCAAATTGCAGGCGGTCCGGGTTCTGGAAAAGGCACGCAGTGTGCACTAATTAAAGAGCGTTTCGGTTACACTCATCTTTCTACCGGGGATTTGCTGCGAGATGAAGTGAATTCGGGTTCGCCCAGAGGGGCGTGGCTCAACGGCATTATGCTGAAAGGAGATCTTGTGCCTTTGGTGAGTAAAAAAATCCAGTTTTGAAAGGTAACTAAGATTTTTGGATTGTAGGATAGTTTAGAACTGATCGCGAGAATGGGCACTGCCGCACTGGCAGGATTCCCGTAGAAAGCCGTCGGTTATAAGACATGTACTGTATCAAGTACTTACTATAGTAAGTTCTTGACTGTATACAAAAGTATAGGCTGAAGATTGACGGCTTAGACTGGACAGTGTTGTAAAAACGTTATTCGAATCGTAAAACATTTGCGGTAGAAGTAAGTTATTTCTATTCCGTTTTCCTACAAAAAAACGGAAGTAAAAATGACTGCACCTGTCAATGTTATTTGTCAAGCAGAGTATCGCAGTTAGCGACAAAATTAACGTAAAAAGCGCAGTTACGTTAATACGTAGTACGCTTATATGCATATTTACTGCTGGCTTATCAGCTCCAGATCAGGTGTCTTCTTTAAGAATGTTTATGCAAATGTTTGTGATAGTTATTGATTTTACAGGATACCGTCCTTACTTTGCTGAAGGAAGCCATTTTAAGAGAAGCACCAAAGTCGAAAGGTTACCTAATCGATGGCTTCCCAAGAGAAGTCGCTCAAGCTGTTGCATTTGAGAAGCAAGTGAGCGGGAAACCATTTTTGCACTTATCCGAATAAGTAAACTTTCGACATAGCGTTCAGTTAAATTCTTACAGTTCAGTACAGTAGTTGGTTTTTCCGTTTTTGAACGTCGTTTGCTGAAAATAAGTGCACTGTCGAGTAATGTATTGGGCACGGTGACTGCGTATTTTATTCATTAATGGGTACCTCTGCTAGCTCAGTATTCTTGCTTATTAATTTGTTCGAGTGTCACTAGTTGTGCGTCTGATAATAAGTGTCTCTGTTAGATTGATATTCAGCTTTTTGGTACAAACACAATGTATCTAAAAGAGATTACGTAGAATGTTCAGCAGCTGTACGTCTGGAGTTATTTCAGGTTGGTGTTTGTTCGATGGTAATCTATTTTGAAGTCCCTTTTGATATAATGACGGAGCGATTAATTGAGCGCGGGAAGACATCCGGCCGTTTAGATGACAACGTGGATACCATCCGGAAGCGCCTGCAGACCTTTGCTGATCAGACAATTCCTGTCGTAGAACACTATAAGACTATCAATAAAACCTTCGTCGTAAGTATTTCTAAATTCAGTCTTGCCCTTTATTCGGTGGGAATCATAACAATGCCTTGTTTATCCTGCAGCTCAACGCCAACCGTTCAATCGATGCGGTATTCGAAGACGTGACGCAGACGTTGAAGCATATTAAAGTCTGAATGGCTGCTCCCACACACACTGCCTTTATTTACAACAAGATTTTTATTTATTTATTTTGTTTAAAGTTTATTTATGATTTGGAGCCTTTGCATGTGATCTGAATGTGATTAGTTTGTTTTAATGTTAATTCAGAGCATACTGCGGTGTAAACAGGAAACTGTACCCTGCGATGAGTGTTTTTCGGACTGTTATTCGGAGCCTGGCGAATGTTTAAACTCTGACAAGTCTGGTGAAGGTGTGATACTTGTACTGTACGAGTACTGGATATTCGAGCCCCGCGAATAAAAGTTGCACATGTGCGGCCAAATGGGCCAAATCATCAGGTTCCGCTAATTTTTCGTACATTGTTTCAATCGTAGCTTTTAAGATGACAAATACTATTTATACGAAAAAATACGGTGTGTTGTAATAAGTAGTACCAGGACCTACTGTATACAGTAGGTCCTGGTAGTACAGATTAGAAATCATTACATTACAATGCAAATGCAATTTTACATTACAGTATCTTAAATCCAACGTATTTTACATTACAATGCAACCAGTGGATCGCTAGTTGCTGAAAACAGTTTTAATCAATCGCTAGTTTTGTAAATCGCTGAAAAAAAGTTTTAGATGCCCAAGTTTAGTGGAACTTAGTTTTACTACCATTGTGCCAAGGGGGCGTGTAAATCGAAATTGATCTCTTTTACTGACTTTTGGCAGTCAAACAAACGCAAAAACTTTCTGCCGCAAACGTGTTAACCAGAATTTCAAAAACGTTGGCAGCGTTACCTAGTGTAACAGATTTAATTTAAGGAAACAAAAGGCAACACAATCTAAAGCAGGTATCACAATGCACCGAAATCGAATATCCAGTTGAACATGTAACCCCAAGCAACAGCAGGATTAGGAACATGTTCCGACAAACAGAAAAGTGTTCGACGCCTTCCAGATCAGTTGCTCCACTTTAGTTGGCTCCAGAAATATTTTGCAACGATCGCTAGCTTCGTTTCTCCTTTATGAATGACTTAAAAAGTCTTCTGGATGCGGGACTAATTTTGATAACGACGTTTGGCTTTGGGCTGGTAAAGTTCCTTGGTGGGACGTGAGCGGTTGGGCACCCGAACGCCTGGATCAACCGCCGTCACGGTACCGCCCACGACTTCACCCACCACTGTTCCGATCTCACCGCTTTTCACTACAGAATTCTTTTCCCCGGTCGGTGTCCCAGTAGACTTCACCACTGGTGCTTCCGTTGCTTTACTCTGCCCAAACTCCCGACTTCCGGTGATAGGGTTGTGCAGCGGCTTGGGACTTTGCTGAGCACCAGCGCGTGTGGTATTTTTCCCGCTATCCGGTGGAAAATCAGGACGAACAGGAGGCCGGCCGCCGTAGGATTCTGCCTGACGTCCTCCTCTGGGATAATAGACATCCTGTCGATCACCACGACCATCTGGCCGATCGCTACGTTTTGCTTCCCTTTCACGCCGCTGATCTGCTAAGCTACTGGGTGCATGATCCTCACGGGCGCGCTTGTCGGCAACAGGACGCGGTGCAGGACGCTCTGGAAAATAGTGCCGTCCGCGATCACCAGACGGCATGAAATCTTCACGGTTTTCCTGAGCCGGGCGCCGATTGACGGCCAAGAACGCTTCGTCCTTTTTCGAAGCCGGCTGAGCTGTCTGGTGCGAGATTGATCCTGAAAGACGTTTTCCTCTTAATTCAACTAAGTAAGTACATTATATCGTAATTTACATATCAAAGCAGTGCAATATTTCTGTATCCTACAAGCACAACAGTACAACAATTACACCAGTAGTCAAAGCAAGTTTTCGTAAAGTTCATATGACGTATGTAAGTTCCAAGCAAGAAAGTAGACAGATGAAAACAGACCCCATAAAACGCACCTGGAGCGACTTTGTTTATGGGAGACTGTGCAGCAGCACTGTCTTTCACACCAGATTTGGTCAGTTCCATAACTTTAGACGGAGCAGCGCCTGCTTTGAGAGGTGAATCCTTCCCTGCTAACTCCCTAGCCTTGGCTGCGGCTTTCTCCGCTTCTTTCTTTGCCAGTGCTGCATTGGCACGGTGCCGTTCTCGATTACGCTCTCTCTTTCCAAATCGTCCGCCCGGTCCACGATAATCGTCGTCTGCTTTATGATTCTGTAGATATTCCATTAAAGGAGTAAGCGTCACTTCGTCCTTCGGCTTATTTTCAATAGCAGCCAAACTGGCTTGGACTTTGGCTGCACTGGACGACGGACCGTGGTCCTTCTTTTTCTCCAAATCTTCCAGGAAGCGCTTGAAATCGTCAGACTCCGTAATCTGGCCACATTTTGGATCCGCTTTCTCTCTGTTCTGCTCGGCAGTGCGCTGATACGGGGCAAGCTCCACAACACAACGCAGTTCATGACCTACAGAAATGCACAAAATTACTCGCAAATAACAGATCGACAAAGACCAGCAAATGGCAATTAACAGGAACAACGATAAATCAATTAAGTAACTAATTAACTACATGTTTCACTTTCCACTTTGTGCAAATCCACGGATTTGGAAGCGGACGTAAAAAATTCACCGATAAAAATAAGCTACACGTTCTGCAGATCCATGAATTGAACCATTGTCGTCCTTAAGAGTTTTCAGCTGAGTAAATTTGTCAAAGCGCAAATATGCGTATCAAGTTATCAACGGCAAATGGACAGCGTACCTCGACTATCAACAAAAACGTATCCATCAAACTTTTCTTTAAAAAGGCCAACATCTTCTTCTGTGCGGAAACGAATGTAAACGCGACATCGTGCATGATTCGCTAATCTGCAATAAACACCGGCGCAAATCATATAGGGTGACGATAGGGTATTACACTTTTCACTCATCCAAAAGTGCATCGTGAGGTGAGTTACCATGCAGCAATTTTTTGCTCCTTATTTTGGCAGATTATACACAAAAACAATAACAACTGAATCCAACATTATTATGGCAGTCTACTTCATAGCCATTGCATGACAATAATTTTTATGGCCTCGTAATTACTATCATTTCAATGATTTCATGCCATCATTTCATGTCAAAGCAGAGTGCCGCATCACTGTCTCAAGACTCAAAGGCATGTGTGAATTGTTAATTGTAATGTATGTACCTATCTGTGATTCTGTATGTACTACGAATCTCTCGCACTCGCGTACCGATACTTCTAGTTTCTAATTTTATTCATTATTCTGTGGAATAACTGGATTCAATCTCGCAGCTTACGTGGTATCGGGACCATGGAATGCGAAATAAGTGTATTCCGGAATCGGAGACACATGCTGCAAGAACTGCTCCTTGGAAAAATGGGCTGGAAGATTCCTGACGATGACCTGAAAGGGAACAACCAGTAGTCCTGCGCAACAACTGCAATTTCTGGGTCGGATTTGACTTTTCCTTCATAGTCACAAATCGTTCATAAGTTCAAAATGTGCGTTAGTGAGCACAGCACCTTCGATCGACAAACGACGAGAACACAAAATTCCTGCAGGATAACTAAAACGTGCAGCACCCAGACTTAGAGCAAGTACTCAGTACTCTCAGTCCCAGAGATATTTTCCCGTTGTAATCTACCTTGCATGGCTGTGTGTGACGCTCTTCGGGAAACTCCCGATATCGGGGTTTAGCCTTGGGTTTTCCACGACGCTCCCTGACGAATTCATCTTTATCGTGTCCGCGACGAGTTTTTCCAGATGCCCGAACAACAAAACTCATAGTTTGTCAGTGGTATAGCTGCTGGTCCAACATGCGTGAACGCATTCTGTGCGATCAAATACGTACACACACAAACTTTAATAATGATTGAACAGATGTAATGAATAATATTCAGACATTTTTCGTGTCAGTTTGAGTGCCTGTACGTCGCAAATCTGAACGAAAACCGAAAACAACTTTAAAGTCAACTCTGAAAATAATCAGTGGAGTTTACACGAATGCTACGTACAAGTACTGTTTTACAAGACCACTGCCCTTAATCTTCTACGGAGTTGAGCCAGGGTTGCAGCAGAATGGTTAAAGTAGTTACTATACAAGCGGTAGCACGAATTTAGCCATACTGTAAGTACAGTAATACTTTTTAATTAATTTTAATAATAATAATATTATAATTAATGACTGTAATTCTTAATAATATAATTAATATTTATCTTATCAGTTACTCAAAAATTAATTTTATAAATTGCGCTCGTATCTTTCGTGTACTCACTGCAGTACTCGTACATCTTGGTGTCCATAAGGCAGCCACCCACGGTGCTGCTAAGAAAAAAAACTCGCGTTGTGCTGTTGTGGCGAATTTCCGGTGATTTCACAAGCACGGGGGTTTAACAGGCTGCCTCTCTCTGTAGTCGTTGGCTATTCGACTGTGCGCCTGTCTGTACAGTTGCCGTTGCCGAAATTGCCTGCGTCTGTGCACAGTGTGCAGTATCGTTTCCGCAACAGGCAGGCAGGAGGCAGCAATGCAGGCATGCCGAATCATCCCAACGTCGTGACGAATGACTACCGTCGTGAGTAGTGACTATACTGACCTGTTTTGTTTTCCAAACCACAGCCAGATAGCTGATAGCAGATGCAAAAAGCCACAGACAAGTCACAAGTGTTCGTTTTTATGGCCTGATATAAAAAGTTCTGGTAATTGCAAAATGTGTAAATAATTCATCTTTTGTTGTGAAGTTTTTTCATGATATATTATTACTTACGTTGTTCGCCATGGCTTGGGTTGGTGCAAGCGCGAGCACTGTACGTGCTGGAGAGAGCAGGATTTATTATCATTTGGAGGATGAAGACAAACCATTCCTTATTAAGCTTGCGATTCCCTTGGAGCAAGTCACTCTGGCTGATTTTAAAGCCAAACTGCCTCGAACAAATTATAAGTTTTTCTTTCGTTCCATTGATCCGGAGGAAGGCGAAGTTAAAGAGGAAGTAGCGGACGATGTAGCGCGGTTGCCCATATACAAGGGAAAGATTGTGGCGCAGTTGATTTCCGTTGACTCGTCTGTCCATAGCGATCCGAACTCACAAAATTCCGGGAGCACAAGGAGTTCGCGCTTGCTACTGCCAAGAAAGCCTCACGAAAGCGGAAGAAATGGCGCAGAAGTCGGAAGAATCCGGGGAGAAGCGCAGCGGGTAAGTTTTGGACATTTCGCGAGCGCAGTAAATTGTCGAATAAAAACGGTGGTTATCCTGTGTTTTTCGGTGTGATCGTGCATGGTTTGGTTTTTTGTAGCCACATCGTGCTCCACTGCTCGTCACATGATTTTTGATTTTGCAGCTGTGTAATTATTGAGGGTACTTTTTAGTTATTAGATGCGAACTCGTACGTAGTACATAAAACAGTAAGTAATGAAATCGAAATTTGGAGCTGCTTGCAATGAGCATTGTCCGGCAGCGAATCGGTCGACTACCGAGAAGTTTGACTCGCAAAAATAATTTATTGTTATGAAATTTATCATTTTATGAAATTTATCATTTTGGTACCAATTGTACCCCACAGAATGAAATCAGTCAAGCTACGCTGTTACAGTTTCAGCTTTCAGGTTATGTTAAAGCACTTTATCGATTGCGAGTTAGGACATAGGAGTTATTATCTTATCTTTCATTCATGAAAAGGCTGTTTGATTAGAAACAAGAATTCGGGTGTGGGTCGATAGATATTATCCAGTTTGCAATTTGTACAGTACATCGAGTGAAAAATGGTAATAATAAAATAATAGTTAGCCGTCGTTATAGTACTCGTACTGAATGAACTATGTATGATTATGGAATAAGGTAGTTAGCTACTAAAATCACCAATCAATCAACTAAATCAGCAAGTCTAATTATAAACCAGCTAAATAGATGCCGGCTTCTGTTAAAAAAAATGTTGTCTCCACTCAGGAAATAGAAACGCCACATATTGTATTTACGTTTGCACACCCGAAATCTCATAATAATGCGACCAGGGCTTGCAATAGTTTGATTTCAAACGGGAGATATTTGATTTGTTTAAAATTTTATAGGTGGCTTAAGGGTTTATCAGTTCTCTGGGGAAATGTCGCATCTACTGTGAACTGAAAGTTATCGATTTTTGCCATGAAAAGCGTTATTTACATGCGTGATATGATTTCCTTTTGTGAGATGTTGATTCTGAAAGCTGCATTACAGTTTTCAATGGTTTCTTTCAGAAAACTTGTTACTCTGTGGTGAATTGCATATTATTACTCATTGCTTAATGTCGCTTTTGTTGGCCGCTTGACCCCTCGTTTCTGTTGTGCTGGGGAGTTCAATTTTTGAAAGAAATCTGCCAAGCAATTACCGAGTTTAAGTCTTTTTACGATGTTCACTACTGGGTAGCTAACAAAATTAGAAATGTGGTTTTTTTTAAAAAGCAGGCGTGTTTTTTTAAGTTTTTTCACTACAGTTTGATGTGACAGTACAACTACATACTGCTCTTGAGTTAATGAAAATTATGAAATACAGCTCTCTGGACTTCGAAGATACTTATTAACGTTAAGCTGCTACTGCTCGCGTTTAATTTGAAGGTAATTATTACGTCGCGATTTAAAATTAATATATCATTTACAGGTAATGTTGCTCAGTTTTCTGTGTAAAACAAAGCTGTTCCACGTGTACTTTTGTATATAACTTTTACTTTTGTGTTTTATACTCGATAATTATCAGTATTTACTATTTACTATGGTTGATTCTTGGATGAGTTGTTGCCTTATTATGTGCAAAGCGAAACGGCTAATAACTCTCTTGCATTATGTACGAATAATTTGATTGTGAATTGTGATGGCGGTTGTGACCTGTAATTCATGTCATCGTAGGTATTTACAATTTTACAGTTAGAGAATGCAGCGTATAGTCCTTTTCAGTTTGTCTGTGCAAAATTGGTTAACTGAAATTTAAAGCGACTTAGCGATGCCTCGATGGATTGCTTTCTATATGTAAATATCGATCAATCATCCAAATACCACAAAGTTGCTTTAAATACGTTGATTGTATAATACTGCAAGAAACTCTGATGAGCATGAATCTGCGTAACCCAATTGACATTTTCATCATGAAGTAGCCTTTGTTATTCAAATGTGGTCTCTGTTGAAGTGTTATGTTGAGATTTTACGTAAAAGTATTTTGCAAGTTAGATCTTCTTACAATATGTTTAATAAAATTTTGTATATGACGCATGGGTGACCGAAGTGACAATTGTTTACGTACAGGCAAGATTACAATATCACACTGTTAGCTAAAGTTCATAATGTCTGTTATAAATATTCTAATATCATCAGCAACAGTGCCGAAACGTTCATGGAACATTTAGGACAAAAATCAGCTGGAATCTCTTATCTTATGTTTGGAAGCAGTTTGCTATTGCTGTTTTCATACTCTTAATGAGCGTTGAATGCCTGTAACGGAACAGGATTAGTATAAATCTGTTTTTGTTTGGTATTAGGCGGGTGTGCGGTCCCAATTCAGCCAAGAAGAAAGCTCCGGAATTGACCAACCGCGGATACGAGACCGATTCGCTAGTCAGTTTTGACAGCCGCTCTTGCCACTCCGACTCGGAATACGATGGTTCCAGTCGTATATCCAGTTTTACGGATAGATCCTCAGTAAACAATGCTGCCCAGCGGGTGCCCCGGAAAAAGCGACGTGTCCGGCGAATTGATCCAGCCAGTCTAAATCGAGCATCATCGATGAGCAGCATCACAGAGACTGTTGTCTCTGGAGGAAACATTGTTCGGGTTGTTCTCAATGTCCAGCAAACAAAAATGGTTGGCCTGAAAATTTTGGGCCCTACATTGGACAATCCGGTCGAAGGGATTTATGTGGAATCAGTTATGAAGGGGAGTCCCGCGGACTTAAGCCGACAGTTTGAGCCGGGTGACGAAATTCTCCAGGTGAGTGTTTTCGATAATCGCGTTGAATTGTAATGCGCGATGGTAAATGGATTTAATTGTTTTATGTCCTGGGGTTAGTGTTTTTTTCACACGGTTACTTTTTACGGTCCGTTTTCCTCTGTTGTGAAGCGCTTGATTGTTTCTCTGGGAATATCTGAGCGAAAAATTCATAGAGCCATAATCTGCACAGTCTAAATTAAAAATTATTCCCGGTTAACATGAGAGATGGCAAAACCAACGCTCCCTGCGTTACCGAGCATAAAACTTACCTGGAAATAAAACAAAGTGGAACGACTCTCTCCTGCTGTCATAATTATATTAAAATTTCATTCCAGTTCTTCGATAAATTAATGGTCGCATCGCATCATCTGTAACAATTTGGCAGTGCTGTGCAGCAGGACAGATTAGTATTCTAGCACGAACTATATATACGACGAGGCTACAATCAGTTCCACGTGATTATACCGTCCTTACTGCATCCCTTTCAGCAGATCTTCAGTTGTTTAATTTATTAGGTAAATTCCGTACCCGTCCACTGCATGGATGAACAGCAGGCGACAGCTGTTGTACGCGAGGCTTCCATTACTGGACATGTGATCCTCGATGTGCGGAAACGTTATATCCGTTCCCCTCCCGAGAGCGCATATACCCTTCGAGAACTGGATCCGAATGATGAAAATTCCACCCGGAGAGAGCCCTCTCATCCCATTGATCCCAGTGCCTGGGTGGCACAAATCGAAGCTATGCGCTTAGCGGAAATGGCACCATACCGAGAGAAAACACCCATCCTGCCACATTTCGATGATGTTCCGCTTTCCCCTCATCAGGCCGGTACGGGCCTGTTCATGTCAACACAGTTTCTACCGCAAGAGTTGTCCACTGGTTCGGAGAGGATAGAGGTTATTAGGCAGATGTGCAGAGAAGATTCCGGTTTGGATATTCGTGATCGCGAGTGGCTGAAAATGCCCATAGCCAAAGCGTTCACGGGAAAAGATCTCGTCACGTAAGTTGTTGCATCAATGATCTTTCGGATTTCGTTATCAAAGGATACATCCTTGTATGCATGCATATGATTAATTTTTATAGTTTTATTTTAAAAATCTTACATTTTTGCATAGTTGATTACCGTTTAACTTGTCTACAGAGATGCTCCCGGTATACAGAAATGCAAAACTCGAGTTGACTGTTCTCTATTTAATACTGTGCCACAACCAGATTCGTGAGCGTCATGTTATCGTTGTTCTTTTTGGCATCTTTAGGTGGCTGTTGGAACATGTCAAAGATCTCAAAGGTCGCAGTGAAGGAAGAAAGTACGCTGCGGATCTGTTGAAATCCGGTTACATTAAGCACACGATTGGTACTAGAGATTTCTCGGAGAAGTTGTGCTATACCTTTGGGGATCTGCCTAATCTTACGGAAGAGTTTACGCACATGCCCATCCTGCATGACGAAGACTTTCCCGACTCGGAAAGCCAACTGGCGGCGTACAGTGACCTACCAGATTCGGTTAGTCAGGTGGGTCAAGCCCGCCATCCTGCCATTTATCGTCCATCCAGCCACAGTGGTTATGCCAATATTGCGCAAATCAAACGGGGAAACGGTCGCTCGGGCAGCGGACACAGCTCCGGAAGTGGACACAGTTCAGGCTCCGATAAGCGGCAGCAGTCCGTTATCGTGGAGGAGACTGCTTCGCAAATATCGGAAATCTATCATGGAGTACGTAATGGCGTGATAGCCACCGGGGATCGAGGGCAAATGCACCGGAACTCGCTGCAGAATTCTCTTAATCATCCGTTTGACATGCAGTATGCCAAGATGTATTGATCAGCTATCCTTGTTGAAGATTCTGACGATTTGTATCGTGAGCTATTAAATAGAACTTTCGAGGGATGGTGAAATGAACTGATTGCTTTTACTGTTTTGAATTTTTAATTGTAGTGGTACAGTACTTGCCGGGTTTTGCGTTTTGGGCAAGTCGCTTGTCTTTATTTCCAGCATGTATCTTCTATGCGAGATGACATGCTATTCGGCAAAGTTGACAATGGTGTTTGAGCTTCGGTACAGAAAATGCTGCAGTTATGTGGTTTTGTACTTTTATGTATTCCTTATAACTTTCGGTACTTCTGTATATTGAAGTTTGTATAAAGTATTTGAATGTTTTTAGTTTGTGGATCTATTATGTAAGATTTCGCGATAGAAAGCCCGCGAGCCAAAATAGGAAACCGTCAGATGTTGCAGTTCGTCGATGGCCGATCTTTGATTGCATTATGATTATTCTGAATGCGAATATCTTTCCGTTATTTTCGCCATTGTGACAGGGAGATCTGACCAGTGTCTACTCTACTGTCTACCTACCATCAGAATATCAGATGTACTGTTTCTGTACAGGTACAATGCTGACGGTGAGATTACGATCTGGTTTATCGAGTAAGGTGCAAAAGTAGCAAAACTGACGAGAGAAGTCCGGAAGTATGGCGATCCCACGCCTTTTTGTATGGCGACCGACCAATGGCGCTACCATTTAACCAACGGAAGAAAATTAATGTTATTAACGTTACGATGTATTTTTGCCTGCGATTCAGACTCTTTCGCCCTTTGGATTTCTGTTTCACTTCATTTGCACTTTGCGGACGTAGAAAAGAAGCCTGCTTCGCTTTAAGAAGGCTTTTAACTTGTTTATTTATTGTTTTTGTGAGATCTTTACCTCTTGAATTTTATTCTTGATCTCAGGATTTTTTGTACATTTTCATTCTCGGAATGTTTAAGGTGGAATATTAGAAAATGTCTACTATGCCTAAATCCGTAAGTGTTTGATGGCTGGTAGACAGTTTTTATCTGACTGGCGCAAATTAGTCACAAGTTCACGACTCAAAAGTGCTGATAAGATTTCAGATTTCTCCGCTTTTTACGGTTGCCTACTGGTAGCAATATTTGCATTCGTGATCCAGCATGAATGTAGAATCGTTGTAGATAATAGAAACTAGAAGAAAGCCGCAAACGGCACACGACACTGAATTGTTGCTGATTTGAAGGATATAATCATGCTAATTTTCTAATAACCTGATAAATCGTATCTGCTACAGACATACAATTTCATTCCTTCCGAGCTTCCGAGAGCCTTCCGGGATCAACAGCTGCACTGGAATTCCCCGGCCAATTTCATTTCTCCGCCCTATTCGGAGCAGTATCACTATTCCAGTTTCCAGCAGTATCCGGTTTACAGTTACTACCATCACTCGTTCTCGGCGTGTGCCCTGCAGGAATATGTGATGAGTTGTCCGCCGTCCCGTCGTCCGTCGCCGCCGCTCTTGGAGCACAAGGAAATGGACGAGAAATTCTACAGACTGCTGGACGAACTGTTCGCCCATCCCGCGCCCTGTGTGGACCGGGACGAAATCCGGCGACTGCGCAGCGAAGTGCTGACCTGCCTGAACAATCTGGCCGTGTACTGGATCGGCCGACAGGCGGAACGCCTCAGCCTGGAGCGTTCGCAGCTGGAGAAGACGGTGTTCGTCAAAGCCTTCGGCAGTCACGGTCTGGGTTTAACCACGTACAACAGCGATCTGGACGCCGTGCTCGTCGCCCCGCGCTATGTCACGCGCGAAGAGGTCTTTCGCGGGTTTGTGGAGCTGCTGCGGCAGCAGGAGAACGTCAAGGAAGTTTGTCCCGTGGAGAACACGTTTGTGCCTGTGATTAAGTTCCTGTATTACGGGATTGAGGTGGATTTGACGTTTGCGGCGCTGCGCACCACCAGTATGCCGGATGATGCCAGTCTGCTGTCGGATGATATCCTGCGCGATATGGACGAGAAGAGCGTCAAGAGTCTGAACGGCTGGCGAGTGTCGCGGTATTTACTCAGTTATGTTCCGGATGTGAAGGTGTTCCGCGCGGTGCTGACGTTCGTCAAACACTGGGCCATGCAGCGGCTGATTTACTCCAACACGCTGGGATATTTGGGCGGCGTGTCCTGGGCGATTCTGGTGGCGCATATTTGCCGGGTGAATGCGGGGATGTCCGTGCGGAAGCACGTCAAGTCTTTCTTCAAGGAATTTTCCGAATGGAACTGGCAGTCGCGGCCGGTCAATATTAATCAGGCGGACAATCCCTACAACCACATCGAAGGCTTTGTCGGTCTCGATGCCTACATGATGCCGATAATCACGCCATGCAAGCCGTACCAGAATTCCTCCTTCAACGTCACCCGCACGACATTTCACAACATCCGGCAGGAGATGCGCTCGGCGCTGGCGGTGCTGCGCGCCGACAATCACGTGTGGGCGGATGTGTTGGCCACGCGCAATCCGCTGGATGAGTACGAGATGTTCTTGACCGTGATCAGTACCGCGAAGTGCGAGAGCAGTCTGCATCGCTGGCGCGGGGTGGTGGAGTCCAAGCTGCGTCCCATGCTGCCCAATCTGGAGAAGGTGAACGGCATGCAGCGCTGCCAGATCTTTCCGCAGATCTACAAGTTGTCGGACGGCGACTGGCAGGATACCGTGCACTGTGCGTGGATCATCGGGATTGACTATGTGCATCCGAACCAGATGAATGAGCTGTCGGCCGTGGTGCGGGAATTTCGACAGAATATACAGTATTACAATCATTTTAACGGCTCGGGAAGCGATCAGAATGTGACAGTATTGCGGAAAACCAGTGCGAAACTCCGGGAAACGCTGACGGTGTATGCGTCTTCGGATCCAAAAAAGTGAAAGGGGCACTCTGGTCAGTTTTTTTATAAATTGGTCATCTTGAGCTTTTTCGGCATTTTTTGATGTTTCTTCGTCTTTTTTATCACATTTTTATATCCGGGATACGTTGGAGCTGCGTTTTCTCAAAAATCCCCCACCAATTGCACAAAAAACATCCCAGCTAAAAATATAGTTTTTTGTTTAAATTTTTATGTATAAAAAGGTTGCTTTTATATAAAACTTTCATAAAGTTATTCATTGGAGTGTCCTTTTTTGTTCTATATATCACGGATCCGTTAATGATTTCTAACCGCATTTTTGCAACACTCACTTGATCGCTGCGATCTGAAAGATGCCGCCCACGTGGAATCAAGATTTTTTCGATCTCATTGTCGATTAATGCTCCTAAATTAAGCGCACTGCTGTTTCCGTATAAAATGTGTATGGTCATGATTATGAATGATGCGCTAGCGATTTTCTGTATTTTTGCTCATCTGTGTAGTTTGGCTTCTGCTCATGTAATTCCCGTAGTCAGGAAAACCGAAAAATAAAATTGTGCGTAATGATATTCGTAATTTGAATTTCATACAGTTGTCACGAGTTGTGTGTTGTAGATTAAAGCGCGTGACAGCATAATCCGGGATTATGTTTCTATAGAAGGTTCTAATACTGTAATTGTTCCAGGTAGTTATTAGTGATATCCAAAGCGCTTATTAACGAAGCGAAAACAAAAACTAAAGTAATAAACTAATACGAAAAACAATTGGTACGAAAAAGAAAACGAAATATGGAAGAAGTACTTTGCTGCACATTGTATTGTACATAAGTTAATTGTACTTTCTGTGGCAAATAGGTAAGTATCTAGAGCAGAGATTTATAAAGTCAGTATTTATAGAATTAACTTATGTACAATTTATAGAATTAACTTCCTCCTCTTAATCACCTGGTATTGGCGAATTACATGCAGTAAATTAACGCTGGGTGATTTTTCGCTTCTGGAAACTTACGCTTTGAAATGGGCAAATTTCTGATGTGAGAGCAGCGGCACTCTCCCCTAGTTTAATGGAAGGAGCGGATAAGTTTAAACTCTTACTGTAATAATGTTTAGTTTCTTTTAATATTAAAATGCCCTTTTATAAGTAAATGTTTACCTAATTGGAGCCGCACAGTACTATACCGGCTACTACAGAAAGATAATACAAGACACTGCACAGTTTACCGGCTACGGCGGCTAGTCTAGTAGGCGTGGTAGTGAGCACAATAACTGATTAACATCTAAAAGTTTAATACTGAAATCTAAAAATTGTCTTTCTAACTTCAACATTCAAATTAATTTTAGCATACGATGCGTAAGAACTGGTAAATTATCAATACGTCACAGGCACTACGTACTAATAAAATAACGCTGTAGTAAGTGTTAAGTACACAGTATATTATAGAAGTATATATAGATATAAAAATTAATAATAATATTGTGCCGCACAACGTACAAAATACATAGAAGTGCATACTGTCTTTATTTACTTACCGTAACTGTTTTTTCAATGTAAATTTTATGACTTTTATAAAGCTTTTACAATCAGGACTATCAGGTGTACGATGTCGGGTGTTGTATGAGTTACGCAACCACTTTTCCATGAAGACTGACTGCGGAACCCGTCCATATCGTAAAAATTGCTCATTGGTCGCTTACGTTATTTTTCACTAATCATCAATGGCACCTTTTGCGCGGGGCAACGGTATTGGCTCTGTTTCGTTCTCGCCCCTTTTTCCATTGACTGCTGAAAAAGGCCAGACGGCGTGTAGATGAACAGGCTCTCGCGTTGGTCTCTTTCTACCGCACGCTCAGTCCAACACGGGTAATCCAGCGTGCAGTTAAGTTCTTACCACCCCATTCGCGTTCTAGAAGACAGATCCCTGAAAAATGTCGTCGAAAAACCAGGACTTCGTTGTTAACTTCCTTAAGGATTTCGCCGCTGGTGGTGTAGCAGCTGGCATCTCCAAGACCGCCGTTGCTCCCATTGAACGTGTGAAGCTCCTTTTACAAGTAAGCCGCAAACCGTTACTAACTTGGGTTTTTTTGTATTTTAAGCAGTATAATATTGATTTTTGTGCCCTAATGTTGCATATTAACAGTTTCCCATCTAGCGTATTACATAACCATTTCCGTATGTCAGGGAGATAATTATAGCAGGAGTTATTTTTAGCGGTAGCTCGAATGGTAGAAGATAGAGAATCTGAGAGTGCACTAGCGAAATTTCGGCCGTCGGCGACATCGTACAGATGATGTGCCACTGTTGGCTCGATCAGCGATTCTGGAAGCATCCTAGACGACTGCAGTAACAACTCCTGTGACGTCATACGAGTAGATCCTAGTGTTGCGATCAGGAGGAGTTCACGTGGTCCTTTTGCGCGTCAGGGTACCTGATGCAACCAGCGTGAGCCGGTCCGGTGTGGGCGCGGTAGCAGTGACAGGCTGCGCTAATAAAGACCGGGTTGTCTGACAGCGATAACATACCGGTTGCCGCCGTTAGCACGACAGCCCCGGTGATTTTTCACTCGGGTGGCGGGTGTTCTCAAGCCACGTTTGCGCTACCGGGAATCGTGACAATTGAGTACAATAATCTATCAGTTCCTTTTTATGATTAATTTTAATTATTTATATTTTCACTTTCTGGTAACTTGATTATCTTTGATGAACTTTTTGCATCAGATGTGCCTGTGTTCTCCTGGGTTTTTAGTAGAATCTTCTTACAGTATCTGGTATCTACAGTGTATAGCTACGAAGCCAATAAACTACAGGAATTTTAAATCATTGCTGTTCCTCCATAAACATCATACGTGGTTTTGTCGGGCTGGTTTTTGCAGTTTAATGAGTACATGTTGAGGTTGTAATGGTTATTTGCCAATGGTTACCAAAATATTTTTTGAGTCTAAGTAATTATTCTAACTCATTATTGCTGCAGGTCCAACATGCTTCTAAGCAGATCACCAAAGATAAGCAGTACAAGGGCATCGTCGATGCCTTCGTCCGCATCCCACGCGAACAGGGTCTTCTGTCTTTCTGGCGCGGTAACTTGGCCAACGTCATCCGTTACTTTCCCACCCAGGCCCTGAACTTTGCCTTCAAGGACAAGTACAAGCAGATCTTCCTTGCGGGAGTCGACAAGAAGACACAGTTCTGGCGCTACTTTATGGGTAACTTGGCCAGTGGTGGTGCTGCAGGAGCCACCTCCCTCTGCTTCGTCTACCCTCTGGATTTCGCCCGTACTCGTCTGGCTGCTGATATCGGTACGGTATTTGTGTGTGTTTAAAAACATCGCCCGTCAATGTGGATTGTAAAATGTTTTTTTCCTAATATAGGCAAGGGAAATGCTGAACGTGAATTCACCGGTCTGACCAACTGCATCGGCAAAATCTTCAAGACTGACGGTCTCAAGGGTCTTTATCAAGGCTTTGGCGTATCTGTGCAAGGTACGAAGAATGTTAATTATCAGAAACGCTTTATCACGCAGTTGGGGAGCTCTTTTATAAGTTGTATTGCGTAACGTGCCGCTGGTGATTCGTACAGTCGGCAATAAAAATGGTGCACTTTGTTTTATGGCTTTATCGTTTATGAAGCACATGCTAACCGTATTTATCTCTTTGGCAGGTATCATTATCTACCGTGCATCATACTTCGGTCTTTTCGACACTTGCAAGGGAATGTTGCCTGACCCTAAGAACACTCCGCTGATTGTCAGTTTTATCATTGCCCAAATCGTCACGACTGTCTCTGGTATCACTTCTTACCCGTTTGATACCGTCCGTCGACGTCTTATGATGCAGGTTAGTAGTTCGCTCTGATTTTTCTGTATTGGCTTGGAGTACCAGTAGCAAATTAGCAATGGCGAGGGAATAAAGACGAATTTTTTGCGCCATTTAGGTGTTACCGTGTTAATAGTCTTGTTTTGACATCGTAGAGCGGTCGCAAGAAGGGTGATGTGATGTACAAGGGAACTCTGGATGCTTGGGCGAAGATTGCCAAGCAGGAAGGCGGCGGAGCCTTCTTCAAGGGTGCTTTCTCCAACGTACTCCGTGGCACCGGTGGCGCTTTGGTGTTGGTGCTGTACGACGAACTGAAGGTGCTTATGTTCGGTGAGAGCGCGAGAGGAGGTTACGAAGGAGGATAATAAATGTTCCATCTGCATTCGGACGGCGGTGTTGATCTTACAACTATTCGTACTACGGTTTTATTTCAAGTGTGAAACTGGATGAGTGCAAGGGAATTTTGTCATCTTATTAAATAAAATGCATAACGATTGGTTGATTACTCTGTTTTAATTTATAAGCACTATCGTTGGTGTTGTGTTTTTGTTTTATTTATCTGCGAATTTTGCCCTGGAACCAGCAGCAGTGTAGTTCCAGCCCACAAATTTGAGAAGAAAACAGGATTTGACGTTTTAACGTAGTGTTGTTTGATGTTGATGGTAACAGTAGTTGCAGTGAATAAAAGAAAAGCGCTGCTTTTGGCGTGGGATTTTAAAAACCCCTATTTGAAAAATACGTGTCAGTATGCCCTCAGTAGTCTGGTTTTAGTGAGAACTCCCATTCATATGCGAGAACGTTTACCTACTCTTTTATAAAGGACAAAATTTTTATTCTAACGACGCCCCGAAGCAGCACTTATTTTACTGACATATTATTTGGCCCACATCAAAAATACCACTTCTTACACAGGAATAACGGATTAAAGGCAGGACTATTCTGGCTAGATTAATGAAGCAGTGGATATCATTTGTCAATGAGTTTTAATAGAAGTATTCAAATCTGGAAAGAACTGGAAACACCGGTAGACATCAGTCACATCATTATCAAAACAAAAGGGAAGACGCCATAGAAGCAAACGATTTTCAAACGCTTTCATCTAGTTCTGTAGAATCCCATCCAGCATTATTGCACGCAGGATTATTATTAATTAGTCCTACAAAATTCTTGTTTGATGAATTATGAACTTCCCAGTGCGCAACTTTCCTTCACGGGATCCAACATTTTCAGGTTATCGACATCGACAGGTCGTGTCCCACCCGTTTTCAGTATGCGAATTTATTCGAAGGATGGAATTATCCTGGTCGACTGGCAATAAGTAACAATCCAAATGCCACTGTTCAGTGTTTAGTATCCACATTGTGATCCACTTCGCGCTTCGTTGTTCCGGAATCAACTATCTTTCTCTGCCCCTTTGCTTAAAATGGCCATCCCGCGTCGTATTAAATTATTTACAGCATCATCCACATTTAGTGCATGAAGATCCGTTTGCTTATTGAAATTCAGCATTCCCTCGGGACTCTGCAGGTCTTTTGTGGCAAACTTTGATGCATGCGTGCTGAACTCAGTAAGTTCAGTCAGAAAGTTTTGCATGGACACACGGTGTGCGTCGGATGCTCTCAGTTTAAGCGTGGCCCTGCATTGAAAATATAAACCTTTCTGTAAAAAACGCCAAAGAAATTTACTGCAGTATAAACTAGTACTACAACTTACTCGAACTGACCGCGCAGCTCACCGAGACGAGCGGATAACGCAGCGCATCGAGAGAATCCATCTTCGAAGCCTTTCTGCAGGCTAACATCTTTACTCTCGGTAACAGCATTCCTGAAACCTTCCTGAAGAAGATTTCCAGCTTAGTTAATTCTAAATACTGCAAAAAAATTCTGTCATGGACAAAAGAATATTAATGGGAAGCGTACCTTCCAGATTCCTTCGTTTATTTTGCGATATTCGGAGTCTCCTGGAAGCTCAACATCTTCTTCCAACCAATCGTCGGTGGACTCACTGGCCTGAGCGCCGCTCGACATCATGTGCTTATCTCCCTGGGTTATTAAAATTTACGGTTACTCACAGTCGGGAAATTTTCCAAGATCCTGCGGTGAGCCTGAAGATGGAGATCTAAAACAACTGATATAATACGAAGTCTCCCATAAACTTTTGCTTGGTTAAATAAAATTTTTTTGCTCGCACTCACTTCTCAAATCCAACCGGAAGTCCGTGTTTCCCCGCCTTCAATTTCGCGAGTGTCCAATCGTGTTGACGCTGTCGGCTGTCCTTTTGTAGCCTCAACCTCCTCAGGCAGGCAGTGGGCTTTTTATAAGAGTTTTTAAAACGAAAAAATTTTGTTGGCATGGTTTTATTTTGAAAAAGCTGTTTTGTGCTGTTTAGATTTCAGTTTTGTCTGATTTCAGCTTTTTTTGAGTCCATTGGGATGATTCAGGTGGAATAGTAAAGAAAGATGTCCGGTATTCCCAAATCTGTGAGTACTTAACTTGCCACGATTTCATATTAAGTGTTAGTTTGCTGTTCACAATCACCTCTTGCATAGTTGCCAGCGTTCATCGAGGTTCACGGTCTTTGCAGATTACCGGGGAGCTAGAAGGAGTCACAAAACGTGCTGAAGGCATTGCCATTTCGAAGGATACACATTTACAGATTGCACGGTTTTCCTTTGTCCACACACTGTATCAAGAACAGACTATCCTTGCTAACGCAGCTAAGGTACTACGAAGTTTTCTCAAAGTCCTTGGGCGGCGACTCTACTTTCACAGTCAGTCGGAATTTGGCAAAACAGACAGCATGGATTTTTTGGTTTTTAGCTTTAACTGACGTTGACTTTTAATATTCGAAATTTGGTAGAAGGAAGAATCAGTATAGAAAATGATAGGAAATTTTCGCCACCGACGATCTTGATTTTTGCTGTACAGTATTAATGTTATGTTATCCGTCTTGATCACAGAAAGAACTTCAGACCATCAACGACGCCGAAGACGAGCTAATCCTGGTGGACGACGAAGCGCTGGTGCCGTGCCAAGTCGACGCGCCATCCGTCTTCGAGAAACTTAAACCCGAAGCGGAGGCTTTCTTGGCCGACGAAAAAACCCGCATTCAGGCGGAACTGGATGAGTACGAATCCAAAGCAGCGGATTACCTCAAAGAACTGAATCAGTTGCGGATCGATCTATACGGGAAGCTGGGTAATTTGATCCAGCTGGAAACAACCGGCACAGAGGACGACGACTAATTGTGAGCCTCATCTACCATGGCCGCGCCCAGCGATCTCGATATGGAGCAGGCCATTCTGGATTCCGAAGAACGGCAGGAGAAAGAGCGGCTGAAGAATTCGAATTTTATCCAACGAAATCTACTGAGTATACCGTGTTTTCGTGAGTCGTTCATGTACGGCATGCTGAGCGGATTGGGCGCTGGACTGGGCACATTTATGCTGACCAGTCGGGTGCGGCGCGCCTGTGATGTGGCGGTGGGATCGTATGCGGCGGTGACGTTCTGCTGGTGGATCTACTGTCGGTATGAGCGAGCGCGGTTGCATCAGGAGCTGCAGAAAGTGCAGTATATGGTGTTTGATGATGCATCGCCACCGGCAGTCGAATCCGGTATTATTGTCCAGCCCAAAGGTCGATCCCGCGCTGCTTCTTGATTTTGTCTGTTTTTGCGAATTCTGTTTGACTTTATTAACTGTTTTATATAAAAATTTAAGCACGTTGTTGAATTGCTGTGAGTGAATCATGCCTCTCCGCGTTGGCTGGTTGATGTCTGATAAACCTGATTTTACGGGCAAGGTACTGTAGATAGATATGTGTAACACTCAGTCAATCACTACCTAACGCTATTTGACAATTTTCAGTTAGGTTTCCCTCTAGCGTATAATTTGAACACACGTCTTTACCAGGTATGTACTTTGCTGATTCTTCTTTACCAGGCATTCGTTCGGTTTAGGTGCCTACTTCGTTGCATGATCACCAGAAGTCTCTTATTATTAACTAACGGAGACAAAAATGTGTAAGTACTAAGCAAATGCCACAGAAAACTAGCAGCTTTTATTCGTAAATTTTTCGATAAATTACAGTTACTTACGATGTATGGAGAAATGAAACAATTTCCCCAACATCAGAAAAACTGTTGCTGGTCAAAGTCATCACACAACAGAAATGCACCATTTCTGCTAAGCGATGGGGTTTTATGTTACGTCGTATCATTACTGCTAGAATCGCAGATGCAATCGCCTTATGAAAAACATTACCAAAAATAAAAATGAGGAGGGCACAAGTATGGAATTAAGGATTCTCGAATACGTGACATTGCTTGGCGTGGCATAAGTTGCCATCTACTATAATTAAGCCTTTTAAAGTAAAATATCACATAACTATTAACTAACCATAAAAAAAAGATTGCTTTACGGTGTCGCACTTACGCAGCACACTTATGATCGTTGGACTAATTTGAACAAACTATCAACCAGCGCTAATCAAAACATCAAAATAACGGGAATTTCTTTGGTCAACGCGACAGTCTACCAAAAAAAACGAACAAATTTGTTACATGCGCATCAAAAATTTAACGATGGCAAGACATAAACGTGTGTGGTGTGCAATCATAACAGAGATCAAGAAAGGTCAAACTAAGGCTCCCCTGGAGCCTTTCATTGTTAAGCCGTTAACGTGACTATACGCGGCCAACGCGTTCCCGTTACTGGAACCTTCGTCACCCAAAGAATTTGAGTTTCGCGAATTGTTCGGCACAGCCAGACAGTTGTCCGTCCATCCGTTGTCGACCGTGCGACCGAATGTCTTGCGCGAGAAGCGCAGCTGTGTTGTCGATGTCGGCTTCCTGCCGCGTTGCCGCAACGTCCGGTGGATACGGCGCAGTCCGCGAACGATTTCCCGGCGCAGATAAATACACGAAATGACCGGGTTGGCAACGGAGTTTAATGGAGCGAGCGACTGCATTAGTGTGGAGACGGCAATTTTCGTCTGCGGATTGGCAAATTCCACATGCTCGTACACATCCAAAAGGTCATAGATGCAATAAGGACTCCAGCATGCTGACAAAAAATGACTGTTTTTAAGCGCTTAACACACAATTTTCCACCGATCCAGGAAGTGGATTGTTTAGTTTATTTAATTAGTGTCAGATCTATCTAGATCAAATTACACTTGTTGAAAAACAAGTCGAAGTGTCAATGAGTGTGCACGCACGTACAACTTATGATTGGTGGCTACTTTATGCCAGAAGGAGCGGATTATGCAAATACACATTTGGAATTCTTTTTGGAAATTTGCGCTTGTTTTAAAAGGAGGCATGCTTACCGATAAAAACCGTTACAATGACAAGGGCCATTTTTGTTGTTTTTATTTTAGCTCTGGGAATGAGCCCTTTGGCAAACTCGGATCTCGAAGATGCAATGGATGGGATGCCTGCAAAAAATGCATCCGGTGATGACTTTCCATACTGTGTATCTATCCATAGATATCTATAATTATACTGTATCCACAGATACACTTCTGTAAGTATTGTATAAGTACTCCGGTACACATGTCCCGAGTAAAACAGTTTGTAAAAAAAACGTTAGCTAAACGTTAGTTAAATGCCAAAATTCGAACTTGTGTACATATTTTTATATTCGTTATTCATCGCGTGTGCATCCAAATTTTGTTAGCCTCTACTAAGTTTGTTTGTTCGTAGTGCAACGATAGGTTATAGAACGCGTTTAAGTATTTCTAGAAGTTAAATGCTTAAATACATTGCCCGAGTAAAACAACTTGCAAAAAAAACGTCAACTTAACGTTAGGAAACGGCTAAAATTGACACACATCCGTTCACCTAGCGGTACTTACATGTAAAACTAACGTTTTTCCTACAAGCTATTTTACCCGGGTTGGTTGGTACCGACAATTAAGTGCTGTGTAATTCTGCTGTAACATAGTCTGGTAACATTACTGAACTCATATTTAAATTAAGTACATGCAAATTAATTATCAGTGCAGGATAAGATGCACGTAATTAAATATAAAGTTCTTGGAACGACAAAGTTTTACGCAATATTATTCTTGTACAATTGCTTGCGTACAAAAATTTTGAGCTTTGCGTGCCCGAGTAAAACAGTTTAAAAATACAATAAACGTTAGTTAAAGGCCAAAATTCGAACAGTGTTCGAATTTTGGCCTTTAATCATTTAGCCAACGTATTTTACAAACTGTTTTACTCGTGAGCTTAATTTTGTACATATTGCACGCTGATTTTGAAAGGGCATGGCGCAGTTTTATCCTAGATCTGTACCTGCAGCTAGGCGTTTGCTTCTGTAGAGAACACTCCCAACCAGATCCTGCGCCTCGAAGCTGTCTTGCCGGCTGAGGTTCATTGCTTCCTCAAACTCCAGATTGCGTCCGCGGACATATATTGTGCGTAGCACAATGGCAAAGCAAGCGATGATTATAATCACCGGGATAATGAAAAGTATTAGGGAAACCAGGGTGAAATAGAGTTGCCAGTATGTCTGTGACGGAAACGATATCCAACACTGCAGGTATCCATCGATTCGGTCCTGCTCGTATAGAAACAGCATGGGAATGGAGAATAGAAAACTGAAGAACCATGCTGATCCAATAAGAAACCGGCTACGGCGCACTACCAATAAATCATATTCGTCAATTTTTATATCACCATCGATCAAGATTTCTATATACAGCTGTTGAATAAAATGAATGGTTAACTCCTTTTTAACGACTACACAGTATTTACAAATACTATCAATACCGTATACGTTGGTATTTAAAATTAGGTGCGGTATACAATTGCGTGCCATACGTGCTTCGCCGTTTCTTTAATTCCAAAAACAGTTTTACCTTATTTCATACAGTCATATAAAGACTGGCAGTATTTACGTAAATTTAACGACCATGTTTAATTAATTTTACAAGCGGTGCTACTAAAACAAACTCAAATAAAAAGACAAAGACGATGTGTCAACAGAAAACGTGTACGACATCTGATCTGCGCACGATTACATAAGAGTACTTAAATTTAATCTCTGTAATGGAAACTTAATATCTTTCCTTGCAGACGAAAAATTACGACTACTCGAGCGCCGTATTTTACAAAGTTTTCAGGGTAAAGTTGTTGAAGAATTTCGTCACCGGGAATATAAGTCTTTCGCATTCGCCCACGCAGTGCACCACATTTTTTCGTACGTATTAACAACAGTTCATTTCATAGTATGTATTATACGTTCATTATATAAAGTCTCATACTTAAGCCTACACGCAATTACAATAATTATTTCATTCGGGTACGAGGAAATTCCATGCTGTATATGTACACACTTCACAGTTCACACACATCACATATTTAATTAAGTAAAATCTGCGTAGCATAATAAAAATGTCATTGTGGTAAGTACTACGAATATCTTAAGCCCGAAAGCTTAAGACGTATTCAAAGAAATATAATTCTGTGATAGCGAGGCTTGTGTACCATTTTGCACCCTAATTAACTTTTAATTGAATTTAGTGCGATATTACCTGCGCTGGTGAATGTCAGTGGATTAGCGATGGCGTCATAGCGGTCAATTGACAATGCGACTAGGACGTAGTTTGAGGCAAAAGTAACCACAACCTGTGCACAACCATTCCAAATTGAAACAGTCCTGTTATGGCAGCATTATCAGTTATCGTTATGGGAGTATGACTTATCGTTTCAGACTGACGAAAATAAATCAAATTTAAAGCTAAAGAAAATCGAGGCTTAGAGCTTTTAATGTTATAATACCGAGCACTCGTTCACAATCAATAATTACCATTACCTACTTGTGCATAGCGTATCGCCTTGCATCCCACATTGCCGGCATACCATTCATAGGTCATTTGCCAAACGATGTCAGTTGGTATAGATATCAAACCCACAAGTAAATCTAAAAAACGTTCAATTTTAAATGACTGGGCTGGAAACCACAATTGACTTATTGATATTATAGCAGAATTCTTGATCTGACCCGTTCCGGTTCCGGGAAGGTTGGGTAAAAAAATCAGTGCAATTAGGAATGCCAATAATTACTTACCTGCCAGCGCTAAATGCAGAACCCAGAATCCCATTCGCGTCCTGGTTTTGGAAATCCCTAGGGCGGCAAATACTAGGAAGTTGAAGCTGATAACCAGAAAGGCCAAGATGAACATGAAGGTCAACTGCTCCGTCTAAAAGATCAACAAAAAATCTTAGTTTACTGTATTTTGTCGTGGTGTTTTGAGCACGAATATTATGCTTTTAGTTTGAATTTCTTGCTAAAATTAGCGATAAAAACCAAAAATAATATTAAAATTTGGTAGTGCCTGTAACTGTCTGTGTCACACGGTTACATCATAGAGATACTGTGTATTTCAAGTACAATTAGCGAAATTGCTGCTGTGTTGTGCTGTATGCTGGACCTTATACAAATTTGGGGCGCGGTAAAGCTATGTTGTTAAAATATGCTGTAAAAAGCGTAATTCTTAATAAATACTTAATTTGAAAACTGAACCGTTTCACAGTTTACAAATACTGGACTTTCTTCACTAGTTTTAACTATGACTAACCCGTTAAAACAATTTACAAATTCGTAAAATAATTTTAATGGACTGAGCAGGGCGTTGGCTGATTCTGTTTGTCTAGAAGCACTCAGACATTTAATTCGACTACGCCGGCTGCACAAACACACATATTTACAGCGCAGTTGTGTGCCCGAACAGGAAGTAGTCCATCTAATTTTTGCATGGTTTCGTCGTGTCTGCACGGGTAGAAGGTTTTTGTGCCCAGCCATAATTACCACAACACGTGAACAACATCATTAATTTACAATAAGCCCAGTGTTGTTGAGAGGCTTTTTTTATCACGTATTCCCTAGTGGTATGTGTGGTATTTTCACAAAATGCTCGGTTGGACTCTTTTATCGCAGTGTGGCAAAACGCGACCTTTTATACATTCGCTGATGCATATATATAAACAACAACCGCAATCAGTGCAGTACAGTGTTGGGCGGCATTGTAAACCCTTGAGGATTGTCGCAAAAGAGATCAAATGATTACGTTAATGATTGTTTCATGTATCTGGACAAGACGTTTTTTATCCATGTACAATGTCAGTGTGCTTACGTCGGTGGCCATATGTTTCCTGTACGTCGCAGTGGAGGCAGAAAGCCATTCGCTCCACTGGTCGCATTGACCGCGTATGTAACTATGTGTGCGTTAAGTTTCCCTGCTCTTTTCCGGGGCCAAATCGGAAAATGTGTTCTGGTTCGCTAACACTAATCCTTCCTACTCATTCGCGCATCACTGCTTTTCATTACACAAATCACTCCAAAATGATCCCTTAACGGGCGCGCTCACCGTTATGGATTGGGTCCTTTAACGCCATTAATTAATTAAAGAATTCCCTGAACACGTCTGGCAGATTATCGATTCCTGCGCTCATAATACCTCCTTGCATTATCATGGCAAAACTACATAGAATTATTTTAAATTTTATAATGCACGCAGCCTATTATGCAGCATGCGTAAAAATCTACCATCATCCGCTTTCATATGCATTATAGCATAAGTAAATCGGTAATTCCCACCATTATTTGTCGATAAATAAAATGTTTATGAATGCGTTCATAGTGTGTTTTAGGCGTGTCGCTTGCGTAATCTCATTCAATCACAATAATTTTTTAATACCAGGCCTTGGTTAATATTGTCAGCCATTGAAAACACCCGGTCAATCGTAAATTTGATAAAAGAGAAAGGTGGAAATCTTCACCTACTAAAAACACCCGGTCATTCGTAAATTTAATAAAACTGGAAGGTGAAAGGAGATTCACTAGTGTAACAAACATCAAACGTAGCATCCACACCTTTTTCATTTGTATTTGCACCTCTTGCTGGAAAAAAAAAAGAGAGCACTTCCAGAGTAACTCCCAGCTTACACAGCTCACAATAACATGCGGCATGCAACGAAAGCAAAAAAAGGCTGAAAAACTTTCTTTCGATTTCTATGGAATAGCTGGGTTGTTTGAGTAAGAGTACACAAGCATTAACTTTATCTATTACTCAATACACGTATATCGATCCTATACACATGTGGATACGGTGTTCGGGATGCTGTAAACCCAGTCGGGGCCGTTCTGACTGTGCAGTGAATTTTGTAAACGTCCAATAAATTAATACTCTACCCTCCGTGACAGTGGAAGCCCAACAGTTGCTGGACAAAAATCACGCAAGTATTAAATTTGCTTTTAATGCAGCTTCAGAGCTGGTATTGGACAACATAATGTCTAAGTGGCTATTTCACGAGGATCGTTTCCGGCTGCACAGCCTCGCGATGTGCACGCAAAACCAACAACTACGTCTTCAGGCTATTTTTAAATCAAATTTCTTGGCTAATTACGCATGGATTTCGCCTGTAAATTTTCTGCAGGTTCGAAGAATTAGGTATTAAGCATAATGTTAACATTTTAATTCAATAAACCTGCGTTGAGTCTTACTGAAAAAGACGCACAGCATACATAAATTAATTATCTAGAATTAATGATTTTGTACACAGGCTAACGGCATTCTGGAAGTTCATGGGATGTACTCCGTGTAATTAGCTGCATTAGCAAGTGACACCACATTAAGATATCCAGGGATGATAATTTAACGTAATTTATTTTTCTGGGTAGAACACCCCCATCCCACTTAAATTTGTATAAAGGTAAAATTTGATGCACAGCAAACAGCATTGTATATGCGCTTCAAGCGACATATGCGTAATAGTTTCAACTTACAATAGAGGATTTTTTGCATTTATTCCATGTGTTCTAGCTTTTGACACTCTTACAGTTGTTAGATGGAATCGCCGGAGTTTTTTGCAGCCTAAGGTAAATAAGTGCATCGCCCAGTTGTGCGCTACACAGGAAGCAAAAATCATAACAGGATGCGCAAAGGAAGACTACATGACATTTGGCCAACATGTACACATATATGCCGGCTCACGTTCCACAATTTGTACTGCGTAACCGCCCGCCAGAAATGTGATCCTGTGTAAGTAAACTGTCTTCCGGTGGAAAATGTAGCCATTTAACTCACAATCAACTATAAGCCCATAAATAACACTATGACAGCAATCCGAGGCGTCCGCGACGCCGGTGACAAATAAGATGCACTTTCCCTGTATCGGATATTTTCATGACAACACTGCCAACGAAAAGCGACGCTTTTGCAGATAACCTATACACCTGTTGTGTCACCGTGGCATCCAGACAAGGGAAGCCGGCGGATGACGCGATACACAATACATAATTATTATACATTGCATTGCATTATATTGTGAGGTTAAAATAATATGTAATATTATACGTTATGACCACGAAAAAATTCGGAATAAAAATAATACCGATTTTGGACCGGCCCCCCTGGAAAAGCCTGAGGTTCCGCTTGTGCTACTCCAGCAGTGAAAAAAAGAGTATCGAATATATCGACGGATAAAATTAAACAGGCAAGAAGTGGTCTAACGTGCCCGGCATTTGAAGAAGGCGCTTTCCGTTTGGTTTCCGTGTTAAGTAAACAAACGTAATTAACCTATCGCGCCGGACTGACACGGCATTAAATATCGATGCTGCAATTTTACGCCAGTATTATTATTGATTGCTTTATACATTCAACGATGATTAGCGTAACACGTCTACGGGAAACGTCTGCGTCATTTCCAACCACCAAGCTTTCAGAGCATTAATTCAAATCCTTGTATCCCTACCTTATATTTTACATATTAAACCATTTTTTGATATTATGTTATTTAAAGGTTCATTTTTCGATCAAATATTGCGAAGATGGGCAGAATCTGATGCTTGGCTCTCTTGTGGTTGTCAAAGAAGACCAGCAATTAAAAATAATTCTTGTTGACTCTTGAACTCTAAGGTCACACAAGGGCTCTCGACTACAGTGCTGCAGCAACATGCATGCCGCTTGTAAAGTGTTTATCAGCGGCACTTGATAACATTGTCCTGGCGTTGTTGGCAACACAGTACCTCATAATAATAGAAGCGCTTATTGGCGTCACTGTCGTTGTGCATGGCGGCGTGGTACAGGGACGCATTGGACAGCATTTGCAGGGACGGAACAGTGGTTCCGTTTATGATTAGTGCATTGTCCGACCGGAAATGGGACGTTGTCGAGGGAAAAAATATAAGAGCCGTCGTATTCATATTGCACTGGTGAAGAGCGGAGTGTTGGGGCGGTTTTTTATTCCGGTCTTCCAACTAAGCCGGCCGGAAACTCATACTTTCCATGCAGCTAACATCCTGCACAATGGACGGCGAAATACGTACGTGGACTAATCCATGATCGTGGGACAAACAGTTTAACACACACTGCTATTGGCGTCCAATTGATTGGTTTCCGGTGCGTTGGTAAGTATGATCTTTCGCCGGCAATTATTTTTATCCAAAATATCGAAAATTACTCGGACGCTGTTTATGCTGAAAGGAATGCCCACACGACCTTTTATGCAAATGGCATCGTGCTGGGAACCGATGAATGCTGATCATATTTTATGACCACCTGCAAGAAAAACAGTCGCACTGAACAGATCGTATTACTTCTAAACGCAGCATGGTTCCTGATAGTTTAGTTTCGCGGAATTAAAATCCTACAGGCAAGGTAGGAATTAAGGTCAATTATGGATCTAACTTCTTTGAACACTTTAATTGCGCGTAACCCACAGCTAAAAATCAAAAGCGGCAAATAGAAACCTTATACGATTAAAGCATTGCATGCATAAAGTACGCATCCCGACAGTGTAGGCCGGTATCTTGGACTTATACAGCACGTGCGTAAAACAAATTAAAGTGCTAGCAAATTGTAGGTTACTAACATTAAGATACTGCACTAGTGAACGACCGACCGATAAGCGCAGAACCTTTTAATTAACTGTCTGAAATCGCAATTATATTACTGCTGAATTAAACACGAAAACGGATTCTTCCCGAATCAACTGCTATTCTTTCAGCAATCAATGTCAAGACATATTTACAGAGGATTGCACAGCTGTTTACAGTCGATAAAGACCGAGGCGAAGATTGATGAACGACAGTTTATCGGGCAACATAAACATCCATATTCCCGGTTTCTAAACCGACCAACAAGCACTATTAATAATCGCTAAGAATTCCTCAGAAAGACACACCGCATTTTATTTCGACAGCGTGTGATCGGCGGGACAACATGTCGCGAAAAAAAACACAACTGTAATTACCATTTACCAACATAATCCGACTGTGCAGCGCTATTTGGCACGTAAATGACAAGCAATAAAGTTCACCGCGATACATTATCATATATACCAGCGCGCGTTCGATTACCGTACCATTTGATGTAATCCGCGCCGTATGTCGTCATGTCCACGGGTTATTTCTCCAAGGAGTAATTAACAGAATCAATTTCATAAACAAGAAGGATAAACTCAGCAAAACGAATATGTATTGAACGGAGGGATTCGCAGCCGCAACAGCACACTGTGTAATGGTGTGTAAGCGGCACGGATTGCTGTTTTTGTACGACTGCCGGCGTCATGAATGTGCAAGTGTGCAGTGTGCGTGGCGGGAAGAAGTTAACCCGCGCCGGTGAATGGTGCGATATTATTCGTGTGTATTGTGTACGGTATGGAAATCGGATCGGCTGGACTGGAGGTGGGCGCCGGGCGTATGATTGGGTGTCCCGCCTAACCGCCGTTGAACATCACCCCCACCAAATTGACATCACAATCACTAAAAGGGATCTTCCGGGATGTCAATGTACACATGCACTATAACTGGTTATATCTGTCCACCGATCCCATTATCCGCGCTCTGACACCTGTCAGCCGTATTTTATCACTTTTTCAGGGGTTTGATGTTGTTTGCGTACAATCTGTTAATGTTATTTAATACCAGATCCCACAACGTGACAACCGATCAATGTACACTGGTACACAAAAAGAAAGTTTGCGTGTTTACAAGGGAATCATGCATTGCAGCTGTACACTGTTCTGATTCGAATCTGCATCTCTGGACTACACATTATTTAGCAAACTTTGATTGTATGCAAAAGCCACAATTATGCAACTTAACAATTCATATAAAAGCTGCAGAGTAAACCATAGGCACTTCGGCAGTATCGTTTACTACATAAAAATGACCTTTTTATATGCCGCAAATGATCACACTGAGCAGAAACGCACATATCTATATATCATTGTATCAATAACGGACACATATCATTTATGTCTCACAATTTTTGTACAACTGATTACAAAGCAGTTAAGCATAGACTGACAACAATAATATTTTCCTGTAACATCTCTTTCAACATAAAATTTCATACTTCGTTTGAGTTTGTTAACAAAGTGTTCCGTAAGTGCACCATGTCTCTCTGTACGAGTATATCTGACTTGGTACAACACTGCTGCATTGTTGCATGATGTGGCTAATAATTATATCGCTTGACGATACGGGATTTTTTCAGCCGGTGATCACGTACTCCATTAACCCGAACAGACTTCCTTCTTTTCTGGACGTATTTGTTCGGCCAGCTGATCGTGCCGGTAATACTGCGCATCTGTGCACACCTCGACTGCCGGCTCACGCATAGCGCTCATCGTCGGTTAAGTGTCGGAGGACTCGCTTCCTGGGAAAGACTGCGCAACCCGGCTTATTCCGGAAGGCGATAAACCAAACGATCATGGACAGGAGGACCACGGCAGTTAGCGTCCCCGCCACCGCAATAATAATGATTTGTACGGCTGGCATGCGTCCCGCACCGAAAGACTCTGCAAAGCAGCCAAGCACGTGGTAGGGAAATGCGAATAATTAATTCTGATTCAATGCGTTGCTGAAGCGCAAGACACATCGGTTAATTTTTCATCCGGTGGGATGCGTAATGTTTGTTAACGGGTACTGCTAATTTCTTATCGTAATATCTTATACTTGAGTAACCTTCGTGTTAAATTTGACACCCAATTTTGTTTGTGATTATTTTAAGCAAAGTCACTAGTACTTTAATTTATTATGGTATTAATTTGCTTTAGGCTTAAGTGCCGCGTATCTCTGCACAACATACGAATGTTATTTTGGAAACAACCGCAGCCAGTAGTTAAAATGATACGATTTGTAGTTTCAACAAAAAATAAAATTAATAATATGAGATAGGTAAATTCCACTGTAGAAGATATAAATGTGCACATACATATTTGTAGCACTGTAGCTTGAGGATATTGTATAGTTTTAACTATGGTTACAGCGGACATTGCATCTTCCAGGAATTGGCCGTGTTAATAATTGTTACTTACTTTGGCTTGTACCAAGTAAACGCGTTTCTTCTAGGCTCGTATTCAGCGGAATAATTGTATGTTTGCTGGGTAGAAAGGTATTATTCACGCCGATCCCGGGGTCGATTAACGCATTGACCTTTGTCGGCCTGCTTGTTTTTATGCTGTCCGGGAATGTTCGACGTGCCGGTGCCGCGGCCATTTCACTTACCGGCACAGCGGGATGCAGCGCCGGTGTTTCTTGTCGGTGACCTTGAACGCTTTTTACCGGTTCATCCCCGTAAAACTGGCTGATCTTTTCCGGCGTGTCATATTGGCCGGAGGGGATGGTTAGCGGTTTAATAAGGGGCGGAACGGGATCTGCGGATGTCGTATGGCTGTTGTTGCTGTTGCTGCTTCTGCGATCGGCAGTGTTGGCTAATTGGCTGGCGGATGTGATGTTGTTCAGTGCGGGCATAAATGCTACTCTGGGGGCACTGTCCTCACCAGAGGAGATCCTTCCGGTTGAGTCAGCGGGATGGGTAGCACCGATTCGTGTAACCTGGTGCTGTGCGTCCATGCCCATGCTGTGCACCCATTCAGAATTAAATATACATTATGTTTTTGACAGCTCACAATTGATTTGTTAGAAACTATTTTCCAAGTCTAGTAGAGCGGATGTATTCCGCTGTTTTTCCGGGCTGTTGTTCATTTGTGACAGGTAAAACATCCGTCATATACGTAGTACTAATTCCGCTTCGTTCGAAAAGCTATAGTTAACTTTCTATTTACACTTAACAGTGTTGTTAGGATGTAAACAGCCTCTCACACACGTAGCTCACAATTTTCGATATTGCTATATACCATTTTGTCAGAATAAATTTTTAGAAGCATGGTAATCATATTTATGAATTGATGTTCGTTAAATTTTAGTAAATTACTGCCCTCACCCAGTCTGAATTTGGATTACTGCTGGCTGATAGTTGCAGGAAATCCGGAAGGACTGATCGGTGCCAAGAACAAGAGTGGGATGCTCCTAAAATTGTTGGAAACCATCACATATAATCATGTTCGAAGAACTAGGCACTTCCTTAACTGAGCGCGCAGTCATGTACACATACAGGATGCGAATGCGAAATTTTCATGACGCGTACCTGTATCTGCACGATCGCCTCCATAATTGTCCCGTTCTGCGGTCAAGCAAAACAACTTGTTATTAAGTATAAAACTTTCGGTAATTACCAATATGTTGTGCTACTCTACTAATATTGATAAGTGCTACCGCAAAAATTCGTAATAATTCAACATGCAATAATGAGCCTAATAAGCAGCAGACGGCATTACATACATCATGGAATTCCACATTACAATCGGTATGGTTGATAATTAGGTAATACATCTGTTGCGCCGCTCCTATCCCCTTAACTGAGCAATGTTTCTGTGGACTTCCGGATTTTTGTACAGAAATTGTGCCCTCAAAGCTGTCACCGGTTTCCACTGTCACATTCGTTCGACCTTTCAGGCAGTCGACATTTCGAATCGCGTCTGCAAAACATAAAATTGTCACATTAAAAATTTTTACATTAACTTAATTTGTTTATCAGGATTAATCATTCTGTTGCATTAATATGCGTACGTAGACGAATTGCTTTATTAGTGCAGCACAAATTGTAACATTTGTTGCAAATGCGCAGTAGCCATAATTTACGATTATTATAATAAATAAAATTACTAGAAAAATGCGTGTATATACAACAGATAAAAGGCATTAATTCCAAATTGCACAATTCGTTATATTGTTACGCATTCCGAATAGTGAATGGGTTTCACCAATTCCATAACACATTCCTGGGACGATTGCTGCTATTGCAAAAGCTACGCTTAATCTATCTGTACTCTGTGCATGCGTGGGTACGTACACTTTTGCGTTTCTATCGAAACTGCTCGATCACGATCAAGTTTGATTTTACTGGCAAACGATGCGGAACCGGAAAGCGCATTATTTGGTGTCCCGTTGGACATATGTCTGCCGGTGCGATTGGGCAGCTGCTCCACCAGAACCAAATATTTTGTTGCCGGTCGGAGTTCCCTTAAGGTCACCTCGGTCCGGTTCGTCAGCGAGGCCCGACAATTTTTAGGCTCATTATCCCAGGAATAATCCTCACAGTATCTGACTAGGTAATCCACAGAATTTTCACTGATCGTGCTGTTTGCGGATGACAGCGGCGACCACTGCAGATAAATACTGCGCAAATCACTTTTGCAGATTTTGCGAAAGATAGCGGTTTTCCACATCGCTTGTCCTGGACAAAGTTAATCATAACTTTTTCGAAGAGCATAACGTCTTCTGACACGGTATGCTTCGGCTTGTCACATATAACAATAAAGACGTACCAAGTGTTCGGTGTCAGTAATTACAAGCTAGCTATCATAAGTATTAATACAAATTACACATTGATCAGTCGTCACGGAGCACGATTTCGGATGCATCAAACATTATTGTTGCTCCAGTTTGCGTAGAAAGCGAAGCTGTAAGAGCATAAGATCATCATGAAGATCAAGCATGCCGAGTCAATAAAATAAGTAACTAGGTATCATGCTGAAAACGCACCTGCGAAACGAAAGTTGACGTTGTCACAGCATAAAAAATAGGTTCGGCATTAAGTTTTCCTCATGTCTCAACTCTTGTGTAATCGGCACCCCACTTCAACATGCAACATGCGTAGACAACATAATGTCCACTTTTTACACCGTTCATCTACCAAAGACACCATGCACACAACTTGTGTGCATGAACAATACGACACCTGTTTTTTGTGCTACTGGTGAATGGGGCTTTATCGTCAGAAAAGGTTATGTAGTGCTGGGCCAGCTGATTAGTTATAACACGCTTAAAAAATTTATTAGGTTTATCATAAACTGCAAATATTCCAAATCAAAAGTCGCAAAAACACGCCTTTCTAATAGCCATACGAGTAACAAAATGCAAGCGCGAACAAACTTCTTAATAATTTAAAGTTTGAAAAAGACAACCAAAATGTTGAACTGGCATATGAATAAAGATTTACGTACTGAAAGAAGTAACTTGACATAAGTTAAAATTGTTTCTGGCGCCTGAATTATAATATTCTAGATATGTCTTTTAATGGGACATAAGTAGTAAATTGTAATACTGAAAAAAGATACTGTTTTGGCTTCTGAAAAGTAAGATTAAAATCATTGTAGAAACAGTTAGAAGAAAAGAAGCTCTCAAATGGTAGTGAATCAAACTGTCTACCCAAATGACAAAATCGATAAAACTGGATCCGCACACACCATTACTGGCATTTGCCAACATATGGACATCGTAACAATTGTAGTATATAAAGCAGTAGCACTGTTCTAGTTTTCATAAATTTAGTAATCTGCATAATTTTATTGGCCGGTGCTCGCAGTGATGAATATTTAAAAGAATGTTTAAAATCATACACATTTGAATTTTGGAATGACATTATATTTGTAACTAGCAAATGGAAATTAGTAGCACTACCGTGAATTTCACTCGCTAGAGGGCAAAAAATCGCGCATTCTGAATGTAATACTGATCTGTACATATGCACGCACTGACCTCCTGCAGCTGGCCGGGCTATAAATTTTTTCACGAGTGAAATGATAAGCAAGTGATGAAAAGTTACATCTCCAAAAACAAAATTCAATCTTAGCGAAACTACGTATTAAGGACTATTTAGTTAGGAAAAATTCTGAAAATTTAGGTGTTTCTTTGATTCGTTTAGGAGATAAAAGGTGAGGTCTTACCGTGTAGGCAAACCGCTCTGGGAATACAGGTGCTGCATATCCAACAAAAGCATAACAAAACGCTTCGAATATTCCATGACAGTCTGCAGTATGCACCACAGTGTGACAGCAAACGCTTTATGTCCATGTTATTTCATCCTGCAAGCTATCCAGTTAGCATAGTTCTGAACAATTATGATATTATCCATTCGAAACAAGCTTCAATGTCTGGATCATAACTGAGGAGAAAGGAATTGTTCCTTTTCCAACTGATTAATGGAAAAATTAAACCCTTCAAACGAAATTTTTGGTTCGTTTAATTTGAATTCGTGACCCGCATGTTGCAGTTAGGAGCAAATCATATTAATATAAAGGATGACTTTATCACAGATAAAGGATATAAGTCACTATAAGGAAGCTTCACGCATGTCAAACACTGAGCAAATATTAGCTAGACGGCAATATTTCCGGGTTACACATTAAGGACCACCAACGTTGTGAATAGGAGCAACAGGTAGCATAATTATAATGTATTTGTACATTTCACTTATAACTGTAAGCATGGCCACTGTACACTGCATGTGTTCAGTGACACTACGACAGGGCCCTGTTGACATGCAGTGGAAGTTGTGTGTGTGTTGTTTTCTGATTCTCAATGTCCCCATTATTGTAAGTAATGGACATTGAAAATAAAAGATTTGTTCAAACGTCTTACAACTCCACCCACAGTTGCAACAGAATAACGCTTTTTAAGCCATTCTTACGTGACTAAATACAGACTAATGCGGTCAACGTTGACTGTTGTGGCGTGCGTAAACTGTACTTAAGCTAACGTTACGTTGCCGGCTCTACTGCCCAAATGGTAGCCTTTGGCTCCAAGTGCAGATACGTATGGCTAACGATGATTGCTTGAATTATTTTTTTAATTACTGGATGTACCGGCGGAGTCGTTTAGTTCCTCGTTGTTGGATGTGAAGATCGAAGATTCAAGCTCTTCACTTCACCGTCAAAGAAGTACAGTAAATATTCCGTTGCCAATACTGTACGCCAGGAACAAGTGTTCGTATTCTTGCGCGTTTTCAGTTTACTGGTCATGTGGTCCTGGCCATTTAGTTTTATTGGTCATTCGGTCCCGGACCGAATGTAAGAGAATTTTGACTTCCATTGTACATTGTGGCGGCACGGGCGCCTACTAAAAAATCTGGGCAAAACGGATTGTATATTATAATGCATTAAAATAAATAAATCAGTACATCAGTACGAGTATTAACTCGTACGCCAGTATTAACAACCGTACATGCAATTGTGCGAATGCACTGGCTTTCAAGAAATGATTATTATGTTTACGTTAACAGTTTTCCATTTGCAGTTCTCTGATCACACAAAATACGATGTTTATGGAATATGATAGACTCTTCCAAGATATACATTATCGCATGTATGATCAACAATTGAACAATGGAACAATGATCGTGATTGTAACTGCCGAGCCCGCACCGGTGCGTCAATAGTCATATATCTGTAAATTGGCTGCTTTGTTAAAATAATCCCATGCGAACGCACGCGAGACACGTACGATCTTTGAAATCTTATTGCATGCCGTTTTGCAACTTTCACACTTTTAAAGCAGCTGGTGTAGTCTGTACGAGCAGATCATGCAACAGATCTTCAGTACTTAATGTAATGGTAATGGGAACACTGGACTGGAAAATTTAACCACCAAAGGTCATCCCTGCAAAACCGTCATAATTGCAGACTGCAGTGATAGATTATGTTATCCGTAAAGGTACTAACCATAAAGTAGCACTTATTGCTATGTACTTAAGTTTGTTTCAGGTGGGAATAATTACAAGTTTGCAGTGTAAGGATAGAATAGCTTGAACAGAAGCATAGGCATGCTTCTGATTTTGGGTGTACGGTTGCGAAATCAGCATATCAAACCAAATCTCCTGATCCGTTGAACAAAACGTTTCCGTTTCTGCTGTTGCTGAATGGGTTCACAGTGCACACAGTCACACATAGGTACAAATATTACAGTTTATTGGTTCGGTAATCTCGCTTCCCACGTTCACAGTTGAACTGCTAATTCAGATTTAATTAGAAGACCTTGTCCATCAGACCGGCGCTGAGCAGCGGCAGAATGTTAGCAAAACGTCTCACAATTAGCGGCAGTTTCCAGCTAAAAAAGTCTTTAATTATCTATAATCGGTTCCGAAAGAAACCGCCAAGAGTGTTGTTCAAGTACACTGACTACTCCAGTTCTTGAAGTTGTTACTATTTACTATACGATATTCGCAGTTGGAATCAAATGTAAAAGTAAAACAAAATAAGTCAAACTTTAACAAAGAAGTACTCTGGCAACTTTGGTACAACCATTTTACTATTTCAGTACTTATTTCTTACTTAATTTACTAATTATTCGTTTTGTTAAAGTTAATTAAATAAAAGGCCAGGTTTATTAATGCGAGCTATGATTAGAACAAACTTGCTTTACAGAAAAACCGAGAAGCTTACAACGCAACAACAAAACATTGTGCGCTCTCCGTGATCTTATACTTAATTATTATTGAAACCTTAGTACGGTTCATAACTTCATAATTTATAGTTCATACTGCTTGTGTTTGTGCTGTGTATCGTTGTACGAGACTAATAATACGAGTACAATACATACTGTAAGTACTCGTACGTCACTTCCGGCTGCAAAATATTGCAGACACTACTCTAGAGTCTAGACAGGCAAATGTAAATTTTTTTCTGCTTTTCAGCTTTTCATTAATTTGTGTTACAGGCATAATTTCTACAGATAAGTCTACTTTTACAATTTTCCCATATACAGTCGTGATTTTTAACTGTTTTACCTAATTAGTTTTATCTCCATTCACCACCACAGCATGCACAGCAGCGTGTCATCAGCGGCCGGCGGCGCTTGTCTGCTCATCAAATGGCCGCACGCCACGGCTGACGAATCTTATCAGCGCAGCATTATTGTCTTCCATCCTGCGATAAATGCGACTGCGATAAGAGCTCTTTTCCGCGTATTCCCTACGCTCTCCTAAATGTTCTCTCCTGGATGACAACGCTGCTGACTGCATCATGGCGAAATCGACAATGGTCGCATACCTTTGCTGGCTGTTTGGTGGTCTGTTGGGACTGCATCATTTCTACTTGGGTCGGGATCGTCATGCCTTCACCTGGTTCGCCACTCTCGGAGGGGTCTTTGGATTGGGATGGCTGCGCGAAGTGACACGCTTGCCAGCGTACGTGGCGGAGGCCAATCAGGGCCAGGAGTACGTGGAGAAGCGGACGATCAAAATGAATCTGACCAAGAAGCCCCCGTATAATTCCACACGGATGGCGGGGCAGCTCATTATGGGCACGCTCTTTGGCTACTTGGTTTCACTGGCCATTCCCTCCGCGGAAGAGTATCCCACGGTGCACCGCTGGTGCATACTGCTCGTTCCGTTCGCCATTGGACTGGGTAATGTTTTTGAGAAATTGTTTTCTTGGAGCGATGGTGTTTTTTATAAGGACACATCGACAGCAGTTAGGCTTTTTGAAAATTTGTTTTGTGAAACTATAAAACTAAAAAAGGAAATGCGCTGCGTTTTACAAAAAAATAGCTGTCCAAGAAACTGATAGTATGGTGGTGCAAACAAATATAAACTGTAAATTGTTGCACTATTTCTGTATGTGAGTATGATACGGCATAAATAACCGTATGGGCAGTTGTGCGTGCATTTTGCTGCTAGTTTTAATATTTGAGTTGGTTCGAAATTTCCTTGTGTATACCTTGAATTCTGCTACCCTTATTTACGGAAATAATGTATTTAAAAATGTGCTCTTGCTGTAGTTGTTTATTTGTTTTAAATTGGGGTGAATGCTGTCGTAACTTACATACAAATATTGCGTGTGCGCTTGTAAGTTGCTGCTGACAGCAGATACGAAATATATCCATAACACAGTGAAAATATCCAGCAGGTTTAATACTGTTGTTTTTAGGCGTTCATCTGGTGGGAAATATCGGCATGGAGCGAGGACGTTTGTTGTGGCCAGTTGTGGGTGCATATATAGCCTCGCTGGCCTTCCTCTTCCAGCCGAAATCCATTGCGTGGGCCGCGGTCAGTTCGGCCTTCATGTTCCATTGGAAGTCCCGCGACTGGGTGCGCCAGCCCAAACGCAAACGTCATGTGTGTATCCGCTTAGCGACACTGGGCACCGCGGCCACCGTGTACTTAGCGCTTTGGGGATCGTTCCTGTATTTCAACGCCAGCTGGACCAATCCGGATGGGACGAGGACGTCGGTGCGGGACGCAGTGGACAACTTCTTCCACAGTAAGGCGTGGTTGGATATGAAGAATTCCTTCGAGCAGCTCAGGGTCTATGTTCAGCATCATGGCTGGCAGAATGTCTTGTATCAGTTGATTGAATTTATGGATGTCAACGGAGATACACGAGCCTATCAGGTTAGTGGTTCTGGCAGAATAAGGGACTGTTATATTCATAATTTCATAGATCAGAAAACGGTATATTGCTGACCATTTTTACAGCTTTCTTGAAACATTTGCGGATTGTTGGTATGAGAAGTTTTGATAAATATTTAGATCGTGGGCTTCTTTTCCTTGTATTAGTGGAAAACTGTGAATTTAAAATGGGGTTTTACATGCAGATTCTGGAAATCCGACCGGAATCGACAATGCAGGAGGTCACAAACAAGTACCGGAAATTATCGCGCGAATGGCATCCCGATAGACACCGGGATCCAGAAAAGAAAGCCGTAGCTCAGAAACGCTTTATTGAAATAGCGCAAGCCTACGAAAAGATCTCTGCTAAACGGGCAAAAGAAGGGAAGACGGCTAAGTCAACGAAAGCTTCCCATTCCGAGCTTTAGTGCTGTGCTCCACGGCTCGTATTAGCGGTGATTTATGCTGCATGGAGAATAAGTTTAGTCTCGAACGTGATTTGTTTCTGGCACCACTGGACGGAGAAGTTTCGTAATTTGTGATAGTTTTTTGTACCCGGTATTAAGGTATAGTCAGGGTCACTACTGTAGTATTTACTGACCTCCCTGTTGTTATACGTATAAATTTGTGCTTGTTGTTATCATGTATTTTTATCTGCGCTGTGTTGAAAGGATTGTTATAGAGTTCCATTAACTTGTGGAAGAAAAGAGAATCTTCCAGTGCAACCTTTCCGTGCATTCTGCAATATTGGCGACTTTCATATGATGCCCGCGATTTTACTTTGAAAGCTAATCTTACAATTTGATTCAATATTTCACCACGTCGAAAAATCATTTTCCTGCATTCCTCCTTCATTCCTTATTACGATTCAAATAACAAAATCCTTTATCATCCAAGCAAACAAGAAAGTACCCATCAGAAAGCGAAACCCGTCGGGTTTCTGTATAATTTGGCAATATTTGCATACATTTAAACTTATTTACATAGTGGAACGTCGCGACCCACTGGACTTGACATTCTGGTCATATTCATATTCCCGAAGATTGGCTCGTTCAAGGAATTCTTTCCGGTCCAGATATCCCCCTTTGCCTTTATTGAACTGAGCTAAATCTTCGTCCAGGCCGTGGTCATTTTTATACTTTTTCCAATCCAACTGAGATTTATCCTAAAAAAATTCTAGTAAGCACTAATATACAAAAGAAATGGCACAAGAAATTTCATACCGCTGAAATTTCTTGTGCCAATGGCGTACAACACTTTTCAACTCACCAATGTGGACATTTTCTTCTTGCCGGATAACTTTGCTAATACTGATCCCAGTCCCGTCACGGGGCCACTAGGCGCCTTCGATGAGCTATAAAAATAACGAAGGAAATACAGATTTAGAAATTACAAAATTCTTCTGCAGCAGCCATACTGAGCAAGAAATAAATTATTTTCCTAAGCACGACGATCCGTATTATACTACCAACTTTGATATAAAAATAACTATGAGTATTATCAATTGTAGTCCATTTAAAATCTCTGAAAAATATTCTCGTATAGAAGTACTTGTAAGTCAAATAAAAATTTTTACTTGAAACAGATTCTTCCTTCAGATGCTAACCAATAACCATGCTATTAATGCAAAGCGCAGCTACAGTATTTTAAAAGTACTGAGTAACGGCATTTATCTCGTTGACAAAAAAGAAATACTCACATTACGGTACAGACAGGCAACAACAGTTGTGCAACACATGATAATCTGCAAAGCTGTTTACCAGCTGCACCGCTGCAGTTATGATTTTACGTTTACCAACACCCTTCAGGACCAAGTAGCAACAAACCTGGCATTCTGCGAAGGTGAAGGTGCAACGGCTGATGTCGTGGAATCCCGAGACGTAGAAGACACTCGGCCGCTGCCGTTCTTGTCGTCCACTGCCGAGCCTCTGTTCGAACTGGAGTCGTTAGGGTTAGGGCTGGGTGTGGATGATGAATATACATTGTCGGACGAAACTCCGGAAGCGGGAGCGTTAAAACTGTGGACAGTTGTGGCTGACGCGGGTTTTTTCGGCATGCAAACGAGAGTCTCGTTGCTCGTAGTCTCATCATTATCATTATTGTCCAAATCATCCCCGTATTTGCTTTTCTTCTTCCTACAAATCGACAGAACTTGCGGATGACTGCTGCGTGAAAAACATGTTGAATCTACCGCTTATCACCATCTAACTTGCGAAGATAACGAGTTCAACAGTACTTTACTGCAAGCGCTCTCGCAGTAAAATAATCAATCAAAGAAACTAAGACAGAAATCTTCCAAATTTTTCCTTTGCAGTAGTGTACGTAGTTTGTTAATAGACTCGCCAATTACGATGAGGGGAACTTATTTCGATAAGCGCCACGAGAAGACATACCCTCGACTGTTAGCTTTCACGCGAATTTTGCGCTTTCTCTTCCGTTTTCCAACATCTAAGTCAGTGTCTCCGCCGCTGCTCGGCTCCAGATCGGCTTCGCCAGATTCACTTCCTTCCTCTAAACATTGCGAAATCGTTTCACAACAACGAACCATAAGCTTTACTTCACAAATTACAGCAAATCGCCACAATACAACACTTATTATCAAATCAATAGGCGCATAATAGTCACTGTGTACGGTACGGGCCACGGCGTATGTTTATATTGACGAAATCAAAATGCAATTCATTCCTAAAACTAAAAACTTACAGTTTTTAGCGAACTATTAAGTTGATTTCAAGACTTCTTGCACGCTGAGATTAAAAACCAAACAACATCAAGATGGAAAAAGAATACACAGAAAGTACGGCTACGCACCCTCGACTTCCACATGTTCCGGTGGAACGTAATCGTCGTCGCTCTCGTCCGTGCTGTCTTCATCCGCATTGCGTCGATACTGCAAAGCCATTATCGAAATGGCTAATGTAATAATAAATAATTCATGAAGAGTCCAAAAGTAAACAAAGACCACTTACAAAAAAACTGTAATATGTAAACTGTGACTTGAAATGCCGTCAACTACGTAAGTAAAAACACTTGCTCAGGTTTGTTTTGGGTTCGCAAAATGAACTCGATATGTTATTAGAGTAGAGCATATCGACTAGAGATTTGGTGCACAGTTCGGTACAAAACTCAGTAGTACGTCGGTGTGCAGTGCTACTCATGATACTGCCGGCTGTTCATAGCGAGTATTAGCGACTGACCACCAGAGCTGATAGGGCTGCTATCGAGCCGTTCGGTTTGCGACTGGCCGGGTTGGTCATGCTGAAATTGTCCGACCAACAGGCTTAGGCTGACCAATCATCATGTTAGTTTGACCTGTCCGCATGACTAATCGCGCAGCGATGCACACAATCAGATAGTACGGTGGCTCGCTGAAACGGTTTCTGGTTCCACAATGTTGTGTTTACCACTCGAACACATTCCCATCCAACTCAAATGGAGCGCATGTCAGATTGATGATTTATTTATAGAAAGTTTTAATTTGAACAGGTTAAATATTATGCGAATGCCAGCGGTGGCAGACCGACTCGTGAGCGGAAGAGATATGTATACCAGGCGCGAAGGGATTATGAGCTCGTCGCTCAAGTTTTAATGAGGAAGAGAAAGTCAGACTGCAGCGATACAACGAATGCCATATTATAATTCTGACTTCTGGAAACTCGCCAAACGAAGTCTTGTTGGTCCCTGCATCTTCTGATAATGCTGTAAACTTCCCCTGGATGAAGCTGTAAATTCATTATGGGCGACCGTTTTCGTGTTACGAAAGTGGACGATGGAGCTGGCAAAACGTCGGAGTTTATCCCACATGTTAGGACCACATCGCCGCCGCCTCCGCCGCAGGTTAAGCAGTTGAACTTTTGCTAATTTGTTATTTTGTTTACATTTGGGTTTCATGTTCGTAATCACGTTACATCTGTAGAGCAGAAGTGGAAATGTTGCGATTAATTCACAAGCGATTAATGCACATTATCACAGCAGGGAAAGGAAATTGCTGCGGTAGTTCTGTACTTAATATATATTATTTCGGTAAATGGTATTTCCTTTACGGTCCCGAAGTGTTAAAAAAGTTATTTTGTGTGTTCGGACTTGGTGAATCCGAGTTCTTTGGTTAATTTTGTAGAAAAACCGTACTTTGATATCTTTGGATTATTGTGTTTTTTTTTTCAGGAAACGGACTCGAAGCGAAATTCGCAGCAGGAATCGGGCGACGGTTTCCCCGTTCGGCATGGTGTTGCACCGGAAGTGACGGGCAGCCACCTTCCGGAGAATGGCGTTTTTCTTCGGAAGAATAATAATGCGTTGCGCCATCAGGCGTCTTCATTGAGTGAAGGTAGGGTTTTGCCTACAGGACCTTGTTTGTGCTGTGTGGAATGTCAATAGTGCAACTGTTTGCACGAGCGGAAATGTTAACTCGGCCTTATCAACCTTGATAGGACCAGCTTGCTGTTGGCCGTTGCCGTCAGTAGGTTGGTTCAAAAATATCGATTTCGCGCTGTAATTGTTGCACACTTTTCAAGTGATGCGCCGACAATCCGATCTATTGTGTACTTATTTGTTTGTTGCAGATTTTTATACTTTTACTGTTGCGCAGTCAGTTTGATGTATTAGCGCATCATTGTTCGTGTCAAGTTTTATTTAATGACGGTACTTTTGGAACAATGCTTTCCGGAAGCCGGTTCTTTTGGTTTAAAAAATTACTGCTTTCACACTTTCCGTCAGTCTTGAACCCAAAAAGTTTGTTTTCTCGACGTTCTTAAAGCCATCTTTAACACTACTTCGTAGTTAGTTTTTCTCTGTGGTGTTTGTTACAGTATACTGACCCTGATCAGGCGCCAGGTTGCGCGATAAATACGATTAGTTAAATTTTAGATGGAATCATGAATGTACTCTGTACTTGTTCATCTGTGTTGTTTTTGTGAATTTTTAGTTTCTAGTAAATGGTAAACCTTTTTGGGAAGTGCAGTATTAAAAGTGCAGGTTCCTTGGCAAGTTCTTACAATGTCATGGTCAGAGTAGAAATCTGGTATGGCTTCCGAGGACGACGGAACTCATGGCACTCTCAATTTGTTATGACGAGCACCACCTTTTTGCCACCAAAAAACCGTGACACGAACCGAAAGCGTTAGCGCAGGCGCATCGTTCGGTTTCGCTTACATGCACATTAAAATCAGATATGCATTAATTCATGTTTGGCTATGGCATTAATGAAGCGTCTATCATTTGTCGGGAGCTGGTTTTTTGCTGATCTGAAGATGATGTCGGCACTCCGGTGGTTGTTTGGATTTGTGCTCTACAAATGGCGCCGTTAAACCGGTGCGGTGTGGTAGGCAGATGGCTAAATGTCAGGCGATGAATGTGTTGCGCTGATCGTTGCCGCTTTCTGGATGATATGTGTGCAAATGTCAATCGACATTTTTTCCCTGGCTCCAGCCTCAGCCGGGAAGTGACTGACATACCGATACAGACGAACGTGTTTTCCCCTTTACGCAACACACTGTCGCTCAGTGCCCATTGGTGGCCGGTGACAGTTGCAGATTTTTGCAACATATGCTGTAATATGTGCGCTATGCCACTGTGCGGCGGATGCGCGAGAGTCGGTCAGAGATGGTTTATTTTATTTGAAGAGTATAACGCTTGTGTTAGGATAATGTGATTTATGATCAGTTGCGGTATAATATGGCGTCGAATCGGAGACGCAGTACTCTGAGTATCGGAAGTTTACAACAGTTTTTTATTCCACGATCGTCGTCGGCCACTAGTAAAATATCTTGGAAATCTACAGGTGACGGGGAGCGGCCTTATACAATTAATTTTGACCAGACGAAAAGGGAACAGCTCTTCTTATTCCAGGTAAAAAGTCTGCAACAAAAATGATTTTCTTGGCGATAATTTTTGAAACTTATAACTTTTTATTATGAATCGAAAAATCCCGTTCTGTTTGAAATTTTGTTGCAGGACGTTGTTACAATCCAGGCGAAATGTCCAGCGACTTTGTTACAGTTCTTTCAGACGTTCATTTTCTCACAATTTAAATTTTTGTCTACGCGCTGATTCGGAAGCAGAGGTTTAGACGATTTTATGTGGCCGTACTTTGAATTTGCAGGAAGATCTTGATGAAGGATTGAAAGTAGGAGCATTTCTTCATCAGCAAACATGTGGACCAAAACCGTCTGCCCAGCCGGCAAATACCGGTTCGAAAACACTGATCTCAAAGGTAAAGGTTATTGTGGTAGCTTCCTGCTAGTTCTTTTACTGACACGAAGTACAGCGCAATACTCAGTATTATAATTTTATTCTAAGTATTTACCTCTACGAGGCTTCGGATTGAATGGTTCTTAGATTATTGCTTTAGATGGCTTTGTTTTTCCTTTTTGTTGTGATTCTGTATCATCTGTAACTTGTGTTGTAGCCCGCTCCGAAAATGGGGACGCTGATGGGCGTATTCCTTCCATGTATTCAAAACATATTCGGCGTGCTGATGTTTATCCGCCTTCCCTTTATTATCGGGACTGCCGGTGCACTGGAGAGTCTGTTGATTGTCTTATTGGCTTCCGCTACGGTTAGCAAAAAATCGTTGGCGCTTTTCCCCTACCGTATTAGAATTTTCCATATTTATGTATTGTTGTGTCTTTTGATACGCAAGTACGTAGTGTTTTCGCATTCCTTAGTAAACCATTTACGCAGTAAACGAAATTACAGGTTTTATTTGAACGAACTAACGCTTCAAAACTATTATCAACTAATAGGTCCACAAAATATAAAATTAAATATACCTTTGGTCTAGGGAAGTTTAAATTAATGATATTCTTATGACAGTAAAATCTTTCTAGAACTATGTATTTGCGAGAATTAATAAGGATACTTCTTTCACTTAATTTAGATTATGCGTTCTTGGTGACCGCCTTCTAGCCAAGCCGTATGCTGAACCCTGCGAGAAAAATGCGTCCTCGCCACTATGGAAAGTCTTCTGCTCGAACTCCTCTTTGTCAAGTTGTGATCCATATTTTCAAGAGCAGACGATGCACGAGGAATTGGCTTTTCCGGGCATGCGGGTGCCGAGCACATTTTATAGTGAGATTATGCGACACCATATTATCCATGGATTATGTTGTAATTTCCAACTTATTATTAGACAATACGTTCAACCAGTATGCGGTCACGAGACAATATATTTCCCATGGAGCAGAAAAAGTTTTCGCATCACCCGAAACCCCTTTCTATGCATCACAAGGATATGTGATTGCCGATATTACCGGGAGTTTTACGCTCTTGTTGTCCATATTTTTCCCCGCTGTTACAGGTGAACACTTAAAGTTTCATATTGAAGTGGTTAACTGGTTTCGTTAACTGGTTAACTGGTATGGTTGGTTTCGTTAACTTGAAGTGTTATAGAAATCTTTAAAGTGAGCTATATTAATATTGCTTGGAATCGAAAATTGCAATCATAATTTGCAACAGTTCTTAACTTTTAATTTAATTAGTACAGTAATGGTTTTTTTAATAATTTTTTAGGTATTATGGCTGGTTCGAATCGATCAGGTAAGAAATCAAAGCTTTTGTTGATTTGATGTTGAAAAACTGCTTAAGAGAGACGTACCATTCAAAGGCGATCTGAGTAATGTTCAGCGCTCGATTCCCCTGGGAACAATTTCGGCTGTGATTTTCACCACCTGCACCTATATCGTTCTGGTGTTTTGCTATGCCGGAAGTGTCAACTCGTTGTTACTGCGCGATAAATATGGGTTAAGCATTGGTGGGCGTCTGGTGTCGGCGGAGATTGCCTGGCCGCATCCTCTTGTGCTGCTTATTGGGGCCACAATGTAAGCGAAACATTTTTGTCAATCAGAAATTTATTGCTTTAATTTAAAGTTTGCCTTTGTAAAGTGTCGATTTTTTTGTGAAGCTGCAATGTCGCTTGATAGGGATGTACTACAAAAATCAGATAATCTTTCACCTTCTAAGTTTAACGTTTATCTACGCTTTTTTCAGAAATTTGTTAAATACCGTGTTTTGAGGAAATTGTTGCTGACAGTGCCGTCAGTATGTGTAATATCAGAAATTGAAAGTATTTAGTGCCGTGCAAGTGAATCTTCTCCGCATTTTAAGGTAGTAAATTAGTTTATAAATTAATGACAGTATTGTTTGATTTCACGGGACGAGAAGAAAGCCGTAATCCAACCTAATGCATTTTAGGGCTACAATTGGAGCAGCGCTGCAAACTTTAATCGGTAAGGCATACAGAGTAATCGCCGTAGAATTTTGAAAAAGAATTTTTCATGGAATATTTTTCTAGGTGCTCCGCGACTCTTACTGGCGATCGCCAAGGATGGTGTTATAGATTTCCTGCGCATCTTTCGAGTTGTCTCGGTGAACGGAGAACCCCGGCGCGCGTTGTTAGTGTGCCTTTGTCTGGGTGAATTAACCATTTTAGCCGGTTCGATTGATCTCATTGCGCCCATTCTTAGTCAGTAAGCGAAATGTCCAACATTGACATTAGCAATCCCGGTCAATCAATGCGTGTTGTTGGGAATGTTTACTAGGTGCAGCTTAATTTGTTACCTCTTTGTGAATTTGGCGTGCGCGCTGCAGTCTCTCATCGTAAGTGACAGACCGTTTCGATTACTGATTTGCAGGGTGAAAAATCGAATGTTTTATGAATACTTTGTGAAATACACAAACACAATGGAATAATGTGTGTATTAGGATTAGCAATGCAGGGTGACTGTCTCTTTTCGTCTGTGGAAGTAGAACAGTTTTTATTCTGAGCTGAAGTGGATCTACAGGAGTTATAACGAAAGTGATAAATTAGATTATGGTAGAAAAGGAAAAATTTCGAAATGTAGAATGTGCATGCGTGGTAGAAAATCCCGTGTTAATACGGTTTTCGGAAAGGTGCACATGCCAGTTAATCAGAGCTAATCTATGGCAGCAATAACTTTGCTTGAAAAGTTTTAGTTTTGAAATCTTTGTGCATGTATTAGTTTAAAGGAAATGATCAAAACCGGTAGTTTTAGTTGTTATACTTTAAACTAAACTACTATCTTCAAACCCACCTGGAATAATTCTTCACATTAAATTTGTCATGATTTATAATGAAGTCTCTCTCTGGTGATGTCTACTTTTTAGCGCCATCCTAGCTGGAGACCGCGTTTCCGCTTTTATCACTGGTTCCTATCCTTGACTGGCGCTGTACTGGCTGTCGCCATAATGTTTATTTCGTCCTGGTACTACGCTTGTATTGCCATTATTATGGCCACTATTGTCTACAAGTACATTGATTTTCGTGGGGCGGAAACGGAATGGGGTGAAGGATGGAATGGCTTAGCTCTTTCTGCAGGTACAATGATTGAAGCGCTCCTTTTCGATTCAGTTCTGCAAGGGGTGAAACCTCAACTCGGCTTTGCATTCAAAATAATATGCTCGTCTGACTGTGAGTGGTGTCTTTATGGGTTTTTTTCCCGCAAGGCTTATAAATCTGTTGAGTGTTACAATTATTCCTGCTCGGCTATTACCGCAGAAAATAAAGTATCGCACTTATTTTGTTGTTATAAGTACCAGATGTCTTCGCTTTCTTCGGCTTTATAGTCAGTTTTTCATTGATTAAGTGAATTATAACTTTGAGACAGTTTACTTAATTCTGGATTAGTGTTGCTGGTGGCAGATATCATTCTATGCAAAGACATATTTGCGTAAAGATAAACTAAAATTAAAGAGCCTCCTCGTTTCTCGCCGATTGAAATTTGAAAGGTCAACCAGGCTTAGTGATGACCTGTCATGCCCAAGAATAGAATTCAATACACGCGCCATATTATTACGATTATTTTAGTTTTTTTTGTATTTTTATATCATCTCTTATATAAGAGCAATATTTGGATCACGTGATAACTCGTTCAGTGATTAAGTTACTATTCGTAGTTAATTTTCGCTGATATTTTACAGCGCAGTACAGCCTGCATCGTTTGGAAGGCCAAGTAATCCATACCAAGAACTGGCGACCACAACTGCTGGTTTTTTGCCGCCTGGACGAAGACCAGAATCCTGTGCATCCGGAGTTGTTTCCCTTCGTAAGCCAGTTGAAGGCCGGTCGGGGTTTGACCATGTTTGCCTCTATTCTGGAAGGTGACTTTATCAAATGCAGTGATGATGTCCATTTGGCGAAGAAGTCTTTACGACGCATGATGGAAACGGATAACGTCAAAGGATTCACGGAGGTCCTGGTGGCAGATGACACATTGACGGGGATGAATCACCTGTATGCGTTTTGTTAGATTTGTCATTTGTGCAGTGATTCGTTACAGTTGTCGTTACCGTGTGATAGAATTCAGACGGCGGGAATTGGCGCTATGAAGCATAACACCGTTGTTATGTGCTGGCCACAAAATTGGAATCAAAATACGGAGTACAAGCATTGGCGCATATTTCTCGGTAAGACTTATATGGCTATAAGGTTTTCTTTGTTATTAATTAATGGAGTCTATATTTTATTAAATAAAGGTCACTTCTGTGCGCCCGGAAATTTTCCGGGCGCCTAGCACTTTAGTTAAATAAAATATGACTTTATTTATTGATAACAAAAACAACCCTTATAAGCAAATTTTGTTTAACCATCTGTTTGTTTTGCTCTCTTCTTTGATAGATTTTCTTTATTTAAAGTTTTCAGCTGATTTTAATTATTTTTGTTACAGCAGTCATCTCTTTTAATCTTCGGTGGTTTGAAACGCTGGTGGTCAATTTTTCTTCGGTCAAACTCGACAATTTTTCCGATCAAACGTTACGATTTGTTCAACTAAGAACGCCAAAAGGGATAGATACTCGTATTAGTTACATTACGTGTTTTGAACATCCTGTAAAACAGTGCATTTTGCAGACACGCTACGTATTTGTCATGCGGCGCATTGTGCCTTTCTTGTACCGAAGAACATTTCGTCTTTTCCAAAAAACTGCGAGAAAATACGTGGCTGTGTCGATATCTGGTGGATTGTCCATGATGGCGGATTGCTTATGCTGCTGCCGTTCCTTATGTTAAAAACCAAAACCTGGAAACACTGTAAAATGCGGTTGTTTACCGTTGCGCGTAAGTTTCAGCCTCCCGTTTGGTACTTACTGTTTATTGAATGCTTGCATTCGGCCATCTGATTAGAACTGGAGGACAATACGGTTCAGATTCAAAAAGATTTGGAGAACTTCCTGTACGGCCTGCGAATTAATGCTGAAGCACATGTTGTCGGTGAGCCGTCATGTCGACAGTCTCATTGATCTGAGATAACAGATTTACGTTCATGGTTTCAGAAATGGGAAGTGGTGATATTTCTGCTTATACCTACGAACGAACGCTGTTGATGGAGCAGCGTGTCAAACTTCTCAAGGAAATGAAGCTAACAAAACGTGAAAGCTTGAAAAATAACGTAAGGTCATTTTTCCAGTAAAAGAAACTACTTAGACGTACTATCGCAGCTCCCAGGTGTACGGAAATGTATGCATTTTGCACCCACCGTAACATCGGCGTTTTGCGTTCCGTAACATCCACGTTTTAAACTTACGACAATGCAGCTTATTTTTCAAATGGTATTTGGAATACCATGTCCTTAGGCTCATAAATGATCTTTAGAATGGCATAACGCTGCTTTATAACTAGCTAGCACTATAAATCGTTTCGAAAGCAAATCGAATGAGACTTTGTAACAGTTTATATACCGTACGTAAGCTTAAATACGTAAGCTTTTTTAAGCAATAAATCTCTTTGCGTTGCGGTATCGGCGACTGGAATATGCAACTACTTTGCGTGTTTTTAACGACGGGAACATAAATACTGAGCGTAGCACAGTTTCTAATTTTCTTCGTTCAGGTCCAGCTGATCGTGGACCAGTCGCACGCCATCAACATAACCGACTTCCCTGTGACGGCAGAACGAGCCAGAGCCCAGAAGAAAATCAGCATTAATACGCATCCCCTCATCATATCGTCTAATGTGGCGGAAGCCCTGGCCGAGCAGAGTGAAGAGGAAGCCTTGGTAGATGGTATTTCGGAAGACTGCAGCGATATTTCGACGGTGGTTGTGAACGGAGGCGCGTCGGGATCGCATCTGACGGAGCCGGAGACTTCCGAGAGTATGGATAGCTTCGAGCGGGAGGATTCTGCTGAGCCTGGTTAGTGAGATGGAATTGGCATGCGTACGGGTTTGGTGCTCGATCACAAAAAAAATTGTTTCGGTGCTACAGGAAATTCAAAGAATGGGAAGCGTTACGGAAGCCGGGTTAAGCTGACCTCGGAGTCGGAGCGCGGCATTTCAGAGCGGTTTGGAGGATCGAGACCGTATGTGAAAACAAGGGTGTTGATAAATTGATAGTGATAGATAGTGTTAGCGTGTTGATCCAAAAGTACTGGTAGCGAATTAAAGGAGGAGCAGTTAATGAGTATATACGTAAGATTTAAACGATTGGTAAAGTGGACGTAAACGAAACATAGGACCCCAGCCAAACTATTTATGAGCAAAGTTTCATATAACATTGATTGAAGTTCGGAGCAAAAGTTAACCTTAATTGTACTTTGGTAATTGCAAGTTTTCTATTACTTTTTTCTTAATTTCACGACGTTTTATGTGCGCGTGATTTGCAGATTGGACGGCAATGTCCGACGAATGCACACGGCTGTGACCATGAACCAGGTTATTCGGGAACGGTCGGCCAGTGCCGAGTTGGTCATTCTGAATCTTCCGCGACCACCCAAAAGTCATCGCGAGCCTAACGAAATGAACTGTAAGGAGCGGGAGTATATCGATAAACCTATATTTTATTTGTTTGATTGTGTTTAGAGAAATTCGCTTTTTACACCTGTAGAATTCATTTAGTATAGGATACGTAGTCGTACGTACACCCGTTTCCGACGAAAATGACCTTTATGCAAATTAACAATGGGCACTCTGCAGGCTGATTTAGTGAGTTCTTTTCTTGTCTCGTAGATATGGAGTTTGTGGAAGTGTTGACGGATGGCATGAAGCGTGTTCTCATGGTGCGCGGCGCTGGACGCGAAGTGGTCACCATCTATTCTTAATCGTCAATGTTGTTATGATGGTTATCTTTCTGTGATAGTTGACTCTGTTGAGCGTTTTCGCTGTGTTCAGCTTCTTTGAAAACAAGGTTACCCGTGCTTTCCATTTAACGAAGTTCCTTGAAATTCGTCCCTTTATTACGCTTTTTATTGTTCTAAAACCGCCGACTGAGCGCGCTGATCTTTGTAAACAGTGCTTATTTATGTACTGAGCAAATGGTTAAGTTAGTGATGAAAATTAAAATGCTTGTGATATCATCGCTGTGGAAACCAGCACACGGTGGATGTGCTCATCTGAACATCAGGGAAGCCCTTACAGTACCATTAACTGTTTTGCTCGTTTTAATGTGTGCTGTACTGGCAATGGTTTCCGGTTTGTATGCGGTACGCCTACATAATTTAACTTAAATTACACGGGGCATAAACATCCACGTATTTACCAAAAGGACAAAGCGCTTATTACAGTACTCTTTTAAGTTATATCAAGTAGAAAAACGGAGAATTTACAACAGCAGCAACGATAAACATGTGGCAGTAATTATATAAGTAATTTGCTAGTATCAGTTTATCAAAATATTTGACTGTTACAAAGCATATCGTGGCCGTAAATTCATTACCTGCGCTACGTAAATTTTGCTTCAGTAACTGGTGTTAGAGCGCTGACGAAAACTGCTATACTGGAAATGAATCCATCTTACTGCCAATCCTCCAACCCAGTGTACGCCTTGGCGGGAAGTACCTGCGTGTTGTCGCTGTACTACGCCAGAATGGCCATGAAGGATTCGCAAAAGTCCTTGGCTTCCGTTTACTATACTGGTGCTGGCATGTTCCTCGCTGTATCAGCTGTATTACTCTTCCACGGGCTAAGTACCATCTCAAGGGACACCGTCAAAGTGGTGAGAATCTAACAAAAGTTTAGCAATGGATTAATCATATTTTCAGATTGGCTGTACCGCCTATACAGTTAAGCATTTTTTACTGGTACTAGTGGTATTTATAGGATCTAATCGTAAATAATGAAACCGATTAAAAGTGAATACTTACGTGCACGTAAAAGGGAAGAGTATTGCCGCTTTGCACATTTTTTAAGCTGGTTTTTGCAATTATATTACTGTATTGGCATTGGGCACTGTATTTCAATACACGAATGGTAACGTTTTTAGGATGAAATTTACCAAGATGTGCACAATAATTCCAGATTCATGACTAAAGTGGAAAAGGCTCGTCTGTCTGCTCTGTTTTCCCAGTCAAAATATGGTGATGCACCGGTGTCCATGTGTACGTAAATAATTTACTTGCACACTGACCAGTGAGCTGCAGGTGACCTTTACCGTTGACTATGCAAAAACGTCATTGCTGATAAGAGCACGTCTGCAATACGTTTACGCAAATGCAACAATTTCGCCATGTTTTGCCAGATTCTTACATCAGTTCCATCTCGCAAGCATTGGCAGGGTTTGGCTATAACGCTCGCAGTCCTAATCCTGAAAATCCAAATTTCAACTGGGAATTGTGGTCAGCGATGCGAGGTGGGTTGGCCACATGTTTGATAGTTGTGGGTATTAATAATTATTATGAGATTGTGTATATGCCTTGTATTGTCAGTTTGTGCTTATGCCCTCCATGACTCACACTGTCACTCCAAATCAGAATATTCAGTTTTTGTAATCCGTGCCTTTGGTTTTTATAGGAAACCCAAGACCAACGCGACCAATGAACTAGTGGATTACACGTGCCAGGTTTTTGACAGAATAAGGCGGAACGATAGTGTGAGGACATAATGGAATGGCCAGCAATACGAACACGCCGTACAAAACCTGCCAAGGACCTCACTGATAGAGCACTTATTCGTAATAACAGTAAATTTTTTAAAGAAACTTTGTCAATGCACTGTCGAATGCTTTTTGCAGTTTTCCTTTATAGTTTTATCCGCCGTACGCGTGTCTTTCGCCACATTCAGGGCGCCGACAAAGTTTGCTTGTACACGTTGGTTAATTAATAACGAACACACACATCTGGAAAAAGTAGAGCTGAAAAATGGTGGTGTTCCTTAGATAGTATCACAGTAGCTTAATGTTTCACTTACCTTTTCCATTGGAAAAAAAGCAAAACTTTAATTTAATTAAACAACGCATGACTCATCCACACACGCAATTCATGATCAATAAAAATTGATAGTAAGTAACTGTTTATTGTCACAGCTAGTGCGACATACCATACAGTACACCCACCGCCAAACGCATCGACGCGTGCCGTATGGCGTGTTGTGCTGTATTACCAGCGCAAAGGTATACAGGACTGTATTGTATAGCATCCGTATCGAAAACGTAAATTTTTTGTCAACTTCTGGCATGAGAACTATCAATTGTACATTTGTACGGCCCTGATTTGTGATTTATTTCGTACTGTATCTGTATGTTGAAATAATACAAAAAATAATTTTGACATAATTCAGAGCCGTGTTTTCTAGTGTTTTATATAATGAATATATTTTTACGGCGTTATTTGTGATTTCTTCTCCGTTATCTTGGCCTTGAAGTGACAACATGGAGCAGGCACCAGCTCAACAAGAGGTGCGCATCGCTGCTGGCTCCAGCAATGCTGCTGGGGGCACTCCCGCGTCTGCCCCCGCTCCTGCCCAGCAAGAGGGAGCCAAGAGCAGGAAACCTGCCAGTAAGTGGACGAATTCAGGTGGACCTGTGTTCTGGACTGCCTTTCATCCCATTTTACCTGTATCTGTAGATACGCGATTCAAGCAGCAGCAGTTACCCGCGTGGCAGCCTATGTTGACTGCGCGATCAGTCTTGCCTTTTCTCGTTGCCATTGGTTTGGCCTTCATTCCCATCGGTATCGCGCTATACCTTTCCGCCAGTAATGTAAGCAAAAAATTTATGAACACGATTTTGCGAATCCATGTGATTTGCTGTCGTGGTTTTGATAAACACAACAAATGCACGCATGTTTTCTTTCTGTGGGTGGACGCTTCGTAATTTCCCTGTTATAAAGCATGATTGGTTCCGCATTTCGTACAAAGAATTGCTGTACTGAGTCAAGTTCACGTCAGAAATTTTATTTTTTGGTTTTATGGAATTATTGATATACATTATACAAGTAGTAATTTTTTCCTTCACTTTCGTTGTGTAAGGCAGTAACTGCTTGCTATGACGCAAGTTCGTAAAATCCATCTGAACCGATGTTTTCACTGAATTTTTCGAACAGGTTGTAGAGGTGATTACAGAGTACACCGACTGCATGGCACCGAATAAGGAACCGTGCTCCAACGAGACTTACATCCAGCCAAACTGCGTCTGTGAAATGCATGTTTATTTGGATCGCCATATGGGGGTACTTGCTCAAATTTCTTTTCTTATAACGCTATTACAAAAACGCAATTTTCTGGCATTTTTGGTTGCAGGGTCCCGTATTTATGTACTATGCTATGGAAAACTTTTTCCAAAATCATCGAAAATATGTAAAATCGCGGGATGATAATCAGCTGATGGGCGAATGGAACGATCCGAACTCTGGAAAACTGCCCAGTACAGATTGTGCGCCGTTCGACAAAATCGGCTCAGAGGGAAATTATCAAGCATACCTACCTTGCGGAGCCATCGCAAACAGCCTTTTTAACGGTAAAACAGTTTATCGTAATTAGAAGAGCATTTATCGCAACTATTGCGTAATAAAAAGTATTACTTATTTTGATAGGGAATTTGCACAGTTAATGTTGTTCCTTTTGTGTTTTCTTTCCAAACGAAATTAATTTTTCTTTTTATCTTTTTTTTGCTCTTCTTTGGTGTGCCCAGTATTGTAAGTTCCGGGGAAAAAATATGGTTTTGTTGAGTCAGATGGGCTGATACATAATCGCATTGTGAAGAATTATCTGATATTGGTAGTTGTTTTTGGGCTAATATTGAGCAATGTCGTGCTCCTTTCTTATTCCGTACCGCATTTTGGCGATTTTTTTGCGGTCGAATCTCATTGATTTCCGATAATTGTCTTTTGAATCTTTGAGTTTGAATGACGTAATACAGATACTTCCGCTGAAGCGTGTGATGTTTGCTTTCGTACATTCGAGTATCTGCTGGAATCGATATCGGTACACAGTTTACTTTGGAATTTTGTTTTCGTAGTCTTTCTGTTTGATTTGTGTTGTGGCACATAGCAAAATGATTGAAAACTGCGGAGTAACTGTTGGGTATCTTGCAGACAGTATCCAGTTATTCTATTCGGCTAATAATACCAAAATACCTGTTCACCTGGAGAAAACGGATATCGCATGGAACTCCGACCGTAGAGTCAAATTTCAAAATCCGAATGTTACCGACAAGACATTAAAAGAAAGTAAGAGATACTAAATGAACGTATACACAAATGGGGCATGGACTAATTCAATTATGAACCCTTTTTTCCTTTTCGATTGGAATATGTTGGGAATCGCATGTTGCCGTGTGTTTTTTCTCGTGGACTCTATATGCTGCTCGTAACTCGTTCAAGTGTTGGTTGTTGTCCTTTTCAGTTATGGAGTCTAGAAAGTTAATCAGTCCAAAGAACTGGCAAGTTCCCTTATGGAATCTGGATAATCAGACCAATTCGAATAATGGGCTGCAAAACGAAGATTTGATCGTCTGGATGCGCACGGCAGCTTTTCCTTCGTTTCGAAAGCTGTATCGGCGAATAAACCATACCGACGAACAGTTCAAAGACGGGTTAAAGCCGGGAAACTATACTTTCCTCATCAATTACAGTAAGCGTGTTGTGCATTCAGGCTGCACTGCAGTTTGTTGGTTCTGTGTTTCTGCGGTTTTGTGGTTAGTTGTAATTCTAACAGTTTATCATCTGCAGATTATCCAGTGAAAGGATTTGAAGGAAAGAAGTTCGTCGTCCTGTCGTCTGTTTCGTGGATTGGTGGAAGAAATATTTTCCTTGGCGTTGCATACATGACCGTTGGATCCATTTGCATCGTTTTGGCACTTGTGTTCTTCCTCATACACATCAAATTCGGAAAGAAGTAAGTACAACATTACAAATGGAAAGGTAGTTTGGGCTTTTCGTGTATATCGGTTTGGTGGCCGTAAAACGCTGAATTATTTGTGTGAGCGTAAATGGAACTCAAAATTTGTGATCGAATTAATTTCGCGATTTTCTGTAAATTAATATTTACATTTGTGGAGTGCAGTAAAGTAGAATTGCAAAGTTTGTTTCTCGAATGAATATTTTGCATTTTTCTCTCCATCAGACCGAGCGAAGCCATGAACGTGACTTCGTCGACTACTTGGTGATTTTGATCTCAAAAACTGATCCCCCGTTTCTCTCTTTGATTCTTTCCACAAAACACCCAACTGATTTGGATGACTGACTGTTGACTTCATCTGTTTTGAAATTCCGGATCTGCCTGTACCGTTTTTCCGTGACTGGGACACACACGCATTACGTACCAATGCAGCTACAGACGAGAGATAGACGATATTTTTCCGCGTTTTTATGATGGGTTCCTTTAACTTTCTAGTGGTTGGTTTCCGTTTTTGATTTTGTGGGCCGGTGGATGCAGGGGATAATTTTGTTGGTTGAGCGAGTGATGCTCTGTATGTAATTATTGCCTAGTCTGTGAAGAGAATCAGTTCCACGTTCAGAGGAAAAGTGATTACTATTAATTATTACGTTTTACATGTATAGTTGTATCCGTTCGGTGTGTGTTTGTCCGATTAGTAATAATTGTTTTGGTGTTGTGTATTTAGATGTCGAGATTACGACAACTGTCGGTGTTTGTATCACAATGTGAATAATATCTGGTTGCCGGAGAGCGGATGTCTGTACGACTATGAAGCGTCGCGAATGTCCATGATGTCAGATATTGCACGAGAATTCACGGTGTACGATGATACAAAAACCAAAGGACCCACTGAAGTGTCGGTGGGGAAACAGAACAACTACACTGGCGCCAGTAAATACAAACAACTGCAAAATCAGATCGAAGAAACTGGACACGAAAATAACAGTGCGAATGGTGTTGTACATGGCGAAAGCGAAATTGAGACGCTACAGCTGAATTTGTTGCACGAAGCAGGAAAGGAAGGCGATGAGCAGTTTCAGAAAAGTGGCGGAGATGGCCAACAGACAGCTGATGACAAGCTCGACGTCGCGGTGCTGCGTGAGACCGCCAGCCAGAACGAAATCCGTGCCCGGAAACGGATGACCTTACCATTAGTTACCAATGGCCAGCCGGTGTTAGTTGATTAAAACAACAGTAATGGTACGTAATTAATACTATTAGCACAATAGATTAAAGCCAGTTGTGATACTACACTTTTTTAAACCTGTGTAATCTGTGCATCTTTGCAAAAAATGCTACGAAAGACAGCTTGTCCTGTGATACTTGAGATGTGTTTTTATGAAAATTATGTGGAGATTGTAGTATTGCCATGAACCTGTCGGTAAGCATTTTGTTCTGCTTTCCATGCGTGTTTTCTCAGTTCGCGGGAATTAATTTATGTGTGCAACCGCATTACCTTTGCCGCGAATATGAGTAATACGAACAACGTGTGACCGACAAAACGTTGCGTGCCGCAGGCGACGTCGTTGCTTATTGTTGGGTAATTTGTCGTGTGTTGCCACAACAATAAATTGTAAGTATTCGTACAAAGTAGCACTTTCTGTCAACAAATTGGCGGATAATAGGTCAATTTCTGAGTCACTTGTTTACCTTCGTTTCCGGGAATTTTTTATGCATATGTCGTTGGATTTATGTACCGCAACCGTTTTATAATAAGGAAAAGAAAAAAATCTGTTAGTTTTTAATTTCAGCAGTTATAACTACTCATACTGCATCAGCGAAAGCTCGCCACTCAGTCGCCACGTTAACATCATTATTAAATAAAATCGATCCTGGAAGAATAGTCTATGCACTGTATACAGATACTCTGTACTGTACAATACGTGAATATTGTATTTTCTGTCAAGAAGCCAGAAGTTGCTCGTATAACACTGCGAATAGTATTTCATCCTACGATCAAACTGCATTTACTTTTTAAATGCTTGTTCCATGTTACCTTGCTACCATTGCAAGTGTCCGAAAACTACTCCTATGGTTAGGGGACACTGGGCAGTGAACCTACCGTTACAACTGCATTATATTGCAAGTTATCGCTAATGGTGAGACACTGAGACTGATTAATAAGTGATTATGTACTCGTACTGTATTCCGCATTTTAACTAATAGGTGCCGGTTTCCTTGTAATTATTATCAGTGCTCCGAAAACGTTCATTCTCAAAAGAAATCATTGCTAGTCAAAAATATTTTCAGGGAATGCCGCAAAATGCGCGTATAAGTTACAAAAGCTGAGGAAACTGCAGTGGGCTGCGATAAATATTGTACAAAGTTCTATCAAGTTTAAGTGGCTCTTCGAGAACTGTAAAGGGCAGTAATAGTTACTAACAGCGAGATAAGATCGATTAATTAATAAATAGTTTAGTCACAAATGGGTCGCTGTGCTCAGTGATTACATAAAGCCAAGTGTCATCCTTTCCGGAAAGTTCTTTGCGGGCGTTCACATGGCACCAGCGCCCGGCTCGAAAGGGCACACAGCTGCCACCGAAGCGACTGACTGATCAAAGATGTTGTTTGATAAAAAATGCGGTCTGTGTAGTAGACTAGTGCCATGGATGTGCAACAGCCCAATGCACTCCTGCTTCCGATGATACGGGAAACAGGAGCCGTGCGCCGTACAGTGCATTCACTCGCAAATCTGAAATCCCACGCGCCAAATTAACGCCATCGTCTCGAGTCTGGCATTCGTTCGTGCATGCGATGACCAGCGCGCTCGAGACGCTAATATTAGCGCGGCGTACATTCACAGGGATCAGAGTCACCATGTAAGCGCGGCGTTTAGGGGATGTTATTTTGGTCCTGCGCTTTTGACGAATAAACATTTGCGCGATCGGCGAAGAATCAGCGAAAGTCCTTAAGAGCGATAAAATACGAGGCAGACGGTGGGCAGTTTTAATACACACCACGACTGCAGTGTGTGTCATCTTACACCGGGTACGTATGTACTTATCATCAGCCTCTGACAGAATGTTTGCTCACGGTGGCGATGCAGTTTTTTAGCGTAAATTATGGACATATGCGCACGGATTAGTAATGCGCCCCACAGCACATACACAAGCTGGCGGTTACGTACGACTGCTTTTTACCATGTCTGTACTGTTACACACAGCCAAGACGGACTCAACCAGTGTCGCCTTTCTGCGCCCTATAAAATCCTCCGTTAAGCAAATTTCTCAAGGCGCAGAGAAGTGTTCTTCCGTTTTCTGACTTAACCGAGTACCAGTAGCCAAATTTAGTCGATCCTTTCAGCGTCCGAACGCCTGCTTCGCGCGTACGTTTGCCTCTGTACTGACACCGCGGATCACTCTATATACACACAGACATAGTGTGCCTAGCTGCCGGCATTCTTCCTTCCTCTGTTTTGTGGATAGTATTCTGCTTCGGCCTTCGGTGCTCTCGCTGATATCCGCCACACATCCCTTTTTATCCGCAACCATGCCTTTCCAAGCTCCAGAATGCCCCAAGTGCCCGCGATGCGGCAAATCGGTTTATTCCGCAGAGGAACGAGTGGCCGCTGGTACCAAGTGGCACAAGCAGTGTTTCAAATGCGGTAAGTACTGTACAGTGTACATCTCGGTAGCCGGTAGCGGAGTTTCGGTGGCAGTTGCTTCGTGGGTCGATAATTTTTTGGAAAAAGTCATATTAGAAAGCCAATTTTCCTCAATATTTTCCCAAGTTTAATGAGTATAACGTTATGATGTTACGTAAGGTATAATTACTTAATTAATTATGCATGCAGGTTTCATTCATGGCATAAAATCTGGCTCAGAATTTTGAATAACCATATCTCTTCGAATTAGTTTCCGGTGGCAGGGAACGTTGTTTTACTGTCGAAAGCGTTGCATTAATTTTAATCAAGTTGGCTGATAGAATTGATCATTTGGACTGTTATCGTACAATTTTGTTTATTTCCGATGTTTAATAACTGTCTGAAATTTATATTTGCTCTAATTCGTGACCTTCCTAATGTTAATGCGGTTTGACCGCGCAGTCGATCATTAGTAGACATGAAACTTGTTTATGTGCCGGTCAGTGGAAGTCGTGGAACAACATCCATTCGTCTAATACATTAGTCGTCAATAGACGAGCCGTACTCGTAGTGGCTTTCTGAAAATTTTAATTGAAAAATCCGAAGTTAACAATTGCGAAGTACGAAGTATTAAAAAAACTGTTGCATAATTGTGGTTTATGTTTGTGCAGATATGTGCAACAAGCTTTTGGACAGTGTAAGTGTTGCGGAACACGAAGGACGACTGTACTGCAAGATCTGCTACGGACGGAAACACGGACCTAAAGGATACGGTTTCGGCCAGGGAGCCGGCACTCTCAGCATGGACGTTGGTGCTCAATTCGGCAACACCCAATCCGCAATGTCGTAAGTGTCACCTTACAGGTCCTCACTGCAACTCCCGAAACATATATCACTTTGGGCATACCTGTAGACTGTAGTTATAGATCTTTTATTTTACTTTTTGATATGTAATGCACCTATTTTTATGAATGAAGGGTTTTCGGAAAATCCGGAACTAGAAGCGTAGCAAATGTAGGCAACGGTACAGAACGCTTGCGGAAAATGGTGATGCCGGTTTTCACTAATCGTTGCGGTTAAAGCAAATTAGGCGAAAAGGTTTTCTTTATTTTACATTTAAGCGGAACGCTTGTCCAGTGTGTGTGTTGCGGCTGGTAAGCAAATGTGCAAATATTGCTTTTTTAATCCTGTTGGCGCACATAACTGGCGATGTCCAAATATGGACAGCGAAATGATATTCCCTGACCGGCGACTGACATAAGCGCTTATGCATGACTCACCCCGGTTTCTTATAGCCGTACTGGCAGTACGTTGTGCACATGCATATGGAGTCTCTGACGTGAAGTCTCGCCCACCCAGTGCATTAGCTGCGCACAGCTGCTGATACGGCTAAAACGGGATACGGCTGCTTGCCTCATTAAAGCTGGAGAAAACGCTTCTTTTTCCACGCTGTCAAGTGTTTACGAATTATGGAAGAAAATTCGTACAGTAGAATTACAGATGTCATCATTAATAATCCAAATAGTTTTTGATATTAGTGTAGCTTAGTTAAGTAAGCTTCTGCGCTGCTCTTGTAACTGTCTAGCGTTACTTAAGTACGTATAATTGCAAAAGGTAAAAAGTTCAAATTTATTAATTTGTACTTGATCATTTCGAGAACTAGAATTATAACTGTATTTTAATATGGTTGATAGTAATAAAAACGCACTTACGTACATATAATGGAGAATCATAATGTACGCCAATGTGTGCCGAAATATCTTGCGCATAATTATAGGCCGGTCAAAAATAGGTCGATGTAAGCTAATGAGCGGAAGTTTCCTGGTGACTGAACAGTGTGTTCTTCTCTCTTTACAGCAACGTTCCTCAGACCGGCATGCAGTTTTAGAGGATTTTATCCATCCCTCTACTGCACTGGTGTCGAATTACATCCTACACGGAATATAAACATGAACCATTTAGGACAATTATTATTTCTGGCCTTTTAATTTCGGTGGGGACATTTCTACATCCATCTCGGATATATATATATATTTAAAAAAGGTGATGGCACACTTTTCACTCTATCCGTCGCTTTCATCCATCCATCCGCCAACCCACACACATCCAATGTGAAAGACCGCTTTGTAACTTGATATATACCGACATACTACCATTTTTTTCAGAGACCACTTTCAAGATATTCTCGTCACGTTCTCTCTCGATGTTTAGTTTTACACTGACTAATTGATAGAAGTTTGAAAAAATCATATTATAAAAATCAGTTTTCTTTGTTTGGTTGGTAGATTTGTTCTGTTGCTTTTCGTAAATCGCTGCTTTTGAGTTGTAAGGTTACTTTGGCTTGTACTGCTCAACCGTCGCTTTTACGCTTTGTAATGTTCAGCTGGCGCCGTATGCATTTAATGCTGCTTTCTCCGGCTTTTTCTTACGATGAGACGAATAAAAATTGAAAATTGTTTTGTGTTCGGATGGCGGGATTGTAAACACAGTACTTACCAATTACCTGCTAATTGGCAGCAGCAAGAGTAATGGCGATTCTAAAGTTTGCAAGGTGTGTGAATTTAAAACAACATTGAAATAAAAACTGCAATAATTAAGTTACGCAGTGCTAGCATTAACTTAACATGCATAATTATGCAGTACTAATTTTTTATCGTTTGTCATGGGTTTATGGGGCGATAGCACGCATTTTTCCCAGCCTGTTTGCACATATCAAGTGCAAATTTGAGGCTTCAGACTTACAGAAATTGATTAGGTGCCGATACCGATACGTGCACGACCACTCTGGAAGTTTTGCGTATTACGTACGTGTTAATTAAAGATTACTTTCACTAATAATCTATGTAATGACAGTTTAATTTAACGACCGTGTGAATTAAACATGCTCGTAATTCATAAGGATACAACTATCTACTAATATGTTACCATTGCGATGATGTTATGGTAGGTGTAATTGTTAGGATTAATTTGTCAGTGTTACTTTGCATACCTATACCTAGCTGGTGGTGGTCCTGAAAAAAATAAATAGTATACTCAAATAGATCACAGCAACACGTGATTCTAAACAAAAAGTAACAAACATTTTTTATCAATACTATGGTCGTGTGAATACTTATTTTTCGCGTACGCATTTAAAAGTCTGTGACCATATACATAATGATTTAGCATACTGCGCGATTCGTTTTTTTGGAAAAGGAAAATGAGCGACAATGGTTTAGTCTGGACCATTCGAGTGACCTTAAGAAACACCGTGACCACTAGCGACCGTCAATAAATGCTTAGGAGACCCTGGACCTAAAAAAATCTCTTAGCGCACAAGGAATCACGTAGCCGTAAGCCAGTAATAAGTAAGTACATACGGCAGCCACACTTCCACACACTCGGCAGTTTCTTCTGCGCCGCATATATAACGGAGATTGGCGTTTCATTTTTAAAACATGTTTGCATGCGGAAAAATGCAGCTGTAGCTAATTTTATCCATGTTAAATATTTCAAGAGGACGTTATTGATAATCCTGCTCACAAATTGTGGATGGCCGGGCTTAATTTAGACATTTCCGCTGTTGAGACGATTGACACCTCCGCAATAACCCTGCGCTTGTATCCGATGCCACTGGGCTCACTGTGCTGTGCTGCGAGTATGCCGGAGCAGCCTCGGCGGGTCAACTGCAGTTCAGTAGCGCTGGCAATTGGGAAATCGTGTTGTTTCGCTAATGACTCAATGTACTGACGTGAGAACTGAGAAGTAGTGAATAATACTGGTCTTCCGGGTATCCTCCCAGGGACTGCGGAGGAGGCCTAATGTAAAGTGCGCTGTCGAAGTACGATAAATAACCGCAACATTTTGGCCTACAAATGTTTTCTCTGTGCCTCGCACTGTGAGCGACAGAAGCATATGGCTTTTGCATTCTAACACTTTTTGTAATTGTATGATACACATAGGTGCGCATCACTTACAGACCTTTAAAACTAATGATCTTTAAATATACTAGATATTAAGGTCACGGCGCGGCTGTTTTGCATAGCCGTACGAGCACTAAATCAATTTATGCCATGAACAATTTGTTTGCGTTTTGCAGCATGTAGTGTGGCAGTTTTTCGAAGCGGTTGATATGCAATTGCGCATGATACAATCATATTCACAGTAGAAATTAATGAGCAACAGGTACAACATCTACTGTACGTATCGACGAAACTGCCAATACGTAACGGCAAACCGCTCTTGCAGCAAATGAAAATTTGTCTTAGTCGAAGTAAACCTATTGAATTTTTTCAAACTTTAAGCTAATACTGCGAAACAGTAACCAGCTAAATCTCAGCGTCATCTGCATGGAACGATTCCGAAACCAAATTGCTTTAACTTTGGAAATCGATTAATTTCCCCCGTACCGCGCGCCCGCCAAATAATCCGTTACATAAATTCTAACTAAACTGTCAACAGCCAGACAGAAAGCCATCAGCAGTTCTCGTTAATTCCTCAATGAAAGCAACTGCGTCCAACACAACATCGCGCTCCTCCGCTCATTCACACCGACACAACCAACCCCACACACACGCACACCACCTCCCCGCGCGCCGATCCAGGTGCCAAGAACAAGCGAAGAAACCCAGCGCGTAACGGCGATTATGCGTGTGTGCCACATCCCCTTTCTCTGCGCTGTCGATTAACCGCTGACTACAGACTAATCTTGACGCTTCGCCGCTTTTTTCGCTTTAACCAAATTCCTTATGTCAATAGCGCTGCTGGCGGCTGTGTCGTCCTCATCAGCACCGGCGGCCAGGCCTACCGCGGAAGGCCATATATAGGGAATGGCTGCCAGCATGATCGGTATGGAGATGGCGCTGACGATGATCGGGCTGAACATGCCCACATCCGCCAAGCCGCTCCGGTAGTACAGCAGTTCGCTGGCGAAGTGCGCCAGGGCCACCACGAAGGTGGTTAGTGCCGCCAGGAAGAGCTCCCAGCTGTACATGTTGTAGGCGTACAAGAAGCGGATAACACCGGCCAGGAGAGTCCACAGTCCGTATGTGCGAGCGGCCAGCTCCGTTGCCCCTGTTGACATTTAGACGGGTTGCAGAATACACGAGACAAATCACAATCGACCACAGCGCTTTGAAAGACTAAAAGCGAATGTCTTAACCTGATTAACAACGCTAATGCAACTTTGCAGTCGTAGCTATTTTGCTTACTTTTTCACTTGTATTTTGCTTACTTTTAATAAGCAGAATTCTGCTGAAGCGCATATAGCAATGGAAAACTTCTCCCCAAACACTACTGTAGTCTGTAGAGTACTTACTACTTACCAAATGAACTCTTACAATTGTTAGCAAATAAACACGAAATATCAAATATCTATCAGTGACCAATACAGCTATTTGAGTACTTTACCACAAATCACAGCCAAAATTTGCCAAAATTCAATGCCAGAAAACAACCGAAAACTCGGATCAGAAATTTCTAGCTGGAGCTTAAAAAAATCCATAAACACAAAACAGAAATTCGGTCGACCGAAAGTCGGAGCAGCAAGAAATCGAAAGTAGGAGAAACACTCCTTTAATATTGCTGGTTTATGCCAAATTTAAAGTTAATAATTTAAATTTCTACGACCGCTCAGATTGCTCGCAGAAACATTCTCTTGCAAGCAAAAACTATTTTCCCTTATTTTCGTATTTTGCTGGGCCGGTGGCCGAAATGATAAAGGCTGTGCTCACCTGCGCGGGGCGCATTGTACAGCCGTGTCCAGACGAATTCCGGACTGATAAATGCCTGCAGCGTGTTGGCCAAGGCCATCATTCCGACGAAGGCCACCCATCCACGCACGAACGTCACATAACTACTACCGGGCGGTTTGTATTTTAATTCTTTCCTTTTCCCTTTGGAATCCGTCCATGCAGGGCTCTGGAAACTGCGAGTCTCCATTGCAGCGATTCGCTAATCGCGAGCTTGTCCAAATTTTTATGTCACATTAAGCCTAGAAAGCGTGAAATTAGATTAATCTGCGGGTCTACATTTCAGCAATCAGTTCATTTTATCTTTTGCTTTATTCTTATTATAATTTTAATGTGAAGTTTCGTTGAATATTTACAGTCCTGCGGAATTTTGCAACTAAAACACCCGTTAAAGAGCTCAGATTTTCATCAGGACATTTACTTTCATCAGGACATTTACAGTACATACTTATATATTTTGTTCACGCTATGTTTCGCATCTCCCAGATGAATTTCAAACCTAGACTAAACCAAACACCAGCAGAAAACCAGAAGCAGCTATACAAATCATTAGATAAAGCTAGCAAGTTAAAGTTTACCAACCTTCGAAGTTTGAACATCGACAAGTCCGTCCGAAGTCTGAATGGCCTGCGAAGGTTTTTAAGGCCCGTTCTTCACTGATTCCACCAGCTGGTATTCTCTTTTCAGGCATAATGATGACGGCAGCACAGTAGATGCTCTTCAGTTTTCATTAAGGTAAGCTCGATAAACGAAACAAAAAAGCCAGAATCTTCTATTGTTTTTAGGGTTTTATATAACTTTTATAAGTTTCTGTAAACTTTATGTAAGAAAACTTCTGTTTTAATCCAATATGCATCCGCCACCAGCAGCACAGTGTGTGCACTGTGCACACTGAAACACAGCTCAAAAGAATTTGTGACTGCCGCCCGGTTTTCGTATTAACCCCTTTTGTCAAGCTGACCATGAGTGTTTCTTAAAATTATTCATACACAATTCTTGTTCCCGCGATCTGCTACGTGTGACTGTCCTGTTTTTCACGTGAGTACGGTTTTGGTTAACGAGTCCACAAGAAAGATTTGCCTGCTGCATTCTAACACAAAAACGGGAAGAGTACATTTACTTTATACAAGAATTTAGGTACACATATACCCAACTCAGAGTATTTCCCTTATTATTGCTAGTTCTTTACGTTCATGTTGCGCGATAAATGCATGCACAATGCGTACGTGTATATCGGTTGCGGCGACGGAAACCGTGGCTTCCGGTCAACTTCCGCATTCGACAGCTCTAATCCGGATAGGATGTACGTACATCGTCGATCTGAGGCGACATTTAATGTCCAATGTCCACAAGACCTTTGTATCTAGTGAGTTAATGCAACAGATAACCGATAATCGTAAAACTAACAATACACAATTGACGTTATCACCCACCGCCAACAATCACGACGTTCCCGGGTGATCACCCAAGACCAAAGGGCACAGTACACCGACGATGAGTAACGCATACGTTCGAAGTATGGGAATGTGAAGTTACACATGGGTTTGTAATAATTAATGTCGCCTGTCAAGTATCAAATATGGCAGTAGCCTCCTAACCGACATCACCGGAGATAAAATTATACTTTTATTAACCTCAGCAACATTAGAAAAATTCATGCTTGCAAATACTTTCTTCCAGTAATTTGAGTTCTGCATCAATCCCACAAAAATACTGCAACATACTTCACCAAAAAACTAACTGCTGTCAAACCACAACGCAAACTCTGAATGTTATAAACGAAGAAACGACGAACTAAGGATTAATGGAAATCACGTAAGATTTAAATTAACATTCAACGTGCAGTGCGCTAGAAATGAGCAAGAACGAGAAATCCGTCGCTACAAAGCACAAACACGAAATCCAGGTTAAACGTTCAACTCAGACAAAAAACTGAAGAAAAATAATACAGATTGCTACAAAGAGAGAAAATTGCTAGGCACTTGAATTACAGGAATATCAAAGCTCATTTTCAATCTTCTGCAACGACAGGGATAGGAACGATTTTGGGAATATAGCTGACGCCTTTATCCAGCAGCAAGTTGACGCGTTCATGCATAAAACTGGGCAGCACAATCATTAGCGTTCTCTGGAAAACGTTGGCCACTCTCGCCACACCAACCACCGTCGCAACGTACACTTTGGCCGCGATGCCGCGAGTGAACTTGCGGGTGCGCTCCACGCGCTCAATTACCACTTTACCCGAGGCGCGGCGGCGCACATAGGCAATGGTATCGTGCACCGTGGTCACGGCCGGCGTCTGGATGACGGCGTCCACAACGTTGTGAGATTTGATGGAGATGCGGCGTTTCAGTTTGTGAGAGAGATGCTTAGCGTGCTCCAGATTGCCGCCGCGAGCATGATAACCGTTCGCCATGTAGTTCCCGTTGGTAGCGTTGCCGTTCTTAAGGTGCTCTGATAAGAAAAACACATTTAAGATTAGTTTTGAAACGTTTTGGCAAGCGATTCATGTACGGCCGGATTCCGTTACAACGATTATTGTGTGCCAAGGTCAGCGCTAGTCCAACGACCTTTGTTTGTTTACACGTTTTCGATCTAATCTTCAGAAAACGTTAACGGATTAGCAAACCATGAAATTCCATAAAACTGCCGATATCGATAGTGGTCTTCAGCCCAGCCCAGTGCTAACTTACGGCTTCGTGTTGCCACTTCGTCATTCTTGCGATAAATAAATTCATTCAAATTATTACTAGTATGCAACAATAGCACGCACTGCTAGCGAACTGCAATTTTTTTAATTTCGCCAATATCAACAGCAAGAAAATACGAGGTGCAAAATCCTACACAATTAAACAATATAATAATATTTGTATGTTCTACAAAACAAATCTGATAAAATTTCGAACGATACACCGAAAACAGCTACCGAACTGAAGACCGGGAAATAATGGAATTGCCTTCCCGTGCAAAAAATTCTTATAGTTGGAAAACCAATTGCAAGCCCTCAAGAAAGTTTCTGTAAAATTTCTTCTAATCATCTATTGTGAACAAATTTCCAGATCAAGACGAAAACAAGAAATTAAGGGGAAAGATATCGAAATCTTACCTTCTGGCAAGAACTTGTCAATCGCGGAATCAGCGGTCTGCAGTCCATATTCGATGTAATTGTTCACGGTCTGACCATACGGCGTGTCCATAACAGCTTGGACTTTGGCTGAACCCATTTCTTTGACAGAATCGATGGTGTCGCGGACGCGTTCCACAGTGTTCTCCTTGGCTGTCTGAATTTGATCAATCTTGCCTTCCACCTTTTGGATAACCATCAACTTGATCTGCAAATGGCATAAACCATTAAATTCCCTCTCGATGCAAGCCACTTTTTCCACCAAAGAATTCATTCGCACAACACCGCGACTACGTCGAAAGGTCAAGGACATCTCCCAGCCGATTCGATCGATACGATACTTAAGTATACGAATATGCACTCGTTAATTCGGAACGAACATTCTAAAAAAACTCATACTTATACTTATTTATGCGAAGAAATTGGTAGCATACTCTTAAATTTCACCGGCTTTGTAACGAAATTTAATTTATGTATCCAGTTTCTTACCTCATATGGAGACTTCGTGATAATGGGTAACTTTTCCTCCACTTTATCAAGCATGTAGCAGGCAGACTGATCGGCAAATCCGACTGTAACAATTAAAACATACGATATTATCTATTTCTAGGTAAATTTCCTCGACTAAGAAAACTAAGAAAAACAAAGAAATTTAAACAAAGACAAGTTTTAACAATAGTGGCAAATGCGCGTGACTGACACACTTTCGCTATCAAGCATGCGAATGCGAGCCCGTCTCCAGTTACTTCACCTAGTAAGTTTAAATCTTACCATATATATAGCCTTCCTTAACTTATCTTGATTTAAAATTTCGTTAATTGCTCTCATTCCTTTTAGCTTCTAATTGTGTTTGCGAAACTAGAAAACGGTTCGCATCAAAGGCATAATAAAGTACCCTTGCGGTATTGCAACGATCGTAATGAATCATCGGCTTTCCAAAATCATTCAAAATTCAAATGTACCGAATGCACCGGAGACATCAACATGACTGTGCTTTGCGCCCTAACAACTCAAGTACCGACTAGCGATGATTTTATTTGGGACAAAACTACTATTCTACATATTGACCACATTATATTTCCCGGTAGACACGATACTTCCGTACGTCGTATCTATATATCTATCTCCGTACACAAGCGTTGGCCAGCTGACACTTGGACTGGTTATTGCCGAAGTAAATTATAAATGTTTTTACTAAATAACCCGCTTCTTATTAAATAATCCGCTTTGTATGTACATACGGCACCGTGTCCACACTAATAGCAGTATTTTTGCATGGTAGTTCTGCAAATGCTTAACTGTGTCTTTGCGCTGTATAAGTACTGCGCAACCGAGCTGAATTGTTCGTATTCATTAAAGATTCACGTAATTTCCCATATATTTTTCGAAAACTGAATTTTTTTATCACGGACACACAAGTGCAACTTACGTGGTTTCTGCAGGCGACCCGTGATTCCCGTCTTGTTCATAACGGTAACCGCGCCCTTGACGGTGGCCTGCACAGTGGACTCGCCCGTTTCCAGTGCGCTGCGCAGCAGTCCATTGCGGTCTTTGGTTTTCTCGTACGCCACCAGGAAGCGATCCACAAAGTTGCGCACCAACGGGAGACTGGACACGCGCTCCACAAAATTCGGCGGTGGCACACCGTTGGCCATGTGGTGACCATTGTGGATGAATTCGTCAATGCTGGGCTGCTCGATGATGGGCATTTCCTCAATCGCCATTTTCATGCTGCTTCTGTACATCGATACTGAATTCTGCGAACAGGTATGTACTGTAGTTAATACGAAATATATAAGACGATTAACAAACAATCAAATCAATCGGAAGTATGAATCCAACCGATAAAACTAAAAACAAACTGCCATCACTAAAACAGAAATACAAATACTAGTAGCCCAAGTCACAATCGGTTTGTGAAAGTAGACAAAATTAAGTAACTATTCTGCAGATAAAATTAAGTAAGTATTCAATCCAATGAGTTACGAGCAACTCAAAGCCTCAAATACAAATCCAGCAGTGTGGAAATAACCCACTGCGCGATGCCCTGAGTCATAATTTCACACTTCTCATTTACAATGCCTCACTAAACCTGTTCCGCTTTGGATTACAATCAATAATTCGATATACCGAATCGTCGCTTTAACTCTTCAGTCTCACCATCAGATGACAAAATAATTGTTTAAAATTAGCTGAGATACAATCACATACTCACTACACGTATGTTACTACCGTATGTAGGCCAATATGAAATCGTTGCCCGCAGCATTTTAAACTTTACGCTGCAAGCACACTGTAAATAAGCGTCATTCTTACCTGGTAAATACAGCAGAAGCAAAAACTCTAACGGAACAATATCCTGCAGACCAATTGCAGTATGGACGATAGTCTACGGGACCGCGAATAAATAAGCAAATCAACGTAATTATCACAGATCTGAACCAAGCTGAATGATTCTGCGCAGGGGAATATTTTGAAGAACGTAAATACGCTGATGCTGTAGCAAGTCACGATGAGACAAACTGATAACCGCAGCCGCGTATGCGCTTTCATGCAGCGATATAAAGCAAGAGAAATGCTAGCTAGAAATACCGGTTTCCAGTATATTCAACCGAAAAGGCAAAAAAGTTTCTCTGGCCAGTAAATCTGCCGGTTAAATACAAGACGTTTCGCTGTACCTGTTTTGAACTTTGATATCCAGTGCTGATTGGTTTTGTAAGCGGAAGTGGGCAGTTCAATGGTCAGACGCAAAAACCAAATGGCCAGAACTGCTTCATACATAATACATAACGTGGATTCCCGCAAACGCATTTAATAACTTTCTTACCGTGTACCGGAAGCTAACATACTGCACTAATAACTGTAAAGCAGCGTAATATTACGTACTGTACTAAACCCACTAAAGATTTTGCAGTAATATGTATTATGAAAGTAGTAATTAAATAATGATATTTACTGCAAAGTTGCAAACAAGTACGGTTTTGAAAATCAGTAATAAATAGTTCAAAACGGTGAGAAACAATTTGGTACACATGCAGTGAGTTTCAGTACTTAACCTAACCACTAACCAAACAGTTAACAGAAAACTTAAACTGGACTGTGAGTGATGTAGTTTCTTTTTAAATTGGGTAATAACTATATCACAACAGAAAGAGCTTATAATTCAAAGGCTGTAGAATGCAGACTGCACTTATTTTGAGTGGCGGGGTTATGTAAAATTATTGGTTTACAATTTAATGGAATTCCGGATGATCTACGTATCCGTACAGCACAGATATCCGCAGAAAAGTATTGTACACAAAGACTTAAAGGTAAATTATACTATACTTTTAACTATACTATATTTTCTGAAAACGGGAAAAATTTTTTGGTTTTGGGATGACATCTGTTAATTCTGTTACTAAATGGCGATCGGTAATGTTTTTTTGTATTTACTTTAATGCCGTGACTTTAGCAAGTTAACGTAAAGTTCGAATCTATGAGGCAATCTGCGCAGTTGAACATAATATAGATATGCGGCTCTGTGCGGCCTGACGAGGCAGAAGTTGAGAAAGTCGTAAATATTCCTTTAAACTTTGCTCTGATTATGAATCTTGAACGGCGTGATAGGGCGCTCTTCGTACCATGGCGTAACGGTTTGTAGATCTGTCAAGGGAAATGCATGGTGCGGCTGGACACTGGCTGCTCACACTGTCGCAAAGTGCAGCGACATGGCATAAAAACCACACACCGATAACTCCGGCGAAATTAGTTCATCGGCTTCATCTGACGTAAACATATGTGAGACGCGTGTCTGCTATTTTTTGCACATTTCCTCGGTGGACAGCCAATGGACCACGGCGTGACATGCAGGTCCATGTGTATGCTGCAGTAACTGCACTGGTCGCCGAACTTCGACGTTGCAAGCCCATAACACAATTTTCTCAATCTATTCATAAAGTACTATGTTTCGATTTTAAATCAGGGCAAAGGTTCACTGAACGCGTACGGCATGGTAAGTAGCGATCGCGTCGGACTACGCCGGCGACATCACCAGTGTCTGGTTCCATTCTAAACTTCTCAGTTGGGCACGAAAATTTTTACACCAACACTGCATAAACTAAACGATAAACCAAACAGGAAAACGCGCTCACATAACCTATCAATACGAGCAGAAATTTGAAGGGTGAAAAAAAATTTTCGATTTTTGGAAACAACAAGACTTCTCGTCTGAAGCGTTTTCTAGCATCAAACAGCTCAAAACTGAACACCAGCCTTCGTACCTTTTACTGTAATTTAATACTAACAAGTCCAAATACTTTGAAGTAACCAAGAAAATTCCGAACGAGACAGATATAAACCAAATTAACTTGCAAATCTTCAAAACCAATCTCAAAAGCTTTCCTAAAACAATAAATACAGCGCAACGGAATGCAGGTACAAAGGTCACTAATAACACTTACAAATCACCCATTCTTTTACAGGCAATTCACTGAACTTAAGCAGATCCATCATTGAACTAATTACTTCTTTCCGATGTCGCATCCCTTTCCGCGGTACTAGAAGGACCACCAGGATGAACATCAACTTCCGGAACCGGATGAACTTGAAATCCTTCTGCAGCGATACCTGTTGATACTTCATTATCGGCTTTTGATTGACCGGAATCCTTATTGCGGCTGTTGACAACTTTCTTCCTTTTTGATGAATTTTCATTTATCGGTCCTGCAGACCGTTTCAGAGCTTTCGCCTCTCCACTGGTCGTCTCCGCTTGCTGATTAACAAGCACATTATGGATTAGTTTCCGTCTAGCGGTGCGTTCTTTGTCCTCGGTAAGCGCTTCCGCTTCCGGGGATAAATATCGATTCCAGTATTTCTGTCGAATAGATGTCTTCATTATCTTCCACACATCCGCTACGGATTCCTCAATGGATACTTCGGTTCCCGTGTTAAGTAAGACTCCGTTGAATACTGTTGTCACAGGACCACCGTTTTTTAGCTGATTCTTCAGCTGCGTACAAAGATGGCGTAGTTGCGTCTGCATGAAGTCGCTTTCGTGCTGGATCATATTTTCCACCAAGCGCACCTTTCTCAAACGCTGCTTCCGCTCCACTTCGGTCTCGATGGACTCCCAGAGCGCCTTCACTGCCGAGTCGTATTCCAGATTAATTGAGTCAATACGGACTGAAAGGAGATCTTTGGCTTTCTTCAATTCTTCCTCACAGGTGCGGTTTATTTTCAGCATGTGCTGCTCCAAGAAAGGAGATTCGCCTTTCTGAACGGCTTCGATGCCCTGATCCATACCAAGGCATCGTGCTCGGTACAACTTATCCTTTATCAAACCGAAATGGCGCTGAAAATCCCAGATGTCAGATACCAACCAACAAGTAAGCAAGTAAAAAATGTACGTATACCCTTAACCGATAATCGATTACAGCTAAAAACAAATCATAACCATTTGTAACGCTCAGTGTCTCTCACTGATAATGTTCTCATAAACAGTAGTTTCATGTTTCCTTTTATCGCCAGGCAAAACCGTAAAATGCACACTTTACTCCTAAAAGGCTAAACTGCATTCATTTAATCAATTCAGCAAGGATAGTAAAATATCATAATTAAACGGAGTTCCAATGAAGTACATTCTGATATTCATAGAAAAATCATAATTTCGTATTAAACTGCAGCAGCAGTTACAGCATTCGTACCTGTAGCTTATCCAAGGAACTGACGATCTTTCTGCACTGATCGAAGACTTTAACCATGACATTCCTAGTAAACAGTTTCTCGGGCATCCGTTCGACTTCGCTTTCCGCATTATCATCGTCGTTAAATACCGCAAATACTCGCTTCAATCCCTTCTTCCGACAGAGCTCCTCCAGATCAAAATCCTCTGCCACCGAAGACGAATGGGAAGTGTCCAGTTTGTGAAGGCCAGGAGACGAAGGAGCCGTGCTGGCAGCGCTTTTCATCGCGGGCTCGTCGGGAGGAGATAAACTCGGTTTACTACTCGCACCAACATTAGGAGTCCCATCCCCTGCCGCCTTGGTGTCCGGGACAGCCAGCTGAGGTGTCGATGAAGGTGGCCGCGAAGACGCAGACGGTTCGGCGTCTTCCACAATCGCATCGAGGCTGCGATGTGAGGCAGGAGATGTTCTGAGTTTCTTCGCGGAGTCATCAGGACGCACAGTCTTCCCTCTCGGTCTGGTGGCCCTAACCGTCTTCAATTTTTTCGTCTCTGTATCGGTTTTACTTGAACTGGAGACAGGTGGCTGCACACTCGCCAGGGATGGTACATCTCCAGTGGGAGCTTGATCCGCCATAACACTAACAAGAAAAATTCCACTAGCATTCAGACTTCAGCCAACAGCTGCAGTCCCCGATCACTCTTGCTTGGATAACAAGGAAGGTTTACAAACTTAAGTCACTCATTCAAGAAAGTTTGAACGTACACGTAGTTAACGACACTGAAAAACTGGTAACTCAGAATAAAATTTTAGAATAACAATTAAGTACGTAATAGAACAGAATTTCTTTATCGATTAGAAACATTCAAAAAAATAAATGCACCTGGATCCGAGTGGATCGTGCTGACTACTGAGTCGAGTTATGACGTCACGCAACGGAAGCAGCTCGGCGCGTGTCAATCAACAAATGACGGACCGATCCACACCTGTTGACACTTTCAGCATAGTCAAGTATGCTTATGAGCTTATCGTTTTTAAAACTGAATGCCCTGCATAGTAATAATTTTCAAATATGATTGTACTGAAGTGAGTAGCTTATTTGTCACTTGTTAATTTGTTATCCTTTCTTGTATGCTTCCTTTGCGACAGTTCATTATCGGCCAGAGTATCTGTATCTGCAGAAATTGCGCAAATGTTGGTCTAAGACTTGAAGGTATGCGCTCCATACTTCCAGCAACTTTGATGACTTTAAAATTCTTTGAGAACATATGCGCCTATCTGGAATCTACGGCATTGTTAACTTTGTTTCTTAGCTCCAGTGCAATTTTCACGGACTTTAGCCATGCTCTCCAGAAAAAAAGATAGCAAGAATAAAGATTACGCAGCAGGCATCACAGGTCGATACCTGAAAAGAGAATCCCCGACTGACAATCCATCCCTCAACCGAAGCCAATTTGCCAGTCCCATAAAACGAGACAGCCTTTTCGAGAAGCGTCAGCCATCATCCAATTCGCCCCTCGGTCGCGGATCACTGTTATCCACAGCCAATCGTGTGGATCACAGTGTGCCATTAACACGAAACGCCGCTCGCGATCCCCTGCGCAGTCCATCCATATCGTCTTTCCAACCACCCAAACCATTCTGCCTAAGTTGCCGTGAAAATGTTACTGACAACCGCCATATCTGCAGAGTGGGATCAGCAGCCAGTGGTCCCGTTTATCTGTCCCGTTGTGAGCATGGATTTCCGCTCAGTCAACCAGTTTTTGCACCGTCTCATCCGGAAGAACCGCCACTGCCCCCCGGGTGGACGGTGGATTATACGCCCCGCGGGAAAAAATACTACATTGACCACAATTCCAAAACAACGCACTGGAATCATCCCTCGACGCTGGCCGTTACCGGCAATACGGAGCAGCCGTCCGGTATCATGGGCGACGACGCGTGGACGCCTGTCGTCGGTGCAGATGGCAACTTCTATCTTCTGAATCGTTTCACCAATCAGGTGCAGTCACCACATGCCCAACAATATTCCCAGCAGTTCCTGCCTTCGGAAACTGTGGATGACCGGGGTGGTTCGAGGGCATCGGAGAGGGCTTCTCCGTCTTGGAGTGGTGGACGATTCGCCCTATCGCTTAGTCAGAACAGCGCTGCGCAGTCCAGTCCACAATTAACCGATGACATGCGCGAGGTTTTGAAAATATACTCTAAAGGACCGAGCAGTGCTGATCATGTTCTCAAGTGGGATCTGTTCAGCTTGCAGCAACTGGAGGCCTTTGATGGGGAAATGCGTGCCTTATTCAAGACTGAACTGCAAAATGTGGTGATGTCATACGAACCGGGACTGATGGCTTTGCAAAGAGTTGGATGTCAGAGAATCCAAGTCTGGATCTCTTTTACAGTGAACGCACAGTGTGTTCTGTATGACATGTCCATTCCTTTCTGCTTTCTCTAATATTGTGATGAAGTTTTGCAATAATATTATTGACCATGTAAACTGTTTTTTACTCTTTATTTTAACAATTTTAAGCATTGCTTCGTTGTGCTTTGACTTTATGTATAATTTGTTGAAAAAATCATTTTGAAAAAATTTCGTTCTTTAACCGGTATTTTCCAATTTTTGTATCTACAAATATGTGTAAACAATACCACGGTTGTTCAGTCCAAGTTGATTAAAGTGCGATTTCACAGTCTGTTTATTGTTACCAGACTTACATAGTTACATTATACTGATTATAGCGGTTTGTTATTACCCGTGATATTGGCTTTCATGCCACCATAGCTGTGTTTGTTGTTATACAGTGGTTTAATTAATTCGTAGTATTGTATAAGGATCAGCTGTTGTTTTTTTACGTGACCGCTTTAATTGTTGTAACTCACGAGGACACAACACTCCAAGACCCAACACCGTATATCATCTGAAAATCTTAACCGGTATCTAATACTAAACAGCATTATGCACATACTAAAGATGATAACAACAAGCGATGGTCTCAAACCCTCGATCGCTGAAGTGCAAACCAATAAAATACGTAAAACACGAGGCAGAAACAAAGGCTAAAAACACCAACAGCCACAATTAAATAACGCACAATAAAACATGATTTATGTATCTCAAATTCTCAACAAGAAATTTTAAAACACCAGGACATGCCACATTACATACAAAGATGCCACACAGTCTGAACTCGTCATTGTAAGACACGTATATGCACACATCAAGGGCACGCTATTCGAAATAAATAAGCTGATTCCATTACATGCGTCGCCGTTTAGAAGGAGATTGTTTAATACTCCAAGTTGATTAAAGTGCGTTTCACAGTCTGTTTATTGTTACCAGACTTACATAGTTACATTATACTGATTATAGCGGTTTGTTATTACCCGTGATATTGGCTTTCATGCCACCATAGCTGTGTTTGTTGTTATACAGTGGTTTAATTAATTCGTAGTATTGTATAAGGATCAGCTGTTGTTTTTTACGTGACCGCTTTAATTGTTGTAACTCACGAGGACACAACACTCCAAGACCCAACACCGTATATCATCTGAAAATCTTAACCGGTATCTAATACTAAACAGCATTATGCACATACTAAAGATGATAACAACAAGCGATGGTCTCAAACCCTCGATCGCTGAAGTGCAAACCAATAAAATACGTAAAACACGAGGCAGAAACAAAGGCTAAAAACACCAACAGCCACAATTAAATAACGCACAATAAAACATGATTTATGTATCTCAAATTCTCAACAAGAAATTTTAAAACACCAGGACATGCCACATTACATACAAAGATGCCACACAGTCTGAACTCGTCATTGTAAGACACGTATATGCACACATCAAGGGCACGCTATTCGAAATAAATAAGCTGATTCCATTACATGCGTCGCCGTTTAGAAGGAGATTGTTTAATACTGGGGGTATCAGCTTCTTCGTCGTCCGATTCTGATTCGGACACATCGCCAACGCGTCCAAGATTCCCGTGTCCCCATGCCGGCTCATTTTCGCTATGGCCCCGATGTGCAGGTGGCGATGTCATCGAGCTGGAAGGACTCAGACTTGGGTGTGACATACCAGAATAACTGCGCTTATATGCCATTTCCCCACCGGCTGCATTATCATTGAAACCAGAGCTTTCTCCCGAGTACGGGTTCCCTATAAAGCAATCAACATAAACCGCTAAGTTAATAATATAAACCATCATGAGTTAAAGCTAACTGTATAATTGCGGCTCATAATTTTCGAGATTTTAAAGGCTCCGTAAACGATACATATTTCATAATTTGTGTTGCCATACATACACCAACCAAAGGCTATATTTTGCAAATTCTTTGTATATTTTTTTACTTACTAATAAGCTGTTAACATGTTCAATATCGCAGCATCTGACAACAAATATGCAATTTACCTGGGCCCTGCGCTGCTTTTTTGGCAGCATACATATTTGCCTCCTCCTGCGCTTTACCGATGTTCTTTTTGTAGCGGATGCGTTTATTCCCAAACCAGTTGCTAACTTGCGCCACTGTGATATTACATTTTCGTGCCAGTTCTTCCTTTGCTTCTTCACTGGGGTACGGGTTGTTTAGGTGCGAATAAAAATACTCATTCAGCACTTCGGTGGCAGTCTTACTAAAATTGCGCCGTTTACGACGTGCGTCCAAAAATCTGCAAAAGCAAGAAAACGAGCGTATTGCACAGAAACAAAAAATTACGAATATCGTGCTAAACATGTCCAAGGCATACCCGCAGGGCAATTTCACAAATTACATTAAACAGGCACTAACTCACCGCGAACGAAGGATCATGACAGCCTCGCATGTCGACTGCTTTAGCTGCATTTGTATGGAACTAAATTTTTTACGAATCATTTGCACCATTCGGTCCATTTCCTAAACGCACAAACGCCGAATAATTACAGTGCAATTATAATGAGTAAATAAAATCAGAAATGAAAATGATTACTACAAATGCCACACTTACAAAATAAAGCAATGTATTGTTTGGTAATTACTAATTACCTTTGAAGTAATTGGTCGTGTACGACTCTGTTCCCTCAAGAGATTCATAACGTGCGTGGTGAACTCGCCACATGCCTTCTCATACTTCTCCAGTTCTTGATGATAGATCTGTCGAATTTGAGCCAGTTTGGAGCGGTATTCTGAATGTTCCAGAGCGTTGGAGGGCAGATCACTGCCGGGCGATGAAGCGACAGCCGCCGCCACACCCGCCGTGGCAATGGAGCTTCCAGCTGCGCCTCCCGCCTTCTCTGGACCCGAAACACCCTCCGCGATCAGCATGTTATCCAGGCGCATCAGTTGTGGATCCGGCGGCTCATCATCTTGACAGGTGCGCAGGGACAGCGCCGTTTTATCTTTAATTTCGCACAGCACGCTGAAGAGTGCTTGCTTCATTGGGTGACAATTTAGCGCGTGCTTCCGCGTCTGGGCTTCTTCCAGCGACTGTAATATGTAATAAACGTGCAAAGATTGTTCGTGAGGACTGGGAGTATGTATCAATTAAAAAGTACCACTACCAATATACACAATGTTCAGACAACAAGGTTAAAATATAAACCCTCCGAGAAAGCAACTATAATGCTGCGCGGAACAAGGACAACCGATAAAATTCACAGAGAAAACCATTTTATTCCATCTACAGAGTACGGAGATTTCAATTATCTTCACAATTTCTGCGTACATTTACCGCATTAACATTCGGATAATCATAAGTAATTCTATGTTTACAACCAGGTAAGATAACTAATTTTGATTTAAAAGTTTAGATGTGGCTGTTTCTTATTTCTTCAAACATAGTCAAAACTTTAAATTGTACTGCACAGTCGTACCTGATTAGTAATATCCATAATCTGCGCGAGAACTTGAGCAATATCAGTTGTCTTGTTCTGCGCATTATTCATCTGACTGAGATAGGGATAATGCTGGTGATCGGAGTGAAGAGGATACCCGCTTGGATCCGACATTTTTATAAAGCTGTGTTGGAACAGAGCAAAATGCAATTTGCTGCAAAAATCAGTCGACAATTGACGGTCACAGATCCTCAGCTAGTTGCAATGACCGATGGATATAGTCTCTGCCATTTTAAACTTCACCGCAGATATTCCAGATCATACAGGTTTGAAGGGAATGCCCAGTCCGGGAGCTTAGGAAATTAGGGGTTAAACCATCCTGAGGGCGACCGTCCAAATCTCTCTGAACAAATCTGTTCTTACGCTCAATCCTGCTTCGAAAAACTGAAGCAATCGATGCGTTTCAGAACCATAAATGTAGCAACAGCGCAACTTAGGCCAAACTTCCTTACGAAAACATAAATATTATAAAACTTAAAAACATAAAACTGTAAAATGCAAGCAAAATACTTTATATTAAAAACGGAAAGGTAAGTAAAAATAAGAACATTAAATAAGCTTAATTCAGAATAACTAAGGAATTCTTGCATTTCTTGTAGCAGGTGGGTATTCCAAAAACCTCTCGCTGGTTATTGTCAGAAACTTCGTCTCCGTGCTTTGCAGATGGACATTCCCCCAAGCAGCCAGTATCCAGCGCGTAGCAGCGCCAGTCACATTCTTTTAGAAGAAATTGAACACGAAGCGGAAAACGAAGAGACGCGCGAGCGCGATGTCCATTTCTTCTTGCCGTCCACCAATCCACAGTCACGTCGCTCATCCGCGGACGACGCGGCACAAATGAATTCGCGACCGCGATCCTCCGCTTTCAGCAACAACCCCGGATCCAGTTCCAGTCCCAACGGGCGGATGCTGTTGGTGCACACGTTCCCTTTGAGCGCTCAGTCGGGACCGTCGCAGACGCTGCTGCTGCCGCGCACCAATGTTACTGGGAATCGCGTGCTGGCTGCGTGCCGCGATGACAGCATGCGTTGTGCGTACTTCCATGAGGAAGATGTGGGAGGCGACGAATTGGTGGTGGTGCCCAAGAGCGCCCTAATCAGTTCATTTCCTCTGGAGAAACCCTGGAAAGTGGGAGCGATGAGCGTCAAAACGGCTGATCCTTCCGTGCCAGGATGCGTGGATCTTGTTGTGTGTCTGGCGTATTTACCGAGGCAGAAGGATGGTGCTGTAAGTGTGAGATTTTTGAAATAAATTTCAGGGACGTCTTCAAATTGTATGTACGTCTCTACTGTATTCGCAATGATTTTAGGCATTTGTGGATAGCGACAAAGCGCCAAAATCCATCCTCATCGCTGCTTGGATGCAACCCGAAGACTTGGCAATGGAAAAACCGGTGTGTAAGTTACTTTGATTCACTACCCGTTTAGGTAAGATCTGTTATCTAGCTGTAAAGCAAGTATTCGTGTTGTATTAACAGTGGCACACGTTCATCTTGGCTTTACTCCTCACGGTTGCAATCAGTTAATTTGGTAAGATACGCTTCCTTTTGTACGAGTATAGTTTTCGGATTGTTTAGTGACATCTTAAAAGAAGGCGCAAAATGGCATGTGAAATTTGTCAGCTGAATTTGCATAGATTGGGCTTGAATTTGAAATATCTGGGATTATACGAAAAAATTTCTTGCAGGTGGAAAGATTTAGAAAAACTTGAAGAAACTACCGCGAGAATTATAATTCCCAGCCAGGAAGATGCACTATACTGCCTTGAATTGGTTAGGCTTTTGATAGTCTCAATTCAATGATTCGTGTGCCTTTCTTTTAAAAGTATACATTATACAACCTTTTTGTGCAGCCACGAACTCTACCGCAAACCGACAATATGCCTTTGCATGTCCAAGATGCTAGCAGCGTTGTTCCCTTGTTTTCCAAAATTGGACCATTGTCGTGGTAAATAATTGCAAATGTCATGCATGTACTTGTGTAGCTCAATGGCAGCCGCTGCAGTATCTATAAACTAATTTTTAGTGTGAATGCTATGGAATACTTCGATCAGTCGGACAAGCGCTACATTGCTGTATCCACTGGACCTAGCGCTTCCATCCGGTTTGGATACTATTCAGTAGCTAGTGAAGGTGAGATCAGCTTTCGGTTTTATGCGGCAGCTTACCAGTCTTGTATGGTAATATATTCGCCATAATAAAACGAATGGCATTGCATCGTAGAATGGTATCCGATGTGGGAAGTGCGGCACGATTCCATGACATCTCGTATGAGATTCTTTCAGGATGGCAATAAAGTCCATTTGTTGGTGATTGGATTGTTGGAAGTGGCCATCATATACCTGTAAGTCAGTGCAAAGCTTATAATTAGAGCAAACGCATAACCGGAAACTCTTTGACAGGAATGTGTCGGCAGAGCTTCGTCCAAAGTCCGTTGTACTCCCAAAAAGCAAACACTTTGATGTCGTTACCAGCTGTGATATTGTTTCTGGAAATGGCGGATCACGACCGGAAATTTTCCTTGGAACGTATGGTCGGGTACGGCTTCTCTGGTAGTTTTAGACCTGATTCTTTAGTCTGTAAAGACTGTAATTGTCTGTAATTAATCATTAATGGTACCTGTAGTCTGTATTTCGCATGACGATGTAAAATTAACTTAGGTGATCACTACTAATAAGTGCCTTTCACAGTGCCTTTAGCGTATCTCTCTATGTATTAAAGTCTGGCTTCTTCGCAGAGCGTTCTGGTGTACCAGTTTGACGAAGTCAATCCAGTCCTTTCCTACGTCCTGGAGACTGCATGCCCTGTTTACTACCTAGCCGTGGCGGATATGCTGCGATCCATGCAAACCAGTGCTCAGAAAGAGTTAGTAACCGTTGTAGTTACACAAAAAGCCATACAGGTTTATTGTTTGGTTTAACTGCTTTCGCGCTACTATCTGACCGAACGTCAAGGTTTTTGTTTCTTCTTGGCGTAAAATGGGAGAAGGATTTGACGATCGTGCTTGCAGAGAAGTGATAAATTTTATTTAAACTCTTGTCTTTACTGGCGTAGTTTGATGTTTTGTTCTTTTTATTTTTTTATGCCTACATGAATTGAAGCTCTTTATTTAAAAACCGTCTGTCGAAGTTTTCATTTGAAAGGACAGAAAGCAGCAGCTAGGTACTTATTCAAATGTTTAATTTGCGATAACATAGCGACAGTTCCGGTCCACGGCTGCAATGGTAATGTACAGTAATGTAATAACCGGATAAAGAATTGCTTCAATTTTAAACCAAGATACAGAATAAAATATTCAACATCCTTGCGAACACAACTGGAGTCCGCGTCAGAGAGAACCCGTATGGCAAAGGCATAAAAATACAGCTAGGCACGATCCATATGAGCAGTGGTATGCTCTCGAACACAACGCTGAATTTCCTTAGCCCACATTTTCAAGTCGCGTGCCATACGACGCCAACGCTTCAGATCTTCACGGAACTTACGACGCTCTTCTCTGCGGATGCGGCGCTTTTCTTTGCGGATACGTGATGATTCTGCCTTTGGCTGCATATCACGAACCATTTCCTGGAGGAGAGCTAAACGTCGGGACCGCTCCTGTTCTCTTTCACGCAGTAAAGAGTCGAACTAAAACGGCAGATAACAACGAAAAGTTGAGAACCAGTACTAGTGAATGCAGCGTCGTTCCTGAAGGAGCAATGCCAGAACTTACCATTTCCAGTTCATCCTGCCAGCCTAATCGTGGAGCCGCCTCGTCCACAGGAACACAAGCCATGCTCATTTCCCAAAATGCGATACGGTCAATGCGGAAAAAACCAAAAACAATAAACCGAGCTCTGAAAGCTCACAGGGATTTGCAATTTTGAAAATTTCGAACTGTAAACTTGTAAGTGATAGTAGAAGTTCCGTAGGTTGGCATTGGTAACCGACGTACGAGTCACGATGGAGAATCTTCTGAATCATTCCCAACCGAAGTCCAAGTGCGCACATGCGCAAAGGCGGGTCTTGCAAACAGGGGAACACACCTGCGAGGTTCCGAAACAAGTAGCCGAATAAAGGCGCAATCCCAAGTACGGCTGTGACCTTTCTGAACATGTCGAGTTTAGGTTAATCGTAAATGCGCAAGCGACGAACCTCCTGTCTACGGACGGGTTGAATGCGCTTTGTCCTCTGACTGGTGACCTGCACCCGCAACACAATCCTGTGGTGTCCAATCATTCCTGCAATTTGCTTTCCGTACCCACTCGTACCTGAACTGGATTTTGTTTCAATAAAAATTTGTTTGTTCGTTTGAAATTCGAATTACGTAAAGGTGTAGAGGATACAATGGATCCAATCCCAGAATTATTACGCACGATCCGGATCGCGCTTGCCAATGCAAGCATTATTGCTGAGCAAGATCCGACAATGAAAGACCAGATTGTTGCAGAGGTCGTCGAGCAGGTAAGCCAAATACTTTTCGCCTTTCTGCGGTATTGATAACACAAATTCTAGAACCAAACTTTGTGGGACAATAAGGACATTCGCTTTCAGTTGACCCGTGCCGAAGCCAACATTATACGCCAACGTCGAGAAAACCGCGTGGAGAAGGCATACAGTACTTCTGTGGTGAATCTCTTCGAGGACTTCTTACGCAGACAGAAGACTCAACAAAAAGTCGCCGAAAGCGCGCTGAAACGGGAGATTAAGATGAAGGACGATGAAATCGCAAGGATGAAGACAGCTTTACGCGAGATTGCGATTTCGGTCGGGGGAGTTGCGGACGCTCTAGAGCAGTTCACTGCCTCGTGTGCTGGAGGGAAGCCCCCTCGACCGAAGTAAACCAGCTCTTTTTGTCATCTTTCATCTGCACTCTGTGTGTGAACTTTGTATTCACTTATTATTGGTTCGGTGTCAACGCTAACAAAACGCAGAAAAACTTATTCCGGTCTCCAAATAGCAACCTTTGAGTTAGAGCACCTTGCGGGTACGCACTACCACCTTGCTTGTAATTTGTAAATAACGTATACCAAATGCAAAACAGTTTGCTCTCTGGAAATATGGCGGTATGTTCTTTGCGATGCAATTGAACAACTACACCATCTTGCTTTACAGTCGTTTTGTGTTGACTGAGTGTGCCGAATATTTAAATTTCGAATATATATTTTTTATTCTTATAGCAACAAAGGAATACTACGTGGTCCTTACGTACTGTTAACCGCCTCGCGGTAAAATCGTGAAGACGTTGTTTACTTCCGGCAGTCGGCATCCCCATAAAAATTAAAAAGTGCTATGCAAAGTCCCATTTTACTGCACATCACGCGAATTTCATGTTAAGATTTATTTGAAACATAATAAAGGTTAAACAAAAAAATGCTCTGGATTATCTTTAAACCACAATAAGAAACACCAAAATTAGTACAATATAACTTACTTAATGGAAATGAAAGGCAAACGAAATCACTGGCTTGTTTCCTTCATCCATTCAGTCAGGATCTTTTCCGTTTTTCCGAGCGTATCGTCGTTCTGAAAAAAATGCCAAAGGTGTAAAAGAGTTTGTCACTAATTCTGAATTCTGATGTAGGTACACTGAATAAGCAAGTGAAAGTATAGCATGCAAGATAAGCACGAGTTAAACAACTTACACTAGATGCGGTATAAAGTTAATATCGTTATCAAAAATATTTCAAACCGAAATTACTTTATGCTGGTGGAAACTACTATCGTTGTAATGCAGCTGGATGAGTTTCAAAATATTCCAGTTTTAATATAAATAACTGCATAGTGCATACCTTGCAGAAGCAGAATCGAATATAATCTTCCGCTAGATGTTTGTGCTCTTGGGAGTAAAACGCACTAACAGGGATAGTGGCCAACTTCTTTTCCACTGTCATCCACTTGACAAACTGAACATCTCTGGGTTCATCGCCACTCTGCAGTTTAGGACTATTTTTAATTTTCGAATAATCGGCCAACATAAAATATCCTCCTTCTGGGACCGTCGGAATGAATCCAGTATCAATCAGCATCTGTGCCATTCTGTCACGCTTCCCTTTCAACATGGCTGGAAGTTCTAAGAAGTAACATTCTGGCGAGCCGAGGCGCTTCATTTCAATCTCGAAACCTACTGCCACCGCCTCTTGTAACGGTGTGGCGGACGTGTAAGTAACGTTTTGATACATCACTTGGCAGTTGCGGATCAAGCTGGCCGGCCCAATTGACCAGCCTAATTTCCAACCCGTCACGGAAAATGTTTTCCCGGCAGAGCGAATCGTCACTGTTCGTTCCCACATTCCGGGAAAGTCCGCTACAACAATCCGACAGCTTGTTTTTACGTGTACTCATAGCACAATTTGACAGATCGAAAAATACAACTTTGCAGTAAAATTACCACGCGTTCCATGTTGCCAGTACTGTAAAACCACATTTCTAGCTAAGCATAACGCGTCTCCATATACTGAATATCCATATATGATACGCATAAACGCATTTATAATTTTCTAGACAGTTTTCTAATTTTGATTTACTTTCCAGACAAAGCGTATTCGGAATTTAACAAACAAATCTAAATGAGCCGAAAATTACCAATGCGGATGTGCTGGGAAGGATTAAACACCAACCATTCATAAACTTCATCGCTGATAACGAAGATGTTCTTGCGCACGCATAATTCAGCAATCTCCTGCAATTCCTGACGAGTAAACACTTTTCCCAGTGGATTATTTGGAGTGTTCAAAATAATCAGTTTCGTCTTGCTGCTGAATTTCGACTCGAGCTCCTTCATATCCAGTGTCCATTCGGCACTGTGCATTAGTTCACCCTGTTTGCTCTACAAACAAAATACGTATACTTCTATTTATCAAACAGAAACTGCCGCAAAACATAACCGACAATTTCCTTACTGGTCGAAGGGGAACAAAAACCGGCACACCTCCAGCATACCGCACCATCGGTTCGTAGCAGTCAAAGTATGGTTCGATTATAATAACCTAACAGCAAATGCGCTCAGTCAGCACTTTCTCTCGGTTTAATCACCGCATAATAAAACTTTCGTTACCACTCACTTCATCTCCAGGGTTCACGAAACCCATAATGGCGCAAAATAGCGACTGATAAGCGCCAACGGTGACCAGAACTTCGGTCAACGGATCAATGGGACGACTGTGGATCTTACTAAACACTTCCGCCAAGATTTTGACCAAGCGCAGATGACCCTACGCACAAACAGATCCATTACGTTGCGAGCATACCGGGATGCATCAAAGCAATCAAAGCATACATATCCGCGAGTGTACTGATTCAGCATGTGATTCGCGCCATCGGTGGCTTCTGCTAAGGCTTTCGTGACATATTCCGGAGGTGGAAAATCGGGAAATCCCTGCGAAACATGATAGATTACTGGAAATGCGAGGTCCGAAAACTGCATCAAAACACCGGTATCCACAATGTGCTGTACCTGTCCTAAGTTAACTGCTTTATGCTGCGCTGCTAAACCAGTATACTCAACCCTGCAAATACAAGTAACGAATTTTCAGATTAAGCAGAAAAAACTTTTCCAATCCTAAAATGACACACAAATTTTCCAATCCTAAAATTTTCCAATCCTAAAATTTTCCTAATTACTCTACTCGCTTAATGCTTTCTTCTGCAAATCGGCAGCGCATATGCTCCAGACTAGAGTCCAGACGCTATTGCTATAGCCTATAACTGTTCATTTTTGACTTATAATACAGTATACAGCCAGCACAATATGAATGATTCACTAAGCGTTCCCTACCAAACATTTTTATCCAATCCTTTCAATCGTTCCGGAAGCTCGACCTTCAGCGTGGATTTAGAATCTGCCTGGTTTTGCGCCATCTGATAATACAATACGGAATGCAAGAAATATTTCGTAGGAGAATGATTCAGATTGGCAATGAAAAAAGCAGAAGCGCCTGCCACGCAGCAGTTCGCGTTTGCAACCAAAACCTACATTTACCGTTATAACAGGAAACTGAACTTCGCAATAACCATATGTGCTGTTATAACAAACTACTGGTAATTATTAATTTCACTTCATATATAAAGCACTTTGCTGCATTAAAGCTACGCTCTGCAAAAACCACACATGCTAACCTGCACTGGATCATTAACTCTTGGCGAAATTTTAGTGGCAAACCCTCGAACAGCTGATCCCTCTATGATGATCGAGGATGCCGTTCGATAGCTGGTACAGAAATTACCAAGGGCTGCGAAAACGTTGCGAGACATACCATTCACCGCTTTTATCAGGTTGCTCCAGAGATACGATGCCTTATCTTCCTCTGAGCTCAGTCACTGCTGAATCACTGGTGATAACAAATGTCTGCCAGCTGATACACGATCAGAACGTGACTACGTAAGTGTTTGACCGATATATGTAAAAATCACGAGCGCTAACAATTCTTATGTCGTACAGACTTGTCGCTTGTAGACAGAAGACACCAGGCAGCGTTAATACTAAATATACTTTGACGAATTTGTTATTTCTACAAACACTTCGCGGTTCCGTCCAGAAAGGAAGCAAGAATTACGCATACATGCAAGTTGCAACAAAAGTGGAACTGCAAGCACGACAGGAAACACTAATAAATCTCATAAAAAGTACAAAAAATTAGTACTGAATTTGATGTGTTATTGACACTTTGGCAGCGCTGGTTTACAAAACCCACCAGTAGATTGGCAAAACTGCCGCCCTTAGGAGATGCAAATGTAGCCCATTTGTTTAAATTTTGGCCCGCCAACGGGAAGCGGCTTTAATCTCTTCCCTTAACTTTTTTGACGTTCAAGTTTGAAACCGAAAATATTGGCATTTTTATTTTATTTGAACAGAAACTCATGCCGTTGTCACGTTGTGATGGCTCGGCTTCTGTGTTTTATTGCACTCTTTTGAATGTTTTGTTCAATACACACTGTACAATTATGGTTTGTCCTAAATAAAGCGAAGAGGACTCGGTCCACACTCCAACCGTGTAATAGTGGTGGCTGCTACGCTTGGGCTCGCGGAAATGGCTGCAGATAAGCAGTACGCTGTTGAGCGCATTGTTGGAAAGAAGATTGAGCTGGATGATGTGCAGTACCTCGTCAAATGGGCTGGATACGACACTCCGACATGGGAACCATACAAGAGCCTTGCCAACTGTCTGAATCTCGTCTTGGAATTTGAATCTCTTCACCGTTTCCCCTTTCTCACAGCCTCCAAAGCAGTCCAGTGTGCGGGTGTTCCCAGCGAAGGCGACGCTACTTCCAATGGGACATCGGCAGGCAGAATCATTATTCCGCGCAAACGAGACATGTTTTATTCTGCAACACCGAATACTCCTCCAGTGGGCCCTTCTCCACAACACTCATCTCGCGATCCTCTGCCATCGGTACGTAGTATCATAAAATGCGCTGAAGATAAATGTACGTACTCGTAACAGCCGATGGGTTTCCGTGTGCTTGACTGGCAGGTAGCGCGTAGTTGGCAGTTGGTGTTTTGTTTCAGGTAGAAAAGACAAAAACAGCTTGTGCATTTTATTGTATATTCGAAGCAGAGCAAATTTTTACAGAGTATTGTATAACTTTAGCCGTGCAGTACTCAGTAAAAATAGCTTTAGCGTTTAATGCCGTGCAGATAACTGCATTGTGTTTGAAGCGTCTTTCAAGGGATTTTACGGGCGTCTTCAGTTGAAGTTATGCCGTTAAATGATTTAAATCCAAAACCGTTTTTCTGGTTGCACTGTAAATGGGCCGACTTTTTTTTCTGTTGGTTATCGTTACAAACCTTTCCAGTTTTCGTCCATATTTGGCGGCTCATGGCGCAGCAGGAATGTGATGCCTTGCTGGGACTATATGCGTTAGTTAATCGGAGGCAGTTTATAGCTTTACTTGAAGATTTTTCTAATGATACTAACTGGATGCTTCTTTGTTTTGCTGCAGCTTCTACCCAGCACCAGCCAGCCCCTTGCCACAGCAAAATCTGTGATCCGTCCCGTCGTGGGCTTCATTCCGGGTGCCAACAACGGCGCCCTACGTCCTGTTATAATCTCCTCCATGAAGTCGGGTATTCCCCTGGATCTGACTGTCTCGCACAAAACCCCCGAGCCGCCCGTCCCGCTGACCACGCAGAACAGTCTGCCCGCAACGTCCGCCTCCGTCGCCGTTGCGGCGCGCAAACGCAATCCTGTCTTGTGTCCGACCTGTTCGGCGACATTCCGCAGCGACTTCCTCCTGGCAAAGCATCAGTTGGTGCAGCATTCCACAGAGAAGACCTTCGACTGTCGAATATGCGGAGAGATCTTCGGGAAGAGTTACGCCGTGGCCAATCACAAGAAGCGGCATGTGGAGGGCAAACCACTGGTCTGTCGCGCTGTCAACGGCGTCTTCGAATGTCCCAAGTGTCACAAGAAGAAGGAACACTACTTCCATCTGGAGCATCACTATGAGATGTGTGTTACAAAGGGCGATTCAGAACCTGTAAAGCGGCGGAAAGTCAAGCGGAGTGCGTCGTGAAGTGCCGTTTCCCGTAAATGTGCCAGACGAGTGTGCATCTATTTTGTATGATTTTCTTTTGCTTTTGTTGTGTTATTTGAATGTTGCAGTTTGCTGCGCGTCGACTATTGTAGTGTATAGTAAAGGATTCTCGCGAATGCCAATGTAAAGATGTTGTGTTGAACGAATGTTGTACCTGGCAACTGGCGTAGTTAATGTACATACGCAATTGCGTTGTTGATGTTTTAGTCTGCTAAGGCGCAGCTCCTGAGCTGCTAATAAACTGAAAGTATTAGCGCTCAGTAAATACGTCACAATGGCGTGAAGCGATCCGTTATCATGCGATGTAATATTGTTCTAATGTGAATGTGAGGGCGTAGAGTGCGCTCTAATGTGAGTGTAGTGGATTGTTAATTTTCCTGGATTGTTTCCTTGATGGCGATGGAGAGAAAGTCGCAGGAACACAAGAATCCAGAGAAGGAAGAGAACGCCCAGTGAAGAGGAAGGCTGAAAGATCCAGCGGAAGTGACAGAAAGGGCCCAGTGACTGACACTGCCGGATGAAGCCGTAGTGGACCAGAAGGGAAAGAGCGCAGTCGCGAGCGCGTGAAGAGAAGTGAATCCAGTTGAAGCCTGGCCGGCCAATGAGTGCAAGGAAAAGAACTGGATAGTGAAGGTTCCACGTAAAGAGTTCCTCAATGTGAAAAGTGAAAGGTCGCGAGACGGTTGCCATGAAACTCCGCCAACGGGAATGAATGGAATCCACACTACTGACATTAACTACTGTAGTGGTAAAGGTAAACCAATGGAAATGATGGTTTATAAATGTACAGTGAAGTGATGATGTCAGCCTTTTTTTTTATAAGAAGGAAAGGTGTAGTGTATAGTAAAGGATTCTCGCGAATGCCAATGTAAAGATGTTGTGTTGAACGAATGTTGTACCTGGCAACTGGCGTAGTTAATGTACATACGCAATTGCGTTGTTGATGTTTTAGTCTGCTAAGGCGCAGCTCCTGAGCTGCTAATAAACTGAAAGTATTAGCGCTCAGTAAATACGTCACAACTATCATTGATTGTCATGTAATTGTTCTCTTATTTGTTTACTCGGTTTTGCGGCGGTAAAGCTTTTATTCGACCACAGTTTATTGACGCTTTACGCCTTACGATTAAAGAAAAATCATTTAAATTTCGTCTCATAAATTTATTGTTAATTTAAACAGTATTGCGGAATCACAGTGTCGTAAAAAGTTTTGATTTTGGCAGAAGTGCAAATTAACACATGGGCACCGCACTGAAAATGCTCTCTTCTCTACAACGAAGCAATCACATCACATCGACCACTTCTTTTTGATTGGGCCTCATCGGCCTGATTGACCATTGTTGCGGAGAGAGATTCCGATTTGGGAATGGCCTTGTTGAGCACTTTGTCGCGATTTGATTGCGGGCGAATACGCGGCGGTACGACCGTCATCTATGTCTGCAAAAAAGCAATATTTTCCGGTACACTCTCGATTTGTCAACAGGACTAGGACTGCATTAATTACTTGTTCATTTTTAGTTTATGCACTGTTCGAAAATTACAGAGGCGACATAGCATACCTGGGTCGGAGAAAATTGATCCCGGCTCGTCTCCGGAAATAGAAGACACTGAAAAGCCAAATAAAGGATTAAGGGATGATTTCTACATGGGTAGATATTATTTGAACTACAGCACTGCAACAAGATCTGACCTTTATCTAGCGTTACCGCCATCTTGGCATTTGGTGTTTGCAGCGGAACATGGTTTTCCGTTATCACAGGCTCCGCTTTGATGATGGATTTGATGTTTTTCTGTTCGGCCTTTGGCTCTGATGGTCTCCTGAAAGCTGGTGGCGGAGCGCCGCCGATGTACACTCCACCAAAGATGTCGTTAATGGTGGTGTCCTTTGCCGGCGTTACGGCGTGCTTGCTGCTTAGTTCGCTCTCTTCAACATCCGTTATCGGGGGCAGACTGTTGCCCGTCAGGTGTGGTCGATGTGAGCTAAAAATTATTTCCGAATGCTCTGAGATTTCGATAAACTCACAGTTGAACTCGAGCTGACTACATAATTTGAAAACGTCAATATGCTACTCGGCTTCTGCCGTTCCGCGCATGTTAGGAGAGGTACATATGCACCCTTAATCAAGTGTTTATTAACAAAATTCCGTTTTAGACGTACTTCGAGGACGGCTCGGAGACATTAGTGCAGACCGTGACCGCTTCCACGCTGTTCTTTCGTGGCCGGTAGTGCACATACACGCACTTGGTTACGGCGGATGTTTCCACCAATGGCCAGTGATCGGACTGGTCATCCTGTGAGGATTCACCATTGACTGACGAATTATCATCATCGTCGTCGTCCGATGGTAAACCTGTACGCATGCGTTTGTTATTCGTTTGTCATTTGCGAACCAGAGAATTATCACCACCGTAAGCGGTATTATTGTTACTATACAGTAAAATTACTATTTCCGCCACGCCGCATATGCAGTCTAACCTTTGAAGTTAATTTTCGGGCGCGGTCGCGTGCTCTTCTTCCGCTGCTGCAGAATGTCACGAGCCTCTTCGCCCAGTTCGGATACGAGTTTATTTAGATCCGTCAGTTTCTGTGAAATGGCGTAAGTTGGCATGTATAGCGTAAAACGTGGTGGAAAAAATTGATTAAAATGTACCGCTTGATGAGCTTCCTTGAGCTTGGAATTTTGGTCCTGGAGATTTTTAATACGATTCTGCAAATCCGCACTGAATGATTCACGTTTACTACTTTTGGCTGGCTTCAATGTGGCTCGGACACGTTTGGCTTCCGGATTCGGGTTTCTCCGTAATTCCAGAATCTGAAAAAGCGTGTTCCTGATTACCTGAGCAGATACATCGAAGTACATACGTTACGGCCCATGTACGAGCGATTTCCGGTTATATAATCGACGTAAGTGGCAAGTACATACTATCTACAGTATAGTTCTGTTAATATTTACTTTGCATTTAGCTACTGCTTACCCTTAATCAGCTCTAATAAAAGTTATTTATTTCATTTTAATTGAATAAATATGAAAAAAATCACTACCGACGCTTTTACATAATACAGCCTGTAGAGGAAGGATTAAGTGTGTTGAGTGGACAGTTGGACAGTCTAATTATGGTACCTTAGGCACGAAAACAAGGCAGAGAGTAATGGTTGTGCAAAAAATAATAAAAACACTGATAATGATGAAGGCGTATTCCTGCTGATCAGTGAGGATAATGGAAATGGCCGCGCCAATTACACACATAATCACAACATTGTACACGCTCATCCCGATGTATTTGGAGTCGTTCAGCGCCGGAATACTGACATGTCGCGTTTCCCAGGCCAGGAAACAGCCAAAGGCCTGGAAAATTGCATGGTGTTGGTCAACACAGGGATATGAGAAAGCGTAATTGCGGTGCCTGTGCATCTGCTGACAACTGAGTGTGGCACATAGCCGGCTTACCATGAGAATGCCCTTAAAGGCGTAGGTAACGCCCAAGTAAATGGTGTTATTTTCAGAAATGCAGTAGGCAATCTGAGGCTTTATTAGATAATCGTTGGTGATGTCCTCCTGTTAGTTTGTCAACAAATTAATCAATGAGTTGCACTGTGGCAATCAAATCAATCTTACAAATTCCGTCAGATTTTTCAGGGCGAATCGGAAGGGATCTTGCAGCTGCCAAGTAAGCAGAATCACTAAATCGGCCACCAAAAGGACGGCCACAATCAGGAATAGCTGGTAGTCTTTTATCACCTGCAAGTTCAGTTATTTGAGAGTATTTCAGATAAATGTTTTTAAATTATTTTTGAAACAAGTGTGATCATTGCAAAGTAATAATTATGGCGTCAGATTGCGCAGCAATACGTACACACTATAAATTCGATATGGATTACAATTCGATCATTTTTAGTAGTGTAAATTAGCGCAGGAATGTTGTTATGTATTCTAGCTGTTGTCGAAAAAAATTTCATTCGTAATGTTGGATAGAATAATAAATACCAAAATTAATAAGGTGATGCTTCACAATCCTTTTATATTAAATTACATCATCATTTCTTGTCTCACTACATTTTGCAAGCAATATCTTGGCACTGTAATTAACACCGGGTAGTGTACAAAAACGTGATTAATTAAGGTAAGATTTCTTGCCTTTTTGTTGAGCTTAATGTTGGTGAATATGGCGTGAACTCGCCACGTTTTACTGAACATGGCTCCAAATGCCAGCGTAAATCCAATTGTGAGCACCCATAACCTAGCCTGAAATCAATATGGAGGGATAAGGTCATAATTAAATTAGAAAACTGTACAGCGTAAAAATACTTTTGTATGAATATACAAAGTAATTGTTTATTTGGCAAGACGCAATGAGAAGTTGTTATAACCAAACTTACCGTGCAAACAGCCGGTATATACTCCATGTCCACTAAGCCGGTATCGATTCCCAGTAAAATGACACTCAAATACGTCATAATGCAGCCAAAGATGATGACGTTGTTCAGGTACGGGCTGGACATTTTGATATACCTATGATGATGAAACCACGCATTTGTTTAATGCTGCATTTGACAGCTCAGATTTAATTCGAGATAGCGGTGAACAAGCAACAGAAAAAGAGTGGAGGATCATCTGCTACGGAAGGAACAACCCTTAAACGCAATTATCAGCGCCGTTTTTCTATATGTCAGCTGAGTTTTCACTTATTTCCGGTGTACCATCCGTACCGCAAAAAAGAGTAAAAGGAGGGTGATTTCTAATGAACTTGAAATTGCACCCATTTTACGATTTGCAATTGCAGCTGTACGATAGCCAAGTGTTACATGAAAGGCTTACTTGTGGTTCCTGTATTTGACATTGATAACGAGGAATGTCACGGCCAGGATCACACCGGCGATCGCTAAAGTGGTCATGGTAATAAATGTCGCCAGGTTAAGATGTTCAAGGCGATTTTCGATATAGGTGCTATCTCTTGGCGCTGATTTACCTGTTAAGAAATGCAGATCACAGAAATGATTGTGGTTATTATGAAGAAATAGACCAGAAATTTGCAGATAATGGTCGCATCGTGATAATTCTGGTACGCTCGGACTGGAGGGATTCGGAACTGTTGAAATTTGCTTATATGAAACTGTTTGCGAAGCTAAACATTATTTACCATGCCAAAATATGGGTCTTCCAACGCTGAAGTTGAGTGTGCTGCTTTCGTTTTCATAAAGCGCGATTATTTCCTCTTTTCCTGCTCCAACAGTATCGGATATCACTGTAAAAATTACACAAGTATGGTTACACCAACAGTACGTACTAAAAACTGTTTTTGACTTGTATGCATAAACATATGGTGCACCATTCACAATAAAGGTCACCGTTTAGTTGCAGTCAATACATTTTTTGTCTCTGTTACGCCAATTCGTTTATGTATCTGTTTTTCCTTTACTTCGAAATAAATATGCAGATTTATGGTGAATATACCCTGGAACTGGTTAATCAGGATGCTTCCAACACGCTCATTCTGGAAGAACTTTACTGGTCCCTGTGAAAAGGAATATGCAACGTCAATGCAATGATCCATTGCCAAGTAAAAGGCACATGTGACCGTATATTGTTGGTGTCATCTGTACCGTAACGCCGATAAACTCCGTATCATTAAGTGCTTCCAAGAAACGTTTAGACCATTTTTCACTCTTGTAGTTAAAATCTTCGATGGATTCCCAAGGTGGAAGCTGGAGAAAAATGGTTGAAACAATTTATTACGCTTTGAAAATCAATTATACTGACGCGCTACACCGAGTTAACGCGAATGCGTACTTCATTAAGCACAATGCTGATGGCTTTGGCCATTGCCCATACGCCGTCGTAGGTGTAACCATGAAAGCGGCTGTAATCGGCCTGCCTGATGCGGTTGTACAGTTTTTCATAGCTGCCGGCATCCTAGCAAGAAGAAAAAAACGGGATCGGAAATGGTCATCCCACAGAGATGTAGAGCTAATATGTTGTGGATATGGCGTGCAATTTACCAGTCCGGCTTCGGTGTGGCGTTTCTTGTCTAAACTTAATGGCAGGATATCGGTACTTATGTAGCCATTTAAAGCGGTAACCAGCTCGTCCGTAGTGCAATTAAGATTTTCCGGATCTTCGATTCGCCACCATTCCTCATTATATCCGCCCCATATGATCCACTGGTATTTGCGACCGTACATTTGCCTCGTATAAGCCTATTAAAAATATGCAATGAGTATGATAAAATGAACCTGGCTTATGTGGTGAAGTATGTTATTCTGCATTATTTTGTCCCACAAGTTCACTCAAAATAATACCTCGCAGAATATAATCCTTGCCCATCTTTCGCTGAAACTTCCAAATAGTATCCTTGCCCCTCTCTGTTGAAACCTATCCAGTGCGCTCCTGATTTCGGTAATGTCAGTAAAGCTACTTTGAGCGAGGAGTTTATAAGGTGGATTAACATCTTTGGCTCGGGACATTAGATGATTGTGAGCCTGCAACAACTTCAAACTTCTTTCACTGATATACGGCAGTATATATTCTGCTACTGGGCGCATCCATAAATTTGTAAATAAAAATGAAAATGAAATAAATGTTGCAATTACGTTACATCCTTTATTAACGAGCATTACCATTGATTCTACTGTATCCTTTAGCTACCAATCACCATCGGCATCCGTAGGTACAGTACTAATATTCTTTTAATAACATTTTTTTTATAGTAATCTGTATAGCCATTCGGAACACTACTGCTACAAAGTGATAAACAAGAAGTTACTTGTCACAAACGCACTTATTTTTTACATTGACAATTATTAGTTGTTGATATTTAAGTTAATCAGCAGCTGTAGCACTTACAAGAGAGTAACGCGGTTCATTTTGGTACAAAGTGGCAATGTATGTCCAGTTGAACTGGCGCAAGAGTTCCAAGCGTGCGAAATTGAACTGGTTTTCGCTAGGCACAATACGGTATAGGTTCGGAAATTTATAGTGGTCATACATTGGATGGGTATCCGCATATGAAAGCTACAAAACAGCGATCATTTCCGGTTACCGCAAGATAGGCAAAATAGAAACGGCAGAACTAATATAAAAACTATTGTACATCATGTATAATATGGAGCTGTACAAGCATTTGTACAAGCTGCCCAAATAAAAATATCTACACAGCCTTTCAGCGTTAAACTGCCAATTGCAAACCGTTTTTTTTAACTTTTAACTACGGTAACTATCCACTCATATTATGCTGTATCTGTGCAGTGTGCAAACAGAACTTACTTGAGCAAGATGCAAAAATTGGCTGGCTTGAGCAATTGGTCCTGTAACTTCGGTGCAGGCACTTCCGAATACCATTAGTCGCCTTCCTGGCTTTTTGTACAACATATCCAAAAAAGCTTTTATTCCCAGCGCCGCGTCACACTAGAAGAATCATAATTATTACAATGAAAAACTATTTGGCGGTGACATATTACTAGCAATTGTAAGGTCAGGGCGCTGCATTTCAGTATCATTCGATCGAGATTCAAAGTTAGACACAATAAATTTATGGAATGCCAAATTCATCACTAGACGCAAAACTGAGGTACGTTATTGATCGAACAATCATAATGCTTATTCACTTTTTGTTAGAGAAGAGGAACTCTGTACCACAGGTTCAGTGCGGAATGTTTTGCTTTTTATAAATAAAATGCCACAATACCGGTAACACCACTAACTTGTAGCATTTTTTTATCTATTCAGTATGGCTTCAGAAAATGGAAAGAAAATGATTTGTGCTGTGTTGGGTTCACGAAAATATTTCTGCAGTTCGTTCATCGACGCAAGCAGTCCGATTACAATGAATGAAAGCAATTTGTAAGCACGATATAAAAATATAACATAACCGACCAGCAGATCTACACAGAAAGGTCACTCTTCGGCAAATGCTCATGGACGTACAAAAAGGAATTTGCCCAGTGCCTGAAGGGACCACGATTTTTGTCATCTTTATAATATCGTTTATCAATTTTTTCTTATCAAAACCAGCTTAGATGCGTGGCAATCAGGCTTAATGGTTATATCCCGCTGCGCTGTGTCCTAAGATGACGACGGCCATTACCCAATCTGACGAATTGTTATGCAGTCAGGAATGGATTTTTGCCTAATAAATACAGCACTATACAGCCAGGGTATACTGCAACAGCACCAGAGGTTATTAGTGTTGACTGTTGTGTTGGTCAGAATCGGCGCTGCATGTGCAGCTGAAAATGACACACACATGCGCAGCTGATCCGATTCCCCGTGCCAACACGTATATACACCCAGTGTTTTCCCGTCAGTTGACGGCATATCGCAAGCCAAACTACTGTCATTAACAGGTCTTTAAGGTTCTCCACTCGCCGCAGGCACTGGACGCTAATTTGCTGGGATATTCGGCGACCTTAATCAAAACGCCCAGTTGCTGCGCTCCGCCGAAATGGAATTAACCAAGGCTAAATTGGCCACTATTTCGCTGTAAATTGTTATGTGAAAACTAGTCTCGCTTACGATGTGTATAATCATCTGACGTATAATGTAAGGTCAGTCTTCAGTGTGCGGTATTTATGTAGCAATAATGGTTAAAAATAGCTGCATAATTACCTGAAAATGAGCGCATTTTGTGCTGTATTGCTTAATGACAACCCCATATATAAGAAACAAGGCAGAGTTAAAAGCCATTATTTCCAAATCTCGCCTTTCCACTTTGAAAAACGGACTGGATCCAATTTTTTTCTCTTGATTTCAAAACCAGTCTTTTCGCTAAACTGCAGACATTTATATTAATAAACACAAAAATGAAAATAAAAGCTAAAAAACAAATATCCATTTTATTTCATAAAATACAGATACGTTACAGATCAAAAACAGTGAATCGCAGTTAAACATTTAAAATCAGCTGGTGAGCGATTTATCAAATTGTTGCGCTTGCATTTTCACGGTTTCGGAAGACTAAAGTTATCCATTCTGCAACCGCATGCGAATTGCGGTGGTAATTTGTTTGAAAGCGATAAACTTATCACAGCATAATTAGATATGTGACAGCAACCGGCAAAGCCAATGATCCCTTGCATTCTGTATTCATATGTTGGGGATCAGATGGGAAAATATGATTTTATTGTCGCTAGTTAGGATGGGCAAAAAGAACCTAACACGGTTATCTTGTTTGGTTTCATCCGGAAGCGCAAGCCGGACTTGTTATCACGGCGCGGTATCAGTGTCATTGCGACTGCACTGTACCGCGCTTATATAGAGCGGGCAGCATTATTCCCCTTGGGTACACAGTGGGTAGCGGATGCGCTAATCCTTGTGTCGGGCATTTGGGCTAAGCAGTTTTTTACAAGGGCACTTTGGCCGCAGTGTCATGAATAGCGTAATCATCTATCCTTGACAAGGAAATGAGGCATTGGATGCTGGACGATGATATGTTGGACGGGCCGACACAATGCCCGATTAACAACATATATCTGTATGCGCCATACAACAGCATTGCGCACACTGTATATGCATGCAGTATAATGAAGTTGGCTTTTTCACGTATTCCATGCTCATGCGATGGTGCGCGCATGCACCAACCATTAAAACTCAATAATCATTAGAAAGTATATTTCCAATGCAACAACCAACACAACAATCACTCCCTTAATGGCATCACACACCATTCCAGCCTCCAGCCAGAATTTACCATCCTTGGATTTTTCGGTTCACAGCTCTCCAAAGAGTCCCACACAGGATGGGCTAACCGGGATTTACAAATTTTTTATGGATTGTATGCATTGCATATATGCATATACAAAATATGTGATTAATATTCTTGCTGACACGCATTTGCTGTTTAAGAGGCCCTTCATTATCCACAAAGTCTGAAAAAGTGTTCTAAAATTTTCGCGAATTGTTTATACTTCATTAATTGTCGCACAATTTGTAAATATTAACGATACTGCTGCGCGAAAATATAAAATAAAATTACCCAATGAAATTTTTAAACCTTTTGCAGCACTAAGAACTTTCATACAATCACAGCAAATAGCGTGTTACAAGCAAATAGCTATAGTGTAAATAAAAGCACACTTACGCTTTGTGCGTACCACACCTTTTACATTTGCAAGGCGGGATATGACTTATAGCAACAATGAAAGTGCTCGCCGCCGCGCTATCCTGATTGTGCGAACTCAGTCAATGATCCGGCGTATTCTTGTTTTGGTATAGATATGTCTGATGTTAGCTTTGTAGTCTCCGCTTATTTTTGTGCTTTATTCATGTCCTGTCAATTGTCCTACTTACGTATTAATAGGCTGAATTCACGAGTGCATCAGATATCGATTATCGGACTGCGCAATTATTGGTGCATAGTCTCAACTGTGCGTTTACGTTTTTTGTCGACAACAGTACATGTGCTAAGATCCCGCCGCAGGAGCTCTTTCCTGTAATTAATGTGGAGCTATTCCATGAGCTCCTATCGAATCAAGTTTTGCTGCTAATGTGACCTTTGGTTTATAGTTTTGAAATCTATCTGTCTGCGCATATTATGTATCTAATGTCTGCACAACGCACGTCTTCAAATCTAGCTGAAATAATTTTATCCGTATTTACGTATCACGCAACCCAAGCTTCTTTTCATGACTTTTGCAATTTTTTAGCCGAAAAAGGTAAAAACGACGCATCCAAACATCCACAAGACGACAAACATGTAGACGAGTTGGCATTTAATTAGTACAGTTACCGAACAAAGATTTCATTATGTCGAACGCTTCATTTGTCGGGTAGCAAAACAAACAGCAGTTACGAGCTGTAACAAACAGAACCGGCCTTTCAAAATTATTTATAAATTTTTGATTAGGAGTCAAATTTTGTTTAAGATATATAGGTCGGCTATTAAAAGTTTCTCCGTGGGTGATTTAAGGAACGCACTTCTTTGCATTCCATGCGTCACATTAGGGAGGTTCATCGCAAATTTGACAAACATAATTATTACTTACGTACTATACCACGGTACTGTATACATCATACAAATATCACGCCTTAATTTATGCGTTGATAGCTACGGTAAGTACGGTTACTGTTATTGACGGTTTCCATTTTATTATCTCATAAAGGTTTTACGGTTAGATCAGGGGCGCATAAGGGGATAAATATGCATATATACAAAAACTCGAAACAAAACTGTTCGATTTTTCGATAAATTTCGTGTTACAATCTCTTCAGAATGCCTTAATGAACCAATGTCTGAGTGGGAGATCTGCAGTACTGGGATTTCTTGGTAACACATCGGGATATCAGCGCAGACCAGTCATGCCGCTTGTACGCACGCTCATATTGATTGTAAAAAATACTTGTGGATGGAATGTTGTGGACACTTGGCGATGATGTCCTCGATTTTCGACACGTTTTAAAGTACGTGCTGTGGGCAGCGCTGAGGTCGCAGCAGCTCAGCAAAATACGGGATCAAATGCACTGATAAACGTTGTTTGCAGATCAATTTGCTACTGACTTAAAGGACGTAAGTTATCACAGGAACCTTATGGAGCTTGCAGCTTAACTAGGATTTATTGGATCGTTGAGAAGTTTTCAGATGTATATAAAGTGACTGCCGCGATGCCCTTTACATAACCTGCTGTGCATATGGTCTGGCAAACCGAAGCTGTAATATGCTTATTGCCTCAAGTTGCAAATATATACAAATTCCATTTAGTTATGCTTTTCTATAGTATTTATCTTATCTAGCGTATACTTTTCATACACAATCGGCTTCTGATAGTTAGATTTAATGCTAAATAAATTTTCTGCCCAAAAAAAATAAATTACGAAATCAGTCTACCAGGAAAGTATCTAAGCCGCTATTCTGTTGCTGTTTCACAAAAGCAAAGCAAAACCTGGAATAAATCCCGACGAAATTTTGGTGGGATCACAGTGCTGGATCATGTACAGTTCGTGCGTTTGTCTGCAACCGGCACAACGACCTCGCTGCCGCTATCCACCGCAAATCTACGCACACACAGCGGAACATAATGGGCTTGCATTCCGACAAAAGTCTATGGCGAAATTGATTTAAAAAAGCAACGCAGGATCAGAGGAGCGATCAGGAAAGCGGCGGGAATGTCAGGCCAAAATGACTGACCGAATGGCGATAGCGCTTTGTTGCCGGGTATTCAGTCCCACCGTGCTGCTAGAATGCTAATCTGGATTGTGTCATCCCGACGTCGCAGGCTCTTTCCTAGCCACATGACGTGTGTACGAAAACGTTGCGGGGACCTGAACCTCCATACAAAGATAATTGGCAGCTTACCGCATAAAGTTTTACGCTCTTCAAAAATATTAAATATCTGATATAATTGTTCTACAACTTTTTCAATGTATTTTTGTTAACTATTAGATTGATTAGTAGCACTTTGTAGTTGTGCATT